CTCAATCACTCTGACGAAGGGCTAACCTTCTAAATGTCAGCTTTTTAACTCGTACAGTGGCCAATTTATGTCATCAGCTCAGTTGATAATACTAAATTACAGTGGATTAATAACAAATGAAAAACAACACAAGTGGTAGTGGTGTTACAATTTAACCTCTCCACAGCTATCACTTCAAAAACCTGGGAAAATTTGGCTGGTTGAGGATAATGGCTATCATTGGGAAGAAGGGGTTTAAGGGTCTTTCAACATCATATATCCTTTTAGTAATGATCCAAGAAGCAACTTCCTGTTGTTGATGGTTGTAAAGCTTGCACAGTGCATCTCTATATGTTGCTCTGTCATTCACTCAGCCTAGTCTTTTTTCTAATAATTTACAAAATTTTATAATTCTGTTGTTACAATCATTTAAGTAGTTTTATACTAATTATCTTGACTATGAATTTTTTTGTATTTCTTCTGGCTTTTTTTTTTTTGGTTTTTGTGATGATGACTGCATTAACCAAGTGTACATGTACCAAATATTATGTTTTCCTGTAGTGATTTCAGTAGTTTTGCCTCTTTTTCTGTCCACATTTCTTCATTCTTGTTAATTGTTTAATTTTCGACCAGTTAATATTAAGCATGGCATATGGGCAATAGGATATAAATTGAAGCCTGAAGTTCCTCTTTCTCAAATATTCTCTTTTGAAAAATGAAGTTAAGTATATTAGGTCAAAGATGAGAAATAGAACTTATATCATGACTTCTCCTAGTTGTTGTTTTGCTGATAGCCAGTTACCAGTAAAGAAAATTGCAGGGAATACAGAAATTTTGATGTTAGCAAAATAAAACTTAAAATAATTTAAGTATAGTAATATAAGTTTGTTTTAAATTTCCTTTGTATTTATATATTTAGGATTTTATTATTGATTACTGCGCTCACTCTCAGTTAAAGTGATTCAAGGTTTTTATTTTTATTTTTATTGAATTTTAGAGTAATCCGTCACAGTGATGTTCAACCTGCCAAAACACAGCAAGACAAATTTCGACTTCAGGTCTTTGAGTATGGGCTACAGAAAGTCATTGGTCAAAAAGAAATCATGGCTGTCCTTCAGCCAAGCAGGACAGAACATCAACAGGTATTGATGGCACACCAACAAACGTTCTCCTAAAGGATAAATTTCTTAATCCCTCTAGACTGTCAGTGTCCTTATATGCAAAACTATGATAACTACTGTAAATCTCATGAGGACCACAATGAGAACTATTGGTTCTACCAGTAATTGTGTTATCCAATAAAGTCATTATTATTATTATTATTACTATTATTATTTCTAGCCAACCATATCCTCAAGTCTAGAGTACCACTGGTAATACTTATTACAAATAAAAAAGCAAATGTGCTAAGCTAATTTGGCTGAAATCTACAATAGCCTGCAGGAGTCATTCTAAATTATGAAAATAGCTGATATTGGTTTTGGAGTTCTAACTGTGGGTCCAAAGTTACAACAGTTACTTTGGATCCAAACTTATAACTATGGAGTGAAGAATGAAAAAATAAAAATTAGGGATAGAAAGCTATAACTATAGATCCAAAGTTATACTAGGGATTCAAAGTCACAAAAGATCCATAATTAGAATCTGTAACTTGAGAGCTGTTGTAATAACTTTGATCAGTAGTTATGAGGTCAGATCTGTAGCTTTAATTTTGAAACTATAGTTATTACTTTGGATCCATAACCCAAAGCCAATTTTTTTCTTTCATTTATAATGACACCTTCAGGCCGCCGTAGAAATCATTTAAAATCAGATCTTCCCATTAAGTAGGCCTTGTGGTAACATCATGATGCATTTAATTCATTTTAGCCACCAATGAGATAGCAGTACATCTTTAAATCCTCTAAAGTGAAAAATTAGCATTAAAGAAGAGGGTTTAATGGTTCAATTTTGGTCTGGTTACTGATTATGTGCATTTTGTCCTGGTGCAAAAAATATGTGATTTCTTCTAACAAGGTTCAGTCAGCTACTGTCAGTGACTTTTAATAAATCAGCTGGTTTGTGGGTATAAGTATTCTAGAGTCATGTACGTCTCTGCCAGTGGGCAGCTTGCTTTGTTTCTCCAAGCCTTTTTGTACTCCTCCCATGAGCCCTTGTATTCCTCCTCCTAAAAGCTTCAATCTTTCACTTAAACCACAATCAACCATGTGTAATATAATTTTTCTTTTGTGATGTCATGGCCTTTTAACTAAACAGAAAAGTCTTCTCCTTGCAATCTCCTGACAATTTTATGGGAAGTTACAACCTCCTGCAAATTACTGGGGAGGTAAATAAGAGGATCTTCAAGAAACATCTGAAAAGTTTATGGAAAGTAACTAGGTGATGTACCATCAGTCCTAATACTCATTCATCAGGCAAGAGCAACTGTATTTTTGTCATATTTCAAGCCATTTTGAATTTACTCTTTCAGTTTAGTAATCACCTTGCATGAGGTGACTGAAGCACAGTACAAAGCCATTCCCCAGCAGTCAGAGTGCTTACATATCTATATTCACTTGTATGATTTATTACTTATGTCTAATACTTGGTTGGCCTCAGATGCCTCGGGAGAAATCAACCACAAGATCCTTGAGGTCACAGAAAACAGAGAGCAGTGGTGTAACTGTGGAGCATTTTGCAGACTCAGGTAATATTAACAATAGTCATTACCCCTTTAATAAAATTGAAACTCAGAATGCTACTGTTCAAGTGAGATGAATTGCAGTTGGTGAAAGCCACAAGTGTATCAAGTGAAAGCATCAAGGGTAATTTAAGATTGAGTTTCTTTGTTTTAATAACAGGGTTGGTGGGTCAGCAGGGTCCCAGTTTGTGGGTAATAATTATGGCTGTGGTCTGTATTATTGCTCTGGTATTACCACTGGACAGTGACAAGTATACAGGATCAGTACCACGCTACCTTCTGCTGTCAGTCAATCAAAAGTTATTGGCTTCTTTTATCCTAGGTAGGCATGGCTGTTTTTTTTGTTATTTACATTAATTTTAGCAGGAATGCCTTGATTAGAGTGCCTCTTCCTAACACAGTATTAAATTTTAAAAAAGTAAGGAAACATTTTGGTGGATTGCTTCATTGGTCAGTTGGTGGGGAGTCTACCAGAATGTCACTGAAGATTGGTGAAGATAAGTTGAACTGTTTGTTGGGGGAAGAATGACATGCACTGGGGGTGTTCAAATTTCCGCAGGGATTTTTGTCAATGTTCTTAGGAAGAGTATGCACTGGTAAGTGCAACTTTCTACTTGAAATGAGTCAAAACCAGTTAAATGACAGCATTTCTATATAATTTGCAGGTCTTATAACAATGGCAGTTTTAAAGACATGACAGTATTTACACTGTAATGGAGTATTTAGCTGACAATATTAGTGGTGATGATTTTACTTTTATTATTATTGTCAGTGATATAATTTTTAGGAGCATACCAGAACAGCCTTGAATTTAAGTTGAATCTTATAACAGCCTTGAATCTCATTATTACTATAAGTTGTGATAAAATTAATAGGTATTACAAAAAATACAGCTTGCACATGAAATAAACCATTTATCTATGTTGCAATATAGTTTTACAGTTTGTTTTCCTGTAGATTTATTTCAATTGGTTCTCTAAAGACATTTTAATTATCATTTCTTATCCTCATTGAGTCTAAGATGAAAAGAAAAAAATGACCTTAACTGTAGTCATTTACTAGACAGGTTTGGGTGGAAGAGGACTTAATGCATATACTGGGGTTTGGTTCCAATTAACTTTTAGTTTGGCTCAAACTAACTTTTGCAAAGATTACTTTCCAGTAGACAATACTTTGAATAATTGCTGTTGTTCCAGGTTGGATGGTAGTTTCCATCAGATTAATTTATTTATGACGCAGGTGCTACAAAACAGGCTCCTTTATTCAAATATTTGAATTAACAGTGCAGTTGTACTTCAGTGGACCTGATGTTTGTTGAGTGTAAATAAGGGACTTTAATACATATAGAAATGTGTAACGGTTTTTTTCCCCCATAATCAAAGTGGAGGAATGTGTGCTGAACTCTGTTGACTGTGCATAATGAAGCCATCATGTAAATGGACTTACCTATTAATAAATAATGATGCAATCTCTTTGTAGACTGTGTTCTTTTAATGTTACTGTTCAGTAAACTAGTGGATCATTAATAACAGCAATTACCAACACTAACTTAAAACTTAAAACAAAGGCATTGGTAGGTTGTATGTAAACCCTCAATACTAGAAACAAAGATTGAATGGGCATGCTTACATTAACTGCATGTGTGCCCCTGCATTTGGCTTTCCAAAGTGCACTACTAAATAGTAGTTTTGAATTTCTTATCTCTCGTGATTTAAAATACTTATCTGTAACCTTGGATGTTTGGTTATTATGTGTAGTTTATTTCTATTAACATATGTTTGTAACTACTTCTATTACAGCTATACACACACCAACCTTTCACTAATACAAATTCAGAAAACTGTGAAAAAAACAACTTAGCTACTGAAACTTTTACACTTATTGCCCTAGTCACTACATTCATAGCTTGATTTGGACATACTTCCCAGATACCTAGGATCAACCACTTTCTAACTTGCTTCATCGATTGATGCAGCTGTATGAACATACCATCATGCAGTAGCAATATCAGGCTTCAGATGCTATTAGTTGTGGATTGATTGCGACACTCTTTGTACAATTATCAGTTTTAAATATACCAATTAAACGATCAGCCAACTCAAACATATTGTTTCGCAGGCTGATTATTATAAACTGAGCATTTTTTGTCCTCTCCTAAAACAAAGAGCAAAGACAATAAACACAAATCAGTCAATAATTTTTAGGGGTGGTGCAGGGGTCAATAATTTCTAACCATGAGTATTAAAAATGGTCAGCACCACTATTATGCAGATATGATGTATGACACTGCTTGAGTACAAGAAGTTTGGTACAGTTGTTGTAGCCCACCATTTAGCGAAGTTCTGAAACAGTCTTCAAGATCATCTGATACTGTTTCAAAACATAGCAGAAAACCTTGTGATATGGTTAGGGGGAAAAGATTTTGTAATGGTTTGGGTGAAGTGGGAATATAGGGTATGACTAGAAAGTCTAAAATATGTAGTTAAATGCTTGTGTGGAAAAAATATCAGGGGGAATTTAATATAACTGTAAGAGGTTTGAAATTTTCTCAATACAATATAGAGTATTCACAAACAAAGATGGTGTAAACTTAGAAAAGTTTCAGAGATTGCAATCCTGAAATACTGCTAAAACTAAATGCACTGGAATTAATTTACTTTACTGACCTTGATATAATTTGCAACAATTGAAACATTTCTGAAGTCAAGGGCTGCATCAATTTCATCCATCACATAAAGGGGTGTTGGCTTGTAATGATGAAGAGCAAATACCTAAAAAGCCCACAAGAAAAAGAAAATATCAAATTATCCTGAATTACAGTCTCGTCCCATATTTCCACACAGGCACTTTAAACTTCTGTAGGTGAGTGAGCAATCATGACAAAACAAGCTTGGGTGGGGTCTCAAATTTTCAACCTCAGACGACTGTTATCTCGGGTTCTAATTAAAAATTTCCCAGCAGTGAACAGCACAGTACATTAGTTTTCATTGTCCTTCTAGTATTCAAAACTACATTGAGTAGTTTACAATGCTTTAAATGGAAACCATTCAAGTGCCCTCAATTTGGGAATCAAGGCCAGAGTAGAACACCAGGAACTATGTTCCCTACTCTTGCAAGAAGTGCATGAGTGCTTTGACATCCCCTGCTGACCAGTACACAGAGGACAGGGCTTATGGTTTATCATCTTCATCTGAGCAGAAAAGAATGTCTAACCATTTGCAGAAGTCAAAGCAAAGGAAGCACATTCTCTTCAGTGTCAGAAATATGAATAGGTCCTGAGTAACTAGTAACAAGCAAACATAATTCTATATTAAATAAAGTTCCTTTCAAACCCATGGCCTACATGAGTAGTAGCATAAAGTAAAGTGGGTGTTTAAGGGTGGTTAACAACAGATGTGGTTGCAGTAATCTGTGATAGGTGGTTGCTTAAAGATTTCAATTTGGATTCCAACTCTGCTGTTCTCCAACTGAAAATGCAATAACTTTGTAGAATCGTTACAAAATATACTAATTGCTAGAACCAAATATGTGCTCATACCAGAGCCAGTGAACTCAGAGTCTTCTCTCCACCAGACAGATTAGAGATATTCTTCCAGCTCTTCTTTGGTGGCCTCACACTAGAAAATAACACCATTATTTCTACAACATGTTCCTCAAACAACCTTGACAAATGACATTTTGTGCAATCTCTGTTAGAACTCTCAAAGCAAATTAATGTTTCCAGTGAATAAGATAACTTTTGTCAGGCCCTATGTCAGTGGAGGTTTACAGAGGAGCAAGCAAGTCACTGAAAATTGGTAACTGCCTGGGGAAGGAGTGGGAAACCTTGTTCAGAATCCCTCAGCATTACTACAAAGATGATACTTGTAACTGTAAGTTATGCACTGCTGGCCAACAAAGGGTGGCTACTGTTAGTAATTGGGCATTCTTTTTTATATCACCTTATTCAATAGAACATCTTGACACTACTTGTCTAACACTTTTCAATTCTGTCCTAAACACACTACTGAAAAGTTGCATAAATTCACTTATTTTGATTTTTTTTGATAAGGTAATTACCTTTATCCTCTGTGTTATTAATACTATTATTATTATCCTTAGTATCATTAGTATTATTATTTATGTACAGGTTCCATTTCAGACATTGAAACACTCATAACAAAGTTTATGGTGATTCATCATAGTGATAACACTAGTAAATGAAGTATTATCAATTGCCTCATGATGTAGACACTTTCAATGTGGATTATGGTGTTCCGTCTGCACACTGCAAATATTTTTCCTGCTGTGAGGTGAATATCACTGATGCTGGGTAAAGAGGTGATACACAAAAGATTTCTCCAGACAATATTAAGGGAGAGTGGAAAATAAATTGTAGAAGCACAAATGCCCACCATCAAGACTCACTATAACAACAGTGCAATATGGGAAACATCTTCAAATTGCACCAACTGAAGATGCTGAAAACCAGCCAATCACCACTGAGTATAATATTTCAGGGGATAACACATAGCCAAATGATGGCACTACTTGAAGAACAGCAGGATGCAGTTGAAATATCAAATCAAATCAACACGAGAAGTGACTATTTCATGAGACAAATTAAAACACTTCAATTCTACTCAAAATCTTGAATCGTTATGCACAGATACAATTTTTTCCAAATTAATCATAACTAGCAAACAACCACATTAGGTCAGTCATAGGTGTTACTAAACTGTGGATCAGCAGATTGCACAACCTGTGCAACCCATATTTTTTTTGATAGAAAAGTAATGAAATAAAATAAAACTAGACAGCTTAAGACTGCATATGGCAACTGATATAGCACAATTTTTGTGGCACTGAAAACTTAAGGTTACACAATTAGCTGGAAGGTAGTGTTGCAGAAGATTTGTCTCAAATGCAAAACAAAAAACCTGCTGCATCCTACATATTTATGAGTACCCTGTTCCACAAGAGAAAGATTATTCAAGAATATAGTAAATAATTGACACACAACCAATGATTATATAGTAACAAATAATCATATTGATAATAATAATAATAATAATGATAATAATGACAAAAATAGTATATTCTGCCATTCCACCCTCCCAAAATTCCATTGAGTAATGTAACCCTGTAAAACCTCAAGGTATCTTAATTTGGACCTTACTCATTCCAAATTTACTAGATCTTTTGGCTATTAGTTGCTGATAGAAATGGTAAAAGTCTCCATCTTTGAGTAAATAACATTTTTCTTCAAAGTTTTCATGATGTGCCGATCAGAACTTTTAGATATTTCTGCAAGCAAAAGTCTTGTGTTCAATTACCTGGAGGAGACACTACAGTGAAATTATTTTGAGATCTTTATCATCTTTTGTAATTATAACTTTGGATCCACTGAGCATAATTTGCTGATTCAAATGGTGAAATGCTTTCTCTTCAAACAAAATATTTTTTCTCTAAGTTTTCATGATGTGCCAATCACACCTTTACAAGGTAAAGTGTTTTTTTTACATGCCATTTTGAAATGATTGTAAGATGTTTACATTTTCTGTTGTCCTTGGAAACAAAACAATGAGTGGTCCCAGGAAACATTGTGATCACATGCTAATTCTGAGCAAAATTAAAAGCAATTCCAAGAGATTGCCACCAAGTGTTGAACAACCAAAGATGTTCTAAAACAAGCAAAAGCCAAGAACAAGGAATATTGGGCAAAACTTTGCAGACTTTGTTGTGGGTGAAGAGGTTGCTTGTATTCTCTTGTTACACTCACTCACTCACTCAACAGGACAACATAATGGCTTTGCCTCCAATAGTAAGCAGTAGTCATAAAAACAAAAAGTACCCTGATACTATTTGAAAGTTCCTTTGTGGGCAGAAAGGAGATTACTTTTAAAGAGACACATGTTGCAATTGTCCTTGATGTCCAACTTTAACTGTGGTGGGATGTCAAGGCAGATTAAAAAAAAAAAAAAAAAAAGAAAACACATTACTCTTTGAAAGTTATCTTCTTTATACCTGGAAACTAAATTTCAAAAACAGTGTTCAGGTATTTTTACTTTTTGTTTTACTTTATCATTATTTTTTGAACAAAAAATAATGGTTCCATGGTCAGCTTATCCACAGTTTAATAACACCTGTTAATCATTCCCTTTTTGTGACAGAATTTAAGACACTTGTAAATAACCTCCATTTGCACCACACTCCTTCAATTTATAAGGAAGCCTTTTTGATGAGATAACTATCTCAGGCAATGCAATTGGACATAACACTATAGAAATGAAATAAAGTAATACAGTATTATATTTTCATGACCATGTACCTGAATACAATTCCTTCAGAGAAGGGATCAAGGCTGTCAACCAACTCCAATTCAGCATCACCACCGAGAGTAATCATCTAGTAAAGAAATCAACAACTATAGGCAAGGTCTTCAGTCCAAACAAAACCTTCAATAACAGTCATTCAAAGTTGATGTAACCATTTTACTGACTGCATTTAGTTTGTATCACTCCTAAAGCTTTTATCACTCCTAAAAGATTTTTTTCCCTTTTCCCCATCAGATAACAAACAAACAAAATAACTGAAAAAAGGAAACAAACAGTTAGCATGTAGGAATTGTAGTTAGCACTGTCATGAAACAGAGATAAGTTAATTCTAAGACCTAAACATTATTACAAATTTTAGTTGCTGCTGTTCCATTCAACATTCACTTCACTGATAGGCCAATTGTAGTAAAACAAAGTCAGTGGTTTCAATAAGACTTAAAGTAGATGGCTACCTTGTTAAAGCAACTGCTAAAGAATAATATGGAAAACAATTTCTCTCTTGGTAGCCCATTATTTCCATTCAGATTTAACTAGCTTCAAATGGATAAAGGGGGTAACTTTCTAGACAAACTGTGGTGCTGCACTGATGAGAGAGTCAACATGGTAATTTGTTATTATCAACTGAATTGATAATTTAAATTGACAACCATTAAGGGTGTTAAAGCTGATGTTTTGAGTGTTAGCCCTTCATCAAAACTTGTTTATAACATAAAAACCCTTGAAGATCTCAAGATGTTACAGGTCTCACTTCCTGAGTTTGCTTGAAAGCTTCCAAAAAGTCATAAAAAGATCCAGAATAATGTTAACTAACCAACATTGTATAGTACTAAACACTTTCAACAGGCGGTCTACAAAACCAATACAAGACAGTATCCTGTGTGTATCAAATTTCCATGTGTATATGTTAGAATACAGGACATTTCGCACAAAAGACTTTTCGCACAAGTCTTTTAGCACAAGTTTTGGAACGTTCGCACAATTCTTTTACTTTTCCTTTGTTAAACGAAAAACCTTTTAGTTTTGACAGTACATCATCCACTACAAACAAACGAACATGACGACCCAACTCTAAGGACGCCATGTTGATTTCGAAAGTAATTGTCACCAATCCTCCCTCCTCTGAAGTCAAAGTAAAAACCTGCAAACTGTTTCACTTTTATTTAAAAAGAGAAAAGACCTATTTACAAAATTTCTGTGTTAATATATAAAATTCAAGTTCACGGCCACGTTACCCGACGAATCATGCAAATTTTAACTCGCTACTCGGTCAAGACTCATAGAAATTTAGCCCTTTCCTGCATTCATTTAAGCTATAGTACTTCTAAATTTCTTTATTTGTTTTGATCTTAAGCTTGTATGATTACTTATCGAATGGCTAGCGTACAATCTTTAAATTATTTTGAATTCTTGAAACTTTCGTGAAATCATTTGTTTACATCACGGTCGCTATAACGCTTATCGATCGATACTGAACTCTCCATCGCTTAGGTAATTGTTATTAGAATAATTTGAAAGGTTACAACTTGATAGATGTATTAAACTTCTCGATCTTTAAAATGATTACAGATCGAACTTGTCTTTATACAAGATCACTATTTACTACCTACAAGTTGTCAAATCACAACACTTGCACGTGCCGACATTCGATGTGAATCACTCTCTGAATATCGAGTTATCAACGTTGAACTGTTTTTGCTGTATTACCAGTATGCCTAATTTTTATTATACAACGAAGATATGAGAAGCAAGTTTCAATAGCTTTATTTGAAACTCTTACAGATCGATAAAACATACTATTTGAAGACGACCGAACAAGGAGGGAAGACTGGTGACAATTACTTTCGAAATCAACACGGTGTCCTTAGCGTGGGTCGTCATGTTTGCATGTTAACTTTATAGTGGATGATACTGTCAAAACTAAAAGGTTTTTCGTTCGACAAAGAAAACGTTATAGAAGTAGTCGTTCGAATAGGGAGTTCGGTAAAATTTCCGCACAGCCCCATACTACATTATGCATTCAGTTCTTGGACAGAGAAAACAATGACAAAAACAATACATTGCCATAGGGAAAACAGATTTGTTTGACAATAGTATGGGGCTGTGCGGAAATTTTACCGGGAGTTCTTTCCATTTTCATGGAGAGAGAGACTTATACCTTTCCTTTCTTCAAGAAAGAATAGTAATCGTGTTCACGAGCATTTTGATCTAGTTGAAGTTATTACGTAAATAAATGTCTACGTTCTCGCCGTTGGATCATGTGACGGTGAAATGACTTATCAGTATCAATCAGTATACCTTTTATATTGATGTTTCTCACTTATGATTATTGTGCGAAATGACCACTAAGAATTGTGCGAACGGTCCAAAACTTGTGCTAAAAGACTTGTGCGAAATGACCGGTTACCATATGTTATCAAATTTTGATGCGACCATCCAAGCCTTTTGTTGCCTGGCCAAGCCAGATCCTATTGTTTTTCATTCGTACATCACTTTTTGATTTACTTTGTAAAGCCATGATCTTTGTTAACAGATTTTCCTTCTGCTTGCAATTGGGAACAAACTTCTCAGTCTCCTGCCTCAAAAGACAGAGTGCACTTTCTTGTGATTGCAAGTTACTGAGTGAAATAAAAAGATATGCAGCAGTGAATTCTGCAAGTTTTATTCATTGGAAAAACCCCAGGATTATTCTTGTCTGTAGAAGTATTGACACACTCAGCTGCAAATGTTTACATAAGATTATAGAGTTAAATCAATTAGCCAATAAATTCTAACTTTTCCCAAGGCTCATGTTTCATATCAGTTGTAAACAATTGCAGCTGCTTGCTCTACGAAAAAAGTGTAAAGTCACTTACTCATGTTCTGGCTAACCAGTAACCACAAATGCAGCTTTGAATTGTTAATCAAAGGTTAGATGCTAGGTGTTCATTGGCTGTTTTTGTTCCTCTCTTTGTAGTTAAGCCTTGGGTTAGTATTTTTGATGCAAACTTTTAAAACATCTTTGCAAAACCATTCCAAATTTGGTTTATGTGTGTTATTGACAAGTATGCTATTTTGACAATTTTGATTTTTAAGCTTGTTTTCTAACCAGCAGCTTAAAGGAACTATTGTTTTGTTTGTCCAAAAATATTTGACGATCTTAGTTCAGCATAGAGTTGCTCGAATATTAATTTAAATATCTGACAATGTGTACTTTGCGCATAATGAATTTATGTAGAACAAAAAAAAATCAGGTAAAGAAAACTGCCAGTGAAAGAATGAATCTAATAATAAAAGACCATGGAATTTAAAAAATAAATAAAATGAATACTTCAATACTCAATTAACTATTATTTTCTTTGTTATATAATCTATTTTTTTGTTCTGAGAATTAGACTTGAACGTGGCAAATTATACCCACCAATTCACTACTGAGTCTTGTTGAAAGCACTGAAAGTCAAACATGTAGATAATTATCTAACCTGATACATTTCTTTCAGCTTGGTAGTAATGACAGAAAATCCAGCCATGAACTCATCAAGACGCTGTTTACGCATAGCATCATGTTCTTTCCTTTTATGGTCACGTTGTACCGTCACCTCATCAAGATCCTTAACTCGATCCAGGTATGCTTCTTCCTGTAGGAGAAATATTGTACATGCACAAATCTAAAATAAAAGATCACTTCACTGTAGAGTTTTCATGAAAAGTTTGTGCTTTGCAGGCTCATTAGTATGTTATTATCTCAGAGGTTGCAGTCATCTGTAATAATAACATGGCTGAGTTTGCACATGTATCTTACAAGTTTCTTGCGAACACCCTTTGAAAAATTGCACATCAATTACAAATGAATGTGGGGCCCAGCATACCCAGAAGATTTTAAATGAACAATAAATGTAAACTTTAAAACCTTTGCATTAATAAATGAAAGTTTACCAAATAACTTTCCTTAAAATACCTTTTTGCGATACTCTGCAATGGCTGCTATGTTGGGCTTCATTTGTTTCAATTTCTCCTCCAAAACAGTGATCTCATACTGGAAGAATAAATCAATAGATAATTAGATAAACAAGTAAATAAATATATACATCAAAAATAAATCAATGGCAAGACACTATTCAAAGATGTTCCAAAAAGGCCCAAATAGATTGACTAAAAGTTGAATGTGGGATAGACAGCTGATGGGAAAAAGATAGGAAAAGATACATAAAATACATGTTTGCAAAATGTGTTTTACTCTACCATAACAGTTTCCTTATCAATCCCTTCAAGTTCACCACGTGATAGAGTTGGAAGACCCTCATCTGCCTCAGCTTCAGCAATGACACTCGCTGATACAAGTGTCAACCTACTCAACTGAAAAAAGACAACAGCAACAAAATCACCTGCAGATCAAAATAAGAGACTAATTTATCCAAGGATGTCTATGAATTCCTGCTTTTGTGTATATGTGAGTGTGTACAAACATCTATTAAATTTAGAAACCTGGATAAGATAACAATACCTCCTTCTGCCAGTGTTTAACTTTCTGTTGGTTCTCTTTTAAAACTGACTCATATTTTTCCACTTCATGCTTAATATCAACCTCCTTGCTCTTCATTTTGGTCTCCTCCTGCTCAACTACTGCCACTTCCTTCTTCAAAAACTCTAAAGATTCTTCCATTGTCAACATTTCTTCCTAAAGAATGAATAGAAAGCAAACCCTCTGCATAATTGCCCAACTGGGGTTGTTCTCTACAGTTGCCCAAATCACTCATCCTTAAACATAGAAGATTTTCATTTGCAGATGGCTTTTGTTTCATTGATTATTATTAATAATAGTTATAATTGTCACAAAAACTGCCCCTGACCTTTTTTATCATTTAAAGTTTTATCTAAAAACTTCTTTATAGAATTTATATGAAGAATCATTGGATGAAAAAAAAAAAATAAAAAATCGGGTTAAGGTTAAACCAAATACTATTGTATTTTTCTTTTTACCAAAAAAAAAAACAAAACTTTATGTTAGTGTGTAGAGTGGTATGTTGCTTACACCAATCAGATTGCCACATTAGGGTATTTATCGTACACCGATCAGATTGCTGCATAAGGGTATGTATCTCGCACCAATCATATCACAGCATTTGGATATCTTGCAATAGGGGCTGTACACAAAGAATGATATTAACAAGAAATTTTGGGCTCATTTGTGGCCCTTATGAGAACCTCATCAACCAAGGTTGAGATTTATCAGGATGTGAAAGCTAGGTTTACATTTCACTTTTTGTATCATTTCTATGTTAAAAGGTGTCTTTTTCACTCCTTTACTCACAACACACATGCTTAACAACTTACATTCCATCACATACCATGAAACATCCAAAGTCCAATCAGAATATCCCAATCAATGTGCTACATGAACATTAGCCAATTTTCCTCTTGCTTAAATTGTATTCCACTGATCAAATTTCATTTTGCCACATTAGCCTTCCCTCCATGTCATTTCCTTGAAAACAACCTGCATTTTATCATGAATTCTAACTACATTGTCCAACCCCACTGAAAAAGATTCACATGAAACTAAAAGCTACTGATAGTGAATTTTCCATTTAATTCTCCTGTGTTTGAAATTTTTCTACAAATAAAATTTTCTTTTAGCTACCTTGGACTTAACCCAATTGCATGTTGATTCCTTGTAAACAACCTGCATTTTATCACAAATTTCACACACAGAGGGCAAAGTCCAGTTAGGTGACAACCAATCAAGGAACCCTCTTTAAAATATTATCCTTTTTTCCTGTGCATTGTATCTACAACTATTCGAGATTGCAATATATATTTGGTTAGGGTATATTGGAGACACAACAGTTTCAATTCACTTTCAATTGTAAAAGTGCATGGAATTATATTTTGGAGGTGATTAATTTTGATTTTCTCTCTGTTAGAGGAACAATAAGCATAGTCCCTTTTGCAACCCTTACTTGGCCTTGTCATGCATCATGCTCTCTCTCCAATGGGGAATAGATGGCATTGTGTGACAAGACCAAACAACAGCTGCAATGGAGAAAACAGCAAGTGTGGCACTGGTGCATTTTATTTTCACTTAGAAGTATTAAGACAGTGGAGACAATAGACCACAAAATACCTATGTGAGTACAAATAAATTTGTTTTTTTCTCCTTTTCCTTAAGGTGAAGTAATGTGATATTTTAATTCTTAAGGTCATGCTCTTTTTCTGTTACAAAAATGAAAACATCAGGAATGTAAAGTATCCCATCTCAACTCACCCAGCCAAGAAAAAAAACTTTTGCATGCTACACATAGCTATGTTTTATAGTATGAGCTGTGGAAACAGTTAAAGTCATGGGCTGATTGATTTTATTCAGTTATCTTATGTCAACACTGGTGCCTGGGTTCATCTGTTCTTGAAACACTTTAAAAATATTATTTAGCTGACTAAGAATAATAGTGTGCTTTGAAAAGAATGTAAATAATTTGAGAATCCTTCTTTCCAGCAGTAACCTCTGTATTTGGCAGCAGTGAACCGTATTGCTACTAAAAAGTCTTCACTTAGTCTTACTTGTGAAAGATGCCAAAAAAATTCCTAACTAATGTGTAAGTCGGAAACAAGCAAGTTTCCTAAATAGAGACTTATATCTGATGAAAGAAGGCCGAGGAAAAAACAAGAGACTGCAGTGGCCTTCACTTGGGTTTCCCTCTATGACATGATGAGTGTGTTACTAAATTGAGTTATACAAAGCATCATTGGCTGGAAAAAATTGAGTTCTTGTTAATTGTTTTGATTGTTTACAATGTGATGCAAAACACAAGCCATGAAGTTTAAGTCATCAGGTGATTGATTTGATGTCAACAAATGTGGCACTCAAGGATTTACAACACACCCAGTAACTGTTCAAGTCAACCAGAAGTCATCTCACCTCAAGTCATGTTGTCCAAAACCTGATTCATGTCACCAGAAATAAAAAGTCAAGTCACCCAAAGAAAGTAAAAAGCACTGTTCGTTTTTAATGACAGAATGAGGCCTTGTTTGTTTGGTATGTACTTGCCTCATATGCACATTTCATAAACTCAAGAAACTTTTCCATTCAAGTAGTGTCAGTTTCTAACAACACCATGAAGACTTTGACTACACAGAAATTGATCATGCATATAGTCAGAATTGAAATATGTTCGAATGACAACTCTAAATTTTTCCTTTTTTAATTTTAAAGTGGAGCATTGTTTCTATGACAAAAAAGTGTAGCCTTGCATTGCTTGTTTGGTAGTTTATGTTAATTATTCTTATGTTGTGTGCTTTCTTTGTTTTATATGTTTGGTATCCCTTTGCATTCTGCATATTTTGGGCTTGGTGAATTATTTTCTGTTTCTTTTGCATTTGCTGAAGAAAAGTTCACGTTTTTCTTTGTTTAGAAGAATGTGATTAATTTGTTTCACTTGCTTTGCTTTGCATCACTACATGTATTGTATTGATTCGTTTAGTTAATGAAACAAATTAAGATATTTGTGATTACAAGGACAGTTCTGATGCTTTTGTAGTACTCTTTCAGATTGTAGGTTGAATTAAATAAACATTGTTTATGTTGGTTATATAAATCCGCTGAAAATTTGAATCAGGTTGCATTTACAGTGACATTTTACCACTGAAGGATTGGTCACATAGGTATATACACCAAGAGGGTGTTTTGTTCAGTTGGTACCCTCAGCAGCTTCTAAAATAATGCCATTTTGATGTTTTTACAAATGATAAAAAAAATCTGGCAACTTGATTTTTATCTCAGGTGACATGGCCCATATTCTGGGCAACACGACTTTGGGTAAGATGACTTCCATGACTTGACCATAAACCACCCATGTATTTTGCAGATACATTGCAAGCCGCATTAAGAGCAAATTGAGATTTTTTCTACCAACTCATGTGTCATTTCTTACTTCTCCCTATAAGTGGTGGCCTCTATAGTGCCCCCTTGGGTTGTGACCTTTGGGCCAGAACCCTGCAGAGGCAAAAAGGTTTACCAGACTTTAAAAAAGTTAAAAGGCTTAATAGTAACCTAGTAGAGGCAAAATTCCAGACTTGGGAATTCCAATTAAGCTTAAGAATATCAGACTTAGTGACAAACATTGGATGAACTGTTCAGTTGTAACCAAGAACTGAAAGAGTTAGACTGTTGATGCCTTAGAACAAAAACAAAACACCAGTTTAGATTAGTAAATTAATTAGAAGAATGATGTAGGATAGCTTATTAAGGGGAAAGTCAATGATTAAACATGCACTCCAGCAATTATGCTACAAGAGTGTTGGTCAGTCCACACTCTTATTGAAGGCACCAGCAAAGGTACTGATGCAAAAGATATGGCAAATAAATATTCTGCATAATCCTTAAATATAATGTTTACCATGACATATTTCTTACTTCTAGAATGACATTTCTCTATTCCACTGCAGAAAGGGAAGTTTTTGATAATTATCAAGGATCAGTCAACCTATAGTAATTGTAGGAAAATTCTTAAATTGCACATTGACACTCTTTGAATCTTGTTTCTTTAAACTAACAAATTTGTCTTGAATATTGGGGTTTTGTGTTATTTCCTAATTTATGGTACACTTAAGATTTTTGGACAGACAATAAAATAAAACTCAAAGGTTTACTGATCTCAATAATAAATTCACAGATCAAGACTGCATTGACTACACTGCCAATCTTTGCAAACTTTTGATACATGAGTTAAGGGGGTAAGTATCTAAAAAAAAAGTGTGGAACTTTCAGATGCACTCACTCACAATGCAAAACTTGTCCCTCCATTTATAATGTAGAGAAAATGTCAGAACCCAAGAGATCCATTAAGATCATTGATCACTTCACATGCACTGCTACCAATGTCATATATTGCATAACTTATGGCAAAAAGTTGTACATTGGTGAAACAGGAAGATGACCAGGTGACCAATTCCAAGAATAACTTCACAACATAGAAAGAAATGTAAAGGACACATCTAAACCAGTGGCTAGACACTTAAATCTCCCCAATCATTCTAAGCAGTGCACTGCAGTTTGCAGCCTTTCCCTACATCTAGGCAGTTCAGAAAGCAGCAGACCTCTAGAACAAAAATTTATCTTTCAAATCAGCACCCTTTGTCCCCAAGGTATCAACCAGCTCTTATAGTTAAACTTATTTATTCTTGTTTTCTTGCCACAATATTCCCACCAATAGCATAGCTCCATTTTCTTCATATAAACACACGCAACCCACAATTCCTCCATTTGCTCCTACAAAGGTCTAACACTTGAAAAGTCAGCTGTAAAACTCTTTACAATGGTTACTTTACATTATCAATTCAGTTGATAGTACCAAATAACCTTGTTAACCCTTTGATAAATCCAACTTATAAGCTGCATTTATGCTTATTAGTTTCCACAAAAATGTTTAGAAAATGTTTAGTATTTAGCCCATGTCTTTTAACTCAGGCATGATGTAAGTTCTGGAACAAAGCCTTATTGTTAAAACCATAAACTTATTTGGTCCAGTAACATCTGGTTCTGTTTTCTTTAAATTTCCATTGAAAAAAGTTTTCCTTTCTGTAAATAAGTGGAATAATCTAACTATACATAAGTTGTTAAAACAATCTAACTCAAAATTTATGTTAAAGATGATGACTGAGAGACACTGTTAACTTAATTCATTGCATTTGAGAGTCACATAGCAGTACCTGACTTAATGCATGTTGATTTTGAACAAATTGAGAGGCTTAAAATATGACTTATGAAAAGGTTTATTTAAAAAAAAAAACTGTAGACTGATTTTGCATAAACTTCTCTTGACCATGAAATGTGAATTAAATCATCAAGTCCAAACAACTTGGTCCTCATCACTTTTGGCTAAAGAACAAATGCAAGTTAAATTTGTGCTGACCTGAGCCTTTTCATAGTCCTCTAACACTTTAGTGGCTTTTTCCTCCAGTGTCTTGAAATCTTCCTAAAAATGAAGGCAGACAGAGAACATAACATCAGAGGTATTACTGGTATCCAGTCAACTCACCGACGTATAAAATCGAGCAGAGACGTCGGTGAGTTGGTCCTCAATCCAATACAACTTATCAGAAGTTAAACATACAGAAAAGTAAACTATCTTTAGTAAAAAAAAAAAATAGGCGAACATCAAACAGAAGCTTAAACATTGGTGAACATGGGTGAACATCACCAATGACTATAACAGCTTAAGACGCGAACGAGTTATTGTGCAACAACAACACTGTAAAGACTCATCATGTCAATTGCTCAGATTTTTTAAAGAAAACTTGGCTTTCTAGACAAGATCTTTAGTAAAAAGCCATTCTTTTTATTTGCAACAAAGTTTATAAGGATCTCAAGGCGAATAAAGCAAAGTAAACATCGCCAATGACTATATCCGCTTCAGACGCGAACAAAAAAAGCACTTCTTTTTATTTGCAAGAAAGTTTATAAGGATCTCACGGCGATTAAAGCAAAGTAAACATTGCCAATGACTATATCCGCTTCAGACGCGAACGAGATATATTGTGTGACAACAACACAGTTTGTGCGTTGACTTTTTACCAAGCAACTTGACTTAAATAAATAAGACCAATTGACATGAGATCCTTATAAACTTTGTTGCAAATAAAAAGAATTGCTTTTTACTAAAGATCTTATCTAGAAAGCCAATTTTTCTTAAAAAATCTGACCGATTGTCATGATGAGTTTTTACAGTGTTGTTGTCACACAATAACTCGTTCGCATCTGAAGCTGTTAGAGTCATTGGTGATGTTTACTTCGCTCTATTCGCCTTGAGATCCTTATAAACTTTGTTGCAAATAAAAAGAATGGCTTTTTACTAAAGATCTTGTCTAGAAAGCCAAGTTTTCTTTAAAAAATCTGAGCGATTGACATGATGAGTCTTTATGGTGTTGTTGTCACACAATAACTTGTTTGCGTCTTAAGCTGTTATAGTCATTGGTGATGTTTGTTATAATATTGTAATTTTCACGCCCTGTGTTGAATTTCATTTGTACGTGCTGCTAGACTCATTATATATTCAGTTTCGTTTGTACCTTCGAGGCACTTGATAGAGATTAAAATGTCTGTTCAGTAACCGCTTGAACGTGTGGATCGCTGTGTTATTACAATGTTCACCCATGTTCACCAATGTTTAAGCTTCTGTTTCATGTTCACCAATGTTCAGTGTTTTTTTTACTAAATATTGTTTACTTTTCTGTATGTTTAACTTCTAATAAGTTGTATTGGATTGAGGACCAACTCACCGACGTCTCTACTCAATTTTATACGTTGGCGAGTTGGACCGTTGGCGAGTTGACCATAATTCGTATTACTTAATCAAACCCTTTTTTGATTTGATTTTGATTCTGTTTCATTCTCCATGGCACATGAAACAAGATAGAAAGAGTGTAAAATGAAGACAGAAGAAAGACGAAGTAGAAAGCAAAATAAGTTAAAACCACAAGTGAAGTATCTAAATACAAAATCAATCAGCTGGTTAAGGTATACTTCTGTTTACAAAAACAAAGGTTACCAAATAGAGTTTTAGCCATTTTTCCAATTAGAAATGACAAGGTTCAAAGCTTTTTCAGAGGCAATTTTCCTGGACCTTTCCAGGACTTAGATTGATTTTTCCATGACTCCAAAGGCTTACATTAACCCTTTAACTCCTGAGAGGCATTAGACTTCCCCTTACAATATCGAGATGACTAGTGAGGATAAAAAATTCAATAAGTTCGAGTTAAAACCAGATTCAAGATTCTATAGAACTTTCCAGGAGGAAAATTTCATTAAAAAATTTCCAGACATTTCTTGGTTTTCTTGGTTGGGTATGCACCCTGTAATAAGTTTTTTTAATGCCACTGGAGTAAACCTAAGAGAACTGTGTTTAAATATTTATGCAAGCATGTAGGTAAATACAGTTGTTCTTTAGAACAAATATTAAAAGAGCTGCAACAAAAGCCAAAATAAGGAAATCTAATCCATCAGAAGCTGCCTAAACTTAAGAAATCTTGTTTTGGGTCCTATCAAAGTGAGAAGTATACCTCTAACTTCTGGATGTTGGCAGAGTTTTCTCCAATTTCTCTCTCGAGTGACTCAACTGTACCCTCAGCCTTTCTCGTGTTCCTATTTACATTCAAATATTAGAAAAGAGATTAAAAGAAGACCACTGTTGTACCAGTTTCCATCCCATAGATATAGTATGACTTATGAATTTCTCTTTAAGTTTTCAAATTGATTTCTAATGAGTAAGTGCACTGCGCATTGAGATAGATTTGAGCAGGAGAATAGAAATTTTGAGTCTTGTAGTGCCCAGGCAATGAAATACTTCAATTGTATTATAGTCAAAAAGCCAATCACATTGATTAAAATGATTAAACAAAAAAGAAATGCTGATTTATTATTTTGAATCTACAAGTGCCATTTAAGACTTGGAAACATTATTAAATGCAGCATTCCATTTAATAAACAGTTTGTTATCCTACTTTACATACCTGTGACAAGTCTTGATAGCAACATTTGCTTTGGTCATTTGTCCAACTACTTCATCTACAGCATTGGTCAATACATCCACCCTATCCTAATAAATGTTGGTATTCATATTTTTCAACTATTGAATTGAAGAATAACTCACAGACAAGTTTAAATTAAAATTTAATTGAGTTGAGTTAACATTCTCATAACTGGGAATTGTTATTATTGGGCAGAAACTAATCAAGGGTTGAAACTCCTACTAAGCTGGAAATGCAGGATGATCACCTGAATTCATTTCACTGGGTCTCTTTGGTTTTATCAACTAAATTGATAATGTAGATATGCCATGGTAAATAATTTCTAAGCTGATGTTTCAAGAGTTAGTCCTTCATCAGCAGGTATACAATGATGTTTCCACAATAATTCTTTGGGGTGCTTTACAGCATTTCCACATTGCACCCCATAAAGACTCCAGCTTTTTAAGGCAAACAAAACATTTTTCTAAAAACATTAAACTTGGCTTCTCTGACATGATTACAATACAAAATGACAAATTGAAAGTGCACTTAAAAGCCTTTTCAAAACCACTGAAAAGTGTTTTGGGCAATGGGCAGTGACAATAACATAGGTAGCAACGGTAAGTGATTTTGTTGACAATACAAAATACAAATAATCCAATAAACTACTTGTACATTTTCTTATTAAAAGGTTCCAAATTTCACTTGCGCATGGTTTCTGCAGTTATCCAAACTTTCATAGAACATTACATAAGCCCATATATAGCTTATTTGGTTCTTACTGTTATAATTCAGTTAACAGTGACAGTATAATGAGAGATTAACACAACCATTACTATACATCCCATTTTCTGTAAAATAGATCTATTCACAGTGATCAAAATGTCAGACATCTACTTATTGTTATTGTAGAGAGTATATCACAGACCTGTTGCATCTTGAGCTTTGAACCACCAATCTCCATAATTTGTTTGTGAAGTCTATAAAATACAATGTCACGACAATAGATATTGGAGGTATAAAATGTGTTAACAAATGGTTGGTCCTGTTGGTCTCCTAAGGGGAAGCACTGCTTTGTGTTCTTTACAGATACTCTTACAATGCCTCTCTCTAGCACCAAAGACAAGCCAATATGCCAAATATGGATACCAAATGTAATGCAGTATCTATAGTATCCCATCAAGATTGACAAGCAATAATCCTAATTGCTAGAGGCTAAGAAACCCAGGATAAACATTTCTAACAAATATGGAACACCAGGATTGTGAGAATAAATCATTATCTGAACAGTCTAGCAAGATACTCACTTCTGTACTTCTGTTTCTATTCTAGTTGATGATGACACTGCTGTTCGCCATTCTTCAACAGATAAAGAAATAGCTGCAATCTAAGTATTCAACTGGCAAGCATTTTCCAGTACTACCTGTTAAAATATTCTCTGTGTAATAACCTTACCTGTACACAGGCTACTTTAATTTTGGTCTCAAGCATGATTAGCAGTAAAATTCAAAGACAAAAAAGAAAAGAAAACTGACTGAATCATGCAGTACAAGTACCTCTGTAATGTTAGTTAGACATTGAAAGCAAACCTTGAAAACAATGCCTGTGTATAAACCCTTTGACACCTGAGATTTTGCATGCATCATTCCCATCTTTCCTGAAGTTTTTCCCACTTAGGATCATGTTATGTGAGTGCTAAAATAACCATAATGTTATCACAGAAAAATGCAAAAAGACAAAAAAAGGAAAAAGCATGATCATGAGCTAGAGGCTTTTCTTATAAAGCCTTATATTTGGCAAGATTAATTCCAACTTAAAAACTGTTGCATACTGAAACTTTTTTCAAAGAGTCACCATACAGGTTGAAAAAAGAGAATTTTCACTCACCAAATTCTCTTAACTGCTTGCGAAACATTCCCACTTCCCACTTAGCAAGTGTTTGTCTCTTGCCAAAGCACATAGTTGAAGCTCAAGATCAAATGGACAGGGTTTGATTGTAATCTTTCGCCTTTGCATTCCAATTACCCCAAACATGCTGATGCCACGACTGGACATTATGACTAATTATGGACATGGTTACACATTCCTAACATTTTTGTGCTTACATTATCATTTCCAAGTCATGTTAGCTAATACATAATTTAAATCTGATAAACACATTGTGAGTAATGTCATTTTTTGCCTTACATGAAGTAATTTTTAAAATTTTCTTTCAGCTTTGCATCACACACAGAAAGGTCAAAACAAGAACCCCAGGCTCAGTTATAGTTACTGCTAATTATATCTAATTTTCCAGGTAGGTAATAAAAATATGTTCTGTTAGCCTAATGTTCACACTTGTTTTGACTGTAAAACTCCAAAGTTTCCCACCCATTTGGGTGAAGGTTTGGATTGCTGGCCTTATTGAAATAGTTTTTGCACGTGTTGATGATGGTGGGCAATGGCATTTACAGTACACAAACAAGGTAGAAATTTCAAGTGTGGCCTACCACTTAAGAAATCAAGTGAGCACAGTTAGCACAGTGAAGGTGGTTTACCACATCATCACACTACACAGTGAGATGAAAAGTGAAGCTCTGAATCTGTCAAACAACATATTAAGTGTCTCTATATCTTCTTTTCAAGACCTTGTGTTTTCTACTTTGGCCAAAAACTCATCAGTAGTTCTGTGATCAGACATGATTCTTTTCCTCTATTTCATCTTTAAAAGATAACCCCTTGAAGCAGCAATAACTGAATAGCGCTACAACTGGAAGAAAAAACTTTGAAGTTTTGCTGTCAAAACATTGACACCTAATAGGCCAACAGGATATACTTTCATCACATATGTGAAAAGGAAGATGCAATTGACAGTATACTGTGTTTGTATTCTGTGTTTGTTTATTTCCTCTTCTTTTGGACACTTATTCTATGGCAATTGACTCAGGGTTTGAAATTTCAGTTTGAATGAAAAGCTTGAAAGCAAGTTTTACAAAGGGCTATGCTACATTGTAAGCACTGAAATGAGGTCTCTATCGATCGACCTGACACTGTCTTTCTACCCAACTTCTTGCATTGAACACAAACTTTCTTCCTACCATCAATTTTAACTATAAAATGAAATCCTGCATTTCCTGACTGGAGAGACAAATTCTCAATCTTACGGCGCTTAGCAGAATGACCTACAGAGCCTGTTGTAGTAACCCCCCCTATCAATTGCTTTGCAAGATTCATCCTAAAATTTAGCTGTTTTACTTTACCTTGCCCATGCTCTCGCCTATGATGATTATACAGAATGAAAGAATTGCATATTGAAATATCAATTAAAAACCAAAACAAATACTTATACCATGTATAAGAGGAACGGCCTATTGAGTAATAGCTGCGTAATTGATCTGCAAAATCAACACCTCCCATGTGCTTATTGTAATGATCAACTACTGCTGGCTTAGAAATCTGCTGATTTTGTTTGTTTACTACTAAATCTATGGCTAAAGGACTACAATTAGAGGAAATTATACTAACATCTCTCTTGTCATGCCACCTAGTAAAAACAACATTTCCCTTTTGGTGAACTAGCTTCTGCCCTTGGCCCAATTTATCCTTTGCACATGGAGGTAAGTCCTTACGATTAGATCTTACAGTGGCGCAAGCATAAGTATCATTACTTGCTAAATGTTCTAATAACTTAACTGAGCTGAAAAAATTGTCAAAGTAGACATGATGGTTCTTATTCATGAAAGGCCTTATCATACTTGTCACCACATCGTACCCTAAGCCATAAATTCTTGGCCGCTGGTTTGGTTCCTTCCCTAAGTACACATCAAAATTCAGCACATAGCCATTACTAGAATCAGCAGCCATCCAAACTTTAATACCATACTTAGTTGGCTTTGCCGGCATGTACTGCTTGAAAGATAACCTCCCTCGAAAACCAACCATACCCTCATCTACAGAAATGTTCTTAGTGGGCAGGAAATTCCCACTACATTTAGCAAGAACATAATCTAAAACGGTTCGAACTTTGAAAAGGCGATCGTAATCTCTTGTACCCCTAGCGGGCTCTTTGCTTGAATCATTAAAATGTAAATAGCAACTTAATTGTTCAAATCTATTCTTAGCCATGACCCTCTTAATTCCTGGATTTCCAAAAAATTCATCGGTTGACCAGTAAAGAGCATAGGCTGGGAGCTTATCAATACCCATAATTATGTTAATTCCAATGAATGCCTTCATTTCTGCTCGCGTTATGGCGCGAAAATTTTCCGATCGATTGTCAAGCTTTTGGTGCGCATAACGATTACTTTCCTCAACCATTTTATCCCACAAATCATCCGCGATAAAAGCTAAAAATATATCCAGTTCATTAGGATTATTTAAGACTAAATTAATGCCAGTAGCTGCCACGAACTCAGGAACTTGGAGATCGACGAGCTGGTCAGTCCAGCAAGCCTCTTCTTCTTCGGTATCTGTGTCATCTTCTTCAGTTTCTAGGTCATCTAAATCTAAGTCTGAATCATTATCTAAATTCAAACCTGCCCTATCTAATTCATTGAACCCATCGAAGCTTCCTTCATCCCCTGAATCTTCAAAAAGTGCCGCGACTTCCGGATCAATTTCAGTCTCATTGGCCATTTATCAGTTGCATGCTTTTCAATTTCAAATCCCGGAAATCAACACAGCGATCAAACGGTGGCGCATGTAAACCCGGCTTTAATATGGATCGCCTGTTTCAAGCGTTCAGTTTGTAGAACGAAGCCCAACACAGTGGCAGACAGCCATAGTGGTGGTAGAGTAATGAAAAGGAGGAGGAATTGGATCGAGTCGCGACCCATGCCTCCTCGGTACAATCGCACCGTTTGCTATTTCGCACCCTATTAATTGAATGCCTCGTACAGCCTATTTTCAGGAGAACCGAAATTTCTTCCTAGACTTCTATAGCTTGTTTTTTTCAAGCTTTTTCCCACTTTGTGCTAGTTTACACTCTCCAGAGCTACACAAGATATCTGTAATGACGGCAGGTCTAAGTTTATCGCAGGCAGCACTTAAGTGTCTGGAATTTTTGGAGTGGAGTTCTAAGGTTCTGTCATTTGTTTGATTGCCTTCGTCACTGTAGCCTACCGTCACTGAAACAAAGCGTGTGCGGTAAAAAGTTGAAATATTGCATGAGAAAATGAAAGCAAGATTCAGTATTCCTCTAAATCCTTCTTTCATATGCCCTACGTATTGGAATAGTTGAAAATTTAACCTTTTCTTCCTAACGATAGACACGCATTTAGAAGTCTGCCTTAGCTATTTATTTTAGACTTGTGCATGGACCGCTGTTTTGGAAATCATAGCTTAATGCCAGTCAAAATTTGCACAAAGGAGGCCAAATGGTAAATTTATTTTCCTTATAGGTCACTATGGCAAGAGACAACAAATATAACAGAGAGTGGGGTGAGGAGCGACTACGGGTGGGGTTGGGTTTGTCATGGGCGTTTGAAGTATGAAAACCTTAAGGTATGATCTTCTTTTTCATTTTTTCCTGTGAATAATTAAAGAACCAAGACAGAGGGTAACTTTTTTTTTCACAGCATATGATATTGCAGAGCCGCGTGACGTTCTGTTAAAATGCTATTTTCAATTTGAGAGCAGCGGCTTTAAAACTGATCCTTTGTTAACATCAGTTGATTTTAAGACTGTCATGTATTGAGCCCAGTGTTCTCCCTTATTTTAAGCATGACAGGTAAAATAAATTTTCAAACCGGTAAAGCAATCCTTTTACCTGTTGAATTTCAAGAATTCCAAGAAATTTTAACCGGTAATAAGAGGTACTACAGGTGGTAAATGTTACCGGTTACCGCCTGAAAAGGAGAACAATGTGAGCCTAATTAACCCTTTCACTCCCACAAGTGATCAAGACAGAATTTCTCCTTACAATATCAATACAATATCAAGCAGGCAAGTGATGAGAATAGAGAGGAATGTCTATCATGGGATGATAAGTTGATCCAATACCAAATTCTCTGAACTAACATCATAAGAATTGTATGGCAGATAGTAAGGAGAATTACTAATTAGATCTTGGGAGTGAAAGGGTTAAGGGACAAAGAAAGAGACCTGAAAGGTTTGCTCAGTGATAAGCAAATTACTGAAGGTGTTTAACTGACCTTTCTCATGAGTTGTAACTGAGTCTTCAAGCACTTTAAGCCTTGTTTCATCCGGAGTACTTTCAACCACTTTGTTTTTAAGATGAACTATTTGCTGCCTCAAATTCTCCTCCTGGTCATCCAAAGCCTAAGGAAAGAAACATTCAGTCAGTGACGTTAACATGTATGTAAATACGCACCGAAGCAATAAAAAATACAGTATTTTTTAAACGATTGTCCATGCTATTGCTTGTATTTAGACCACAGTTTACACTTCTAGACATTTTTGGTGCTTGGATATTGTTGGGGTCTGCAGCCTGCAAACCAATTTTAAACCCTTCTTTTTTACAATTTATATCATCTGTAACACATGTCGTAAGCAATCACAACCAGAAAAATTAAAACCTGCAGTATACCTTGATCTCCATATTATTTTTCTGTAATTGGTGTTCTGCAGTGGACAGCTCTTTCTTCAGCTCGTCTACTATTTCTTCTAGCCTCTTCTTTGCTTCTCTGTACTCCTACAGTTGTCATCAAAAATTATGTTAGAGACTGTGTGATAAAAGTAACTCATTGCAATGATCTATGCACTCAGACATGCATATCTTTCTATTAAGGGCTACCTTGATTTACACATATTCAACTGCTGAAACTAAAACTGCATAACAGTAGCTTGATTTTGAATATGAGTTTACCAATGCATTAAAAAAAGCATCTAGACAAAATGGTGTAGCCAGTAGTAAATGGTCTAACTAGAGGAAATGGTCCAACAGGTTTAAATGGCCTATCCCTTTTAATGGTCTAACCTGATAAAATGGACACGCTGGTGAAAATGATCTAACTATATAAAATGGTCAAACAGGTACAAATGGTCCAACCAAAGAAAATAGTCCAACTGGTAAAAATGATCCAGTCAGTGAAAATTATCAAAACAATAGTCCAACTTGTGAAAATAGTCCACTTAGTAAAGTGGGGTAACCAGATAAAATGGTCCAACTGGTTAAAATGCTCTAAATAGAAAAAATGGTCCAACTGGTTAAAATGCTCTAAATAGAAAAAATGGTCCAACCAGTTAAAATGGTCTAATTAGATAAAATAGGCCAACCAACTAAAATGGTCCAATGGGTTTAAAAATTAAGATATTCATGATTATTTTGAGCAAAATCTTCCAAGATATTTGCCCACCAATTCAAGCAACATTTTGGTATGATAAGAGAAATTTGTGAAATTCTGTTGCAAGCAATAATGCTAACTGGTCAAATACCCATAGGTAATTTGTCTGGTGACCAGTCATTGTTCCAGAAAAGTAGATTCTATTGTTCTTGTGGAGGATGGCTAGTCAAGAACTGGTTCAGGCTGTGGCAGATTGTTTTGACCTCACATGCAGATCTGAACTTTCTGCATGCCACCATCTTGTAAATTAGCTTTGTCAAGGTTTTTTTTACACTTACCACTAGGAATACTAGGATCAAGTTGTACCAAGTGGAAAATCCAAGTTGAACAGAAAACTTCCAGAATTTCCTAATTTCTGGAAAACTGGACAACCTCAAAAGCTTAAATAGAATTTTCGAAATGAGTTTGCGGAAATTTTTTGTTCCTTTCAACAGAATTTCTGGAGATTTGGGTTTGAATGGAACTGCCCTTTGGGTAATAGACAATCATTAGTCTCCAAGAGACTGATCAAATCTAAGAATGGAGTTACATTTCATTAGGAGTTAAACTTTTAAAATTGCTACTTAGGAAAGGAAAATTGTTTACCTCAGCTGCCTTGGTCTCTTTCTCCAGAGTCTTTTCCATGGCTTTAAGCTGATTAGGATTTACATCAGAAACAATAGAAGACCCCATTCTTCCCTTGACAACTTTATTTCCACCACCACTCATTGTGCCTTAAGTGGACACAAAAATCTTATTGTAAAACAACTGGAAACAGGAACCTTAAACACTTTAGATATCAACAGGTCTGTGACTTGCAACTGCCAAAATACACTGTAGCAGTATTTTAATTTCTTAACTGAACCGTGAAGTTGCACTAAAATATATTTCTTGAAATAAATTTGCTTTAATTTGTGTAGGGCATGAAGTGAAAGCAATGCAAAGGAATGAATGATAGTTATCTCAGAATTTTAAAGAGAAAAAAAAAACTTAAACATCTTCCATTTCTTGAATTTTTCTTTGTCTTCAACATCATTGTTAATACAAAAAAAAGGTTTCTTTTCTTTCTCATTTAACAAAAAAGAAAGGGAAAAACCCACATCTTTTAGCACAAAAAAAGCAAAAAAACAAAACAGAAACAACAGAGTTATAGAGACTCCCTTATTCTGTATTGTTATGATGACTAAGAAGTAACATGCTTTATACCTGACTGGTCGATAATTTCACCTTGTAATGTCACTACACGCCATCTGTTGGATCCCTAATGGCATAAAATTTCTTTAGTCAACAATGCCTACATAGATAAACCATGTTTATCTGTCTTACCGAATGCCTCAAGCAGGATGCACTTAGTCAAATGTTGTATGTGTAAGCTGGAACTTAAGGTGAACCACAAAACATGATAGTACACTACTGTATTTATTTGATTAATTTCTACCCTGGGTAAAATACAAAATTACCTAAAAATTAAGTCAGTTCTCACAGGAGAAAGTGTGGTTTTGTTTTCCCTTGAGCATTGATGTTTCCATAAACTCTGCCTTGCAAAGCATTGAGACTTTTAATGTATTCAAACTGTTTCTATCTAGACCACACATTTATTTCATATTAATCATATTAAATTATCACAAATAGTCTGTAAAGAATTACAGGAAATACAGTGGGCTGGTTATTTAGAACAGGTCTAACCCAGATCACAGTTTTGCAAAAGCAGTGGGCCTTATACATTCTCTACAAGAGGGTTGTCTTTATTTAATGAATTTTGTTCCACTGCTAACTTTCTGCTCTCCTGACACCATTCACATAAATAAATAAAAGATAAAAAAAGATAAAAGATTCCACTAAATACAACACATAATATAGAACATGGTTTTGTTAAACAATGGCTAAAGTTTGTTTAATAACCAGCCCTGTATTTTTACCTGAAAGGCTATGTTTGTAGCTTGTTTCAGATCATCAGCAACAAGGGTGTTTCTCAGAGCAAAGAAGAAAGCAGTGCGTATTTGGTCATTCTTCACTTGAACCAAGTCATATAAGCGTGGGACATTCTGTGGCCTGTGACCAAACCAAAGTATATTTACCAGTTTCAATGTTTTTTCCCCCATGAAATTATGGCTTGTGGGGTACAAAAAATATTTGTATTTAAGGTTAGAAATGTCTGAAGAGTTGCACATCTGCCTACATTTTCCACATTATAATAGGTTTGGGCATTTCTGTTCTTTTAGGTTTGTGAGGGTGAAATGCAAAGTGACTCAAGGAAAAAAGATCATTTTCAGTTCCCTGTGGGTCAATGATACATATACAGAATCATTTCTTCAATGGTGACTATGTCATGTTTAAACCTGTTACAGTTTTGGGTGGAAGAAATGCATGGGGAAGAGTTAAACCCCTCAGTAATATTTAGCTTCCTCAGATATGGCTTGAGCTCCATATATATCAATTAATTATCAAACTGCACTAAGGAGGACAACCAAAAAGACTCTTCTAATGTTTTTTTCCAGTCAGAACAAGAAACTCAAATTATTCTTTTGTGAGAAAGCCATACCAGTGAGTGGGGGCAGACTGATTTTTTTGGACTGGCTTATTGCAACTTGTTTGGGTCATGTGATAATCAGCAATACTACACACTGAAACATTTAATAAGAGATATATCCTTTTATTTATATGTATTTTTTTGAAATTCCCAAAAAGGGTTTTTCTCAAGTTTCCCTAAAGCACTGTCCTTTAAATCATCCATAACTTACGTTTTGATTTTATTAGATGCATCTTTCCTCCATTTCTCTACCTGTATTGTGAGAATGTCAAATTCAGCTAAATTAAACTTGGTGTCTGAAAAAAACTGAAAGGGTACCTGTCATAACTGTCAGAGAAAAATTATTTTTGTCAGCAGAATCTCAAGTACAGACTCCTAAGCATAATCATAACAATGTAAAAGTTAAGGCAGAGTTTGTGAATAAATATTGGGGCCATCTCTAAATCAATCTAAAACCTTCAAAGTGAGGTTATTTTTCAACAAGTCACTGTGGCCCTAGGTTTAATTTGTGATTTATGTTGAGATGAGTAAAACAGTCCTTGTAAGCATCAAAACAACATGAATTGTTCTCTTCTTATTACATATTTTGAACACAGTTATGTTATGAATCTACAAAGCAGGACTTCTTGAATTTCAAAGAGAATATATAATATTGCATGACTTTACAAAATGGTATGGCTTAGCATGAACATAGTTTACAGTAAGTCTCCAGACCTGACATAAGAGGCATCAGGTTACACAAACAATTCAAAAATTGAAACTGCTGTACCTTGTCAAGACCAATAAAAGTACCAGAACCTATATTGTTGTGCTTGAGGAAGGTAATACACTTCTGAGCAGTATCAATACTGTCACAAACAATGTTGTCTAATGCTCCACATGCTGTACTGATGGCTACATCATATTTATCATCAATTGCACCAAGATCTCCCTATAAAAAATAACAGTAACTGCAGTTGTCAAGAAAATGCTTATAACTATCACAGCATTTCTTTAAAATTTGATTAATCATGTACTGGTAATCAATAAAATAGAATATAAAATAGGGATAGTAATTACTGTAGTTTCTCGGTTATAAGGCACACTCGGTTATAAGACGCACCCCAAACTTAGCAACTTATTCAAGCCAAGTTCCCAAACTGAAAATTATGTGATAATACTTGGCTATTAGATGCACCAAAAGGCTGAGAGTTAACAAAAGGAAGTGATGGAACTGAGAACAATTATCCTTACACAACTAGCATGCAAACTCTTTTGTTAACGTAAACAAAAGTGAAAAAGTCACACATTTAATGATCTACATAAAAACCAAGGCTAAAATTTCACACCTGTAATGAGAAACAAAACACATACTCGTTTATTTTAGCCTTCCTGGTTAGGAAACATGCTTCTATTTACTAAAATTAAATAATAAATATTCAATGATCCGATTTCATTCTATTAAGATCAACCAACTGATTTTTCTTGAAAAACTGTGTGCCTTATAACTGAGAAACTACAGTATATATCATAAAGAACAAAAGTAATCACTTGTACTCTCTTAAGTACCCCTACTATGTTCACCAATATTTAAATTTTCCCTACAGGAGTTATGAATTAAACAATCCAAGTCTTAATTAAATTGTTCATTTGCTCAAGGCAGCCATAAGAACTTGTATTTGAAATTCAAGGAATTGAATAATTATAATTCAGACAGACAAAATGTAATAAAGATCCCTTTCATTTCAGATTTGATATCAATTAACGCAGCAGACAGCAATCAAAGTAAACTTCCTAGTTGGATCACTTACCAGACGACCCAAAATTCCTGGAATCTTTCCAGATGCTTTTTGCTGCATGAGAGCCTCCAACACTTGTCCTCTGTTGTAGAGAAGAAGAAATACCTCAATCATACAGTAAACATCCTTAACCATGAATCCACTTCCTTAACAAGAACTCCAGTGGGTCAGATCTAATGGAATCAGTGCAAACATCCAAGAAAACAATGTTTCATGTTCACAGAGAGGGAGCTAGACTGTGAGTAAAACATTTTCTCTAGAAAAGTAATTTCTTTTATTCATGGATTTTATTATAAAACAATCACCTGCTATGTGAAGCTTGCAAGGAACTTCTTGCTTCCTCAACTTTGGTTCTTATGCTACGAAGCTAAAACATATGGTAATTTTAGCTTTTTGATTTTACAAAGGATTTTTATGTTCAAATTCCTTAGCTCTATCAGATGACTCTAGCTTTCCTTCTATGTAGAAAACAGGGCAAACAGAAATCCAATAATGCAAATACTCTACAATAAAGACCACCAATAATTTGAATAAACATAACTAGAAGATCTTTACATCAAAGGAATGAATTACCAAACTAAAAGCTTTCCTAAAAAAAATTATTTTAAAACAATTGTTTTTTTTTTTAATGTCAAGGCTGCTTCAGGTTCTAACAGTGGGTTCTATAAGAAAGGAGCAGCATACATGTGCAAAGGCACAATCCCAAGTGTAGTGCAGTTGACTCTTTAAACAAACAGAAGACGTTGTGTTTATGAGCAAAGAGAATAATGAGGCTGGTTTAAGAGACGAAAGATCTATTATATAGGTGGACTTAGATTGTTGAACCACTTGAAAACAAAAAGAAACTATTTCAATGGAACTCTTGTCTTAAATGGCCATTGTAAATGAGAGCTGGTGTGATATTATAATTAACCCTATTGCCAGTGTACTCATTACTATGATATTATAATTATTGCTATTATAGTTTAATTGTAACCATTACAATTTTCTCAAATGTGATTAGTGCATTAGCTGCTTTATTTTTCACTAATTATTCTGTACAGTTGAAATCAGACAGTGTAATCAGATGGTTGGCTGTAATTAAACAACTGTAATTGGACAGTTGAAGCAGTCAATCACAGAATTAATCACAATAACCATAGCAACAACCATTTATCCTAAAACAAAACTGAGGAACTTCCAAATGGAGATACTTTTTTTAACTTTAGATGATGTCTCTACCGGATATATTTGACCCAAATGCATTTATTCTTTCAGAAATTTATGGTTATGATTAATTGGTAACAGGAATTCTTGTTGTTCAATTCTGTCCATAATCATACTTGTGATTGACAAATTGGACTCCCCCTTGGGCTCATTTGATTTTGTTATTACTCCTATGATTACAGACTGAATGGACCCCACTTGGTCCATTACTTATCATTATCACTGTCATTTTCATTATCCACATTATAATTACATGACCACTAACCTCATCAGATGCTTTCTTTTCTCCTGTAATAGCCTTTGCCAAATCTGCTTCTGCTTTTTTTAGCCTTTCCCTCAATTCTGCAATTTCATCTTGCAGAGATTGTATTTCTCTGTGGTCACAGACAAAATGAAATATGTTTTCAGTTTTTGCTATCTTGTGCATCATTTGAGTACTAGAACAATATACAGTTCCACCACAGATAATGCATCCCACAAGGTGAAATAAAATTCAGATCTCCACATTGTGGGTTTGGCTTGTATGTATTGGTAATTATTACTTCCATAAGTGATCAAGACATCAATGTTTTCCTCATGTTTTGAATAAAATATCTAGTAGACTTGCAATGACTTCATAAGAATTGTATGGCAGACAGTAAGGAGAATTACTGGCCAAAAATGGCATATATTACAAATGTTTAGAGCTTTTACCCCTTTCGTTGTGATCTGGTCTCTACAGCATTGTTTAAATTATCTGTGGCTTCTTTGACCTGGTCCATGGCAGTCTCATATTGATTCTTGTAAATTTCTAGCTCACTCCTGGCCACATCCATCTATAGTTACAGTAATAAATCAAAACTATGGAAAACAGAATGAAGACTTGTTTTATGCACCAATTCTTTTTTTGACCAATACTAAAACAACTTTTGTTTGTTCTTTTGAAAAAATGATAACGAAGAAAACATGATTATAATATTCCTAGAAAATACCATTCAAACACTATAGCCACTTAAAATACTCCTCACTGGCCAAAATGTCTTATTGTGGAATTGCTATGAGTCAATTTAAGTTAAACCTTCAAAAAGTCTTATTGAAAGCACTGCACAAGGCTGCTTCCTTGGTCTCCAGTTGGTATAAAATTGGGCTGAGTTGATAATGTCTTAACTTATCCTTAAGGGAGAGATGGGAGCCCATATTCTATTTTATAAATCAATGACACATTTCAATCCAAAGGAAATAAAACAGTTCTCTTCAAACCTTTGACTTAGCTTCATTAACAATTTTGTTTAAGTCCAGCAACTTTGTTTCTTTTGCCTACAAAATAAAACAAAAAAAATCCTAATTTCAAAAGGCACAGAGCTGTCTACCAAAATACCCAGTGCAGCAATGTCCTTCTTAAAAGCTGAAAAAACCATTGCTATCACCAAGTTTATGGATAGGAAAAAAGAAACATAATACAAAGGAGACAGGTTATTGTCTGAATGGTTTTTAAGTAATTATCTACGTAAGAATGGTCACAATCAATAAACCAGTCATAAGTAGGTCTAGTTTTATTTCATAAGTCCAACAAAGTACAGAGAACAAAAGACTGTCCAGCTGACACCACCATTAAGATTACCACATCATGAGGCTTGGCAATCACACTCATCTCATTCACTAAAAAAATCCACACCCAAGGACTAACACAGCAAATACTGGGAAATGGACTAGAAATCACATATGCTTTGGCCCAAATTGTTTATACACACAATGTTGAGTGCATGCAATAAATGGGAAACCAATGGAGATATTTTTCTAAGGTATATCATGAAACTTCTCTAAAGAATCACAATGCTATCATTTTGGGGGAAAGCTGGAACTCATGATTCAAACTTGTTCAGGCAAGCCTTTAGAGGTGATTGAAACTGGTAATAAACTGCCAGAAGGAAATGTTATTTTGTTGTTAAGAACACTTTTCCAGAAAACATTGGAAGACCTTACAAAAGAGTTAAGGCATGTTCAAGTGTCAAAAACAAAAGAACCATAACAACAAATGGTAATTTAACTGAATTACGGTCAAGTCGCCGATGGTTCAACTTGCCAACGCCTACTTGCTGACGCATAAAATCGAGTAGAGATGTCGGCAAGTTGGTTTTCAATCCAGTACAACTTATTAGAAGTTAAACACATACAGAAAAGTAAAAGATATTTAATGAAAAAATAATTCTGTTTTCTTCCAACAAAGTTTTCAAGGATCTCATGGCAAATAAAGCAAGGTAAACATTGCCAATGAATATAAAAGCTTCAGACGTGAACGAGATAACTCGTTCATGTCTGAAGCTTTTATATTCATTGGCGATGTTTACCTTGCTTTATTCACCATGAGATCCTTATAAACTTTGTTGGAAGAAAACAAAATTGTTTTTTTCACTAAATATCTTTTACTTTTCTATATGTCTATCTTCTAATAAGTTGTACTGGATTGAAAACCAACTTGCCGACATCTCTACTCGATTTTATGCGTCAGCAAGTAGGCGTTGGCAAGTTGAACCGACAGTGACTTTACTGAATACCATTTTACTGACCAAATTCATTTATAGAGATGGTCTGAAATTCAAAACAGATTGCGCATAGAGCAGTCAGAATGGCGCTATTTTATATATCTGCTAAAAAGGGCATGTAATTGGTGGAAGATTCCATTTTCACTTGGTAATCTACCTCTGGTTAAGTACTAAGTGAAGCATGACAATGGATTGGAGGTATTCTTTGTGGAGCACAGGTGCGTCAGGTACTCAGAGCAAGTGGTTTGTGGTTAAATTTCAAATAATTAGAAATAAAAGAGTCAACTAAAACAAATGTGGACCATTCATGTTCATGGGACTATCACATGATGAGGAATGCACAAAAAAGGCCTATGCAGAGGAAGATGATATAGGAGACCAATGAACATCACAATTGACACTTAAATGGTTATGCGGGTTATTATAACAGCATTTCACATCTTTTCTTTACTGCACACATAGGCTTGAACTTATTGGTCCTTATTAACTTTTTGGTAAAAGGCAGATGATAAATTTTCAAACAAAGTTTCTTGAGTTTCTCACCTCCTTTTCTGTTTGAAGGCCCTCTGTTTCACTCTTTAAGCCTGCAAGAAAACAAGAATACACTGAAATAATAGCATCCAAATAGCAATCATAATTATACAATTTTCAAAAGCTACTGAGAACCATCATTAAAAATGAATGGCTCTGAATTGTACATCAAGGTCTGGTATTCAGTATAGTAACCATAATGATTATAAGTTTTATTGATATAGTGAAAACCTGTAAGGAACTAAAAACAAGTTTGTGATAGATTCAACAAACCTTTAATTAACAATAGCAAAGCAAAGAAAACCTGTGTTCATGCGATTGCTGTAGGTTCAGTGTCAATTCCAGGTAATACAACAAAAAAGTATTCAGTTGCACGGCCAATTATCAATTGCTACAAAACTAGCAAATTGAAGTTGACTAGACATATATTTGTAGTAAACTTCTTAAGAAATAAAACTGCATCACATTTGATAAAAGTTACTGACCTGCCATCACTTCTGCAAGTTTCTCTTCTTCCAACTTTCTTTTCAACTTTCAAAATGAAAAAAATAGAAATTTGAACAAGTTAATCTAAACCTTTTCAAAGCTGCTATCTCTGCATTCTCTTTTTTCAGCTAAATTCACTTTCATTACTTTTCATTGATACTTTCCACAAAATGAAATCTTACACCAACAAGTTAAACTGAGAAAGAGCATTAAAAAAAAAAGGTCCAATGTACATGGTACAGTAGCAATTGATAGATACTTTACTCCAATGTTAAATTACCAAATGAGTAGTAAATCTACATGTATGTACATACCTCAAGATCGTCTTTTTTCTTTTGCAATTGCTGCAACTCTTTTGCATTCTCATCAGGTATACTCTTAAATTCTTCCAACTGTATACAAAACACACAGCCTTATGTTTAACAACAACTGATTAAATCTTGTAGAAATTTTAGAGATTGTCTACTGAAATGAAGACTTGCAGCAAATGCCCACACAAGGTTGAAGTGTGCTTACTTTTTGGCAAGCCTGATAGGCTAAGGGCTACCTGTCTCTGACAAAAAAGCTGAACTAAAATTCTGCCAACTTAGCCTTCTCTCCTTCAAGAAAAAAACTGTTTATGTCATTGCTTTGTTCCAGATGAATGGTTTACTTAATGTATACAGGGTTTTCTTTAAGGTTTTAAGTAACTGGAGCTACTTAAGGTAAACAGTTTTGGGTCTCGAAATCCAATGTGGCGGACAAAACTTCATATTGTTCATACTTTCCTTTCAAGGTCTTCCCCTCTTTCCCGGGATTTTTTTTCTCCTTTGTTTCAGGGGTTTGTGCATTTTACTTCCACTGGACTTCTGGCCTCAGTGTGATGGGTGCTATAGTGGGGGGCTAAGCATATGAGCGCAGGGAGCCTCATGGCTGGGTTGCGGGTTTGTAGGCCTGTGGGTGTTCTTCTGCCTTGGGGTGTAATTGCCGTTGCAGCCCCCTGGCCCATGGGCACCCAACCTCCACTTGTGATGCAGGTATTAACCAATGTTACATCAATGAAATAGCCAACTGCATTGTTCATGACTGAGAAGGATGAACATGACAAGCATTTACACAGTGTGCTGGAGTGACTTGCTGATGAGTAGCTGACTGTCAATGCAGACAGGTGCACATTCAGGATGAGTGTTTATGGGACTGTTGCTCAGTAAGAATGGAATTGGGCCAACTGAGGAGAAAGTCAAAGCTGTTGTGGAAGCAAATCAGCCACAGACACTATCCCAAGTTTATGGGATTCTGGGATTTTTCACCCGGTTATTCCCAGATTTTTACAAGGCTGCTGACCCTGTAAGGAAACTAGCAAGGAAAGGAGAGCCATTATTTGTGGTGAAAAGCAGAAGTTATTTGAAAAATTAAAAGTCAAGTTGCAAGTGCACTAGTATCAGCACACTTTGACAAGGACACATTCACCCTAGTTATTGCTAATGTCAGTCCAGTAGGTCTATAAGCAGTTCTGGTGAAGGGAACAATGGAGAGAGTTGTGCTGTTTGCATTGCCAGTCAAAGAAAAGCAGAGGGCCATTACAGCCAAACTGAAAAGGAAGCAGTGGCTCGGCATGTGAATGCTTTCACCTTTACTTGTATGGACTCCCAAAGTTTGATGTAAAAGTAGACCATGAAGCACTCAAAGTCACATATTCAAGGAAGCCCTCAGCCACAATAGCACATCAGGTTTTCTATCTTCAACCCTACAACTATCAAGAAAGAATAAAGTGGATACCTTCTCCCACCTGACAAAGATACCTTAGTGAAAAATGATGGATATGTACATGTGGTAGTCTTGCACACTGTTCCAACTGCATTGAGGATCATAGAGATTGAATGGGTTTTGGCACAAGATCCAAAGTTGCAAGTAGTCAAAAATGCCCAATCAAAGGAAACTGTAACTATGCTCCTCAGCCATAATTACCTGTGTGCAATGAGTTAACTTTCATTGGTCATAATATTTTTACAAAGAAAATTGAATTGTACCCCAACTTCTTTGTAAGAGAGTTGTCAGCTTGGCATGAAAAGAACACCAAGGAGTCATAAAGACAAAAGAAAGACTGAGAACAAAAGTCTGGTGGCCTGGACAGTGTTATGGATGCCAGCTGGTCACAAAGAATATTCCACCACCATAAGTGAAACCAACAATGTTGCCTAACCAACCATGAGAAGAAGCTGTCTATCTAATGGGCCCATTACAGTCCTGAGAATACCACTTTGTTCTTGTTGACTATAAGAGCTGGTGGATGGAAATCAATGTCATCAAAACCTCCAAACAAACCATTATTCATTGCCTGGTTGTCCAGTTTGCAAGATATGAACTACCCAGTGGTATGTGGACCAACAATGAGTCTAACCTTGTTTCCAAGGAGATAGAAGATTGTTGAAAAGGGGATTGAGTGCTGTAACATAACACCTCTATGGCCAAGAGCAAATGGTGACATAAAAGGCAAAACAGTTCTTTGCTGAAATCACTGAGGGCAGCTCACAGCAAAAGGAAATAAAATACCACTAAAATGCTTGAGCTCTCTGATGTAGAGGATAAGGAAATAAAAATGAGTAATCAAAGAGTCCATGGTCAAAATAACCAGAGAATTAGTCTAACAGACTTTGTTGATAATAAATTTTAGGCTAGAGACTGAAACGTAACAGACACAGTTACTTGAGAGACAGCTCTGCCAGAGAAGAAGAAGAAAAAAAAAACAAGTTGTCAGCTTTCTATAAGAAGGAAGTGTATGAGGTAATGCTGCACTTTGGGGTCAAGTGGCTTTAAGTTTAGCACAGGGCACCCAGTACAAGCAAAACCTTTAATTAACACATGAAGCCATTTCATGTACCAGTTCATGAAGACCAGAAAACAACACCACAGGACACTGGCTGCACCTAAAACTACTGTGGTAACTCCTAAAGAAGAGAATCCTGTCCCAGCAGCAGAAGTTCCACCAGAGGTTGTGTCCACTACTGTACCAATAGCTGAGAAGCCATTAAGGAGATCTAGCAGGATTATCAACTGTCCAAAGGTGCAAAACTTTCAAGCCAGAAAGGAAGGGATGTAGGAAATCAGGACAGTGGTCTCAGAAACATGCAGGAACTCTGAGAGCAAGAGGGCAAGTTATGTATCTTGTGTGTGTTACATTAAATATGTTGCTTTTGAGCCTTTGTGGTATACTTGTGTGGTGTACAAATCTACCAGAGTCCAGTACAATAGCTGTTTGGCCATTGCATCTCCTGCCTCTTGGTAAGGAGTGAATAACTTTCATTTATACACCATGGTGAAAAAGAAAGGTTGCTGAAAACACCAAGATTTTTGATTGAGTATATACTAAGTATTAATAACCACAAGCTTTACCTTCTTTTTTCCTTTCTCAAGATTTTTCTGCATCTTCTTTTCATTTTGTTTGGCATGTTTGTATTCCTGAAGATGACAATTGCAAAAAAAGTGTTAACATGTGACTCAAAGCAAATGGATGACTACATCACATTTTCAAAATGATCAAATGCTAAAGTACTCACTTCCCGCAGTTTTAAGTCATCTCTGTCATAAGCTGAAAAGTTCTTCTTGGTATCCTCAGCCACCTTAAAAAGTTCTTCATATTTCCTAAAAAAGTTGTAGAAACAAGTAAATAACTTCCCCCTATTTATAATAACTTCCGCGGATTCCTCAACAATTTAAAGCGCTGTGAAAAAAAGTTTACCCATTTTTTTCCCAAAAAGAGAGAGCTTATTGAAGGGTTCATACCCTTTCTCAGAAAAAAATTTCAAGGACTTTCCAGAACTCAGATTGATTTTTCCAGGACTCAAAACTTCACCTTAAAGTCTTTCATTCCCAAGATTTCAAAATCAATTCTCCTCACAGTCTAAACACATTTCTTAAAATATAAATTCTGAAAACTCTGTTGCTTGAGTTAAGCCAAAAAATAAACTTCCAGGACTTTCAAGGTTTTCCAGGGCCCATACAAACTCTGTTGTTTTTATCACAATTTATTATTTATACCCTTGCATTAGCGTCAAAATTGACAGGAAATTCCAGTATATACATAGATAAATGTACACCTGTTTTCATAAATTTTGCAAATTATATATATTTTCTTATCTTGTGAAAATGTGTCTCTTTGTGATACAAAAAAAGGCATAAATATTTTATATACATTTTCAAATTTGCTATGTTGTCTATATACACAGGTGTGTATAATGTTAAAAAACATTGCAAATTTGAAAATGTGTATTAAATATATACCTTTTATTTTCTCATCAAAAATAGACACTTTCTGACAAAAAACAAGACATATTTAATATATATTTTCATTAGTGCAACATTTTTGAAAACAGGTATATTTATATACATATAGGGTAAGGATTATGTATAAACTTGTCTTACTTTGTTGCCTTCTTGTATTCCTTGATCTGTGCTTTCTTCTTATCTACAGCATTAAACATTTTACAAGATTAATTTCCCAGTCTCTTTTATTTCTTCATGTTTACAATGTTACATTGTTTATGCCATTAACATTTTAACAGCAATTACAAATACTAACATTACCTCTGGAATTAAGATATTGTTTTCTAACAGTATGTAACAATATGTTCCATTACACTATAAGGCATTCTGAAGCACTTCATTACAACCTACAACAAATTTCAATACCTATTTTCCTTAAAAAAAAATTAGTGGCAACAAAGCAAACAGAAGAAAAAACAAACAAAACAAACAAACACTGGCAAGAAAAAAAAAAATTGGAAAAATCCCATTCTTTACCCAGTCTCCTTGCAGAAGATGAATGGTTTGGTATAAGGGTTTGACAATAGCTTGAGTTTGATAATTTGGTCTTTTCTTGTCCTTTTATACCTTGTTAGAAGTTTGCATAATCCAGCTGATTCTGCAGTCAGCATTTTAATCACTACCAATACATGATTTTTGTCAGTTGGCAAATGTTTATTCAAAGGGTTCATCTTGCCTGTAAAAGCATCAAGTTCTTTCTTTAATTCATCAAATCCTTGTTTGATTTCATCTCTCTTCTCTATAGCTTTCTCTTCATTTAAAACACATTCGTATCTAAGGATAAATACAAAAACACAAAAAATTAATTGTATTATATCAACTGTAACAAAGTGTTATTTTCTTGGATTTCACTCAATACAAATATGCACCCATAAATAAATTGAAACATCATGCTCTGAAACATCTGTTCAGTTCTTTACTCATTTTCAGATACCATTGTTTCTTAAATGAAATAGTGCAAGAATATATCTTAAAGAATTGTTTTATTAAAAGACAATCAAGATGTCTCGTGATTCTTTATAAATCAATAAAATCATTTCATAAGTATAAATTTTGCAACATGATATTGTAACATTTCAAAACACTGCTACATTGTTGTTAGAAGTACATGTAGTTCTTGCAGAAAAGAGAAACCTTACACAGCAACCTAGCTGATGTGTTGTCATGAAAATTTTTGTTACACTGTTCAAACAATAATTGTTTTGGTGATGTTCGAGTCCATTTCACAACAAATAATCCATCAAAACATCTTCAAGTTGTTGGCATTAAAGATTACAAGGCCATCCAAATCCAGTTTGAGACCAGATTGACAGTGAATTTCTTAAATTTTGAAGATAACCTTTACTGAAATACAAAAAAGCCTTACACATTTCCTCTTGTTGACTGTTAATATGAAACAGAGCAAAACTTAAAATCAAACATGCTAAAGGCTCTACTATAATTAGAATGGGCATTATTAGTACAGCATGTGTAATACAGAATAAATATTTTGTCACCATAGGAGCTGATATGGGATTTTGGTGTTGGAACTTCAACTGTATCTAAACTTTATACAAACATTGTATGAATCACATACATGTATCTGTGGAATAACACGTTCCTTTGTTTTGTAATGGAGTTTTCCATATTAAGGTATTCTAGTGCTTCATTCTTGGATCCCTCTAACTCATCTTTCTCTTTTTCTACAGCTTTGACTCTGTTGAGCTAAAGACATAGTACAGTTACAATAGGTAATTTAACATTACTCTCAATTACAATAATTAGAAATAGCAAAGTTTACACTTATCAAATATTTGTGGCTAATATAAAAAATATCAATAATGCACTTACCACCACAACAGCATCTCATGTTAAAAATAAGTGCAGAAATAATTTTCCAAAGAGCTTTATGTCCTATACATGTACATGTGTAACCTATTCCTCAGGATCCTGAGTCAAACTACCTTTTTATGAAAACAGAGTCTCATAGGAAAGTGAGTCTAAAGCAGCAACACCCCCCCACCCACACAAAGAAATAAGTCATTGCACAGTATTAAACTAAAAGTATCATTTTTTTCCAAATTATTTCCAACAAAATCTAAACAGACACTATGTTGGACAGTTTTTCACCATATTGTAACTAAAAGATATATACTGTATAACCCTGAGTGTGAATTGTATCTAATAAATAATAATGATTTTAAAGGCTTATACTATTTTGCGAAATGAAACGAAACCAGGTAAGATAGAACAAAACTAAAGGAATAATTCAGATATATTTTCTAATAAGGTAGAAATAACTTTCTCAAGAATTTTGGAGTAATCATTCATTAACAAGAAGGATTTTTATATATTTCGTAAAGTAGTAATTTAAGAAGAGTTACTATTTTGTGAAATGGACTATTTTCACCCTGTAGTGACAACTTGACCTCTTTCATGTCACAAAAATACATTAGGACATTACAAATTTATATATCACTAAAGGTTTTGTTTTTTGGGTCACAAAAATATGTTTAAACATTTTATTACAGTATATTCTTGAAGATCTTGGTCACCTCTTTCACTATCCATATAAAATTAATTTTGCAAAGTAATAATGTCAGAAAAATTACTATTTTGCGGAATAGACTATTTTCACTCAGCGGTAACAATGTTACCATTCTTGAGTCATACAATAGGTTTTTGGTAGGTTTTAATTTAACACACTATCAAATTCCAAAAGATCTAAGCTGTCTCCACCTTTATAAATGTCTTCTTAGTATATTTCACGAGGTAGTAATTTGGAAGAATTGCTGTTTTGCAAAATGGACCATAAATGATTTAAATGCCACCTGAGAAAACGATAGAATGGGTTTACAGGTCTCACCTTTCCTTGTTTGTAAGTGTGTTAGCTATGGCCTATACTCCTTCACTACCAAGCAACAAGATGGTGTTTTCTCCTTCTCCTCTTCAAATGATTAAGTAAAAGCCAATAAATAACTCCATCTCAATAAACGTTCAACAAGAGGTTTGGGCTAGCAGGTTCATTTAGTCCTAATCAACAACTATGAAGTAGTGTATTGTGTGACACCAAAACTGAGTTAAAAGAGCCTCGCTGAAGGCCCAAACCAAGGTTGTGTCTAATTAATGACATGAGAGGGAGTGGAAAGTAAGAGGTAAATGCTGGTTTTTACTTGTGACAGAGCCAGAGTTAGAGTTGCAACCAGAAGCACAGAGTGATACGACCTAGTGAATTTAAAAGGTGCAAGTTTATAGACAGGTTTTGCGCAGGGGTGTATTTAAGGGCCAGAGGTGTGAATTGACTAGCACCGGAGGTGCAATATTCTATGGGGGGGGCAGGGGGCATGTTCTCCCAAGAGATTTGAAAGACTGCATTTCATGCGTTTTGAAGGGTGTGCACTGTTTACACTCTCCGTCTTGTGTGGAGAACAGTAGCAAATCCATGGTGGAATAGTCATCCAGCAGTTTTATAATCACAAATATCAGTCTATTTAGTCGTTACAGTGGAACCTAGCTAGCCCTTCCTAGGGAGACAAAAAATAGTCTGAGTTAGATGATAGTATATGACTGAAAAATTGGGCCAAGGAAAATTGGATCTTGTTCGAGTTAGTGGGATTCTACTGTATTTTAATCGCATTTTAAACTTTCTGAGGTTTCCAGTTTGCAATTTTTAAAGCATATGTAGGAGTAAATCTTTTAAGAATTCAAATATGTACTGCTGACAATACAATGGCAATATTTTTCATTATAATGTAACAATAGTTCACTTCACAAAAAAGCAATTCTTCCAAAATGACTACTTAATCAAATATATTTTAATATGGTTTAGGAAATAAGGTGACCATGTTCTTCAGGAATATACCATAATGAAATGTTAAAAAGTAAATTTTTGACCTGAAAAGAAAGACATTGTTGTTATTGAAGGATAGAAAATATTCCATTCCACAAATTGGTATCTCTCCAAAAATTACTATTTTGCAAGATGTATTAAGATACCGTTTATGATATAAGAGGGGGCCAAAATCTTAGTGCGTCAAGTTAATTCCAACCAAGTACATATTGTGAGACACAAGAATGGCAACATAGTTACTGCCTGCTGAGTGAAAGTAATCCATTTCCCAAAACAGTAATTTCTCTAACATTACTACTTTGTGAAATTAATTTTGTATGGATAGCTAAAGAGGAGGTGACCAAGATCTTTGAAAATATACTAATTTGCAATGTTTAAATGTATTTTTGTGACATGAAAGAGGTCACGTTGTCACCGCAAGGTGAAAATAGTCCCTTTCGCAAAATAGTAACCCTCCTAAAATAACTATTTTGCAAAATATGTTTTAACACGGTTTAATTAAGAAATAAGAGGAGGCCAAAGTCTTCGATGATATACTAATTTGTAGTGTTTAAATGGATTTTTGTGACATGAAAGAGGTCACGTTGTCATTGCAGGGTGAAAATAGTCCATTTCGCAAAATATTAACTCTCCTAAAATTACTATTTTGCGAAATATATTTTAACACGGTTTAAGAAATAAGAGGCCAAAGTCTTCAGTGATATACTAACCTGTAATGTTTAAATGGAAATTTGTGACTTGAAAGAGGTCAGGTTGTCATTGCAGGATGAAAATAGTCCATTTTGCAAAATAGTAACTCTCCTAAAATTACTATTTTGCAAAATATGTTTTAATACAGTTTAAGAAATAAGAGGAGGCCAAAATCTTTGGTGGTATAATAATTTGTAATGTCTAAATGTATTTTTGTGACACGAAAGAGGTCATGTTGTTACTGCAGGGTGAAAATAGTCCATTTTGCAAAATAGTAACTCTTCTTAAATTACTACTTTGTGAAATGAATAAAAATCGTTCTTGTTAATGAACAAAAAGTTCTCTTTACCTTAATAGAAAATATATCTGAATTATTCCTTTAGATTTGTTCTATCTCACCTGGTTTAGTTTTGTTTCATTTTGCAAAATAGTATAAGCCGATTTTAAAGAAAAAGATTTGTAATAATAGTACATGTAATAATACAAATTATTATTATTATTGTGATTATCATTATCATCAAAAATTGTTTTGCCTCGTTTATTCTACCTTTTCTCCTCTAGCTTCATTTAATCTTTCCACCTCATTGGCTAGTTGTTCTATTGGCTCCTTGAAACGACTTGATCCTATGATGTCTTCTAAGTACTCAAGCATTCCTTCTTCATGCTCTGACTGTGCTTTTGGCTTCATCATGGAAATTTGTTCAACTTCTCCCTGATGAAATAATTATATAATCACACTAACAAACAAATAAAGGAAAACTGTTTTTAAGCCACTAAAAGCAGAAGTTGAAATATTGATGTCTCTCCCCTTTTTTCTTTGTTAACATGTATTTAGATACATGTATTTCCAAGGAAAAAAGGCCTGAGTGTTAACATAACATACTGTGCTTTCAACCCAATAGAGATTTACTTAGTGGATAGTGTTAGCCACCCTTTGAAGAACTAGGGCCAGTAGTGTAACTAATGAAGCCTTTGGGTAGTTTGGTTCTGCAAGGAAAACTTTTGAATGAAGGAAAAAAGAAACAAACAAACAAAAAATGTGTCAAACCAAGCGCTTGAAATACAAAAGGTCCTTAAGTAATCAAGTTATGTGTACTAAAGGTAACTGGTGACAGTCAGTATATCAACCAAGGAGTGATAACCAGTAATGTTAATTCGCTATTTGTCGGTTGGTAGGCAATCAGAAATTAACCAATAGTCAACCAAAAGTCAAAGTTGGCCACCATTTTACCCACTGCAGACTGCCTATCACCCAATTATTATTGTCCCTCATACTCCTGAGATGGATGGAAAGAGTGAATCTGTCTCCAGCATAAAAGTCGTATGCATTAATTATGCTGTTTTCCTTTCCAAATCTTCTGAAGACCTCTACCCACATATCTCTTGTCTCTATTCCTTGACTGTAAACCTTATTTGGGATTCCATTGACAATCACCTCCACTTCAGTGATGTTGGAATTAAATGTCTTCTCACTGTCTCTTGCACCAGCAACATAATTTTTTGAAAATAAAAATGGAAAACAAAAAAGGTTCCAGAATTATAAGAGCTGGGGCTAAACCACCAGGGGTCAAAAGAGATTTAATATTGAGAAAAAAGGATTTGATTGGGTTGATATCTAATATTCTTGACCATCCAGTTCCAAATATTGATGCACCAGTTCTAATGCCAACAAGATATGTCAGGCCTTGAGTTGATGAATCTGCAAAGGCCTCGAGTTATGAATCTGCCTATAAGACTGAAGAAGCACCAGGTAACCTTTGGTCAGGGCCCGTAGGGGCTAACCTTTGATCGGGCCTTGTAAAGGCTCAACAGTTGACTTCAACTGATGAAAATAAAACAAAATTAAGTAAAGACCCAGGGCATGTCACAGGTGGCAAAAAACTTGCTGAACACCACAGAAGAGTGAGAGAGGAAAAGAAGAAGAAAGGAGGTTCAAAGCAATCCAAAGATCTGCAGGATCCAAGCTGTAAGGGGGCAGGATTACAACCAGAACCATCATCATCGTTTTCAGTTAAGAGCTTACCGCTCTGCCACCTGCCCCTTTGGGGTCAGGCCGAAGGCTTGCCCCTTCAAGGCTTACCACTCTACAGCCTACCCCTTTGGGGCTTCCTGTAAGAGTATAGTCAATGGATTTATTTATTTTCTTTTTTAACCAAATAAAAGGTCTGATAATAAGCTTGTTTGTAATACATTGACCAATTCAGCTACCCTGACTAGATTGGCTGCTAGAATTGGATGGGTTGCAAAGAAATTCATCGAGGAACCTATGACATCTGAGTTCAAATCTTAAGAACTATGTTAAGTTCACTGTTGTGATCACTGCATCATTTGCAACAAGAAGATATCTTGAAGAACAAAAGATTTTGCTATCTTATAAAAGTTCAGCCTACTTACAATGAATGCAATTAAGTTAGCAGCAGTCTGTGCAATCATTGAGACAGCCTTAATATTCTAGATCAGTGACACAGAGGCAAAACTTCGTCAAAAGAGTTTATTCAAGAGTTTATTATGGTCTAAAGGCTTTTGGAAGGGATTGCCAGCTGCAAAGAAGTTGGCTAAAGAAACCTGAGTTTCTAAAGATGATGCATAACTTTGGCTGACGAGGCAAGCCATCTAGCAGATTTAGTTACCTGCCCTGAAGCATATCACAACCAACTTTTGAAGTCAAATCTCCAAATGTGGTTCATCAAGCTGATCTTCTTTTCCTTCCTCATGACAGGCTCCCAAGAGGTAAGAAAGTCTACAAGTATGCATTGATAGTTGTTGATGTTACAAGCAGATTCAAGACTGCTGAACCTCTCACCTCAAAGGCTTTTCAGACAATCTTTAACTGTGGACCACTGAGGAGTTTAAAAGTTCTTCAAGGTGATCCTAGGCATGAATTCATGGGTAATGTCACAAGAGAGATGACAAAGCATGATATGATGATAAGAAGAAGGAATGTAAACATTCACAGAGATCAGAGAATCATCAAGCGACTTAATCAAACTTTAGGTGAGTGTCTCTTCACTTTCCAATACAGTCAAGAGATGAACTTCAAAGAGGGAAAGAGATCAACCTGATCAACCAGAGGTTTCCAGAAGTTGTTTTAGCTTTGAATATTGAAGTGACCAGGTTGACAGGAAAGAAACCTATTGATGCAATCAAAGACAAGTCAGTTGATGCAAAGAGTTCAACGACTTATTCAAGACTAGTTGGCCTGAAGGAGAAGAGGCACGACTCCTCAAAGAATGTTAGATACCTCTATACCCCTGGTGAGCTGGAAGGTAGTCAGAGGTAAGTCACAGGTCAAATCTGGTCTCTGAGGGTCTTCAATATCAATAGAATACTTGTGAATAGAGATACACATGTACTCTACTATCTGAAAGATGGACCAAAGAGTGGTTTTGTCAGAGGAGAGCTTCGGATTGTTCCTCCTGGAACCAAGTTACCTCTTGAAGAAATATGTTGATATTAAAAAAGAGAATAAAAAATGAGTTTCTCAACAGGCCCAAGCAATCCTGATGAATCAATTCAAGAAACTGGTAAAAATATCAACAATAAAAAGATTGTCAATCTTGCCACTCCAGATTTAAAATTTTTTTCTATTGATGTTAAACCTTCAGCAGGATTCAAAAGAAAAGTAAACCCTAACCCTAAGCAAAGTGGAAAATTGTCAGCTGTCAGTGGAATATGGATAGTAATGGCGATGCTATGGTAAATTCTTCTTCTTTCTGGTGTAATGGGAAAAAGCCTCTCAACTTTAGTGCAAGAGAAATTACTTACAATAACTAGGGGGGAATTTTCTGGAACAAGATGGAGATGATTTAGACGAAGGTTTAAACTCAGACTATCATACTTTTCTCATTTACAAAGACGCTTTTATGACAGAAGAACAAATCATGACACACCACAACTTCTTCATCACTTGAAGACCTTTAGGTGATAAATGGTAGGTAAGGATCTACATATGAACATTGGTTCTAAAAGTCAAACCAACCTGCAAAATGAGAAACCTGTTATGATCTAAATCAATTCCACAATCTTTAAGAAGTCTTGCCACCTCCTTGAAAGGAACTTTACGACCATTAACATGATAGTCAGAACTATTGTCTTTACGGGCTGTGCGAGACACAACAAATTGACTTCCTTCTATAACTTCATAATCATCTCCAGGCTGTAAATAAAAAACAAGGTAATTATGATTGAAGCTGTAAACTGAACATTTTTCAAAAGTTTGGGGGTGCATGACATTGGAATCTTCTGTTTCCTTAATCTTACATCCACAAGAGTATTTTTGTAAGGGCTGCATATTTTGACAGTTATGCTCATAAATGTACACTTTACAAGATTTTATATATTCAAAAGTTTCGTCACTCAACCACAAAATGTCACAAAGTTACCATTTAATTATACTTGGTTATACTTTGGTCTAGACAATTTTTTTCTCCTGAGCTCTTTGGGTAGAAAAGAGGGTAGCAAAGGGTTTATATGTGACTCTGTTTTGTTCTTACCAGCTACCGAAAGTTTTAAGTTCTTTTATCTATTTAACTTTGCAAATCGTGACGAATCTTCCTCCCTATTAACATGATTTTACTACAAATAAGTCTGACACTGATTTTAAAACAATGGTTCATAGGGCAAAATTATTTAGCCCGTCTCCAGTAACACAATATAGAGCCAAGGAACCTCATAGACCATTTTTCCATCTAGGAGAAATGCAGGAGTAAACTTGACTGCTTCATTATATATAACCCTTAAACCCTGTGTAAATAACTGGCCCTAAAAGTCCAGTAAGACCCTTTAAAATATAACTAGCCCAACAACAATTGAAAAATTACTCTTTAGCTTGAGCTTATGTAATTGTGATTTCATAAATTGCAATGTACCAACTAAAGCAAGGGAGAAATGTCTTAAATAAGGCGAAACGACATCATGTCATGTGCATGAAATAAGAGAATCAAACAAAACCTTCACCTCCCCCTGAAATCTTACTCTCCCTGGTCCCATGTATAATCGAAATGAACTGCGAGAGCATGCCAATCATATTTTTTATTACCTCAGTAGTAAAAGACCTAAAGAACTTTACTAGCAGACGTTTTGGCTCACGTTTCATTTGATTACGTAATGGTCCAAGGTAGTGTTTTTCTCCATTTATAATCTCAGCAATGGAAATGTAATTGGAGCAAAACATGAGTTCCTATTGTGTAAGTGGCACCACTCATACAAATGCATGCTGTATGAATGCCAGCATGATGGCATTCGTAGGTAGATTCCAAAGGTATGCACAGTTCGCTTGAAATAGTTCTAATGATCATTCTTACTCATACTTTTTCTAGACGTGAGCCAAAACATCAGCTGGTACCCAGGGTAGAAAAAGCCAAGTCAAGTCAGTCTTGACTATGAAGAGTAAAAAATAAAAATAAAATAACAAACTTGTGGTCAAGACTGACTTGACTTGGCTTTTTCTAGTTCAGTCTTTTTATAGTTCATTTTGTAAAGTTCTTTAGCTCTTTTACTACTAAGGTAATAAAAAATATAATTGGCACGCTCTCACATTTCATTTCGTGAGATGGTTGATTATACATGGGACCAGGGATAGTAAGATTTCAGGGGGAGGTGGAGGTTTTTATTCGATTCTTGTATTTCATGTACGTGACATGTTGTCGTTTCGCCTTATTTAAGACATTTATGCCTTATTTTAGATGGTTTTAGATAGTTTGCGAGTGGCTGTAGATGGTTGTAGGTGGTTTTAGGTCGTTCCATGTTTTAGTACTTACCAATGTACCATGCATATTTATGACAAGAGTTAGAAAATGAGTAACACTACTTACGTTCAAAGTGACACAACTTACCATATCAATGATTTTTTGAAAATGAACGGCAACTGTGCAGCTCTGGACATTTTGATGGTTTTCTGAGTTGTGTATCAGTTGTGAAACTTTCTTTGTGCGAATCATTTTCGAGCGGTAACCAAACACGAACAACATCGCATCAATAACGTTCGATTTTCCGCTTCCATTGGGGCCAACAATGGAAGAGAAATTCTGAGGAAAAATAGAATTTCAAAAGAATGACTGAGTAACAAACTAACCTTACTCGTGCAAAAGAGTTTTATTCTTAGGATATTATGATCAGCCTCAGAAATGAAGACAACTAGTCAATCAAAGAAAACACGGTTGGCTATACAAACCTTATGAAATGGCCCCAATTCTTGCGTTCCCGCGTAAGACTTAAAGTTTTCATTAACTATTTTTGTAATCATTAGTCGAGCTGTACTGCTTCCGGATATCTCCGTCGCCTTTTCAGTTCCTTGATTTCCCTGCTCTGGAGCTTGATCGTTATAAACTACGTCCGCCATCTTGCTCATCCGATTTTGGCGCCAAAACAGTTTCCCATAATTCTTTACTGGTTCCTTTGCCGAGAAAAACCCGAAGCAGCCGGCTGTGACTAAAAGTGAGACGGGACGTGGGACTCGGGACTCGGGGACAAACAACACTTAACATTTGCGCTGAATTTGTAGAGTATAATTTTCGATGGTCTCATGAAAGCTATTTTATGCTGGAGAGCTTGTTAGTAGTAGCCGATGGTTTTCAGCGTCTATGGTTCGGCCGGACATTTTTGCTTGCTTATTTGACTGTGAGAACTCTGGGTACAGAATAGTTTCAACGCAGGGGGTCTTGAAACATCCGTGCCTTATCCTTGCTAAAAAAAGAATAAGGAAGAAAACGCAGTTACTTACCAGGAAAGTCCTCCATGGCTGCTCACGATGTTTAAAACCCCCGGCGTTGAAACTATTCTGTACTCAGAGTTCTCACGATCAAACAGGCAAGAAAACATATCCGGCCGAACCATGGACGCTGGAAATCATCGGCTACTATTGACAAGCTCGGGTAACGTTATAGCGGAGGCGTTCGTCGAGGATCGAACACACAAGCTTATAGTTCAGTGATTAAATTCAAAATAGGTTATGTAGGCTTCAGCACTTGTTCCCACGAAAAGTTCAAACCTGAGATGTACAAGATCGTCCTGAACAAATGAGCCTTGAGGTCCTGCAGCAGTTTCTTGATTTTGTTATCAATGCGCCAATAAGCCCAACAGAAACGTTTGAATTTTAGACGGCAACTTCGTCTCCTAAAAAGTAAATTATGAGAAAGATTCTCCTAGCAGCGTTGAGTCCGTTGAGAGAAGTTCAATGTTTTTTACTTACGTAATACGAAAAATTTGTCAACACTGAAACGTCAAATGATTCGTGAAATAACGAACGGGAATTTCAGGAATTGTATACACCCTACGTTTATGGGGAATTCTGAAGTAAATGGATGCAAATGACCTTCCCGATTTTGTTTCCGCAATATGCGAAAAGTTCGATGGATTCCTCCACTAAAATAGCTAAGAAAAATAAAACAGTTTCGCGGGTTATGCAAAAATCGAATGCTACTGGTACGTTTTATTATATTTCAAACACTGTTTTCAAAAGGAATTCTCATCTTTGTTGGTGTGTGGAGGCAATGCCGAGTTTCATTGCTTAGATGGTAAACGGTTTAACGAAAAATTGGATCGGTACATTATCACCATTGTGTTCAAAGACGGGAGACGCTGCAAATGCATAATTTGAAAAAGTATTTCGGTATACTAGACTACGCACTTAGAGTGTTTTCCAAGTGCTTTCCTTTATATGAAATACTTTTAAATATTTCAACACTTTTCCGCCCGGTGCATTGCGTAAGTTTTTAAAAAATTGCCTTCAAAAGATAGAGTCTCTGCGAGGCCCACACTGAATTGATAAAAGCAAAAATTCAGTTAAAAAAAAAAGAAACTGCCCACCATTTTTCGAAAACCTCTTGTGATTTAAGTCCTTCGAGTGCAAGGCCTTCTTTACAAAGCATGTGGAACTACTAAGAAGAAAACTCTCGAGCATATCCTCGAACTCATCTCTTTCCATCGAAATAACCCACGAAGTACCGGTTTTCAACAGAACAATTTTCAAGGTTTTCCTCAAGGAAGTCAATCTCCGATTTGTTTCAAGAAGATTGATTGGTCGCCGCCATCATTACGCATTCTAGTGTCTTATTCAAAAATTGCCTTCAGTTTTTAGATGTCATCCTTTCACGGGCTTTCGCAATATTCGCAGGTTTCATTATTTCCCCGCCGACCAAAATTACCGTGTACTCTTACCTTCGACGAACGCCTTCGATGTAGAGTCACCCGACAAGCTCACCAGCATATTACACCTTCCTCGAGACCACCGAAAATTATACTTTACAAATTCAGGTGTTGTTTGTTTATCACGTCCCCGAGTCCCCGCGCGTCCCCGAGTCCCCGCGTCCCACGTCCCCGTCCCACGTCCCCGTCCCACTTTTAGTCACAGCCGAAGCAGCCATGTGCACTACCATCGAATGATCATTGTCATACATAAATTTTAAGGAAGACCTCTAGCTTGTTACGAATCTTGATTCACGTTTGTACCTTTCTGTTATTTCCTACTAAATATTCTACCAGATCGTATTATTGATACGTACTATCAGTTTTACTTTTTTTTCCGATTAGTTAGTATATCCAATCATAGCTCGGTAAGTTTCAGGAATGAATTTGCTTCAGCTAAGCCAACATTGGAAAGACTTATAATTGTATTAATGCCTGTTATCTAAAAGGAATAAGAATAGCAGCGAATGAATTTTCAAGCGCGATGTCGTCAAGTCCATAGGACTAACATTGCGGCACTTATGGGAGGACAGGATTTCACCAATTTAGGACAAACTCTAGATATGTACTCCGAAATCTTCCTCATGGATTCCTTGACGGTCGATGATTATCGATGATCATCAGTCGATCGCTCATATTACTCAACGTTTTTTCTACCCACAAAAATCAAATGTACCCAGAAAAACGAGAAAATCGTTGGTGTCGAGGGGAAGACGATAGAAAATCCAAAGGATGGCTTCGATTTCCTTTAATCTGAAATAAAATCAAAGTTTGACGATCCCCGAGATTTCAAGGGATCATCGGTCAACTAATGAGACACCGAGCGCTTTATCATTATTCCATATGGCAAAAACATAAACAATGTTTATCTGTGAAAGAGAGACTTCTATACTGCGTGCCTTTGTAAACTGGAAGGTAGTAGTAAATTCAGACACTAATTTCAGTTTTGATCAAATGTTTACCGCTGGTTGAATAACAACTGGTATTTACGCTTTACTGAGCTTGGGAAAAGTCCCGCAGTTTCCCTGCTGAATTTTTTTAAGTTTTCAAAAGCTTTAACACAGTTAACTTAATATCCAAAAATCCTCTCGCAACAGAAAGTGCGAGAAGTTCTGTTATAAAGTGGGATAAGTGTTATTACAGAGGAAAACAGGTATTACAAAGTGCGACGATTGTCACAAAGTGCGACAGAAAAACTAAGCTGTAAACAACTTGGTAATCATTTAATGAGCAGTCCACATATATGAATGATTTTCATTTAATAGCAGTGTCTTGCTTATCACTTCATGAGCTTGTTACGCAGCAAAAAAATGAACAGCTCCCAGTTGACTTGCTAACTCAGTTGGTAGGGCACTACTCCGATATCGCAGAGGGTTCAACTCCCGTACAAAACTGAATTTCCTTTTTTAAAGTAAACCTCTCACAGAGAGCTTTAAGTTTGTAGCGTAAAGCCCACCAATTCACACCCCCTCCTATCTACCACCTCTCCCTGAATAAGAGTAAACTGCCGCGATGTCACCATTTAAAAATTGGTACATGCGTCGGCGTTGGTTCATCGAGGTGTGAAGCACGCGGGAAGTTTGGAGAGCGAAAAAGATGCGGAAGAGTCGCTGGGGGCGTAGGCGAAGTGCGTTTTTAACTTTCTCAGTGCTTCACATCTCAATACTCGCACAGATGACGCTTGGCCTGATGTTTTCTCACATTTCCAAAGAAGTAGATTAGATATCCCAATAAAAAACGTTGATGACATGCTACATGCATGTCATCAACGTGCACACCAGGAACGTAAGGCACGCTGGCGCTTTAAAAATTGCTTACCTAAATTTACCAAAAATGTTTCAGCTGCTTAGATGATAATCACTTTTACGATATCAAAGAATATACAAGCAGAGAAGGGTAAGGACCGATTTACTTTGAAATTTCAAAATCGCCGATAAGTTTCAAGGCGAAGCAATTGTATAGCCTTGATGTACCAAGGGGATGTACCTGACGTCTAGAGGATTACACTACTTTCACCTCTCACTTTATAATAATTAAAATAATGGACGAAATAAAACGGGGAGTTAATTTCTCTCATATTATTTATTTAATAAAACTAAATATGGATACGATTTCACTTTTGGAGCGTTCTTCATTTGGGTACTGCAATACCAAAACATAGTGACTCACAACGACTGATCACATCAAGGGCGAACATCGTAAGAAACAAAGAAAAGGAAATACACATGGCTAGGAATAAGCGCGGGATTACGCGTGAGATCAACAGGATGCAACAGATGATTGGTATTAGTTTCTAGATGATCAGTCAAAGTGGAGTGGTGATGGGTTTATTGTCTAATCACTGACAGAGCTTAGTAAAACAAAGAAAACAAAAGCAACCCTGGATTAATTGCGATCCTCTATCTACAATAACATTTGCTGTGGTTATAACTGGAATTACAAGCTAAACTCAGCCATCTGTATCAACCTAACAAAAGAAGCCAAATAAAAGATTATTACCTTTCGTAAATCAATCGTTAATTCAATTTAACCTTTATCAAACATATCAGTGTCAAACAAATGACACCATTTGAAACTCATCAGCTGCAGTTGTAGATCTGGGGGAAGGGGAAGGGGAAGGGTCCGCGGGGGTCTGTAGCCGGCCCCCCCCCCCCCTTGAGCTTGTTTATTACTTGAGTGACACCAAAATTCTTGCAAAAACAGGGTTGCACGTTAGATATGTTACTTCTCAAAATGAAGTATTCAAAATTAACTTGTCTTAAAGTAATTACTGGTTGTGTTTTCACCATTAAAGTTTGGATCCTCTCCGCCCTGAGCTGAACAGCTTATAAAATACCTAAAACACAAACGACTTCTGACGCAAAACATCATTTCCTTCTCTACACAAAACGCAAACAAACATTTTTAGACAGAAATCAAACTTTCTACGGTTTTTCTGAAAATAAACTCATCACACAAGCACGTAGTTGGAAACTTTTGACACTCATAAACGGGGAACTCAATTGTGACTAATTTGTATGCAAGTAAATAAACAATTCCACGACTAATCAAGGCGCGTATAGAATCTCTAAATGAATGTTTATTTTTTTCAACATGAAGAGAGAGAGCTCTTTTTATAATGCTTCTCACGGTACCCACAAAATGAGTTCGTGTCTTACCTTAGGAACCTAAACAGCTGTCCTTTGCACAATGCCAATCTCCATTATCACATTTGCTACAAAGAATAAGACGAGCCTTTTAACTAACTAACCCTTTTTCACAATCGATAGGGAAGTAATGATGTTTCGATCGAAATTTTATCAACCAAAGCTTTCTTACCCATTCTTATTCATTTTAATAGAGAAGAACAAAATACAGAAAAACGCCGTCATTTCGGAGTATGCTTATTTTAATAAGGACGATCTCAGAGTTGGGAAATTTACACCAATCTAACTGGACAAGCAACTCTTACTATGATGTGATGATTACCGCATAGGGGGTTGTATAGAAATCCTGCGCTTTCGAGCAAACTGAACTTGCTGCCGGAAGTCGGTTTCGGTGCGTTCCTAGGAGGAAGTCTCCAATTCCCAGAGGGCACGAAGTACAATAAAGCATTATGAATAGAATCTACAGGGTATTATATTGTCAGGCTATTACATCGTACCAATTTTTTCCATGAGATATATTTTTGTACACATCAACAATAGCGCTCGACACTGGCAGAACTTCCTCTAAACTTACTCAATTGGGAGGAACAACGAACTGGATTAATTTCTCGGGAAAAACAGAAATAAAAGTTATTTCTTTGAAAGTTTTTTAGCCGGCGGGAAAAACACTGAAGTTATTCAATTCTTCTCAGCATTTGATTAGTGAAGGTAAGCCAATTCAAACCGTGTTTATTTGTTCTTTCAGTTGTTTGTTTCTCAATTGGCGATTAATTGATATTTGATAGTTCTTTTCATTACTTTGTAAATTCATCTTCACTCTCCCGGTATAACTCTTTGCAAAACTGAATAAATTATTGCTCAGCGTACGCTGAGATGTAGTACGGATCCCATCTTGAACAAAAGAAACAATCAGAAATTAAACCAGGTTAAGATTGGCAATTCTGTTTTGTTCCATCTCTTATATCATCACAACCTAACTTTCACACTCAGCTCAGTTAACATTTTGAAGCATTTACTTCGCCTTGGGCCACTAATGATTACATATTTCAAGCTGAGAGCTTTGGAAGAGTCTACTTTCACGAAGATATTATTAAGTTGGAAACTTCCCCTTAAACTAACATTCGACTGCCAATTTATCTCTATATCATCTTTATAATCACAATTCAAGTTTCTGTTAAAGTAATATTTTTTGAGTAACCTTCTCCGTCAGTGACATGGTATATTTTGGTCATGTGAAACGTATCACGTACCAAGTATCACGTACCAAGTATCACGTACCAAGTATCACGTACCAAGTACCGCGTACCAAGTCTCCCGTATGAAAACTCCAAACACAATAATTCTAAAATTGTTTTAAAAAGTTGTTCCACTTTAGGGTGGGCCCCTGTTACAGTTGGGATGGCATAAGTCATAGAAACTCGGCTCTTCTTCTATTACAACCAAAACTTACCACAATGTGCACTGATCCCGAAGCAGTTTCAAATCCCCATGCAAAAACTTCTGACCATCATACACACAGCCTGTTAAAACAAAAACTTCATTTAGTAGCTGTGAGAAAGTATTTTTGACAACTATGATTACAATTATTGTATTTAGTTTCTCTGCTCCCTTACTCAATAAAGACTTAATTACAGACTGCTGACGGCATTGAACATATTAATATATGTATTAGTAATGGTACTGAGGACTGAGTGGAGTACAATTCGGGGAGATATGGGGCGAGTGACTTTGTCAATGACAAAATGCAAGGAACTCAGCAATGAAAAATTTAATGCGAGAGCACATACGCTTAATATTGATTCACTTTTGTTTTCAATGTGGACCTCTCAACCTTATCACTCAAGAGATTTTCCTCACTTTGATTAACACATTGGCTAGGTAGTCCAGTATTAATGGTTGATTACTGAAAGTGTTTTATATCTATACACTGCCTAACGGTCCCATTTGGCTTGTCCAATCACAAGTGTTTGAAATAAGACAGGTGAAATTGGACAGTTTGGACTTGAAATAGCATATTAAGCCACAAATAGTTGTTTAGATACAATCATGTCCGAGTATTTCATCAATGATCCAATTATTTGCGGAACCCAAGCGCTCATTACTCATACGGCAACTTTGCTGTAAAGTTTCTTAAAAAATTGCTGCACACTAAGTGAAAGGAGTGTAATCAATAAGCTGGTCCTTAATTCGATAAAAATGTTCCACTTACTAATCGCTTAACACGCCTAGTAAAAAATTACAACAAATTAAAAAAGTAATTAAAATTTATTTGACAGGTCAATATCGAAAGTTACAAAAAATAAAATACGCCAAATACACAACACATACCCCCCTATCAGGTGGATCCAATGGGTTACTGGATCTTAAGCTGATGCCGGATCTTTATCGCAATAAGATATCGAGCATTTTACCGGAATTGCGGCCAAAAGAAGAGAATGAGAATGAAGCGAACCCCGTGGGTGAAGCCATTCCCTAGGAAATTCAGAACTCGGATAGGACAGAGGAATGTGCGAAAACTCTACGAGACTGGAAAGTTAGTTCAACCGGCGACGGAAATGAGACGTTTATAAACTGGAGATTTTGGGAGTCCAAGAGGATAATTGTTGATACACGTAAGGGTTCTCTTGAAAGTATGAAAAGAACACGGAAGGAGTGGTTGTCTAACGAAATGTATACAGAATTCTTAAAGTTGGTTTGAGAGAACAAAGAGATTCCAACCGACTTGAAGAGAGGTCTACTAGTAAACGTGACAAAGAAAGGCGACCTCAGCTTGTGTGGCAGCTGGGGGGAATAATACTACTCTCAATAACCAGCAGAGTCCTAAATCGAGTCACATTAAACCGAACGACAATGGCCGTTGACAAAGTAACAAGAGATGAGCAAGGGGGATTCAGAAAAGATAGCTCGTGTTTCTTTTTCTATAGACGTACAAGTTCGGCCGCCAGTTCCCACCGAAGGCGCACGCAGAGTCGCTAAACTTGCATCCATGAGATTTCTAAGGGAACGGATCAGACTAACGTAGAGAGCCAAAGGAGATGCTATGAAGGAAGCAGAATCCACAGTGCACAGAATAACATCCACTCTCACGACAGACAACACCAACAGGATACCAGAACAAGTCAAGACCAACACACAACGAGTCTTTAACACCACCAAAGACAGACAAAAGTATAAGTTTGAAAAACTTTTGCGCGAGAAACAGGCGGCGGTCTCTCCAAGCGACACGCCGTATGTTGACAAAACTAACTGGGTCCTTCAACAGCTAAGTTACCAGAGCCTAACATCACGAAGGAATTGCGAGACGTGCTCAAAGACTTCAAAGAGGACGATTCCATCATGGTTCTCCCAGCGGACGAAGGGACGCGCTAGCGTCGTCATGAATACCAACACCTACCACGCTAAGATGTCTAACCTCATCGAGAACGGATCGTACCAGCTCCTACAAAAAGACCCGACAGACTGTCCTACCAGGAAGTTGTCCGAGAAGCCGCTAGCCTTGAAGCAAAGTGGACATCTATCAGAGGCCATTTACAACAAGATCAGACCTCAGACACAAACAGCCACTTAAAATCAACGGCTTACCAAAGATCCACATGGCCGACGTACCGTTAAGACCTATTGTGTCAAGTGGACACCTATCAGAGGCCGTTTACAACAAGATCAGACCTCAAACACAAAAAGCCGCCTAGAATCTACAACTTACCGAAGATCCACAAGGCCGACATACCGTTAAGACCTATTATGTCATGCATTAACTCCTTCGCATATGACATGTCCGCCTACCTAGCTAACATCTTGTCACCTTTAACAGGTAACTCGGATTTCACGGTGACTAATTCAGCTCACTTCGCGTCAAACATCAGCAGTGAGACGATCGTAGACGACTAGATCATGGTGTCTTTCGACGTAAAGTCCTTGTTTACCAACGTTCCTATCGACGACGTTGTACAAGCCACGCTGCAGAAACTGGAGAACGACCCCAGCCTCCCAGACCACACGACGCTAACACCTGCTCAGATCGCCGACCTTCTGAATTTCGTTTTGAGATCCACATACTTCCAGTGAAATGGATCGATTTACGAACAAAAAGAAGGCACAGCTATGGAGAGCCCGGTTTCCGCTGTTATTGCTAACCTCTACTATTGGCAAAAAGTTACTGACCTTCATCAATACATTTTTACGGAAGATTCTGAATATCCATTTACCAAAGATAATTTCAAATGACGAACTATGGAAACAGGCACAACAAAGCCGTCTAGGCGAAAGCATTAATTTAATACAAGACAAAGGATGTGGATTGGACGCACGTTCTGGAAGCCTGAGAATAATATCATCCTTCAGACATAGTTTGATGCTACTCTGGTTTGCAGATTTAATGAATGTAACCGAAGAAGTTACAATTCATAGACCCTAATAACTTCTTCGGTTACATTCATTAAATCTGCAAACCAGAGTAGCATCAAAATATGTCTGATTGTCCACCTGGTTGCCGTGTGAACTTTAATATATAATATCATACTTATTGTCCTCGAATGGAGCCCTGGGGGTCTAGAAGAAGAGGTCGTTCAAAGCAGTCCTGAAGGTGCAATACTTAAGATCAGCTTGCTAAGAAGAACATCTCCTTGAGGGACGCAAAGACAACGGCCCAAAGTAGAGTCCGGTGGCTCTATGCTTCACAGCAGGAGCGAAGAACGTGTAATCTAATATAATATAACGCACCCCTGGGAATAAAACTGAAGTTCTTAAATGCGGGTAATACTGTATTAAGCATGTGCAAAGGAACTTAATAAAAAAATAATCTGTACCGTAGAACTAATATTTTTTCCTTCCTTGGAGATCTTTAGGTTTCTCCGTGAGAGCCAAATGTTTATCAACAATTCAAGTGTTACCCTTACCTTGCTGAATGGTGTCTGGACAGACTAGGCAACACCTTTGTTCAATTTTCAAAGGTGCCCTACAGAACACTGGAGGGCATGTTGTCTGAGTGCATTCAGGTTTGCGATCACTTCCACAGTAACAAGAGGTGCACTCATCTCTTTGCCACATTTCAGCCTCTCGGTAGTATTTCTTGGTTACTGTGTCATAACACTTGCTGGTTGATTTCACAACTTACAAGATAGAACAATGTACAATTAAAACTTGATTGCTTTAAAGGAATTTAAATGAGAATTCAAGAGTACAAACTGATACACAACACAAGTTCGGGTTCTAATGTCTTCCGTTGACTTGCAATAAACACAGATGCATTCATTTTTACCACCAGTAAAAAAGTGACTTGACCATGCGACATTCAGGTCATAACTGCAAGGTCTCATTTTAAAAATTACCACTAGCAAGTATTGAAAAAAAAAAAGGATAATAAAAAAGTTCAAATACCAGTAATTAAATGTGTTAAATAAAAAGCAAGCTTTACCATTGTCATCCTTGCATTTTGGACAACACTGGCTGTTATCTCGGAGAAGATCTTTACATGGAGGATCTCTTTCACACATCTGCACAGCACATGCTGCCTTACCACTTTTGCCACAGTAGCATGTTGTACACTGATCTAACTGCCATGTCTGACCCATAAGGTAATATTGTCCAGAGCGGATGTCACGACACATCCCTTGCCGTTTTCCATGATTGATGCTCACTTCAAAAGATACGAATTCAATTTTGCAATAAATCTGTTGGACACTTTCAACACACAATAATGTTAAAAGGAATTATAAATCTGCTATGAAAGGGATGAGACCTCCCACTTTCTCATCGTCAAACTCTGCAACCCGCAAACTAGTACCGTCTTTTACTTCGTTGTGGTACGTTGCACAACTGAGTATTACCCTCCAAGCACGACAAGCCTAAATACCTAATGAAACCAAGTTAAACCACAAACATTGTGCGCGTTTGGTTTGATAATGAAAACAATCGGTTGAACGTTATACGAAATTCCACAAATTTCTTTTGCAGCTGTTTGTGATGTTCTAGTTGATCAACAACTGAGTGTGACAGTGGCTAAGCCAGGATCTCATATACTGGATGTTCAACTTTCAACTATCGTATTAATTGGCCAGGTACTGTAATTATCAACAACAATGGAGCATGCTATTCATTCCGACCATGCAAACAACGAATACACATGCAGAAAGAAAATTTACAAGAAACTTGGAACCAACCTGAGGGCAGGCCTCATAGATAAGATAGCTCAGATACCAAAAGTTAGTGCGCATATCTTAAAAAGAGAAAGTTAATGCACCACCCAATATGAATACACCTGTATGAGTACTGGGTTTTAAATCCAACACTTTCAGCCTGCATAACAAACATTAAATGAGTAAGGAATAGAGGGAACAAGAGAAATCAAGGCGAATTACTATAAAATGTAGGCTTAAGCCAAGATAGAGGGTGCAGAAAGATTAATGACAAGTTTTTGGTTCACCATAAATTATCTGCATGGTTTATGGAGACAAAATTGGAACGTCTGTTGCCGCCAAAAACATACCTAGGACAGTATCCAGTTTATTCTTTGCCAAAGCTTTGATAAGATCTAAACAGCAGACAAATGAGATAAGTAACAAGTAATTAACATCACATAGACTACAAGTAGATAATTGTACAGCTAAACTTAGCGATGAAATGTTCGATATTTGCAAGTGTTTACCACGAACTCTTTAAGTTTCACGGAAATGTTAAATAGTTATTTAGTAAGCAAAGTTTTTGCTCTCTTGTACCTCACCCAATACCTGTAAAAAATGACGTATTTCCAATAACTAAAAGTTACCGCGAAACTTCTTGTCATACCGTATCCAGTGTGTATCGCGTTTACGTGTTAATTATTTGTGTGTTAATGTTTCATTAGTTGTGTTAGGTACTTGTACTTTAGGTACTTAGGCGTGTGGATATTTCAAATAAAAGAATGTGCACCAATACGCACGAATTCAGTCACAATAAAGTGAGCCAATTTTCTCCCATATCCAAGAATGGTGTCTTCTCGCTTTTAAAGTGGCCTCATTAAGGGAGAGGTGCTGCTTAATGTCCAGTGATTACTTCACTTGTGAGCACAAATAATTGAATACCTTACATCACTCACATGCACACATTACACGAGTTTAAGTAAGATGTTGTAGTTAATCCACGTAAGGAAAATCGGTACAGTTATGAATGTACTCTCAAAAAAAATACGACGAGAGTTTTTTGGTCTTCCTTGCATTACCTGCATCCGTATGTCCTGAAGTGGTAGAGTCCGTCAAGGGGCATACAGGACAGCATTGTCCTCTGATATAAAAAGGGTCTTTACAGTCTGGATGGCGGCATACTGTTGCAAGGCATTCTGACGTGCCGTTACGGCAAACACAGACAGTACAATCATTTGGTTCCCATGTTTCGTCCTCACCATACAACTTGTTACTGGGTGAATCATGACATTTAGCTAACCATCAAAACGAAAAACAAAAAGAGAAGGTGCAAGTTAAGTTATTTGCTCTAGTGGCATTAATTTTGTGTGACAGTCGACTTGGGTTATTCCCGCACTGAGATTTTGGTTCATTTTCGACTATTACTAAATAAAATATTGTTTAAATAAAAAGCAGTTACTGTAGTTTCTCGGAATTAGTACCCTCCTTGCAGCCCGAGATTTTGAATGATATCACCTTGGCTATGTATTTCACTAACTCTTCCTGAATTCACATAAATAAGTGATATGTATCTCATTCCATGCTGGGAATTGATTAAATTCATTTATGAGATCGCAGAAATGAAAGCAAGTCAGTAAACCTGTTACCAAGGAAAACTATCAGCCTGCCCTAGTTTCTGAATCATATAGTTTCCTCTTATGCCCATTCCTGGACAGGATGCTATTCCATCACAGGTTACCCGCCAGCATTTTGTCAGTTCTTACTCACAGTTTGCTGTCATCAGTTTGCATTGAAGAGCCGGGTACCAAGGGTAGAGTGGGCACACAAGTGATCCACCCATAAAGCTGATACCTGGACTTTTTCATTCAGAGTGCACAGAGCTCATCGATCGTTAAGCCTCTCTATCTCCCTTCCTAACATTCATTTCCTTTGTAAATATTCAAGGGTAGACAGTTGGAAAATTGAATATTAGTCTGTATTGCAGCTAGTGTAAAGAAGGTTGAAGTGAATTTACAGTTGGTCGATGGCCAACAGCAATTACTATAAGCTATTAATTATGTTAAAATGACATTTAGATGCATTTGCCATTCACGGTACCATATTTTTTACATATCCTGGCTGGATATTGTATTTAACAAGAAAACAAACTATTGTGAGAAAGTTTCGCGTGGCAGTTTAACAAGTACTAGATTGGTATACCTTTACCAACTTGAGGCCTTTTTGTTGGAAGTGTTGTATGCCTCTCCTTTTGCTTTGAATTTACTTCTGTTGATGTTAAAAGTATTTTAATCAAGCCCAGTTCAATGGTATAACTTTTCATGAAACATACTCAAATACCTGTGTCAACATAAATGTTCAAGTCTAAGAGTTGACTCAAATGCGGAATTACATTGATCAAATTTATTCTTTCTCCAAAGAAAGGAACTGTTGGATTTTAAAAAAATTACATTTGCAATTGAATACAGCTAGGTCTCAGAAAAAAAAACCAAGAAAAATTTAAAATTACCAGTTGATTATATTTTTAAAAATATTTCCCCCTTTTGTTAACATGCAAAATGTTGAACATAACAAGAGCATTTCCTTAAAAATTTGGCAAAAAAACCTTATGATAACAACTATACTTGACAACTCCATCTTTCTTCCCTATCAAGGGAAATCCTTGAATAATTAAAGACCCTTTGGTTGAGTCGCAACCCACACATCAGATCTGAACCATATTAAATTTTTTGTTTTTATTTTGGTTTAGCTTTTCAGACTTTTTGAAGTCCTTGGCAATAATGCTACAAAGGTAGCTAATGAATGACTACAGGAGCACTTCATAAAAAATGGATTTTGGTGTGATCAGCATTACAAGGGAATAACTTAAAACTTGAGATACCATAACGTTTCTGCTGCAGATACATGGCAATTTCAGTTGCTTAGGCAATTAATTATTTTGAATTAAAAAATTAGCCCACTCTTAATTGACTTGTTACCTTTAAAGAAGCCCATGCAATGCATTCCAAGATTTTTCTACTTCTAATTAGCTTAGGGTGACAAGAAAACTCAGACCCCCAAAAATCACACTTGTAAGTGTCACCAAAACCCGGACCCTTTGGTGTCTTGAAGACTCAGACCCCCAAAAAACTCTGACCACTTGGTGTCTTGAAAATTCAGACCCCCAAAAACTCAGCCTTCAAGCAAAACTCAGACTCCTTACTCTGATTTATTAAAATTTACTGAGCGCAGAGATCAAAGTCACAAATTATATTTCAGTCCTTGGTTGCATCTTTAAAGTGACATTTGGCTTAATTATAAATGTCTTTTTTGTTGCTAAGAAATTGTGTATTAAGAAGTAATCGAACAAATATGCAGTTAAGATGCAAATATTGACAGTGCTATAATTCACGATTTAAATCGCCGAGTGCCCTACATTTTGAAACTGAGCAGATAAGTTTGCACTTGGGGGTTTGAGTTTTCATAACACCCTCTTAGCTTACCTTCATTTTACATTGCTTAACAGGTTAGCTTTTTTGTTACGTTATAATCATTATGGTTATCATTATTGTAACATATATATTTATCATCGTTATCATCACCATTACCACTTTGTCAGTGATATTAACTTAACTGCTTGGAATCTTTGTTTAACAGTACAGTAAATGGATCTTGTCTTTAGGAAAATTTTTTTTGTCTTACATTACTTCTCAATTATGTGACTTGGTTTGCATTTCAGTACCCTTATTAAACCGTGTTATTTTCATTAGTAATCACTAAATGTTCATGAAATCATAATAGATAAGAACAGGTCTTCTGTTACACAGTCATCCTGAATCACTCAGGTTTACCATGTTCCAATTTACTCACGTTTTAATAAAATTATCGTAAATTCATTTTGGTTCAATCGTAGGTAAATGCTACAATGCTGATCCAGATCTCACGTCTTTCAATCTGAATCAAGATACAACCACGATAAATGTAAAGTAAAGAGAGAAAAACAGAAGCCTTGTCTGTTGCAAATACAAAGTTTCTAAGTAGAAATCTCGTTGTTGGCGAATTGCATCAAAGGGAAGACTAAAACTTGAAAGCAGGTTATCAGTGGTTGTCTCAACAACAGAAATCTCCAAAAACCCAAGAACTTCAAAGCAAAGACCTTCACAGAAAAATTAACATTTTATTTGAAGATTGATAATATAATCACTTTGAACCACATTGTAGAGATAATCTGAAAACATGTTGCCTGCTCAAAACCACCTCAAACCAAGTCAAATGTCAAACTTATAATTTACCATTTAGTCATCATTGCACTAGTGCTTGAGATTGGTGTACTCAGCAGCAAAATAAGCAAATTTTTTAGTATCTGGGTGTTCTACAAGAATGAAATACACAACCCTTTCTTTCATGTAGAAAAAGTAGTATCACAACAAGTGATTAAGTCTTCACTGAAGATCATTTACACTAACAATTTTGTCTTTGTTCATACTTGAAACAATTCTACAGTTGTTTATGTGATTGTCTTCCTGTCATATCACCAGGTTTTGAATTTGTTATTTCAGGGTTCAGCTAATTACATATTAGAAAAGCTCTTTGGTAGGCATCTCTTTTCCAACAAGTGTCTTAAGAATACAATAGTAACTCATTTCAACTTACAACATCCATCCCACAAATGTCAATACTTAAATAGGAAATATCAATATTCTGGTAGTGATGATTTTAAATCTCTGATCATTCCTAATGCCATGTACAATAGGGCTTACCAAATATTTCTAACTTAAAAAGGGATGAGATTATCATGTCTTTGCATTCATTCTTCACAGTAATGCTTGCAGACTTGTATCCAAAGAAAAGCTAAGGGTCACAAAAGGATTATTCATTTATAACATATATGTAGAACCTTGCATGGAAACAACAATAATTGCTGAATATCTATTTTGACATATATTTATTTGAGTATTTTCTTTAAGTATTGTTGTAGTGCTTACTTTAAGCTACTGGTACTTGTATTTTGACACTAGCAAAAGTTTAATACCACAGTCTATCTGGTACCTTTTTCAGTATCAACCTTGCATGAAAACTCATTAGCTTGACTGTCACAAACTTATAAGCTGTATTTTCTGTAAGGTGAAAGAGCTATTTCAAGAAAAAGGTAGTGCAGGAGGTTTTTGTTCTCACCTGTGACAACTGGGGCAGAGGTAGAGGATGGCAAGCTATAAACTGAAGTTGAAGACAGTGAAGAAACTGTTGGGGCAAGAAAAAAATACTCTTAGTTTCTTCAGAAATGTTTGAATCCCTGACAACTAAAGCAGCTTGTAAGTTTGTGATAGTTACAGTTTGAGCAAACTGTAATAAAATTGCATTTATTTTACAAAATAATTGAAAATAGTGTTATCTGATACATGCTCTTTCATTAGCACACTTAACCTAATTAGATAACAGTTTAATAGGAACAAGGATATTGTATATACTGGTTGACAAAGATTACCTTGATAAAATGTTGCACCAGTCTCTACATGGGAATAATAAAATCTCCTATGAAATTGTAATAAGGCTGATATTTCACAATGGTGAAAAGTTACATATTCTAGTAACATAATTGTCGAATACAGTACAAGATATAATCTCATTCATCGTTCAGGATCTCAGAAGAGCACACCTCTTTGCAATTGATGTAAGAGTTTCTCTTTGTCTAAAAAAGCCAAGTATTCTAGCTGATTTGCAATCTTTGGGATTTTTACCATTCATCAATTATGATTCATAAAGAGAGATAAATTGTGCAAAATTGTCTGCCATAGAAATGGTGGGGATACTGTAAAATTGACTTGCTACCAGCATTTAACCCTATATCGTAACGATGGGCATACATTCTATGATTTGAGTACCAATCATATGCTTTTCTACATGTTAGTATGACATTTGTTCCTCTCCTCTACAGGAATTTAAGAGTCTATTGTGTCTTGTTACACTTCCACTCTGTTCACTTTAAGTAAATCTGTGGGTGTAATATGAGTGGAAAAGCAGTTTGGAAGGAATTAAGAATTTCCTTTTCATTAACAAATGCAAACATGTTGGTGTCATAGTTAAGCTCAGCAGTAAAGTAAAACCATAACACACTTTGGTCAGTAAGTTGGCCAATGATGACATTAAAGCATATAGTATTTATTATTCATGCATAGCATGCATCCTGCCTAAGATTTACCAAAGTACATATTTCAAACTGTTATTTCCAAACTACTACAGCAGACTCATCTGCTGACTCAGATGTATTTACAATAAAGAAATCTTGCAGTTGGCCCCAGAGTATAGCTTGGGACCTTTCTGTGATAAATGTCTTTTAATCAGCACAGTGTACCAGGCATATGTATTTTTTTTATATAAAGCAGACTTGAATAAGTGTCAATTAGCATCATCGTGCTAGTTACTTAAATCCAAAATCAATGTCTTTATATATTAACTCCAAATATATTCTAAGTGGGTCCAAATAGTTTCTATAAGTTACAACAGTCTGAAAATCCTTTCTTGCTAGGAAGTAGCAAGTTAATAGCAGATGCCATTTCATATACAAGGTATCAAGAGGTCTTCAAGGGCATGAGGTTGATATGATCTGCTTCAGCCTTTCAACACAATGTGTTCTTCACATCTCCTATGACTGAGGGAACATCCACTTTACATGCATCAACAACTAGCCAAGATTTAACTTCCTGGGGTTTGTAGAACGTCTTTTAAGTGCTCCATACCAAATTGCAACCCTAGCACGGGTTTTCTCTCTTTTCCTCATGCAGTATTTCTTGCAGTCTACCTTCCTGTAAAAATTGTTCATGTTGCCTTTACAGCCACCATATGTGAATTTCAAGCATTTCTTGCTATTTGAGTTAAAATACCAGCGGGGAAAGGAAGCACGACACGGCCCTGCAACTTGAGGCAAGTAACAGACTTCCTTCCACATTTGAATAGGTCGTTCTGCATAAATGGAAAAGCAAATTTTTACTAAACCATCAACTATTGCCATGTATACCCATCTGTGCCAGTGGGAAATAGAGATACCATCCTCAATATCTGAATTACTTTGTACACATCAACACTAGCTGCAGAAATCTTATTGGTACACTACAGAAGTCATACTGGAATTAGGGAAGACAGTTTCTGGGCTCCTTTGAGGATAATTAAGGTAATGTTTCCTATTACCCATGGTGATGATAAGTTTTAAAGAAGTATTGTTGATACCAAGAGACCCATCTCGAGGAATAAGGAGTAGTGATAACATACACACCACAACAAATTAATACACTATTAAAACGTATGTTAAATAGACTTGGTTATAGGTTATAATAAGCCTAAACTGGTTATCAACATTTGCAGGTTGCACTTGTAGTATGAGAACAGATAAATTCACAACAGTTATGTATGGAAATCACCGTCAATGATCAAGATGAGATCTCCAATGCCTGGTTAACTTGTTGCTCTATATCCAAACAAAAAAACTATTATGCTGCTTAGTCTTAAGTCAATACACAGCTTGCTAAGGCCATGGCAGATGAAAAGGATGGGGTCTGTTCAGTGCACACCACTCTTCACTCAAAAAATCCATCGCACAGGTTCCAAGGATATGTCCAAAACCTGGTTGGTTTGCCACAGTCAACAGATATCTTCTGAAGCAGTCAATCATTGTTGGAAAGGGAGAGGTATGCACCCACCTGTTGTTGTGCAAAAGGTCTGAAACTTGTGTGCTGGAACATCATGCTCGATGCAGCCGACAGCATTAATACTCTCAGCCAAGTCAGCTTCCAGGGATAAGCAGCTCCAAGAGCTCAGGGCTGAATACACCTTACATTGGTCTTGCAAATCAGTGAAAGAGAGACACAAGGGGTGGGCTTTATGGTCAGAACGTCCATTGCTTCAAGCTTGAAATCATGCCAATAGGTCACTCTGACCATATCATTTTCATGTGCATTCCACTGAAAGACCAGGTAGCATTCAACTGCAATCTGTGCAGTCTTATTTCACTGCAAATGACAAAATCATAATCTTTGGTGACTTCAATGCCCAGATTTAGAAATGTGGAAAGAAGTATTTGGTAAACACACAATGACAATGGGTGGTTGCTGTTGTGGAACAACAACTCATTATTACTGCCTCCATCTTTCAACAAAAAAACCTGAAAATATTCTGATGCATCCTCACTCCAAACATTGGAACCCCATAGATTACATCCTACTGCAACAGTGTGACTTGAGAAATGTCCTTTACACCAGAGTGATGCCCAGTGAAGAACCTCATACCTTCTGTGGACTTGATCACTGCAAACTGAAGCTTCACCTCAAACCTAGACCTAAACAAGAGGGGTCCCAAAGAGAAAGTTCAAAGTTGGCAGCTTTAAGTCACCTTAAGGGGAAGCTGACTTCCAGCCAGGCCTACAGTTGAGGTCACTGATTCATCTGCTGAAACACTTTGGGTTTAATAACATTACAGTTCTGCAGACTTCTAAAAAAGTCTTTGGGTTCTCAACAGAGAAGAACAAAAGATGAAACCAATGAGAAAATTCAAGAACTGCTAGCAATAAAGAGATCTGTTCACCAGGCTCACTTAGCACAGATGTCACCCTGTGAAGAAAGCCACCTTCTGTCTTGTATGCAGCAACCTCCAGCACAAACTAAGTGACATCGAGAGGATGTGGTATCATGCCTTATAAAAGAAAACTCAGATTTGTAGAGACACCAGAAATATCAGAGGTATCTACAAAGTCCTGAAGGTGGTTTATGGCCCCTCAATCCAAGCTCAGAGTCCTTTAAGTTGTAAAAATGGGCAGGACATTTCCACAAGTCTACAGCTCTCAATATCCCTCAACGACCAGTAATAACTGAATTGGATGAACTTCCTTCCATTGAAGAGACCATCAAAGCTATACTGCAGCAGAAGAGTAACAAGGAAAAACTGGAAACAAAGGGTTCAGCGTTAGTTACAAAACTTCACCAGCTATTTGTCTGTTGTTGAAAGCAAGAGCTGCTCTCTATTTCAAGTAAAATCTGTGCAAGGATACTTCTGAACAGACAGCTTCCTGCTATCACTTAAAACCACCTCCCATATGGCCAATATGGTGTCTGAGCCAATAGAAGCACATATGGTGTTTGTTCTCAGTTACACCACATGGTCATGCACTTGCACAAAGATCAAAGAGGCCAAGTCAGACTCCACAGTAACCTCTCCAAGCTCTCCTCAGTTATCCATAGAATGAAGCAGGGTTGTGTCCTGACTCTGAATCTGCTAACAATCTTCTTTAACATGATACTCAAGCAGGCTACTGTATCTCTGTATGACGAGGATGGAGCTGACACCAGAGACCATCTCATGGCTACTTGTTCAACATAGGTCCACACAAAGACCCTTGAGTAATCGATCTGTTATCTCCTCTTTGCTGACAATGCAGCTCTTGTTGCCCATTCTCATTGCCACAGGAAGAGTAGTGCCTTCCTTACATCACTGGTAAGAAGACTTTTGACTTACCTGGGTGTGCCATTGCACCTGGTACCAACATTGACAGGAAATTGACTGCAGACTGGCACAGGTGAACTGTGCCTTTGGCAGACTGTTCAAATGTGTGTGGAACAAAAAAATTCCTGAAAAAGAGCACCAAGATCAAAGTGTACAGTGCTGTTGTCCTCACTGCCCATCTGTACAGCTTGGAGTTGTGGGTTACCACCATCACCATCCATGACTCCTCAAGTGCTTCCACCAGTGCTGTCTCACTTCCATCCTTAATGTTCAATGGAGTGACTTCATCACCAACACTGAATTCATGCAACATGGGGACGTAACAAGAGTTTAGGCTTTACTGCTGAAGTCACAGTTACAGAAGGCAAAGTGCGTCTCCAGGATGGAGAATGGCACTGAAGAAATGTTGCAAGGAAAAGTTACTGTTTAAAGAAACCTCTTGGCACCTGTGAAATAGACCTTTTCCAATGGTCCACCTTAGCTGTAGTCTGCTATACCAGATGTTACACCATTAACTGTGCAGCCTCTTCCTTCAAAGACTCCTGCAGGACCTTCTTCTATGATAAAAGACAGGAGGAAGAATAGACACACTGTGACATCAAACCTTAGCCTGACTTTTGTCTACAGTCACTGCAACCAAACCTGCCTGTCTGGTATCAGCCTGTTTATCACCACATGTGTGCCTGCAGTCCATGTGTACCACCTTCCTAATCTTAGTTCATGACACAATGTCTCACATACCTTCATGTGTGAACACAAAATGTAACCCTTAATGTAAAAACATTGTTTTTCATTAATGTTTATACAATAAACTCTATCCTTCACAAATGGTCTCAAATTATGTTAAATTATGTTTATGAAACATCTCTTCACTAGTAAGATTATTATTTCAACCAATCAACTTCTCCTAATTTTCCACAAACGTAAAAGTTGTAAAAGCTGCCCCTTACGCTTTGGAAAACAATCATATAGTGATATAAGGCCAATTAAAGTCAGAGATGCAAATCAATCTTTCCTTCAAAATACAGTAATTAGCCACAATATGTTGCAAAACGAACTCATAAGAAAAAAGCTAGTGCCAACCTGTTGTATGATGATTATCAACTTTTTGAGAAGGCTTCTGGTTGATTTCTCGTGCAGAGCCTATGAAGAATAGATGCATCTAGTGAACAATAAATCCAATGAAATGGAATATAACTAAAATGATCAAAAAAGAAGGCAGTATCTGTCAGTTAGCCATTCATTTATGATGTAACACCACAGGTTTGAGCAAGGCATGCAGTAATAGTTTTCCACCTTTCATCACATAAAAGCCAATGGCACTTAACCTCTTAAAAGTAATCTTAACATGAAGACCTCTTTACCAAAGCCAATAGGATTCTATTGTAGATCTAACCAGTTTTGCCATATTGCAATGTTTTCAGAAAAATTTATTGAAATATTGAAAACTGCAATCACCACATGGCATACACCTGTTTAAATCTCGGGCATAAGTGAAAAATTGCACAAACTGTTTGAGACCTCCTATGACTGATTCATTGGTTTATGCAGCATTTTCTTCTACAAATTATATGAGTAACTTGATCTTCCCTCTTCCTTGCAATCTAAAAGCAATTATGATCCATCATTTTTTTTTGCTCCCTCGATATTGGTGTAAATGCACCACAGAACTGAATATTCCCCAGCTAAACTGGGGGGAAAACAAGGATATCACTCAAGTGATATTCCCCAATCTTAAAAACTTACTGTCTACTTTAATAATTCTTCACTCAAAATAAGGGAACATTTCGTGGTTGGTAGAGAATGGAAATATTTTTTGTTGATAAAGTTGCACCAGAAAATACTCCAAAGAAAACATCCCAGCAATCAGTAAGCTGCTCATAAACATTTTTTACATGGGTTGCAAAATATTTGTACAATAATAAACAAAGTAGCCTCTATTTTGTGCAGAGATATGCTTGTGTATTTGTCCTTGGATATGATTGTATTTATTGTTATTCTATTATTCTATGCTTATTCTATTCTATTCTATTATTTAAATGAAACCACTCGAGATAGAACGAAGGGAAAGGAATAAATACAGATATACTTTCTAATAAGGTAAAGATAACTTTCACAATGATTTTTGACTAATCGTCAATTGATGAGGATTTTTATTCATTTCACAAAGTAGTACTTTCAGAAGAGTTACTATTTTGCAGTGACGTGACCCCTTTCATGTCACAAAAAAAACATTTAAATGTTTCAAATTAGTATTACACCAAAGAATTCTGCCTCCTCTTATTTCTCACATGAATTAAAATACATTTCCCAAAATAGTAACTCTTCTTAAAATTACTATTTTGTAAAATGAATAAAAACCCTTCTTGCTAATTAACAATTACTCCAAAATTCTTGAGAAAGATATCTTTACCTTTTCACAAAATACATCTGCATTATTTCTTTAGTTTTTTTATATCTCACCTGGTTTTGATTCGTTTCAATTCATTTATGAAAATAGTATAAGCCTAAAGATGGACATAGCCTTTTCAGAATTAAGTAAAAACAAGAACAACACCTGTTCTTGGTGAAGGCATCTCAAAGACAAAAAACTTACTTCTGTTTTGTTGCATACAAAAAACCTTGCAGGCAGATTTAGTGTAAAAGTTGTTGGCATTTCCCTCACATCCACCATACAAAAATGTGATGCACTTTCTCCTTTCCTTATTGTAATACCAACGCTGAAATGCAGCCCTGCATGGACCTTCACTGTGAGGTAATAAGCACTGTCCTGGTATGTTGCCTACAACATAATTTTAAAAACATCTTTATCTAAAAATATACCACTGTTGAAAAAATAACTCAACCACTGCGTCAACATGTACAATGCATTACAATAAAATACACCTAATTTAGCATAGTCATATACTCTTAACTTAAAAACAAATTCAGATTTCAAATAGGTCGCTGATTGGAGGAAAACGTATCATGTGCCATGCATAAAAACTCTCTATCAGACCCTTATGCGAGCAAAAATCACCAACTCAAAAAGGTGTATTCACCAGAAGTTTAAACATATGATACTTGGATTTTGTTTTAAACAATAGGGATTTGTAAAAATTTTGCAACTAAGTGTTACGGTGACTTCATACTTACATAAATTGTTTTATCTTTTTGAGTTGGAAGGTGTAAAAAACACATAGAGATTGGCACCATGGGAAACAGTGAGTTTTGTTTCTCTTGGGGCCAATAATTAAGTGCATATTGATACCTGTAGCTATGGTTCAGCAGCAGTTTACATAGCCAAAGTATCAGATAATCTGAAACAGTTTGTTAAATTCCATCAAGAAAAGAAGCATGTGACCTTGAAATGTCAAGGTTGTTTTACAATATAGTAGAAAATGATGAACCAAATAAGTCTTTCAAGAGTGAAAGTCATTCACCTTACAAAGATGAGTTAAACAAAATATCTCTGAGTGCTTCCAATAGCACTTGACAGCATATTTATGGATTGAACACACTCCTTTGGTGTCATTTTTTTGCTCACTGAAGAGTGAACCAACGGTCTTTAATCATTTCTTGTTCGAAATAACTTAGAAAACAATGCAGTAACTTAGAAATTTCACAAAGGCTTTTTTGCATATTTCAGTAATAATAATAGCACAACAACAATTTGAGAAAAGCAGCATGCGGTAGTAAACCCTTCCAGAGATGCACACTGAACAGTTTTACTGTAAGTTGTACCATTGTACATCAGAAATGGGCAAATTGCACCATAGTTCTGGCCATTTCTTGGTGAGATGGTATTCATACTGTAGGACCTACTTTTTCAGTTCGGTTTGACTTCAACAGCTACAGTAAAGCTGTCATTTGACACCAAAGAAAGTGCTGAATATAACTAACAGTTAAAACATGTAGGTATAATGTTTTTTCGGAAAATTTTCATGATTTGGCTTACTGGCTTCTTATGCATAAAGTACTAGGTATTTTGAGCATAAACAGAAGCATACTCTGCTATTGTTGTTCACATTCCACAAAATATGTTTATTTTGTGATTTCATGTAGCCTTGACAAAATCATGAAGGACTGCTAAACTGTTTAACTTTGCTCTTGTTTTGTGACATTCATGCCAGCATGGAAATTGTATAATAAGCCACAGTTAAAATATTTTTTTAATGTAGCTACAAGGTTGCAGCTTTGAGTTTACAACCTACAGATTTTCTTTTGACATGGCTCATGAAATAGTAGTTTGGATGATGAATGACCCCTGAAACAAAGGTACGTTAAACAATTCACTATTGAAGAAGTTGTGGTCATTGATGTCAACAGTACCACACAAAGGCTGGTGTAAGACAATGTTAGTATGCACAATGACTGGCAAACAAAACAAAAAATATATTTTTTCTTTAATGCGAAATATACATGCATCGCTCATCACCTTTTGGATAAGAAAACAACATATATATTTGATTTAAATATTTTCAAATTGCAATGTTATTGAAAACAGGTGTATATATCATTAATATATTTTTCCCATGAAAAAGGTGTTGACAGAATAAATTAAAGGGACAAAAGAAAAGTACATTAGCTAGTGTCAAAATTTCCAAAGTCTTTGTTTCACTTTTGCACAATAACAGGTTGGAAATTAAAAATAAGACACTTTTGTCCCATCATCTTTCCGGTAGCATTTCTTTGTACATTCTGGAACAGAACAATGAGCCGCCATTTCCTCTTCTTGTAAATAATTTGACTGAATCGAGTCAAAGCAGATCACCTATTCAACTTTAATTGACCTTTTGTTTACAGTGCTGTCCTCAAGTGTGGCCTTTCTGACCTCGGTTTCATGTTTAAGTAATTAACAGTCTCGTGCGCCGCAGCCATTATGAAAGTCATGATGATAGTAAGATTCAAATTTCCACAATGAGCACTCTACAGTAAATCTGGGTTAATCAATTTTCTGAGGAAGCAATACCTTAGTATCTTGATTTAAATCAGTTGGACTTGTTCAGTATATTGGGTAACAGAGGTTACTAAAATTCTCAAGACATCCATATCAAAATGAATGTATCTGGACTATTTCACCTAATTTTGAGGAAAAACTCTCACTGTAAGGCATATTGAGTGTATGTCATTTGGGCATACTACACAAAAAAGCTACATGTGCTTCTTACTAAATAAAGAAATGATTTCCTCAGTGCATAGAATGTGGATAACAACATTTGAGGAAATGAGAAAGTCTGAGAGCAAAAAAAAAATTAGATTGACAATTTTAATCTTAAATTTGAAGCCAATAAAAAAATACAAATACACAGTGCCATGATAGTTTCTAGTACAATTAATGGCTCTGAGACACTTTTACATTACTTAGGCTGATGGTTTAAGAGAATCTACACTGACAGAGGTATTGCATGGTCAAATTCACTCTGCATCAATTCTTACAAGGTGTCACTAATAGAACCCTAAAAATAATTGCTAAGAACCTGTAGGAATGTACCTTGTAGCTGTAAAGTAGGTGGTGGCACTGTTGTTTTTGCAGGAGCACTTCCCTCACCAATATCTAAAAATCAATATAAGAATGGGAACCTTTAATAGCAGCAGGAAAACCATGTAAAATGCTCGAGTACCAGTTGTCTTCTTTGTAGGAACAAGGACACACTCTCCAGTATGGCACCATATAAATTCAGTAATGATAAGTGTAAAACACCAACAAAACCTGCCATGTTACTCCAAAACAAGTCAGCCTCAAAACAGGTCAACTCACCACCCCACCCCTCCCCACCCAAGAGTACAGTCACATCACTCCCCAAAGTCAATGAGCATTGTTCATCCTGGCTTCACTTATCAACCTCAAATATCAGAACACTTTAAATTCCACAATTTTCTTATCAAAACAAAAAAGACCTTGCGTAACATCAAACAGCAATAATTTATCTTTGAGGGTAAAAATTTTCAATGATAATAACAATAAGAAACAACCTGCTCCACCTTCAAGTGATAAAATATCTACACCCTTGCGAAATAGATTTTGGAATTCCTAGGAATTTCTAGGAATAAAGGTGAGAATTTTCACGGTAAATTTGGACTGGGAATTCCTAGGAATTCCTAGGAATTCCCAACCATAACAACTCTGGCTCTAAAAACCTAGAAGTTCCTAGAAATTCCTAGAAATTCCCAGAAATTCCAAGATTATAGCCAACAGGACTTGGAATTCCTAGGAATTCCTAGGAATTCCAATTCAGAGAACCAATGACTTTCCCTGAAAAGCTGTAAATCTAAAAATTCCTATGAATTTCTGGGAATTTTCAGGAATTTTTAGGAATGTTTAAGAATTACTGGAAATTTTAAGCAAAAATTTGAGGCTAATAAAATAAATGCTTTAAATTAAAAAAACCCGACTAAAATTCAAGTATTCAATGAAATTTAATTCCAAGCTTAATTAAGGCTTACATGTTAAACATTTTTTATTAATTATTAACATCAACATGTGGTAATATTAGGATGGAATTTGATTTATTTTTCTTTCCTTGAAAACTTCATACGGATTAATCCTCAATTACAGCTTTTCATATAAAATAGTCCCAATCAATTATTAAATTTGGTTTGACACAAATTGTGAATAAAATCTGTTGATTCTTTTCCATAAAATACAATATCTTAAATTATATTTAAAAACCAAGCACTCTTGGGAGCGAAGGGGTCAATTACAGATAAATAAAATTGATTTTTTAATTAAAATCTTGTTGTAACTGTAACAATAAATTAGAATGAAGTTATCCTAAACTGCAAACTTAGCCGCTGTTCGTATTTTTTCCCTGGGCTCACAATGAGTTGGCCTTGAATGAGGTTGTCTACAAAAAGTTTGACCATTTTGTATCTGGATTCCATGACATCTGAATTTGAAAAAAAATAATATATGTAAATATATATATTTAAAGCCCAGACCAGGCCTTTAAAATGGCTATAAGGAAAAGGGCATTCATTGGGTTCTCAAATTGAGAAATCTCTGTTATATTGAGTGACTTTTATATTGGAGTTAGTACATCTCTCCCATAGATTTTACTAAAAAAGGGCTGAATACATTACTTTGTTTTTACACAGGAGGGCTACTTTATGTAATAAGGTTTGTTTAATAACAGTTCCTATTATGAGTCTTGAATGTTCCCAAACGTGACTAAAGGAATCTTGAAACCTTACTGATAGATTTATTTCATTGTAAAGCATAAGCTTAAGAAACTGCAGCATGCAAGTGACTGATTCGATTCTCAGAATTATTCTAGTTTCAGTTGCGCCGAGCATTATGTAAGCTTAATTCAACCTGTTACATCTATTCTTTTATAAGATTTTGATCACGTAATGAATATCGCAATTTTTACTCACCACAAACTTTCAAAATTGTAGCTTTACAGATGGCCACTCAACCCTTGTTTGTACCGGTCGATATGTCAACTGTTGTCTCTTCTTTTAACTCCACAGCGCCAACGACTTTCTTTTATTTTACAACACTCATGCTGTTCTCATTTTCCCATTGAACCACAATAAAAGCTATCTTTATAAATGTTATATTAAGCAAAACAGTTGAGAAAAGAAATAACTTAACGCATGAGCAATCAACCGATGAAAAGTACATTCAAAGATGAGCGCCAAATGGAGTCTCCTTTGTTCCCGATCACGGGCATGATCACGTGGATCTTTTAGGAATTGTCATTGGCTAGCAAAGTGAATCCGCTGGCTTGCCGATTGCAGTGTTAAGAGAAGCGCACAACTTTATTCTGACTTCTCTAACCAGTTCTCTCCTTCTAGACGATGGATACCTTGGTGACATAAATAATGATGTGAGCTCACTCTATGTAGAAATAATCAATAAGAATTGATTGTACTACAAATGCATGATTTGTGGCTGAAAGTTGTAGAGGAAACAAAAACTCAAAACTCACTGGAGTTGTGTTCATGGCAAAGGTGAGGAATAACACAAGCCAATCACAGTTTTGAATGCGACTACAAATCGTCTTTTACCCTCATATTTATAAAAGAAGGATACCACATTAGGAAGTATAAGAGATACATAGACGACCCCAGTGTACCAGTACCTAAATCTACAAAGCTTGACCATAGCAAGCATTCAGCAACATGTTCAAACACCACCATCTCGATTCCTCAGTCAGTCGTTTCCACTGAATTTAAAGCAGTGGTGACAACAGAGTAGAGTGTGTCTTACAAAGGAGAAACATTTGTACAAGAGACAGAAGTAACTATATGCAATTACAGAGGTGCATTGGAACTCTGGTCCACAAATAGTTACGCACTGTCCGAAGTATAAAACAATTTTGTTGATAGCTGACAGACAGAGAAGAACAACAAGTAAACTTTAGAGCTGCTATTACTGAAGTGTGACTTGCACTTTTCATTTGAATATAAAGAAGAACTTGTATTTTGCACAAAAAATAAAAAGATGTAATATTTTTTGAGAGATCCAGTGATTGGGACATTTAAGAAATTAAGTTATGAAAGGAAACTTGGTTTGTACTTCTCACTACTAACAAGTCTTGTTGACAAATATTTTCAGATCAGAGTTTCAAATAAAGTAAATTGAAGACGTCATTTAAAAGGTGTTTTTTCTCAATGGGAACATTGACTACCTCTGTCTTGTCTGCATGCCAAATGTTCGCAAAGTGTGTGGATGATCCACAAGTATTGGAACTCTTACAAAAATGTTTTGTAAGAATAAAAACAGCAAAACAAATTACAGCAATTAGTCACAAAAAAAAAGATACAGCAACAACAATCATGAAAAAAGAAAGATTAATTAGGTGTTGAATTTGTTTGTCTAAGGCATGAAATTTCTACTAAAAATAATGTCAACAAAAAGTCTCTGACAGTGTTTGAGGCAACTGAGCTTGACTGTTCCAAGGTTTTCTAACAAAGGCAACCAGTAATATAGGTTAGGGAAGTAGGAACTTATGTTCATAGCTAACAAAGTTCTTCAAGTGTAGATAACAATGAAATTATTGTTAATTATTGCAGAAGTTGTGTACCAAGTAACAGCTAATGAATGTTTGATGAATTTGGCACATCAGTGAACATGAGACATTAATTTGCATCACAACAAAAATATTTTATGATCATGGAATCCAAGAGTCCTTTGAGGTTAGAAAGCAAATCTGTGATATGAGTACATTGGATTGATTGGTAATTTCCATTTAACATAATTGACTGCTGGTTCATTAGAAAATCCATATTAATGTAGAGATTTACTAAAACTTAGTTTGAATAATAAATTTCATGATCTTTAAGTTATAAAAATAAACATGTATGTATATCTCTTGGTAAGTTTTGTATAGCATACCTTTTATTGAGCCAAAGTTTTAAGCCTCTGAAATTACTCCTTTTCTTAAAAACCTTCACATTCAAGGTATTGAGAATTTCTTAGAATTTATGTGGACCTCAGGGTATTTAAATTGCCTCAAATTCAATTCCCAGAAATTCCCAAGAATTCCACCCTTCTTAAATTATAGGTACCGGTAGTTTGTATAGCTGAGAATTCCTGGGAATTCCAAGTTCTCAGCTTTTTAAATCAGAGCTAATTTGCAAAGTTGGGAATTTTTGAGAATTCCTAGGAATTCCCAGAAAACTGGGAATTCAGTTCACAAGGGTTGGGAATACTACACACATGGATCAGGGAGGACAGGAAACATATTAACACAGAGCTCCTTTGGGAGCCATTTAGTCTGGAAAAGTTAATGAACTTGACCAGTAACCATATTGTCAATATGTAACTTAGAAAATGTCAGTAGGTGATCAATGAGTTTGGCTTATCTTATATAGAGTGACATGACCACATTTGAGAGACCTGATTACACTCGAGAGAAATTTGAGCAACTTGCTGGGAAAATGTGACTACGGGTCAATTGTGACCTACACTCCTACTCATATGTCAACATACTTGAGGAATCATCCGGTACACACACTGCTACATCTGGAATATTGGCCTCTGGAATTCCTGGAATCTGAACTTTGCAAAAAAAGCCTCTAGGACAATCTGACTGACTTTTCTTTCCTAACACAGCTATTTGGCAGCTTCTTGACTTTTGCTTTTGACACTGAGTTGAATAATGGCATTTCCATTCTCCATGAGAACAGGTGCTGTCACATAACAAGGAAAAATTTAGTTTTGAATTTGTACTTTTTTTTTCAACCAAGTACAAGTATACAAGTCTATAATGGACTTTTTTTAGGATGCAATTACATACTTAAGAGAGGCACTTCCTGGACAAATTGAACAAAGATTCTACAATAACACTTTTTCCTTATGTTTTGAGTCAAAATAAGAAACTCACATTTCATCAAAAATCATAGCTTAATTGTCATCTCATATCTCTTTTATTTTAAGTTTAAGCCCAAAATTAAAATTCACATTCTAGGTAAATGTGTCCATATTCCCTTCGTAAAATATGCTTTTTAGAGACTTGCAACGTACATGTTGTTTTCACAGCTCCAGAGGGAAACAGATCCTTAAATTATGGAAGTCTATCAGGCCTACATATGAACATGTTTGCATTTCTTATAAAAATATGCATTACAAATGGCAAGAATCTGTACTAACCATGATTCACAAGTGTCTTTTCCTGTCCTGGTCTCACCAAATAAGTATGTCTTAGTACCATGATAACACTCTGTCATTGCAAAATTCTTCAGTAAGTATTGTTAGTTTACCAAATAGATTCCATGTTACCATCTGTTCAGTAATAGATTATAGATGACTTCAAAATGTGGTACTGACAAAAATAGGTATGCAATGCATACAATGCACTGCAATGCATAATGTGGTAATAACAAAAACAGATATGCGATGCATACATGTGGGTACAGTGCTGTAAGGGCTTTGTGGTAAATGAATACAAAAAGAGAGGCTAAATGTAAAAACTAGAAAAAAAAATTGTAATTACCAAAATCCCCACAAAACTTGTTCCTATGATTTGCATATACACGGGAAAAATAAAGGGTATAGGGGTCCTCACCACTATCTTTTCAGACCACCATTAGGTGAAATTTAGTCAAATGCAAATCCCCTTATTTTGCTGTTATTGGACTAACTTTGGACAGTTGTAGAAAGTGCATGCTGTTGATGTTACCCAGACACACCCAATGTTACATGACCTCAAACAAAAAATGAGCAGTCTGAGACTGCAGGTGGCTACCAATTTAGCACTATTTTTATAGCATAAAACAGAAATAGAGGTTAATTATAATGATGCTAGAAGGAAGTGTTGCAGACAATTTGAAGGCACATGCAAATCAGAGAAGCCTGCAGCATCATACTTGATTCTTTTAACTTTGCCTGCTAGATATAAATAATCTACTAATCTCATTACAATTCCATTTTTCATTAGACTTTTGTTTCATGCAACAAGGCATTTCACAATTTAGATTATTCTGTCACTCAGTGTTTTGGGATATTCTGTGATTCTGTGTTTTAGGATATGCCACCATTCCAGCAAAACAAAATAAATTTTCTCAAAGTTTCCTTCACGCTGCGATCACACCTCATATATCTTTCTGCTACAAAAAGTTTTGTCCATGAAGGGCCTTTGTGAAGCAATTACTGTCTTCTTAATGTCAAGGCAAGCACCAATAATAATTTCTTCAGTTCTGTTGAAAACAGCCAGCTAATCTAAATGGTAAAGTTCTCTGTTTTCAATGGCATGTTTTTATTAAAGTTTGTATGATATGCTGATCACATTTATTTGTTTCTCCTGCATGGAAAAGTTTCAATTTGTTTGTTTCTTTTATCATGCAGGCAAGAGGCCACTATGAAGTGATTTTGAATGTAGCCTTACGGCAACCACTGAGAAAATCATATCTTGGGTGTAGTTATGCGCAAAAAAAAAGTTGTTAAAACACATTTTTCTCTCTTCAGTGTATGCTGCACCCAATAATCTTTAATGCAGATGTCACACTACAAAGATACTCTGAAAAAATGAAGTTATGCATTATATTGTTGCTCTGACTCACTCTTAGCCTCTTAGCCTCTTACATCCACATAACAAAGTGGCTTTGCCTCATATTAAATGGGAGGCAGTAGCCACAGAAAGTGAGTGGTTTTGGTTGGTGTCTTGTCAATCAGCAAGTCTATCTCAAAAATTCAACCAGGCATTAGACATCAAGCTGTTTCTCCCTTTATGTTTTCAAATGAAGACACTTAATTAACTTGTTTCAGCCCAAAATAAGGAAATAAAGAAGTAAGAAAACAACAGATATCCTTCATTGACACAAATTTGGACACCTAAATAAAGAAACTGAAAGTCTTGCATCTACCACGCTATAAATGAGTGAAATACAAAACTGGAAACAAACTTGCTTTTATAGGGTGTAAGTGTAGCAATGAAATAGCAGAGAGAAAAGCTTGAATTACATGAAAACATTTAAAACATAATTTTTGTTGATAAATAATTGAAAGTAGAATTTTTCAATTTACTAACTAGTAAACTTATGGTCATGATAGAGTTTTTCAATGATATCCCCAAAATCAACTACATTAGTGGCTGCAAAAACAACTCAACTTGCACAAGTAAATTTCTTTCAGAGATGCTCAGAAGGCAACTCCTCATTCAATATTCTTCTAATTGGGATGTTTAAATATATCTCCTCAGGTCAGTCTACTTTGACTTCAAAATAAACATACACAAGAGAAGAGTATCAAATCAAAGTTTGAGATTTGTGAAAAATAATCTCAATCTTATTCTGAAGAAGTCAGAAAGAATTATGAAACAGCAAGTCTACTGATCTTACTTTTACAGATTCCTCTCATGATTCCTATCACATTCCCAGAAAGGCACTCATCTTTGAGCAGTTCACATTCATTGCTGTATTGTTTTCCATTGCAAAATCCACACACTGGCTCATGCTTGAAACCAGCACAACTTTGAGAACAGCTGCACATAGGAAAGCCATCATTCCCTAAGGTACAAATCTCGCGAAAGCCACACTTCTTTCCTTTACAAACAGCTACATAATAGAAAGTAAATAAAGTAATAAAATAGTTAATCTAACTGATTCTCTTGATCTGATCTTCAGACCTGTGCCTGGGTTTCTGAGATTAAACTGCAAAGGAAAATTTATCAACTAGTCAATGAAGGATATCCTTCTTTGATCCAAATCACATAGTCATACAACAAGAAGGCCACATTAATAATTAACAGTGTGGATAAACTTACCAGGTTTACATGTGCCTACTCCTGCCCCATGATGTCCACCCCGCACCACACATTTCAGACCAGCATCACAACGTCCCATCCTCTCCAACTGCCCACCACATAATTCCCCTTCAACCTTTGCACAAACACTACAACAGCCACCTCTAGAATTTACCACACCTCCCTTGCAATTGGTAGGAGGAGAACACTGTACCCGTTTGCATGGAAGACACGACAGAGACATCAATGGGGTCAGTGCCACTAAAAAGCTTCCAATAAGCAGCAATCTAGCCTCCATTTTCACAAAAGTCTAAAAATAAAAAGATTGTAATAATTATTAGTGTCAATCCAACAAGTAGTACAATAAAAATATTATGATCATCGACTGTACACTGATTGAAAGCCCACCACCTGTGTTACAAATACCTTCCCACAAATAATGGTCCATGTGTGTAATTATCATTTTAATAAGTTACTTGGCACAAACAATATTCTGCAGTTCTGTATATGATAGGTCACTTCCTCAAACTGAAAGAGTGATCTGACATCATAACCTGATTAAAAAAAACAGCTTACATTACATGAACCTGGTAATAAAGGGTGCCAGCAATGTACATTAGTTAGAAATATACTAAAATAGAGAAACAGCAAGAAAAAAACAATAAGAAATGAAAAGCCATGATAACCTGCAGCTTCCATTGTTGGGAAACAAAAATTACAAATTATTAAGCATGCATTTTGTCCCAGGGTGGTTCACTTTGTGTACAATCAAAATGAACCACTAGGGATAAATGAATTAGACTGGGATATAACCATCTATTTAAGGAAAGTTAAATAGATGGCTGGTATTCAATTTATGTACAATCAAATTGAACCACTAAGGATAACTGAAGGACTGGGATATGACCATCTATTTAAGGAAAGTTACAATCCTGTATCCTTTTTTCAACAAATTTCCCCCATGTACGGCTTGCTGCCTTCATACTTAATGAAAAAAAAAATTTTCACTTTGCTTATTTGATCATAAGTTTCCCAGGTGGAATGTTGAAAAGAAAACTTAAATAACTAACATTGAGAAAATTATGATGCACAGAGAAACAATTAAATATTGAATACATTACAATAAATATTTGACCAGTAATTAATGATTGTATGAATGTAGAACGAGCCAGTCTGCTTGAATTTTTCAAAATAAGGAAATAAAGAAACCTCTAAATTAGCGAGTCACATGAATTTTGAGGACTGGGACCATGGAGGAAAACACTGGCATCTAAGCTTTCACTTGACTGTCTGTCCTTAAATGTTGTGCACTTTTTTTGCATTTACTTTCACATTTAATATTTAGCTTCATTTTAAAATGCAATTGTAAGGTTGATGTATTTTTTAATTCTTAGTTACTCCACCCTGCAAAAAGAATTAAACCGATAAACCATTCTACGTCCTAAGATACATACAAATACATACATTCAAACAATTTGGAGTATTGTGTTTAGCATCCCTTGAATATCTTTCACAATGCATGAAATACCTCATTTATGAGGAAGAGTTTCATCAGATTGAATGTAAGGTTTGAAAACAAGGGAAAATCATTGCTGGGAAAAATTTGAGATGGATTATAATGTCAACGATTATAGCCTTCAATCCTGCACCTAAAATAGAATCTCTCATTAGCAATTACTCATGATCTATTCTGCCTTACACAATCTTCTAGGGAAGACTCCATTGTTCTTTTAAATAAAGGAACATTTAATATCTAACAAAATAAACTTTCTCAAAATGAAAAAAAAAATTGAGTAAAGTGCACATCAAATTAATACTTCCTACCTAACTATAGAATAACCTTACAAAAAGTTAGAAAAATTAAATGCATAATTGAATTCAAATTCAGTTTAGGTTAGAAGCTCCTGACTATGAACAAGACATTATAACCAGAGAATAAGATACTAAAAATTTTTGTCTGTTAGTTCTAAATGATTGGAACACTACTGAACATTCTGTAAAGTCAAGTCAAATTTTGGGAAATACCCACCAAAACACATGACCAATGAGTCCATCAGATTTCCAAACCAGGCACTTCTACTACATGTAGAGAATGTCATACTCAGACCTTAACTTTAATTCAGCTGCATTTTCATGGTGACAGCAAACTGAAGTCAATTGAAATACAATTCCCTGTGTTTCTACTTAATGCCATGACCATGACAAGGCAAGAGGGTGCCACACCCTATTTAATGTTGCCTTTACTAGTATCTCAATATTGAAATCAAGGGGACACAATAACCCTCAGAGGAAATATATATTCATCTTTTAGCTTAAAGACAGTCTGTCTTTGATTGACACTAATGGAAGCCCCAAATATTTTGGAACAAATTTTTTTAATACATTGTCAACATGACATTGACAATGTGGACATTGGAATGCTGTCAATAGAGAGTTTAATTACTCTCTCAAACAAAAAAAGCTTCCACTGACTGTAAAACTTTAAGAAAGAGTATTCTTGAGTACATATCCGTCTGCAACATTTGTATCCTTTTAATGACAAATAGTAGTATGAGCGAGAAATTAATTTCCTTTGTTCCTATTAACAATAGTCCAAGGCATATAAACTGGATTTAGAGAAAAAATTTTTGGCTTTCTTGTAGACTGAGGCCATCCCATAAACTGCTTTGTTTCCAATTCCCCTAACCTACCCACTTTTTAGAAAATGTAAAAACTGCGAATCAACTGTCTGAACTGCTTGTGCAGCAAATTTTTTAAGAGTGAAATATTTCACATTCTCGCTATATTTCAATGGCAGGTGATTGAGAAGTGCTTGAGTAAGGAAACCAATTAGCAAGGGAATGCACCCATAAGCGATATCTTCTTCTTCTTTTTCTGGCCTGAACAACCAACAGACATACTTTGACAAAGTGAAGGTGATGGGCGTCAACACGGTAACATGAGGCCAAGTGCAACTGTACTTAAACAACAATGCCTGGCCCCCTTAAATCAATTTTTGGCACGAATTAATCGGTTGGCGAGACCTCTTCTTCCACTGTTGATTTCTCTGTAAGTTCAGACAGCAAAGGTCACAGTTGATACGTTTTGGCCGACTGCCACATTATTGTAGGACGAAACCCGACCCCAGCAGCGCGTCCTTTACCCGCTCTATCATTCAAAACCAATTTTTGGAAGAAATCTCTCATGTCATTGGAAATGTTATCTCTTTCTGTTTAATAAATGATAATATAAGTCAACAAAAGTCTTTTCCGGGAAGAATGTGAGCAACTGAGAATTATCCAATTTTATAACGAAAGCTTTTGATGTATTTCGGGCGCAAACAATAATCTGATAGCATGCTGAGAACTTCGCTTTAGCTAAAAAACGCAAACGATGAAGACGCTATGGTATGACAACTTCGCGAGTATTGGGAATTCCAAAAGGTTGTGATAGTCCTATCTAGAGATATGTAATAGATCCTCAGCAAAACTAGGCAGAGCAGACAAGGAAATTGTCGAACGAACGGAAATCCGATTAAAACTGACTCGCACTTCTTCTTTGGTGCGTGCGACAAGCTGCATGTATTTAATGAAAAATGTTCTTTGATGCTTCGGGTCAGTTCGTCTCTTTCAAAATCCTATTGTAAAAGACTTAATCACAGAATTACCAAATTAAAACCACTCTAAAGCCCAAAGCCTCTGCGTAGCGATCCTAACTCAGAACGTCCTGTTAGCGTTCTTTTATTAGCAAGTTGTTGAATTCATTTACAAAAGATTACGCTCATGTACTCAGCTGCATGTCATAAAGATCTACAACATCCACTCCCTCTCTATACACTGTACAAATACACCTTACCTTACTGATACAGTGACTCTCATGTAACGACCTTTACAAGAACGTTCTTTCTGTGAACACTGAATCAAAATTCTCGTAGATGATGCGCAACGTGGGAAACTGATACGATATATGTCAAACTCTTGACGTCGATGTATTTAGAGCCCGGGGAATGTCAATCAGTTACAATGACTAGTGGAGGTCACGTCATCATGTCCTTACAAAAATAATTAGAGATCGGCTCTAATTGGATTTTTTTTCGGAACTGGACAGGAATAAATATTAACAAATTGAAGAGGATCGACGTATGAGTCAAATATTTAGGTTATGCCCGGTGGGAGAGACGATTAATTTCAAAATTTGTAACAGAGAGACATCAGCTTAGATGACCAGAAAGAGGAGAGAAAGACAAGGAGAGTGGAACGTACATTAGCTTTTTTCAACTCAGTCGTTTAGGTTTGTACCGATGGTCACCCAAAACTCTCCCTCATGCTCTGAACAAATAGATCAGCAGGAGGTGGAGCAATATAAGATGATTATAAAGGTAATAATAACTCACCACTTCTAATCATTTAATTATATGGGGCTCTTTGCCATCAAACGATTTCGCAATTCGAAAGGGAGATGATCTTTTCGCTGAGGCGAGGAGCCAAACACGAATAATTTACCAATCTTTTTCCAGGCTTTCCCTATTTTTCTTCCTCTCTAAAGTTTTCCTTTATCGCCTAAAATGGCCCGAGTTACCATTTGTGTCAAGCCCGCCATCGCTGTATAAAGGGTCTGTTTAAAAATAGTTTGTGATGGTCATTCCTGAAAACTTTGGAAGAAAAAGCTCTCAACAGCAACAACAACAGTAACTTTTTTTAATATGATAAGCAGCTATTCGGTAGCAATATAATTGTCACCAAATCATGCTTAGAATGTCATCTTTGCAAATTCTTCACAATCGATGCTAACTACAAAATCTTAAGGAACTATGGATGCCGTCTAATTGTTAATGTTGTAAGAAATAACTGCAGCTGAACTCCAAAGGGGATATGGTTTGTACTTGCCGCAGCTATCGCCCTGCGCTGAGCTCGATAGTGCTAAGTGCGCGTTTGGAAACCTGTGAAAATCCCAAGACTGCGACGGATACTCTTATTGACTTGTCAACAGCAGTGGACAAGCTCATCAAAATGTCTCTTACATTTCAAAAGCCACATCAGGTTTAAAAAGAACAACGACAACAACTCGTCGTTTTATGAAACGTGGTAATGTTTTTTACTCATTGTTTGATATTCTGCAGCTAAAGGTACGTGTCAGTGCTGTGTTCCTTCTCTGCCATTTTGCCTGCAGTTTCTTCCTTGTCATTCGGAAAATCTTTGTCAGAATGTTGTTGTTTATGGGTGATAGCATCAAAATGTTCTTTGTTTGTAGTTTGTTTTTGTTCTTGTTGCTGTTTTAAGTTTTTGTTTTGATTGTAGTCCAATTGTTGATGGTTTATGTCTTGGTGGGGAGGACGTTGTCTCTGGTTTTTCATGTCGCTGCGGTTCCCACGCTGTTCCTTGTCCACATTGGACGGTACAGTCCAAGGACTGCTCGATCTCGTTCCTGTTAAGCTGAAGAGGCGTTTTACCCGGTTGGACGCTCGATGTGCATTTTTCTTGATCTGAAACACAATAAATGTTTCATTACGGCATGATGGACATTATTTTCCAGTAAGTGATAAATTGTGTGAATTGCAACGCATGATAAAGAGAAAATTGAGTTAATTTTCCCTATTTATTTGATGATACTTACCTCGTCATCAAACCAGTATTGAGCTATCAGGAAATAGAGCCCCTTAAACAGTAAATGGATAGAAACATGAGCTAATTGAAAGATCTGTTAAAACTAACTGATTTCTGATCTTTCAAACTACTTTTTGCCTGCAAACGATTAGAAGGACTTCTCACCTGCATGGAGTTTAAAACAGCAAAGAGATATTGGAATACTAGAGAAGTGTTGTGGATGGAAATGAATCCGAGCAGCCATGTCACACCCAACAGCGGAACTAGAATCACCAATGTCTTAAACGCTGCTCTGTAGAAAAAAGGGGAAAAATTGTGAAGCAAACTACGGATTCGTGCATATTAGACGATAATTTCGAACTCATTTAAAAGAGATGCCAACTTCCCAACACGTGTGGAAACAGGTTAATCTCTCACGTCACCACTAGTTCGTCTACATAGAAAAATATGCCATTGACTCAAATCGATCTCTATTTAAATTACGCGTTCCACACAAAAGAAGATCCCTCAGAGAAAATGAACCGAAGACCTAGTGATAGAGACCTTAGAATTATCATCAACGAGAACTTGAAGTAATCACCCCTGTTTTCCTTAAATTTAACAAGGTCTATAGGCCCACCTACCTCATTTCGAGCTCTAAAGCTGACATTTTCGGGGATCTTTCCTTGTAGCGAGCCCTCTGCACTACAGTTTTGATGGCTACAATCAGCGCAATCACGTTTACCTGCAATCCGGTAATAGAATGTCACCTTACCAAGGAGTTGAGAAATTATTTAACCGACAAGAAAGTTCTGGACCAAAAGGACACAAATTTGTTTTCAAAACTGCGAGTATTGTCTTCATCAGTTTGCATTTCTTGTGAAAAGGTGTTGTAATCGTATTATTCTGATTCGAAAATACTACTGCACCGTAAAAACTGTTTCTATTAACCCCAACCCCCACCCCACCCCACCCCTCAAACACTTAAACATTGACGTGTTTCTTGATCTCAATATGCGACACACGTGAGGGGAAATAACAAAATTTACCACAATTCAAATATTTGCCCCGCCGGGCAACATGATGCTTGGAATTCAACCAGTATTTCGGACAATGTATTTTGAGGAAAAATCCCCTTTTCTTTGTGTGTGCCATTGTTGACAGGATACTTTATGTCTAAAAAATCACGACATTAATCGTAACTTCCGACTTTCTCTCTGTTTATCTTTAAGTTGTTTGCGACGTCCTTTGCCACAGTCTGCTTCGTGTACTCACCCAGCAGTATAATCCCGAGCAATTTTCGTTTGTTGAGGGATGGAGTACATTGCATCTGATACATTTAGCTCGCGTAATGTTAATAGCGTGGTCATGTGTTATTCATGAACAACAGATACCTCACTTACCAATAATATAAATGCCACTGGTCCAGCAAATGACCATATGACTTGATGAGAAATCCAACAACTATAGAAAAACCATGAAATGCAAAACAATTAAGCCCTTATTTGTTTCTCTTATCTTCATTTCATTCTGTTCCTGAGGCGGAAATATCTCTTTCCTCCTAGCGCCAATGAGAGATACAAAGACAGTACAGGTTTTGTGCCAAGGAAACATGTTCACTTGTTTTTGATCTGCTGGATTGCTCGGCTTGTTTAAAACTGGCCTTATTATTTTGGACAATAACCATGGTAACGGGAAAGTTCGCTTTAGCTCAGTTGAATAGATGGAAAATTAATTACAATCCAAGAATTCTTTTAGAACGACACTTTGCTGTACATAGGTTTTGTCGTCTGCAAACACTGTGAAGTAAAAGTTTTCAAGTTCCTTGTTTACAATTTATTTATATTTATCTTTGCCTTTCCGCAACCAGTTCATTTTATGTCATTTTTTCTATTCAGGTGTACCACCACGCGATGATGTTAAAAGATCCAACTTACAAGTTATCTCTTACATATTGGTGGCGGGAGATGCTTGCTGTTACTGCCACAACGACAGCGGGCGCACCTAATAGGTAAGGAACATTCATTAACGCAGACTTCTTTAAACCTTTAACCCCTAAGAGTGATTAGGATTAAGATAAATGACGTTTTCATCATCTGAGGGATTATGCCCCCCGTCCACCCACCCACTCACAAGTAGTTATTCTTTTATCTTTCCTGAAAGGGCTATCACGCAGGTATATCAGATTGCTAAGTAAATTGAGCTAATTTTGACCTGTGGCAGGTGCACTTAAAAACTCTTACTTAATTCGAGATAATCTGGGTTGAAACTTTAATCTAATACGCCAAAAATATGCCTACCCCAAGCAAAGAGGAAATAAGTTCTCACTTTACTGGTGACTCGGAAAACTTTCACCATACCACGGAGAAGATTGATTCCCTCGACCATCATCCAGAAAAACGCCGCCAATTGAAAATAATGGAGAAGAACGGCAAAAGCGTAACAAACAGCCTTTACATAAAACAAAAAATAAAATAAATGAGTTCGTGGAACTCCCTTGACTAAGAAACGACTACTGACATCAAAAGATTCGCAACAGAACTCGATATTGGCGACTGATATTAGGTTACGTTTCCGCTTTCAAAAATTAGTACAGTTAGTATGAATTTCGCACTTCCAAACTTACCTTTATTCGAGCTCCAGGATAGGCGATAAGAAAAACGAAAATGGCGAAAACCTCAGCTGCGGCTAGGTTTATGTGGATGTTTAGAGTCTCTGTTCGCCTTCTGAATACGGATAAAATTTCAAACACCGTAGTGTTGAGAGGATTAGTGATTGTTATAGGATTGAGTTAAGTATAATTAGTAATCGTGTTTGAGCGCCAAGATTACACGGCTCGAGTTGAGACGTACTTAATCTTATTATTAATTGATCGGGTCAATAAAAAATCGGATTTGAATATGATGAGTGCAGTTTTAACACTTTTAAACCAGTAGTGATGAACAGGTTACTAAATATCTAAAGAAAATAGAACCAGTTAGTTTCATTTGATTTTGTTTCTCGTTTGGAGCCGGTCAACCTAGACACGAAATAACTTTTTGCAGCCTTGATTTTGACTGATAAGAGTGGTCAAGGTATTGCTGAATCTCGCTGGCTGGAAACATCAGCTGCTTAATTAGTGATTGACTTTTGGACAGTCACGCCCATTAGAGACAGCTTCTTGTTAAATGGGCCACATTTGAGAGTTCTGGTGACAGAGGCGCATTATCCAATAAAATGAAAGCAGTAAATGTGATGGCTCTTGGGACGCAATCGGCTCAGCCTACATTGTACGTTATTATCCAGATAATCACTATTTAAAATTTAACAGATCGCATGCATTTAAGGGTCAGAGCAGAGCGCTTTCTTGACAACAGAGTGAATCAAAAGAAGCACATAATAGGCACAATTTAAAACTGAACAATACCTTAGGAAGAAAAATGCAAACAACAAGATGATATAACAAACTAAAGCGATCAAACATCCCACGATGGACACGATGGACAGAATAGTCTTATGCTCTTCTGAAATAGTATCACCTTCCTACAAGAGATGGAAGATATGTGAGTCTGATATACCCTGAATACATCATAACCAAATAATGATCGCATAAAAGAAATTGAAGTACAGCCTAAAACTATCAAACTATTTCACGGATAAGGGCTATGCGTTTTCCCGGTCACCAAGATTGTTTAATCTGTTGCCACCCAGCAAACTGCACTTAATCAGCTTAAGAACACTCTTTTAGGAACAAAGGAACATTCTGAACTCATGATTTTCCCAGTGTTGGAATTTACGGTCTTTAAGGCAAGAAAAACATGACTTCATTCTAAACCATATCAAAACAATTATTGCGCGAAATAACAGTGGTGTGTTCGAAAAGACCTCTAACAAAATATAAAGTTTGTTCGTAACATCTAAGTCGGATACATGTTTGGTAACATGATAAGAATTAGTCTTACGCTTACGCTTAGGTTAAGGAAATACAAAATACTAACAGAAACAAATTAACTCAACCAGTATCATGTACTCTTCCACGTCTGAAGTAACACCCTAGTCTCACGAATCAAGCCGTGGTAAGTTGTTAGGAGCATGCATAGTAGTCTCAGGAGCATCTTTTGTTGAAAGTAAAAAGTTAATAGTCAGCGTTCTACGTGTTCAACGTACATAAGCGCCATGTACATCCATAAGTACAGCAAAGCTTGTCATGTGATAACAGTGGCACTCTGTGTGTGATGAGCTGACCTCATAAACAACACACCCTGATGAAGACCAAACTGGAGGGCTAAAATCAAATAAATAAAATTCGATTTCAAATTATTCATTAATGTAAATCAGTGTATTGTCAAGTTACGAAGTATCAATCCATGTATGCTTCGCCTATAGCTTCCTTTTACCTTTTACTTGCCGCACAATACGAGTCTTGTTGTCTATTTAAATCATTTTACAACCCATGTGGTGACGTGATGGTCTGTTTAATTTAATAAACACTTACTCAGTGGTGACATCGAGATACACACACTTCCGTACGCCGTCAGTATTCACCTGGCAAAGGGAATTAGGACAAGACATAAGGATGGAGTTTAATATAAAATATATATGTATATATATGTTAAATATAAAAACACTGTGTGAACACCGTTATAACGTAAAAGTCGACTTCATGATATCTGCATGGATCGAGTAACAAACGTGAAGTGTCTTCAAGGTATCAATAAGCCGTAGCTGAAATCTAAGCGCCACAGATACCAGACGGGCCATACGGGCCATACAGGCTCATTCTATCTCTTTTCCTTGTTGTGCCAAGTGGTAGATTCACATAAATGTCGGTAATGCTCAAGGATTAAGCAAGACTTCCTACAGGTATAATAAGCGATTGTGAGATGTCGTGGGGATTTTTAAAAAACATCAGCTGTGGTGCTTTCGCGATGACGAATAGCCTGCGTAGCTGGCGGTTTTTTCGGGCGCTCGATAAAAAGAGATGGGGACCGCGATAAAGACCTATGCGAGGAAAGTATTGAATTCAGTACCTTTGAAACAGCTGACAGATTTATTACAACCGGATGACTCAAATTATTAAATCTACTCCCATTGTTGAAAAGTATTGTGCTTGACATAATTCCTGAGTCCATGACTCTGTTGAAATGCAACAAGTATATGAATAAGCAGATGACTTCCATACAAGCTCCTTAAGTATGGTGAAGCTGGCACTAGTTTTGCATCCAACAGTACCTCTTGCATTTTAAATTTCCATGAGAAACTTTTGGTGTTCCCCATTATAAAATAACCGAGATAGAAAATGTACTCTGATTGGTTAGAAAACTCACGTTTATAGCGGGACAGGTACACCTACAGGCATTTTGTAATAGCAATGGCTTGTCAACAGGTGTTCATGGATGGACATGGTTTATCGAAATCCCCAGGTTTGCATCGATTTATCCCAAGCTCATAGTATCTGTGCTCATGAATTAACCCGAAACCAGAATTATGATTAGTGAACGCATTTTCATGGCAGAATTTGATCAAAAGAACCAAAGAGATGTATTGAAAACGGGCATAAATTTCATTAACACGGCGTTTGTAAAGAAATTTTAAGTAGCGAAGTAGAAGGGAAAGAGGGAGAGGAAGACCAGGCGTTGAGTGGACAGCTGGCATTAAGGTGTGTCTGGGACCCAGGAAAGAGAAGGATGGAGAATCATGCGGCCGCAACCCCCGGAAGGGTTTGCGAGAAACCATTTTCCTTAAAATCTTTTGTATATGATGACCATTTAATGTGCAACCAAACATTTGGTCTTTGCATTTATCAACTTACTTGCGTGCTTGAGGATCCGCTGTTACGCTGATATCGGAAAGCAGTAGACTGACGATAGACACTCCGTCTAAACAGATGGGCTGAATGAGTTATTGATATTACTGACAACTCCGAGACAGTAGGCTAGAGACTCGGGTTTAAACATAGAGTACCTTGATCCTGTGCTCTCCATATAAGAGATGATGGCAAGTTGATGTTATTGGTCTGTTCAGCATCTTTTGGAAAAGATACGGCTTCCGCACTGTTTTCTGACGACACAGGGGGCAACATGTCCACTGCGAGGACTATGAGACAAATAGTAGGGAGAAAGAGGAAAATAATTGCAAATTAACTTTGACTTTGAAACTGGTGAGGGGTCTATTGGGCTGAAAAACTTGAGTTTTCATACACATCAAACCCTTCTTATGGACAATCTTCATGTCTTTCGGAATAAAGTTTTTGAAGTCATACTGAATGTTCGTCCTCAATGCTAATTTGCTTCAGGCTTTAATCGATTTGATCTTTCCCCCAAACTCGCTGTGATATTATGATATAAGAGGTTTTGGGCAAAATTCAATTTTCAAGGGTCAAGCAAGACTTAGCCGGCAATCATAGTTAGTTTGTCAGCTTACAGAAATGTCAGTGACTGGCCTAAGCTGAGTTACGTTGAGAGAAACAACTCCTTTTTAACTGCTTTTCAATCAAAAATAAAACTTGATCTTTGAAATCCTCTGTGGTTCAATTTTGTTGCTATAAATGGGATTTAATATAATTCCATGCTCTTCTTATGTAATATTATTGGATGCACCCCTCCCAGCTTAATTTAAAATAAATATCTTACCCTCCATGTATAAGCTTGAAGGATGCTCTTTTCAGGCACACTTTACCGAAATTCAAACATGTGATAACTCAGTCATTTTTATCATGATAGAACTGACTTTTTTTCCTGTGAAGTGATTCGATGGTTTACCATCATCGCTCAATTTTGTGTCGTTAGTTATGGAACAATATTACTACCCTTTCTCCTCTACAACCCTAACCTCCCCACCCCTAACCTCCCCACCCTCCCCCTCCCCATGGAGGCGAAAAGACACCGACTCACCCAAAGATTCAGTGTTTATCTGGATACTTTTCGGTTCAGTGACGCCGCCTTCCCCTCTCATTAATCCTCGAACCAATAACTCTCCTATTTTTTCACTCATTTGAACGACCTGTGAAATTTGATCTAAGGACTAAAACAAATAACACAGTTACGACGTTTCATAGGTGGCTTCTCTGCGTTAAAGAGTTTAAAAAATATATAAATGAATGATGAAAATAATGAGGCATTTATTACTGTTATAAAGGAAGTGATCAAATTAGCACCATCTATGTAAGCCCGAGGATGTCCGAGGAGGCATTGTTAGGCCGCAACAAGCAGTTGTCCATGACTGCTTATTTGGTGACGTACTTTTTTGTCACTTTTTGGTAAGAAAGACTCCACGTCACCGCCATTGTCGACTAAAGAGCGCATTCTGTAGCTGTAGTATCATTTTTGCCAATCACTGTATGATAAATCGTTTTGAATATGGATTGAAATTACCAAAGATGGTTGTGCCTTTCCTACAGGGTTCACGACACTGTCTAGAACTGTTCCTAGTTCCTGCAAACAAAATAATACATACAGGAGGTTAAGGCAAGCATTTCACTCACAGGCCTGTGTTCTATTTCCATGACCACTGCGACAATCACCATGAAGTATGAAAAGTATACCTTCAAATTTCTTTCAGCAGTCGATTGATTCAAAGAGACGCCCTCTAATGATTTCAGTGCTTCATCCAACTTCTTTAAGGTGTCTTGTACCTAATGAGAAAGGGCCAGTAAGAGTAGGAGTTGACAAGTTGAAGTTCTTGTAAACTTAGAGCAGTCAGGTAATTTAAAAAAGCGGTTAAGATAACTTGATTATATTTTAAAGTGAAAACAGTTCTTTTAGGGCGACAGGAGTAGAGATCGATATCAACAATTCAAAGTGTTGAGTAGATCAGTAAACTGAAAAATGCAGCCCAAAAGAACACACGTTCACATTTCCCAACCCTCGTACAAACATAAATCATAAGTGAGATATAAAAAGGACTTGCGTTAAATTGCAGCGTAGAGGTCTCTGTTGAAGTCTCCGAAGCAATAGTCGGTGACAGAGTGCTGCTCTGAGAGTGTTCTGTAAAAAGGTTGAGGAGAACTAGTTACCGAGAACAATGGATACCAATAATAATCACAATACTGCGACAATGGCAAGAAGGATTATTGAAGGATCATACCGGATACATTTGTATTCCTGACCCCACTCGTCGGCGATGGCTGCTCTGTAATGACAACAAGTTCATTCTTCTGAATTCGATCCCTGATACTGTTTTTGATGTAAAATCATACACTGACTATCCTCAGAGGAGGGTTAATTTTTTTTTTATGTTAACTGACTCAGTATTATCATAACGAGAGTGAACGAACTGCATATCGAATACACTGAGTAAGACTTAGATTTTTAGCTCGGTCGTAAAATTAGAAGAGAGATCAATCTCACTTTTCTATAGTTTTCTAGTTCCGACACAAAGAACCAAACACCTTTTCATACCGAAGAAGACTGAATACTAGATAATTTTTATTGAGTTCTTGAACACCACCAACAGCGTCATTTGTTGTACCCTTTAATAGGCATTTGTAAGCCGCAATTTTATAGTGTCAGTGTTTTTATATATCGTACTTTGTACACACCTTCTACTTTCTTGGGTCGTTTGCATATGAAAAGTCTTACTGTCTTACAGTAGTCTATCTGCCACTTGTGTACATGATTGTAGTAAGCGCAGCGTCGTCCTGTCTCATTTTTTGATCCCTCATCGTAGCAGGCGGGATCCTGGCTGTGGTACCAGTTTGTGTAATTATATGGCTGCTTGTCCACCCATCCCATTAAGTTACTTTTACAATTTCTGTGAAGCCCTATGTAGAACGTCTCTTTGGGTCGAAGGTTTGTATTATTGATAAGATGATGTAAGAAATCGTTTTCTTTGTCACTTAAAACACTTGTGAGAGAGCCATTCCTTTGTCTGCACCACCTCACGGCATTCCAAAATCCAAGTTTTCTGTCAACAGCAGTATATACATAATAGCACGAGGAATCATTCAAGGTCCATTTATCTTGACAGTCAGCTTTTAAAAACAAAAAAAAATTCTTGCTTAACCAGAAATCACTGAAAAACAGGCGCTGTGCAGAAACTTATGCTGACGTGCCATTTGGTTCATGGTGAGACCTACAAAGGCTAAGTTGGGATACTTGTGAAGGAAAGTGATGGATCTTGGTCCTTTTTCTGGGATATCGTGGAATACTGAAGTGATGGGATAACGAAAAAAAAGGGGATTGTATGACGGAAAGGTCGTCAAAATTTTGTTTTCTTCATGGTTAGCGGTAAAGTACACAGATGTTATAGAGTTCATTTTTGACACTTTCATTGGTATGTACTATGGCAGTGTTAGAAAAAGATCGACATCTACATTAGAAGAGATCGGGTTTTTTCTTTCCTTTTTTTTTTAAGGCCTCCTCTGTTTGTGTATAGGTCCTGCTGATATGTACTTAATAGAAATGATGCGTGCAGAGAAAAGAGTAGTTAATACGTGATCGGCATGATAAGGCATATTTGTTGTGCCGCGCTCGACAACATGGACTAACTGATTGTTATTCAGCTTATGATTTCAATAAGCCCATGCACCTGGAAGAGTAAACAACGATAAACCAATTTGTTTTTATAAAAGTGATAACACTCTCTCTTTGCTACTTTTTCTTACAAATATTTTGATTATCTTGGGTGTGGAAAGAATTATAATAAAATTGTATACACTATTTAGTTATGAAGCCCCATCTTAACTTGGACTCAGTTTTTAGTTTCGTCGGTAAGTGTGAGCCGTGTTGCTACAACAAAGAGCAACAGTAATTCACTTGGTATCAATTTTCTTTCGCTACGAACGAAAATCTGGCAAAACCGAACATACATTCATGCATTATTTAACAAAGCATTCAGTCAATGAATCGATCTTGTTGATAAAATCCCTGCTTTCTTTTAAGTTATGCCGGTTTGCTCGTCTTGCGCAATGCACTAAGACTTAAACTAGACAATTATGAACAAATTCTCTGTAAAACTTCTTCATTCTTTAAAAAATTATTCAAGGTTCAGATGAATTATGTTAGAGGAGCTCTTCAACAAGTGCTTGCTTAAAATACCGAATGGCAAACGGCTCAAGTAACTGAATATCTGACTCTCTGTGTCATCATCATACTAAATTGTTGTTGATGCTACTTCATTATATCTGTCCTTCTCTCTATTCACCTCTTGCTTGACAACGAGGTGAACATGTCCTCCTTCCTCCAGCTGCTGTCGCATTAATCATACTAGAAACTTCAAGATCCTTATGAAACCGACCAACTGATGGAAGGACTTACCTTGATTGCTTGATGTCTGTCCATAGCAGACTACTAACATCACAATTGTTGTGCTCAGGGTTTTGGTAAGGAACAGAAAGCCAGTCATCGTCGCTACTGGCGAGACCGGGTCGGAATTTAACTAATCAAGTAAATTCGTTTGCTCAACAAAACTTCCTCCCTCTAGGGGTCACCTAAATCAGCATGGTGGCGGCCTTTGCACTCACTGTGTATTCATATTCTGGGTTTGAAGAAAGTTTTGTTCTTCAAATGATTGTCTGATCATTCTCGATGCCTGTCAGCTCCAAAACAGACACAAATAAACCATTTCTAATCATCTCGATCGCTCATTTTAAAATATCTAAATTGAGCACAAAATTTCATTATCTTTGGATCACTATTCAAGAACATTCGAATTTCACGCTATGTTAAACGCGAGACAATTCAATTATTTTTAGCTTGCGGTGTCGTCGATCAATCAACTGATTCAAATTTAAACGCTACTGAACTTTGGATTGACTGGGTAATAATAATTCAAAAAAGGGGTTGAATTTAATGGAACACGACCTCGACTCAGCTGGTACGTAGAATTATAAAAATTCCCAAACTCGACATATCTTTCTTTGAGTGCATCAGTGCGACAAAGTACACTATTTCCACTGAACAATGAATGTTAATTACTTTATATTTTTCAAAACAGTTTTTTTTAAACAAGTCATGTTAAAAGCATTCTCAACAGTCCAGCAGCCCAAGCGACCCCTTTTTTCACGACTTGATTATACTACTTTTTTTATCAGGGAAATTTCTTGTGTCAAATGAAATGGTGATAATGAGTGAGACCACTGCGAAACGAAAAAAAGAAACTAAAAAATGTTTTAAGCCACGCAAGTTCTCCCACTGTTTCCAATTTAGCCACATGGGAATTTATGTTTGTGGCAAAAATTACTATTTTCCTCTCTTGGAGTTAAAATAATTTAAAAACAGCTTTGTGAGATTCGACAGGGAACAAGTCTAGCCCTCAATAACCAAAATGTGCCCAGAAATATATCCCCCTATTAGCCCAATTGTCCGATAAGAAACAGTGCCAATGTATGTAATGAGGCAACTCGAGTTGTCTTAAAAAAACCATCTGACGTTGAGCTAACGATTGATTCCTTTTGTCAGTATAGATATTATCTCTGGCCAATAGTAGGATGAACATCATTTACTGACAAGTTTAGTGATCTGGTTAATTCTGAGATAGGGGTTTACTAAATGATGAACGTTTGTTAATTTTTGTGTTTTCCAACAGTTAATTGCTCAGGCTTGGGTTTGGTCCGTAAAGGCTGCTATATAGTCTGTCCAGATACAATAATGTTTATCAAAGTTCAATACATTCACCTCGGTTTAGTGCATCAAAAAAGCCCTCTTATTTCCAAAAAAGGCTTCAAATCAACCCGATTATATCATTAAAAGGTCTGGGATGGTCCCCCTGACAGGAAAAATTTATTGTCTCATATATGCGAAAAACAGAGTTAAAATATGCTTGAGATCTTTTCACTTTTTGCTACATTTGCATTTGCACTCTTTTAATATCACTGAACATACGAGTATCTGTTTTGTTTCCAATTCCTGTAAAGGAAAATTTTGAAAAAAAAAAGATCAATTTTCAAGGAACACCGGCGATGCTCCCTCTCCCTAAATACTTCAACATCATTAACTGGCCCCAATTTGGATGGCAACTCGCAATGAACATACAGTCCCACATAAAAACCCTCCACCGATTTAATTTCGCTTTATAATCTGAACTCACTCCAACAAACAGTAAATGGCTTGGTTCAGTATAGCCTTCAAGCATAATTCAGATTGGCCTCCCAATTTCAGAATACTTCAGATCATCTCGTTCTATTTCTCTCAAGAGACAAGTGTCATTACAAGTGGATTGCATTTGAATCAACTGTTGCATGATATTCCTTGACAGCCAACTGCATTGCAACAAAATCATTGTAGGTCATTTGCAAAAAGCGACTTACAAAACTTTGCAAGGTTAACAAATTCATGTTTGTAATATTTTTACTTCCGTACACTCGAGGAAAGAAGAATTAGGAATTAGGAATTAGGTCTGCAACCTGCAATGCATCAAGCAGTTTTTTCTGCTGAGGTGGATGCACCAGTTTTAGAGACCACCCTGGTTCGTTTAAGTCTCCGCCAATGACCCGTGTCGTAATTCATTTCAAAGAGCATTTCCACCAATTGCATCTGTTGATTGCCGTCTGCTAACGTCACCGTTTCCGTGTTTTCACTCAGCTTGATAGTTACTATCGAACCTTGATGGGGATATGGTTTCTCTGCAATCAAACGTGTGATTACAGGATGAATGAGATAGTGGGCATATATCCACACATTTAGTAAAAATAACAAGCTTTTCAAAGCGACAAATTTATCAATTCGACTTATTTTGCTCACAGAAATCACTAACATTAAAACATTAATTTACCTCGTGCACCGGCCATAAACCCAAGAATAAGGGCCTTTTCAGCGCGACTCACTCGGTTCGCATTTTTGAACATTTCGTGAGCAGCTAACATTTGTTCCCGCTGAAAAATATCAAATTTGGAAAGAGTAAAATCAAACCCGAAAGCCTGACAACCGTTTCCAAGAGGGAATTTTACAGAAACAAGAGAAGACCCTGAAAGATCCTGGGTCAAATCTTCACAGACAAGAGTCCAAGAACAATACTCACAAGATCCCCACCAAATTTACAAAAATCTGCGAGATCATCATGGATTACTGGTAATGTACAAAAGACCTGTTCAGGAGCTTGAGGCTAAAGAATGGCCTACGTCTATGAAGATTCGTCAGGAACACTGCGAAATCTTAGTCAGACTGCGCCTTGTGTGCCACTTTACGGTACATTGTTTGGGTCGGGATTTGGAATTAATTTACTAGAACGTAGCTAATTGTGGGTTCTCTCTTTAATTGGTAGTGCTCAAAGAACGCCAAAACTACAGATCGTTTGTGCTAAATGAGCACATGGCCTCATAAGGGCGCAAAGTGTTACCGTTGTTCTACTCTTTATGTAGAGCGCACGTACCGTTAGCGTAAGTTGCCGTTTATTTGCTTGCTGTTGCTGCTGTTGTTGTGTGTTCGATGCCCCAAGGGAAGGTGTAGCAGGACTTCTTGTAGAATCACTAGTGGCTGGTGATGTAGAACTTGAGGAACTAGCGGCCATTGCAGCAGCTGCCTGTTTTTGTTGTCGCTCTCTCATTATCAACTGGCGCTGTTGTTCCATATGCATCTTCATGTAAGAAAGCACATTCTTAGTTATGCACGTACTCAAACATGGCACGATACGTCCAGAAATGCATGAAGCAACGAAAATGGCAGATTTGACGAATTTTTTGTCGACGATTTTCACGGATTTGACGAAATTTGTCAATCCGTGGAACTTTTGTCAAAAGAACGATTGTGACGAACTTTCGCCAAATTTGATGACGAAATTTATATAAGTGAATGGATATGACCTTGAGAGAGGGGCCCCTAAAAGTTGACGAGTTTCTTTACAAGGAACCCACAAAGTTTACTGGCAAAAGCGACAAACTTGTTAACAGTGGCAAATATGATGAAATTTTGCTAAGGCTTCTCTTAAATCAGGTAAGTTCACAGGCAATTTACATGTGAATGGGAAAGAGTTTGTAGAGAGGAACCATGAAATTAGCATAGTTTATAATGTTTTGTAATATGGAAACTTTCACATGCAGTATCATGTTGGTAGTTTTGGTATTGAAAATTTCAAAAGCTATTAAATTGTCTTTTTTTTTCAATTTAGTAGTAATGAAAATGTTTGCAGTTAAACTGAATATATTTACAGCTAAAAAACACCCACTCAGATATATCTTTCAAAGGAACCCACAAAGTTTACTGGCAAAAGCGACAAACTTATTAAAAGTGGCAAATATGATATAATTTTGCCGAGGCCTTTCTTAAAATAAGTCAAGTTAATAGACAATTTACATGTGAATGGATAAGAGTTTGTAAAGAGGAACCATGAATTTGGCATAGTTTATAACGCTTTGCATATGAACATGTTTGTGGTTAAATTGAACATATCCAAAGTTAAAAACGCCTGCTCGAATATACCTTTAAAACGAACCCACAAAGTTTACTGGCAAAAGCGACAAACTTGTTGAAAGTGGCAGTTATGATAAAATTTTTCCACGGTTTTTCACAAAATAAGTCACGATAATATACAGTTTACAAGTGAATGGAAAAGAGTTTGTAAAAAGGAACCATGACGTCCCATAGTCGAGACGTCAGCTTTTTAACTCTTTACCGTTATGTCAATTTTTACGGCACATTTGCATTTAAACGAGCTATTCGCTCATATGCGATATGTTGTTAAATAAAGTTACTTACTTACTTACTTACTTAGTTTATAATGCTTTGCAATATGGACATTTTCACAAGTACTATAATGTCGGTAGTTTTGGTATTGAACTTTTCAGAAGCTAGTGATTTTATTTCAAATTTAGGGGTAAACATGTTAGCAGTTGTATGGAATATATTCAAAGTTATGAACGTCTATTCATAGAGAAATAAGATATAAAATTAATTACTTCGTGAGAAGGCCACAGTCATTGTGTTAACGTCTCATTGTCACATGGAGTGATGCCCAATTTAGATCGGTTTTCGGTTTTTGCGACAAAAAACTTCGGTTTTTCGGTATTGCTGTTCATTTCGTTTTGCGAATTTTACGTGTTTTAGCATTTGGTTTTCGTCAAAAATGCGAGCGAATTTTCAGAATTTATTTCCGGTTTGTCTTCTGAGCGGCTCGACTGATCTCGAACCGCCGCGAAACGCAAATGTTATTAAGAGGAATCCGTGACAAACCAAATGTCGCTGAAATAACTTCTCGTTGGTGAAATATTGTAGCGATCCGTAGGAGGTCACGCGTTGTGAATAGCGCTCAAGACCGACCTTGCAATGTGGAGCACTTAAGGTCGATCAGTTTGCGAACTATGGCTTTCAACGTGCTTCGCGCACCGGCAACGGATAAAACTCAAGGACCTTGCATTGATGAATTTGATTAAAAATTCGCCAAAATCGTCGAATCCACGAACATTCACTCGGTTTGACGAAATTTCTTCAGATTGTCAAATCTGCCATTTTCGTTACTGCGACATAAGAGAGCATGTTAAAGTTATCGAACCTTGTTTCCTAGGCAACAAAAGAACCAGTAAGAAAAGAAAGTCTTACTTCCAACTCTCTCTTGAGGTTGATGGTGCTCTCATTGAGTGCGTCTGCTGCTGCAGGGGTTTGGGAAATGCTTGAGGGAGCCTGGGGTACATATGAGGGAGCTGATGATGGAGCTGGCATACTTGATGATGGTGTCTCTGGGCTTGATGGTGGCTTTTTTAAATGGATGAGGTAAAGTAGAAAAAATCATCATGAATAGCAATGTGCCAATCTAGGATTTTGACAAAAGGCAGGGCCCACATGAACCTGACACTTTTGTACCTTGGGGTGGAAAAAAATTCCTGATCTGGTACTAGAAGTAGCCTCTTAAAATTATTTAACTGATATATTAAATAAAGTTAAATGTGGCTTAGACACATCACACAGACTTGAAAAGAGGAACAACAATAACAAGGCAATCTTTTACTCATGGAAAGAAAACAATGTGAAAACAGATAGCTTGACTAATGACCTGTACTATGTAGAATGCAAAGTTAATCACATCGTACAGTAACATGGCCTTTTTAATTTGACTAATCATAGTAAAAAGAGGTCTCTTCTATCCAACAGGTTTAATTAACACCTTTGTATATATGGACATTTTTGAACATTTGAAAGGTTCATGTACCTTAGTTGGTTGAGTCATGGGCGTAAGACCTGCAGCATAATCAGGTGTGCTTGGCTCTGGAGGTTTGGTATTGTCAAGTTTCTTCTGTTTTGCCTCCTCTGCTTGTTCAGACTCTATTGTAAATAACACCATATAAAAGAATCACTTCTAAAATCTGTTGATGATAATAACTCTAGCACACAGAAAAACTGAAAAACAAAAGGAAAATCTTATTTAAAGATTGGTTCATCATCAAGCAACCCATACATCAGCTAAACATTTAGCCTTACACCTGATACATATACTGTCCAATTTAAATCATTAAGCTGAGTTTAAGACAATGAAATTCTACATTAAAGTAGGGAGTTGAATAATGCTTTGCCCTCTTGACTTTTCTGACAAAACTCAAAAAGTGACCAGTTGCAGGGTAACTGTGTGAGTGCTTTTGTTACCTGCCAATTTCTTTCTCCTTTTGAGTTCTCTACCACCTCCTATTGGCTGCTCATTTATGTCCAAAAGCTGTGGGCATAAAGAGAATTCTCACACAGCTTGTTTTCAATATATCTCCCTAATATTTTGACTGCTGTAACATGCACATATAGCCACAAGATCTTCAGTTCAGACTTCAGCAATGTTTTTGTTTTTAGCATAAATGGGGAATTGTAATCATGTAACCATTGCAGAAGAGTGCATTATCTAATACAATACACAATAATTATGAAAATAATATATTCAACCTTCTAAAGAAAGATTTTAAAGAAGAAAGATTATCATAGTTGTCTATTCTAAAGCAGTAGTAAAAAGTATATAGCCTGTAAAAAAGGTTCAAGCTAGAGTGGCATGAGTATTGTGCAGTGCTGATACAGTTCTTTGCTAAAGTGAAAACCACATTTCTTTTCTACACATTCAAATACCAACAATTTTTCTTTAGTCAAAAAACTTTAACTCTTATAACCAAGGTTGGTAACTAAAGGTTTCAATGATAGCAGTTAAAATCAGTTGTAGCCATTTATAATAGATACCGAAAAAAAGCAGAATGGTATCTTCAAGATAACAGCCAGTGAGTGTTAATGAACATGTACAATGGAGACATTCACCTTTGTACGGCCATGATGTTTGAGTGTAGCAGCAGAGATAATGCTCCGTGATGAACCAGATGATGGAGTCCCTCTGCTGGGGGTTGGACGGTTTGATGTTCTTGGTGTTACTCTTACTATTGTTGAGAGGAGACATTCTTTGATCAATATAGGTAACATTTAATACACCTAGTCTGTATTGATCGATTTGCATTAATTAATATAGTTATATTTAATGAAATAAAACCAAGACACTCAGTTAACATTTTCACAATAAACAGCATAAATTATGGCTGAAATTATAAATGTTGTTCATATACAGTATTGTTTGTTTGATATTAATTCTGTTACTGACCAGGAGCTTCAAACTTCTTGGGTGACTGAAGTTTGTGGGCTGAGCTCATTGATGCTCCAAGACCTTTTTTATGTGCTGAAACTGCTTCACTGGCTTCACATACAACACAAAAAGAGATTGTTAACATTCATCATTGTTACTCACTAACTGGATCTGTTACTGAACTCAGTGGCATATGGTGCAGACCAAAAGAACAGGAATTATGAGTTTCTAGTTCAGGTAAGTAGATTTGGCTTGAAGTACAGGTGCATAGGCTGAGTCATATGCCTTTGTTACAATATCTAAATAATCATGAGGAGTTACAGTTTGCATCAAGCTCCTTTCCTTCTGAAGGGAAAACCAAGCAACCCTACACTGCCATTGGTTAATTTGATTTCTAAAGAAAACAGATAAAGTGTATCACTTGTCCTTGTCTCTATGACAGATTATCTCCTGGGACCTATAATCCACATCAAAGTATTTTAATCATTGCTAGGCCATATCTCCTACACTCTCTATACGAATGCAAGTGACTCTTTTAGACAAGTTAAGGGAAAGGGTTTACAAGAAATTATAATCATTACACTCTCTACATTGTCAATATATGTGTGTGGATATTACTTTATTAAGAAAAACAAAAACAAATACCTTTCTGTGTAAGTTCTGCTCTTAGGGCAGCAGACTTTGGTTTTCTTCTAAGTGTAAAGTGTTTGGGAAGGGGAGGCTGGTGTCCTACCATGGCAACAAGGGCTGTTCTGTTTAAATATAGACACTCCAGAGGAAGAAGACTAGATCCACTATCTGGGAGACTGGTAACTTAAATAAAAACACCATAAAAAGTAATGGAACAATGGATCCATGTTTTAAGGGGGCACCCTTAGGGTAGGGAGAAAATTCCCCAGAGCAGATTTTTAGATGATAGCTGATAACTATTCAATTTGTTAAAATGATGTATTTAACGAATAGCTTCCATGTTGCTGTACACTTATTTAGTAACTGATCACAGATGACCTCAAACTGTAGTAAGAATGAAAAAAGGCCCATAGGGCATAGCTTAGTGTGTCACTGATTTTCTCACAACATTTTGATGTCTTCTGTGATCTTTTACTGAACAGATGCTTGAAATCTTGGAATCTACTTGTTTTATATAATAAAAAAAATGAAATGATGTTAATGGTGACGTCATATATGCATCTGTCCTCCAATAGATAAGTAAGAACCAATCAAATTGCATGTAGTAGATTCAACTTATTATATAACTGACAATCCCTGTTGAAGGGGCATTTAAAGACAAATCTATATTTAACCATATAGCGTATGTACGTGTATTTCAGGAGCTTGAAACATAACTTGTCACAACACCATTACTGACGAGCATGTTGTACAGATGTAAATCTTACCAGTTTTTCTGATTTCTTCTGCCACTTCTGCAAACACTGGGCTAACATGCTCGAGATGAACATTCAGAATCCCTGTACTTGGATAATACTTCAGAATCTCTGATAAAACACGGACCCACTCGTCTTCATCCTGGCTTCCAATCTCAAATATTTCGCTCATTTCACCGCTCATTTCCTCAATCACTCGACGAGGAAGATGGAGAAAAGCCATTAATAATTTTACTTTTACCTGCGTTTCAAGCCTATGAAAACACTCTGGGATATTACGGAGGACGTCTTGGGTTAGTAAAGATCGCAAACTACTACCAGACCAAGAATCGTCCGTAGATAATTTGTTATGAAGCCACAGGGCTGTGTCTGCCTGACGAACGGACGCCATGTTGAATATCAGCAAAGCATAACAGAGAGGGAGGGGACTCGGGAATACGGATAAAAAAGGGGAGGTTTCTAAGCAAGTTGTGTGCCTAGTAAGTTCCGTGTTCTTGATGACTAGTGGTGGCTAAGTATGTAAGGTGCAGGTGGAACAACAGACAGCGCCTATGGCCACAATTTGACATGATTTTGAAGAAATTTTAATACCTCTTCTTCTAGTTAACCTTTGTTGTCAGCATAAGGGAAGGAAACTCACCCTCAATGCCTCTAGGAGGAGTCAAGGATCGCTTATTGGTAAGTAAACCAAGGAGCCCGTACATATATATGACTAATATGTGGTAGTATCGATCTCTTCCTGCCTTATCAAGGGATGATAGTGTGTTGCCGGTGTTTGTTTACGGTAGGGAGAGAAATTTATATGCATTAAAATAACCCTCAGGTTTATCTCAGGGAAAAATGGAGCGTCGCTAAACCAAAGAATTGAGCAGAACTGTCGTTGCTTCTGTAAGGACCTAATGGCCCAGCTAACTTTTTTTATTTGTGGATTAAAATTTATCAGTTATTTTAACTTAAGACGTGTAGCAATGCATGATCAGAACACACAAATGTTACTCTTTCAAGCACTAGATGCGAGCCTAATTCACGAAACATCAATGTGTACGTAACACCTCCTAACACTGGAGTATTCACTTCTAAATTCGTTTTTTATAAAGCCATTCGTTTGTTTCGCTTTCGTTGGTCATAATGAAGTTGTTCTTTAAGGTTAAGCTGTCGTCCTTGAAGTGCATTCATGTATATAGACGATATAAAATGGTTTTCGGTGGTCGCTCAAATGCATGTGTCAGAAAAATAAATAATTAAAGTGACCACAATAATCGGCCGAATGTGGTGAGTTCCAATTAACTCTTGGAACACCAGCTATATGCTTGGTATTTCTTTATCTTTTTACATAGAGAAATGTAACTTTTTCACGACCAAAAGAAATTATTTTTTAAACCAAAATTCCTCTCGTTTTTACCGTGAAAAGGTGGAAACATCTGGAGCAAATTTTGCAGCTACAATAAATTATTGATGAATGACATATTTGTTGGTAGAGCTTATGTAATTCTTGGCAAAAGCATCATTTACAGGGTGTATGTTGCAGCATGGACTTTTATACCTTATGCTTATCTCCTGAAAATTACAATAGTGACTCAAAATGTATTTTTACAGCTCTCTTATTGTTAATTCCTTGCTGCTGAGTGAACAGAATTATAGAGTTTACTTTCATGTAAATTAAAAAAACAAAGTTATTAGCATGGAATACATATTCCTGAATAACTTTCTTTTATTATGCTAAATTACAAGTGTCAGAAAAAAAATAATTATATGGACTGAAAACAAAATGAAATTGAACATCAAATGTGAATTCTATATGACAGGTTGAATAATCTTTATTATTAAGGTTAGACAGTACTTTTTCCTTTGCAATTCAGAACAAATCTGATGTAAGGTTAGCTTAACATAAGTAGAAGTTTTCACAACTCAGTTCAAATTGTGTGTGTAAATTACTAATTTGATTTACAGTTGGATGTGATGGTAGTTTCTGGATTTGAAAGTTTTGGACTTGGGAGAATTATATGCATAATGACAAGGGGTGAAACTTGTGTTATTGTCTTCAAACTGATATGTGTATACAGCTGTATGCACATGTAAAAGTCTGTCACCAGAAAAAAGAACCAAGAACAAAAAGAGTTAGCTCTTTAGTTTCAATAGAGAATTATTTTTAGCTTTCCAGAATAATTGTATAATCCTTAGATAGACACATTCTGGAAGGTAGGAGAGGTACTTACTGGTTTTGAAAATCCAGTTAGAAAGGGATGGGGGTTGTGATTGTAACAGTTTTCTTCAGGGATTATTCAAACCATTTACATACCTTCTGCTGGGATCAGGGGTGTCAAAAAAGGACCTCAATCCCCTTATGAGGAACTTGGAGTTTTCTTTTTGCTAACCAGATAACAAATAAAGGACACCTTTTCTTTTTTTTTATATCCAAGCCCAAAATTTTCTCTTTTTTTCTCTTTCTTCATTTACTAGGAGCTTCTTGAATAACGTAGAAGCTGAATCTCAACTGAATTTGGCTGCTCCTATACTTAAACATGATGCCTTTTTTTAAGGGATTTCTTCCAGGAAGGGTGCAACATGATGATGAGTGGCGAACTGTTTTTGTACTTAATAAGTATCCAAGCAATGACACAGAGGTTGAAGTCAAGCAGAAGAGATATGCTAACAATGTAATTGTTACATCAAAGGTGGGTGTCTCATTGAAATGCTCATATACATCAATGTTTAATATAGTGATGATAATTATGTTAGTCTTCCTACCCCAGTTTTTTTCAAAACATGGTCTTCCTAAAGGTGGCACAATTTTTTCCTTTTTCCTGAGTGGATCACCTCTGGTCTACTCCATAAAGAGGGGCCATCATTTTTTTAATTCTACAGTATTTAAAGAGTTAAACTAATTAAAAAAAATTGAATTTTAGTAAAGTTGAATTACGATATTCAAGTTGTATTTTTTGTAATGCACAGTTAAATAGGTCTTATAAAGCTTCTACTTACAAGCCAGGTAAATTTTGAGGAAGTTCTCTTTTCAAGTGATAGATAACAATAATATTGATGTTTTTTCTTGGTATTTTCCTCTGTTGTCTTGGTTATCAAGTGTATCGTAGACCCTAATGAATTTTTTTTTATTTCAGTACACAATATTGAATTTTGTCCCAAAGAATTTGTTTGAACAGTTCCGTAGAATTGCAAACTTTTACTTCCTCTGCATTGGTGTGATTCAGGTAAGGATAAATAGCTTTCTTGTTCAAACCATGTTCTTGAGACCATACATTCTTTTCATTGCTTAATATAATTACCTATACCAATCACCTAAACTTTCTTTTCAACCTGGAAACAAAAGTGTGTTAATGTAACTTTTCCCATTTGATCCAAATCAATTTAGTTAATAGAATTTGTATCTGTTTGAACAGAAACTATAGCAGGTCAGAAAATGTACATCAAATTTATTAGCTTGACAATGTTTGTATTATTTGAATTTAAAGGCTTAATAATCTTTTTTGTTTATAATTTGATAAGATATTTCCTCTTATCAGTTTTCTCCTGTAACTAGCAATCTAACAGTCCTTGACATTACATGTTTGTGTAACACAGACATGTCACTACGTTGACAACTGTATTAGCACTACTTCCTCTACTAGGGAGGAAATAGTGGCCACTGATTTATATGTGCAGTCAATTCCTTTCACCCGGCTCTCAAGTATATCTGGAAAATTTGCAGCATTTATTTGGCTTTTTTATATATCAAGTTACTATCAAGGCAATGGTCTATGAGCAAGTGTGTTTCATGCTTTGTTGTATTCATCTTTCCATCAAAAATATGTCAAGAATTCCATTCCTTTTTCTCAGCTTCTAGACTTCATGGTTTATGTAGTGACAACTCTGACTTCCTGCCTATCCTGTTTGTGTTGTTCAAGTGGGCCACCACTGCACCAAACAAATTGATGACAATCAGCACAACAAATATCGCAGAAGGAAAATACAGATCAAATTCCATCCACCCTCACAATCTTGCAGTTAAATCTATCATTCATAAAAACTTAAAAAGTGCTTTGAACAAAATAATCCCCAAACTGGTACAATTTTTTTGCACCTTCCACTTATTTCATGCAAACGCAACAAAACTTAGGCAACTTTCAATTAAGATGTTCACTACTAACTAATGATCAACTCAGAACTTTCAAATATGCATGGGCGTGATGCAACACTTGTCCTTTCATTCATAATGACTAAAAATTTTTGGTACCCAAGCCATCAAAATTACTGATAATTTCAAGTGCACTTCTGCCAATGCCATATATATCATGACTTGCACTTATTGCAAAAAGGTATACATTGGCAAAACCTGAAGAAGGCTAGGTGACCAATTCCTAGAGCACCTTGGTGAAGTAGAAAGAAGTAAAAAAGATGCTTCCAAACCAGCAGCTACATACTTTAATCTCCCTAATCATTCTAAGAAACATGTGGCAGTCTGCATCCTTTCCTTACATCGAGGTGGTTCACAAAATCGCCAAACTCTAGGACAAAAATTTCTTACTCAAATAGGCACTCTTAATCCCTATGAATATCAATGAACATTTTTTATTCACTCAATTAATATATTCTTGTTTTGTTATTATACCATTTTCCTACCAGTAGGGTAGCTCTATTTTATGCATGTAAACACACACGCAATCCACAACAATTAAAATGTCAGCTTTGCAGTGGCGAATTGACATTTATTTATCAACTCAGTTGATGAAACCAAATGATCTTGTTATACTCCCTTCTGATGTAGCCCACAGTTTCTTAGAAAGCTTCCTCCCTCTTTAGGAGGTAGTGTTCACTGTAGAGATCTGGCCTTCCAGCACAGATCGTGATGTGCTTAAATTTTCATCAAAAACAGTATGTCCCGGATAATGACCTTCTTTTGATGTTGCAGCTCTTAATTGACAGCCCTGTGAGTCCAGTGACCAGTATTCTTCCTCTGGTCTTTGTGATAACAGTCACTGCCATGAAACAGGTGTGTAAAACACTATAACTATTGCCCAAAGGGCTGGTACATACATGTACCACTTATGGGTAAACCCAAAATAATTTAGATTAAAAAAAAAGACAGTGTAAGCTACTGTCATAGCCACAGTAGAATGACACTAAATGGTAGACTGTTTTAAGGTAGTGGCAAGGCCAGGGTCCAAAACTACAACCAGCTGCTCACCACTGCAACTGAAAATGGAATGTAGCAGACCAGAATTTTGAGGCTATGTGCCTGCAAGTGACAAGCTTAGTTTCTTGTGAGTGTTCTGAGTGCACTCATTTTTATATTCTAGGCTCTGAAGCAAATAATGAAGGAAAAAGAATACTTTGGATCCTGATAAAGTCTGCTGAAAACACTCATTATTTTTGGCTTCTTTTGGCTCCATAGGGCATGATATGTGACATCACCTATATCCAAATAGTGTGTTCCTTTATGGCAATTCCAAGGTTTTCCATTTCCACTGCCTCTACTGCCAGATAGCTTATTCTCCTCCAGGAAATAGAAAGTGAAGCTTCAAGAATGCATGTGCATGGCAATCTCCTGAAATCAATAAAATAGATCATCATGTCATAAGCTCATGCCCTGGTTTTTCAGCATTTTGAACCCTTTTTTTTCATTGAAATGGGCTTATTCCCTGGTAGATCTCCTATCAAGGACAAAGCATTCATGGCATGTTATAATTGTGTACCCAATGGTTGATGTTTTTACTTTAAGGGTTATGAAGACTGGCTTCGTCATAAGGCAGATAGAGAGGTTAATAACAGACCAGCCAAGGTCATCAGGCAAGGACAGGTGGAAGATATCCCTTCCAAAAATGTCAAGGTGAGGTGCATGTATTAACTGGTTACTCAAGCTGAGTACCTCAAGAAATGCAGATCAGAGAGCTATTTTAATGGCAACAAATGACTATTTTGTGATGGGTTAGTCAAATTAATTTAAATTTGGTTTACTAGGTTTCAGATAAGGAAATTCATGTATGAAATAAAGTGAGATGCTAGTTGTCTTATCACATGGGTGGGACAAAGGAAAAATCTGAGTTCCAGTGTCAACTTGAAACCCAGACCTTCATGTTCCTCACTCTCATGCCCTACCACTAGGGAACAGAGAATTCTACCATAAGGTAGACCATTACTAGGTACATGCAATGTACAAATTAAAGTTAGCAATATAACATGCTAATATTTCAGAGTTATAAAAACCTGAAAAATCCTAATTAAAAATAAAATGAAAACTTCTGTAACAATAGATAGCTAATGTATTTTGATACATGATAATGAATTATAATTGAAATTATAGACATATATTATTCAATATCATTCACTAATTTAATGATGCATAATGAGAGTGGCATTTAAGGTTCTCTTTAGAAGGCAGATACCAGCACTAGAATACTACAGTAGTGTCACTACCTGCCTAGCTTTACATGTTTGCCTGGTTACTTTAATAAGGATGCCCCTAGCACTTAATTAGGTAAAGAACCTGTAGACATTGTTATCTTGGAAGTATGCAGGATGTGTGTTGTATGTTCTCAAGTAACTCCTGGTAGAGCTGTCCGTAGCTGGGTCATAGTGCATAAGAGTGAAATGTTAAGGACTTGGATTTGATCTCGCCAGCCACTCGGATTTCTTTTTGTCATATGCTCATGACAAAAGAAATGACAGCTTTCTTATTCCAGCTGTTGATATGCTCATAATTTAATCTGTCTTTTTTTATGTTCCCTTGAATTTTATTCAACAGTCCATTTTAGTCTGCAAGAACAACCTGATAATATTTTAGTACAGAAAAAAGGATACTTTTTGCCCTATTATCTTTACCAAACAAAATAATGAAAAAAAAAAAAAGGAAAAAGATGCTCTTAAAAATTTTTAGATTGATAGGATTTTATTTCAAATTAAGGGCCCTCGTCAAGGTATGATCTCTAAATAATGTCAATACACACATTGTGATAAACTAAGGTGCTGCTTATTTCTGTGTTAAGAATGTATGCAACTATTAGTCCTCTCTGAAGTGTAATGTACTCTATATCATGTAACAATTAAGAAAAATCCAGTTTTTAAGTGTTCAACAATACTAGTACACTAGTCTTATTCCTCTTGTTCCTTTTGTTCTTAAATCAGTGGGGAATCAAATAAATTTTTCCTGACAGCTTTTAAAACTGACATCTTATGTGATTATACTTTTATCATTACAATAATTACTGTAGTAGTAATGAACATTACTGATTACTTGTATGGGTGTGTGTAGGTTGGTGATATTGTTCAGGTATTAGATGATGAAGAGATTCCTTGTGATCTTGTGGTGCTGTCCTGTGATGACCCAGATGGAACATGTTATATCACAACTGCCAATCTTGATGGTGAAACAAATCTCAAGGTAACTGGAGCCCTCATGCAGTAATTGAAGATAAACTTTTGCATGCAGTATTTTTTAGTACTTGTAATTTAAAAGTGACCCAAGATATTAAAAATACAGCCTTGAACAAACTTATATAATCTCCACCATTCAGGTAAAGAAGACAAACCATGCTCCACAGTTAAAAAAAGACACTGACATAGCACATATTAATGGTATTTTTTTTGCAGGTGCGTAATGCATTGTCTGATACAGCAGGAATGCAGTCTGCTGAGCAGCTCTCTCATTTGATTTCACATGTGGAATGTGAGCACCCAAAGGAAGATTTGTACAGGTGAGGGCAATAGAATTATAACCATACATGTAGTTGTGTTAAACAAAGGGGAGCACATCCTGATCAATTTGGGTCTTGATGTGATTGTTGTCCATTGTATGAGAATGTGGGTATACAGGTAACAATTGACAGTTATTGGCAACAATTTGAAATGAGCAAGATTCTCTCCAAATGGATTGTGTTCCCATTAAATTTTAAATGCAACAAATTTTCAACTTTGATGTTTAATTCTTCTCTTGTTGTGGACTGACTGCTTACAGTCACTCTGAGGACTATCTGCTCCTTGGTGATCACACCAGAAATTTGTTAGTTATAGTGAATTGATACAGGCACATTTCCATCAATTGAAAGAAAGGATTTATTAAGTAATTTACCTCTGATAAACTTAAACAATACATGTATGAGAAATATTAAAAATGATAAGATTAATTATTATTTATTAACTAAATATCATCAACTTTTTACACCCAATAATAGGTATGCATATTCTCCATACTGTTCTCTATACATTGCCTAAATTGCTGAGAGGGAGAATTTGATTTATGGTCGAAAGTTTCTGTTTTTGGTGATCATTTACCTTATTCTTATGAGCTCAAAGTGTGATTCAGGGGTGACACTGCATGGAGAAATTAGATGCCAGCTACTCCTATGGGCTAAAGGGTTAAAGGAGAAGCAACTGCTACTGACAAACCCCCCTATTGTATAATTTTTCATAATTTTGTGTTCTTTAAAATAAGATACTGCAATGTACATACAAGTACATATTATACATTAATTTTGCTCTAGACATGATGCTAGTTATTAATTAAAAGTGTAATTGAAATTTAGTTTCTCAGGTCGAATGGTAGTGACACCTAGAGGGGGTGGAGAATCAGTACTCAAGTGAGATTTTGCACATTTGTGTTGAAAATATTCAACTGTGTATTGTAATTAAGGGATTGTAAAAGCAGGCTAACCAGGACTGTATCAACGAGGAAGTACTGAACAACAGTCAACTGATCAATCAAAATAAATGTTAACTTGCATGTTCATGTATCTATCTACCCAACTTAGTATCATATGGTCCATATGCATACATGTACAGTTTATATGTGTTTTTTAAAACGATGTATGCTACATGTATGTGATATGGGTATGATAACATGTACCTGCTCCATAAGCTGTTAAAGGTTGAGGTATGAACACCTTGAACAATTTAGCACTGATGAAAAAATAATCTTTTGATTACAAATTGGTTGACAAGGTGTGGATGGTACCAGCCATTTTGTATATACTGGTGGTAGGCTTTGACCTTTCTCTGAGAGTTAGGTTCTTTTATAGCATGTATTTGAATCTCTATAAATTTATTATGTCCATGATCAGTAAATATGGTATTAACAAAGTTTTGGAAAAAGATTGAAGTGCATTTAGTATTAATAACTTATTATTTCTTTAGGGCCTTAGGTCCACAGAATCTGCTTTTGAGAGGAGCTCGGTTAAAGAATTCCACATACACTTTTGGTAAATGAATACTATTGTTAAGTCATATCACAAATAGTAAATGTCTCTTTTTGAGTTTCCTACTCTTTGTCACTAATGTAATTTGCACCATTGTAGGTGTTGCTGTCTACACTGGCAGGGAAACAAAGGTAAGAATCAAGACACGTGCAATGGTAATAATCCTTAGGATCACAAATATCAATTATTAAATTGTAATTTTATCAAGAATTTTGTTTAATGATTAATTTTGGTCATCCTTAGAGTGACATTTTGCTGTTAGTGACATAGAGGCTGACTTAGGATGCACCATATGTTATGCAATGCCCATTGTAACAGTATGTTGAAATTTTGGGATATAATTATATTTTAGATAGGAATGGCTCACAAACATAATAATCACTTACTTAAAATTGAGTATTATAGATTGCTTTATTAGAGTTATTGTTTAATGAAATCATTACTGAATGAAAAGATTTCTTTAATTAAATCCAAAGTGAAATATGATTAGTCCATAAAATTCATTTTCTCTCTCTTTTAAGATGGCCCTCAATCAGCAGCAAGGGGCTCACAAGTTTTCAACAGTGGAGAAGTAAAATATGAATTCTCCTAGTTTTTCATCAACTTGGGTCATTTTGTTTTCTAGTTACTTAAAGAACCATTTACACATTTATGACAAAAGTAATGTGATAAGTGTATGTTAAAGGCCTAACTATTACATATGTAAATGTCTGTACCCAATACACTGTCAATTACAGCCACTAATGTTCTGTTAAGTACATTTATTATCATATTGATACCATGACTGAATTAGTATCATGCTCTTTCCCTGAGTCTGTATTGTTATCTTCACTCCAGCCATGATCATGTTCACCCTAGGATTAGATGTTGACCTAATTGTTTTTCTAAATACAGCAGTTAATAACTTACCCTCTCAATGGTCAAATTCACCAAGTACATGCACCAAGATGAGACCATAAAAAGTATATCAAGCAGAGTTAGATTTATCATTGTAAGAACTGCATAAGCTGATATAAATCTAGCTTATTATCATGGTTGTGAAAAATGAGGTGACTTTTTTTGTATGTGTGTTGCAGGACAATGAATGTGTTCCTGATTGTTTTCCTTATCGTGCTGCTGAGTCAAGGAGCTCTGTGTGCTGGTCTGATGTTCTGGAAACAAGGTACACCATCAGGGAAGCCATCCTATATCTATCAAGAAGAACTTAAAATCACAGTAAGTTTATCTGTGTTTTTTGTTTTTAGTATGATTTTTGATGATGAATAATTTTTTCAGTTGACAATACTTTTTCAGTTTGTATCATGAAGGCTAAATGTTTTATCATGAAGTAAATGTAATTTGACCCACAGCTCACCTGTGAAAATCATTGCTTTAATTGATTTTCATCTGCAGGTGGAATGAAAGTTATTGCATTGAAAATTATTTTTAGAGCCCTCCACGGGAAAGAAGAACACTCCAAAATGTGCCTGCTTCTCAAGCTTTGGCTTCATAGCTCATTTGGTAGTAGAACCCAATAAGCATATCTGGGAGGCACAAAATCAAATCTCATTGCAGCCTAAATTTTTTCTCTGCAACTGCTTAAAATGCAACACACTTGTGAGGATCACAGCTTTATACTATGTTGAGTTAATACAATGAAAAAATAAAAATATAAAGAAATTTCCTCCACCTAAATCTGCCCCAAGAAAACTCTTTACTTTCCCTTTAAGTTCACAGGTTCTAATGGTGTACTGGATACATTTCTTGTATTTCTTATTCTGTACAATTATGTCATTCCCATCTCACTGTATGTTACAGTTGGTAAGTTTCCATTATTTACTTTGTCATTTAATGTTGCTGATTACAAAAAGTAAACCAAGGTACCTGTTGTAAAGTGATCATCTAGATAAGGGCAAAATAAGTAGTCACCTTATTGTTGTCAGTTGTGGTGGATATCTGGTAGAATGTAAATTCTTAGTTTAGCTGCATTTTAAATTTAGTGATTAAAAAACTAATTAACTACAATGTAATCCTCAGATTTTTATCAAAGACTGTGTCAAAAACACAGATGCTCAAAACTAAATAAACTATAATTTCATCTTTATGTTAATGTTTCTGATGTTAGATTGATATGTCTTATTTAGCCTGTATACATGTTGCCATTTGTTCTCACCTAGAGCTTCAAAAGTTTATTGGGGCATTGTTTTTTGCTTGGGATCTTAAAATGTACTTGGAGGTGAGAAGAAGATTGTTTCAAGAATTTGTGTGTCAATTTGTTGCATGTATTAGGGTTTTGAATTCATTGTAGGTTCTTATGCAGGTTTATGTATGTCAGCAATGTTCTTGCATAACTAGTAGTTCAAATTTTTAAGCTATGTGAATGTAATTTTGAAATGTTACATGCATCTTGATACTGTAACCACCAACATAGAAACTTAGTAAAGAAACAATAAAGTTTGGTGATTTATGTTGCTAAGTTAGCTTTCATCAGAGTGATAGGAAGCTTCTTTCAAAAGCTTGTTTGTTTGTTTACCTGTTTAGGAAACAGATGAGCGGGCCATTGCCAATACATCTGACCTGAATGAAGAACTAGGACAGGTAGATAATTGATGAGTTTTGTTAAGTTATTGTCTTTTATTCTGATAATTCAAAATAAGAAGCCATCTGAACTCTCAAGGTTGTCAAACTATGTGTGAATTCTATGGATTTTGGTTAACAGCTTTCTCCAGACAGTAGGAATTACAGAGATTTAATGATTGGTGTACATTATTTTCCTAGATCGAGTATGTGTTTACTGACAAGACAGGAACACTTACTGAAAATGATATGCAGTTCAGAGAATGTTCTATAAATGGTTACCAATATGTGGTGAGTAATCATGCAACATGGAAATCTTTGCTAACTTTGTTTAGAGTAAGGGAACCTTTGTCTAGAAATTAATATTGTTTACATAGTTACATGATCAATCGTACTTTAAAAACAGTTTTTTTTATTATTTAAATTTTCAGCTTGGTACAGACTTATCTGTGTCTCAGTTTTTTTTATTATTATTAAACTATGTAAACCAGTTTATCTTGGGATTTAGCTTCATTGATACTTTTTAATCGTGTTAAATGTTTTATTTTTGTTTGTTTTCTTTTCCAGGAGTTAAACAGTCAGTTATTTGTGGCAGATCAAACAGATGGTGCTTGTGTTTCTGCTCAAAGTGTCTCTGTAGGTTGAAGTTTATTTGTAACTTCCATAATTTTAATGAAAAAGATTCATCCAATAAACTTGGATTCCACTAACCTGTATGTCCAGTGGAATTTGTGACTGTCTAATGTAATTTTATTTTGTTTTTAACTCTTATCAAGACACCTACATAACCAAGAATAACATGTTTGTGCTTGCATGATTTTATTTTCAGTCAGAAGTTATGCAGTTCTTCTTGGCACTGTCCCTTTGCCATACTGTTCAAGCCTCCAAGGAGACCAATCAAGATTCTATCTATGATTATCGGTACCAGGTAACTGTGACAATTGCTAATTATTTATTTATTTATTTAATGGATTTGTACAAGTACAGGTGCACAAGTACAAGTAAGCTAAGTTTAGTAAAAAGAACAAAGACATTCTCTACTCTTTGAGTAGAAAGCAGAGAAGTGTGTACAAGTCACGGGGTTTTTTACCTTCTTAAAGTCACATTCTCTTAAATTTTTATTTGTCTAGTGCCAGTGACTTAACTGGCAGCTAAAGGCTCTATTTTTTTCCCTTACAAAGTTTTTCTCTTTTAGAACTTAATTAGTATTCCTTTACAAGTGTCTTAAAGTTTAAAGGCTTGTTTTTTGAGATTTTGAAAAATATTGTGTTTCTCATGCAGGCTTCATCTCCTGATGAAAAAGCTTTAGTGGAGGCAGCTGTAAGGTGAGCTGTTATTAGTCTGATTATATCATTTTCCTTCCCTGTTACACTGCCTCTTGCTCTCTGACCCTCTGCCCACCCTCTCACCCCCCCTACCCACAAACCCCCCCTCCCGTCACTTCATAGGTTTCTTCTCTGTCCTTCCTCATTAGGCTAGCAGGATTGTGTAGTTTCTTCTCTTTTTTTTCCTAAGCCCACTATATGTGGGGTCAGTGACAGGCTGCTGCTTGTTTGATTCATCTGTTTCATTGGTACTGTTTTGTTTACAGATTTGGAGTCACCTACCGAGGAAAGATCGGTGATGATATCGAAGTCAAAGTTGATGATGTGATTGAAAGGTTAATGAAACTTATTGGGTTGTGGTTCAGAGAGATTTGTTAAGTGAAGCGTAAATGATCTAAGAGCTACATCTGTGGTATTTTTTTTTTATTCCAGGTACACACTTCTTCATGTTCTTGAATTTGATTCAACAAGAAAAAGAATGAGTGTTATCGTTAAGTCACCGAGAGGTAAGTGAACCTAAGATTTATGCCTTTTGAAGACAATATGTGATTCTCTTGAAGACAATATGTGATTCTCTTGAAGACAGTACTGTGATTCTCTTGAGGACAGTGCTGCAATTCTCTTGAAGTCGATGTTTGTACTAGATTTTGTCGGTCAATTTCTTTACCTTAACAGGAAAAATTTCCGTTATCATGGTCGCTTCAAGAATAAGCTTCGGGGAAAATTTCAGAAGTAGTTTTTTATAGGGCTCTAAGGATCAGGACTTAGGAGTATTATGAGCAAGTCATCTCTGTAGTTTATCACAATGCACTCACATCGACATGTCCAAACTAGAAATTATCTAGTTTTCATTTTAAAGTTTACTTCGTTGTCTTTGTTCCAGGTGAGCATGTGATGCTAGTGAAGGGAGCTGACACTGCTGTGCTGGATCGACTGGTGTCTGGACCCAAAGATATTACTCTTGATCATGTGAATGAATATGCCGAGGTGTGTGTGACAGTTGAACTAGCTGATGTCACTTCCGAGATGATGAATCAATCAACCTGTAGTCAGCTGTGGAATAGCGCTACCACACCTGAGTTTAAATATTTTAAAGTTGCTATTGGTATTGAGTTGTTTTCTTGTGGTTAACAGAAAGGACTGCGGACATTAGCTGTTGGTCGTAGAGTGCTTTCTGGAGAAGAATATGTTGTTATTAATGCTAAGGTGAGTGCTTCATTTACTAAAACCAGCAGTATCATAAACCTCTTTCTGAAAATAACAACTTGAAAAGGTTGCTTATTATTAAGCAACGTTATTAATTGAATGACATAGAGGAGATGAATTATAACCAAGAGGAAACTTGCCCTTTGCTAGCTTTTTTTAATTGGGAAACACCCAAACTATCAGTACCAATCTGTTTCTTATCCCTTTATGATTTGTGAATATTGCTGATTGTTTGCAATTTAGATCAACAAGGCCAAACAAGCAATTCTTGATAGAGAAGAACAGGTATGTATACACGTCTGTTGTTGTATTTGAACTTAAACGTGTTCTGAAAAGCCTCTATTGATGTGTAAAAATCTAGATCAATCTGCGAGCTTCCACAAATTGTTCAGGAGACATTGAGCCCTCATTTTAATAGCACTACAAACTAATTAAAAAGAAAATGCCTTAAAGTGGATCTTTGTTTAAAATTGTAGTTACGCCTTTGCGTCTCAATGTTTGGGTTATCGTTCTTGTAAGGAACGTTTGTTTGTGCCTACTGATTCTAATTGCATATTTTGGTTGATGATGCAGCTTGCACGTGTTTATGATGAAGTGGAGAGAGATTTTCACATCCTTGGAGCAACGGCTGTTGAAGATAGGTATGTTAGTCGTAATTACATTTGGTGCAACCTGTGAACATACAGTAGTTTATTCAGAGCAAGAAGATGGGTAAGTTGAAGGATTCAGTAAGATTCATTAAGGAAATTAGAGCCTTTTTGTCAAACTTCAGGTAGGTTGACTAGACTTATCATACAATGTTTTCCACCTGTTTGGTTCCAGATTGCAGGATGGAGTTCCGCAAACAATAGAAGCCTTGCGTGAAGCAGGGATCAAGGTAAGCACGACAGTGAATATATGCATATATTTCATTTCTTTAAGAATATGTACCAGTCCTTAACTCTAAATTTCTCGCTATATTCCTACATTTGTCTCGTGGTCCTTGAGGTATATTTCGGTGTTGCTGTTTATTTTGATGCCTGTTTTTTTGTACAGGTGTGGGTTCTTACTGGAGACAAGCAGGAAACAGCAGTCAACATCAGTCACTCATGTGGACATTTCAAGGTTTCATATACAAACCTTTTTGTACAAAACTTACATTGACAGTGATGGGTCTTTTGTGATTACCATGGTGAACTGTTGGTGATGCTACACAAAGTGATAATTGTTAGCGTGGCTTTTAATAATAAATTGTTGAAAATTGGTCGGTGATAATTCTTCTTCTACGTCTATTGTCGGGCCATGGAAAGTTGTCAGTCGTATTAGGAAGGTTATAATGTAATTAAAATACTGGTTTTCCATTCGCTTGACAGACAAAGCGTGTTTCAGTTTTACATTCCCTCAGACCAATGTTTCGAGTTGTAATGTCCCAGAGTGTTACCTTTCACTGCCTCTGGTGATGTTGCGTATCTTAGAAGGTCTAAGATCTGCTTCGTTGTCTAGGTCTATGTATTATGATTGGTACACCCAATGTTACCCATTACCAAAGATTGAGTGGGGGATTGAATGGTTATAAGATTGTGTTCACGAAATGGTCGTCAGACATTGTGCTCCTCTGCGACAGCTGTGGCTGGAATTGGACAACTGTGACAATTCTGTCTCTGTCCTTTGTAGGCGGGAATGGAAATGATGTTTGTCACAAAGAAGCAGTCGGAGAGAGAATGTCAAGAAGAGCTTGTTAGCTGCCGTGACAAGTGGGTAGTTTTAATGCTGGAAAACTGTGTCATATGTGAATTACTATTCGTGGCACGTTGTGACAGATCATTGTTCTTATTTTTATTTTGTGCTCCGTGGTTGCAGGATTCAACGCCGACCGCCCACAGACAGTAGGCAGTATGCTTTAGTTATCGACGGTGTTAGTTTGTCTCATGTTCTTCGGGGCTGTTCAGGTAAGCGCAGTTACCTCATATCGAAAAGTGTGTTTCTATTGAAATGAAATTAGGAGAGCGGAGACAATTGAAAAATCCAAACTTGCTAACTCCAGGCTAACAGGAGTTGGGTTTCGAGACCTTCATAGAAGGGGTACATTGAAATTTATTGGTGACTCTCTGAGCGTCAGTCATCACCAAATCCTTATTTCTATTTGTCAGTCTATTTCTGTTTTTAGTAATTACAGAAAAAGAGAAGTTGCCGCAAAGCTTACAGATGTTACAATGTCGGGGGGGGGGGGGTAGATTATGTAAAGAATGGTCAGCAACACCGCTTTTATGACTTGTGTAGGAGTAGTCTTGAACAGTTTATTTCATACTAAGAGGCAATTCTTCGTTTAAGTCGTAGTTACCAGGTTTCGTTATGTGTAAAATGGCATGTACTTGTTTTTTACAGAATTGTTTGAAGGAATCTGTCAAAAATGTGTTGCTGTATTGTGCTGTAGAATGTCGCCTTTACAGAAAGCTCAGGTATCTTGCGTAAATAATAGTGATAATGATGAAGATAAAGGCATTTGCCTTTTTTTTCAACCTCAGCATCACACGCAAGTTCTCAGTTCATGAGTATTTGCAAAGACGTGATAGGCTTGGAAAAAAAAGTTCACGAAAAATTTTAACTCAAGAAGCAAAATTTAGTCTCTAACTTGAAATTTGCCATAAAAGATTCAATAAAAGTGATCACCAGTTGTTTCTATTTTGTCGACTGTTTATTTATTCGAATTATTTTACTTAATGTTATACTCAGTCCGATCCTGAAAACGTCAAGGCTTTGATAACAATGCAAGCAGCGTCACCACCAGATTACATGATGACATAATTTGTCACCAGTTTTCGACTCCCGTAAATGCGGACACCCTCGGTGGGGGGAGAAGATGTAGAAGATGTAGTGTCTGTAATAGCGGGGTACGAAAGAAAAACAAAATTGTTTTTTCTCTAAACATATGAAATAATATGTAACTACGCAAACGTGGCTTCATCAACTGGAATAAGATCCGGCCGCAAGAAGGAAGTTCTCATGTTCGCACCCATTTGGTGAATGGTTTCTTTGTTTTCCTTCATCGTGATGTCGCTCTATATTATGTGAGTCAGGATTTTTGACGAATTACCTTAGTTTCCACTATAGTGAGAGAAAATAACAAGTGAAATATCGCGCTTGGAGGGGGGGAGGGGGGCACGAAAGTGTCCGCATTTCCGCATTAACGAGAGTCCGTAAAGACGGGAGTTTATTTCAGTCATTTCTTTATGAGTTTCGCCGAATAGCGGGGTGTCCGTAATAGCGAGGTATCCGCAGGGCGAGAGTTGGTTGTATGTAGTTTTTTGCTCTCTGGAATATCAAAAGAGAATGAGTTTTGTTTCCTATGACGAAGTCTGTGTTTCTGTTTACAGATTGTCCAGTTAGTAAAGAGCTCCTGTGAGAAGCCGGTGACTCTCGCCATAGGTGACGGTGCTAATGATTGTGGTATGATTCAAGAGGCTCATGTGGGTATCGGTATCATGGGAAAAGAGGGTCGGCAGGCGGTCAGGACAAGTGACTACGCTGTGGCTAGGTTCAAATTTCTACGGAGGATACTGTTGGTGCATGGCCACTGGTATTATGTTAGAGCTGCAGTTATGGTGCAGTACTTTTTCTATAAGGTAAATTATTTTGCTTTGGGTAAACCTTGTTAGGTCCATGTGCACACAGCTACAGGTGCACATACAGTGATTCAAAGAACATAAGCAATGGCCGCCTTGTGGGTAGAGTGAAGTGGTCGTTATAGAAAGGTGGCTGCGTTAGGGAGAGGTTGGGTTACAATATCACAAATTTTATTTCGAAGGCTAGAACTTTTTATTTATTTATTTATTTTAATATACTTTTCCGAGGAGGTTAATGCTTAAAGTGATCAAAATATATTTATGACAACGAAATAAGAAACTAATTCTCGAGTGAAGCCAAGTGACTACATTCGTCGTGCATCGTTCGGTTTTAGTCTCGAAGGCGAATAATTTTTTCTACCGATAAATAGAGCTGACAGCGATGGTTTGCTCGAGCGAATTGTCACAGCGCCGCTCATCAGTCGGTGATGAATTGGTTTTGGTTGAGAGATTTATTTTTGTACGATTAGGACGCGCTTTAATTATGGTTGCTGGTTTAGACAGGTGGCCTTTTTTGATAGAAAACAGGGAAGTGGTTGGTGAAAAATGGTTCAACCCGTATTTAGTAAGAGTGTGTGATGCGCTCTATCTAAATTAAAATTGGAAGGTAAAGAAGTGGTTCGCCCCTCCCCCCAACCTATGTATTTTGACGTGATCATTCTCTGTGTGCCTGAAAAATGTTGATAAAAAATTATGTTCTTCCAACTAATCGTATTGATCTTACCGAGTCTAACAAGTGCTTACTTCCTCGTTGTGACACTCCTCGGTTTAAAGTACCACGAGTCCAGTATTTACAGGGCAAACCCCAAGTCCCTCAACTTGTTGTATTCTAACATAGCGTTATGTTCTATTTATCAGAATGTGTGTTTCATCACACCACAGTTTTTCTACGCATTTTTTACCTCTTTCTCCGGTCAGGTGCGTATATAAATGCAATATTTGAGTCCTCATTGAATAGGCCACACTTTTTCCGTAGTCTGAAGAGGATTATTTTGTTTATGCATAGCATGTGCGACAGGAAACATTATCAGAATAATAGTAGATGCAAAGTTACGCTTGCAGCAGCAATCAGCCAGGCAGGGCTTGCTGTATAAGCTATAGCTTAACTTTGTGTATGATTTGTTCCTCTTTGCAGCCGTTGTACCTCGCATTCTTTTTAACCGCTTACAACATTTTCTTCACGTCGCTTCCCATTTTTGTCTATGGCATATTTGAGCAGAATGTCAACGGTGACGCATTACAAAGTCAGCCGCACTTATACAGGTTCTGTATGCAAATGTTTGTTGGTAATACTTTTCTTCATTGTCATCAAATACCCTCCTAGCTGTTTTAAATTGGTACCCCTAGAACCATAAAGCATACCTAAACTATTGAAGAACCAATTGATTTAAATTCGAATTTTATCAACCTATACCTGTTTTCACGATAATAAAATGTTTGAAGTCATTGTTTCATTTTGTTCTGTGATTGGTTTGTATTGTTTATTGTTATTTTTTTTCCGTTGGTACACTGTGAATATGTTAATGAAGAAACTTTTGAAACCATGAAACAAACTAAAAGAACGGCAGATTGACAACTGGTAATCGAATGTAGTAGCCTCCTGCCAGTTTTACGGGTTCTTATCAAAATTAAACATTTCCTTTTTTCCTTAGGGATATAAGTAAGAATTATCGCTTATCATGGACAGAATTCTTCTTTTGGGTAATGTCTGGTGAGTTGTTTTAGGTTTACACTTTCTGCGTACTTATTTTCTGTATCTTTGGTTTTGTTTTTTTCTCTTTTTTTCCCTCTCTTACTGATTATATTGAGTAATGGTTGTGTTTTTATCGTAAGGTTATTGGCACGCATTAGTATTCTTTTTTGGATCGTACTTCTTCTTTCAAGGCGACGCAATAGGACCTGCCATGTTGGTAAGATATTTGTCGTACGTTCAATTTTACCGTCTTCGACTAGAAATCGAAATCTGTCTTGGTTAGCTGCAATACAATATGAGATATATTTTCAAATGTAGCTCACTCCACTAATCAAATGAAAGGTGTAATGCACTATGAGCTAAGATGTCACCCAACTTTTCCCCTTGTCCTGTGGAGGTCGACATAGTGTAATCACCATTGTTTGATTGATACTTTGTAAGTAGGTCTGTGGTTCTTTTCCTCTTTCAAATGAAAGAAGCAAATATCTTTACTGCTTAGTTACATTCAATAAGTGAAGAAGCATCGTATTCCTCTTTTTTTCTTTCCCCAGCAATATGGGAACTGGTCATTTGGAACGTTTGTGTTTACTGTTTGCGTCATAGTCAGTAATCTCAAGGTAAGTACTCAGTGTTTTGGTAGAAAAAAAGAATCATTCGGAAACAACTTCATGCAACTGTCGCCAGTCACGCATTAATAGATAAACGTCGTCATGATTACTGATATTATCTACATTTCAGCTGGCACTGGTTACACATTACTGGACATGGATGACTCACGTTTCTACATGGGGCTCCATCATTCTGTTCTTCGTGTCCACCATCACATATAACAGTGAGACTTGGTAAGTACACAGAACATAATTTTTACCCGTTGAGAACTTAAGTGTACGTATCCATATTGCACCGACTGTTCGTGGACTGTTGGCATATTTCAAAAAAAAAAACTGCTATACAGAATTATGTGTACGTTTTAGAAAGTGCACTTACTGTTCATGGACTGTTGACTTATTCCAAGATATAATTTCTGCTATACAGAATTAAGTATATGTTTTAGAAAGTGTACTGACATGTTCATGGACTGTTGGCATATTCCAAGAAAACATTTCTGCAATACAGAATTAAGTATATGTTTTAGGCATGAGTAAAGCTTCTTAGTGCCCTGTCGCCAAACTTCATCATGATAATCACCGATTATTCCGGTCAAAGTACTGTTGTGTGATCATGCGGGTACAATTGTACAGGATACCATTTTGAAGGAGCTGTATCAGTGTGTTTGATACGCCAAATGTACACGTTTCTGGACTAACCATAGGATCCAACCATTAATATTGCTTTTCAGGAAGGGTTTCCAGCTAGCATTCAGTGACGCGATATCATTAGACATGTACAAATTATTCTACCAACTGCTGTCCCAAGGAGTGGTATGGCTGGCCATATTGTTACTCATCTTCATGGCTCTTTTACCTGATATCTTCTTCATGCTCGTTGGTCGACAATTTTATCCTTCAGAGACACAAAGAGTACAGGTGATTGTTATCCCATTTTTTCTGTTTAGTCTTAAGGATTTCTTTATATGTGTTAATGGGAAGCTTTGTTATTAATCCTAAGTGAGTTGGATTGCTTGGGAAAGGTGTGTCAAGCATCTTCCTCAACTGACAAATATCAACTCGAGTTGTTTCGTAACAGAGACACAAGCGAGCGGTTTTACTTTTTCCTATTTTTCCATTATCTTTGGAATGTGGACAAAGGATCCATTTTTTCATTTTAGCGACGAGTCCTTGTGGTGAAGTCCGTATCTTGCTTCATCATAAAAGACGCTAATGACCCGAAAAACTCATTCTTTCTCATCCCGACGCGCATGAACAGTTTCTCAGTTCTGTCTGTTGTCCTTCTTTAAAAAAACCCGCTACTGCAACTGAAAATCTGTCAACAATTCGCACATTCTGAATGGGATGCTACATCTGTAAACTAATCTGCAAATACCACTTCGTTAAAACTTGATATGTAACATAAAGTTTATTGCAAAACCAAAAAAGATGATGGTTTTCTTTTCGTTGGTTCACTTAAACCGATCAGTTGTCCGCAACCTAAAAATTAAACCAGCCAGTTAGGCAGGTAAATCGGCACCAATATCAACTGCTCAATGTGAACAGTCGTGTCATTTGCCTGGAGACTTTCTGTTTCAAGCTATAGTCATTCGTATCAAAACATCATTTAAGTTCATGGACGGATCGTACAATATTTTGTTTTGTCGAACCAAACCGTTGTTCAATGTGCGTGGTCTGACGAGTATCTCTCATTGGATAACTTCAATCTCGGACAACACATCAATGCAGGTAGAGTTCTTTTCCAGCTTTTAGTAGTCTTTCACTTTAAAGGAAAACGCACTAGGTGTAGCGAATAATTAACTAATACTTTTCCCATTTTTACACATCTTTCAACGATGTAAATTTGATCTGAAACCTGTGGCCATCGACCGCGCGTAATTGCACCTGAAATCACTACATTGAGTTGCACATAGTTCTCTATCACATTTAGCGCTTTTTTTCTTAGTTCAAGATCTTTGTTTTCAGGTTGATACCGGAAGACAGGATAGGGCAGTACTTACAAGCAGTGTGGATGTTGGCACAGTATCGTCTGTGGCACCAGAGTTCTCTACTGAAAGCGACGTGTCATTGATCGCATTTACTAGTAGCAATAATTCAGATTTGCAGCAAGCTTAAGAACTTTTTGAGCTAGTTATTGGATTATTTTTCAGTAAATTTTACAATTTAGTGAATTTAGACTGTTTTAATGATAAATTAATCGTATGAGATTGTGTGAGTTAAAATCTAGACCGGTGCTTTCTTGAGTAAATAAGATACTAAAAATAATTTTAAAATATAGTGAGATGATATGAGGATGAAATAGCTAAAGAAATTACTTAGAATACCTAAATTTGTAGAAGATGATTACTCGTGAATATAACTTTTTCTTTGTTCAGAAAGTACTTAAACATTACAAAGAGAATTTTGAAAATAAACTTTAGAATGAATTGAGTACTTATTTTGTTAGTTTGGACGACATCCCCAAGGGAAGGTTGACGTGCTCAAATTGGTATTATTCTAAACCACTCCTACTTTTTTTAACTTTTAACATTTAAAATGAGACAGTTATTATGGTCAACCGAAAGGAAAATTCTTGTCAGTGACATGTAAACCCCAGAATTATGAGTTTCGTTTGCATAGCACTTCTTAAGAGGGTTTTAGCTTTTTTTTTTTCTTTCCAGTGCGACCTCTTTCTTTTAGAAAGTGGTTGATAGAGAGGTACAGAATATAGTGCAATCAGCATTTTACTTTTCATTCCTATTCCCTCTGTTTTTTTTTTTTTTTTTTTTGCTTTATTTCGTTTTGCTTGCTTCTGGTTGGGTATTTTTTTTAACTTGCACTTCTGTTGTAATTACGTTGCTTTTGTGTAACTGATCATTCTTTCTATCAAGGCGCAGGGCCAAAGACGAGCTGTTGTCAGTAATTACTTTAATGCAATATGTCCTGAGGAGAGTATCCGGGACAACTAGTAAGTCGAGCATGGCAGCTGATGAAACCAGCGAAATAATTGGTTATCTATTGCTTTACTTCACCGTCTATTTGTACATTCAAGAGGTACATTAATGCAAGTGCTGCGCTTTGGCCCTGCCCTCTAACAAGCAGGATCTATTCTTGACTCTTTCATCTATTACTAGAGCTGATCTGCTAACCACTAATCGTTTGGTTTTGGTTACTTTGCTTTTTTTTTTTTTTTTTTTTAAAGAAAAAAACAGCCACGAACACTCTTTTTCACTGAATGTCCTACCGAGTAAATTGTTTTTCACTGTGAATCTATCTGATGTCTACATGAGCACCATCACCCTGAATTTTTATAACCGTTGTGATGTGTAAAGTGTCTGTGTTCGTGTGTAAGTTGCACTTTTTATTTAGGTGAGTTCTTCGCGTTTTCCGATAATTCAAATCTCTCACTTTATTTGTAGGTGAGAGTGATTCATTCTCTGGAGACGTGGCTGTAGCTGCTGCTGCTTCTCAGCTGCTGTTCTTCTTCTCACTTACTGTGGATATCCTTACCTTTCACTGGAGTGCAGTCATCTTTCACTCATATATTCTCACTTAGTTGCCGTTTTAACTTTGTTTTGAAAACAAAGTTAAAACAGTTTGCTCTAGCGAAGGAACATATTTCTTTTGATTTCTTTAAACAACTTCCCACGATCCCAGTAGGATAAATGCAACTGATCCATTCTCTTTCGTTTCCTCAATCAGGAACATAATTCTCAACTCGAAGCTCTTCTTCCTTGACTTTCTCTTTTCTTCTTTTTCATTTTGAATGAGACGAGAAAATCAGATGCAGACAGGTTAAGGGGTCAGTTTCTTATTTAAGTAGTTATTAGTTAGCTTGTGAGCTCTGAAACATATTGAAAATTTGCAATGAAAATGCCGCCGATCATAACAACAAGTAGGCAGACTCAGATGAACCAATCAGGCTTGTCTAAAATCACGCAAAGAAGGTTACTTCGTCCTGAAAAGTGAGGAGAGATAGATGGCAAATTTTACTTACTTTCAAACAGATACGATGAAACATTGAGAGTAACTAGGGATCTTCTCATTGTACGATCAATGTTTCTTTTGTAGATTTGAGGCTAGAAACAAAATAACTAGGAACGACGAAATCTGGTGTTGGTGCACAATTTCACTTGTTTTTAACCAGTTTTTAGTGTAACGTAATTTGTGAGGTGATGTAAATTTTTTTCAACTGGTATGAGGCCACAGTTGACGAAAATTATTGTACTTAAGTCTAAAATCTGAATGGAGAAACGTATGTCATTATTTATGGTTCAAATAAAATGTTTCTGAATGTAAGAAACGCATCCATTTATTTTTAGTAGTTGAAGGCTATTCGTGTAACATTTGCAGAATTTAACCTAATTCTTTCACACGCTTCCAATAGGTCGAGTACTCTAATAAGCTTGTGAATAAACATGAAAGTTTCACCTGACCCTATGACTTTGAGTTCCTCTCTTGTTTATCCACACTACGGTGTTAACTACAGCACAAATCACATCTTAACAAGACATGCTCCAGTATTTGCATCAGGACTATATTGGGTTTAGCAGGGTTTCACTAAAAGCCGGTTAACGGTGGGCAACCTCCCCCCCCTCACTCTAGAAAGACTCTTATCACCGTCTTCCAAGCACAGCCACCGAGGGAAACACTGTTCAGTGTCGCCGAACAGTATTTCAACAATGTTGAGTGAAATACTCGTCGTAACAACCAATCTTTATTACTCTTATTTAACTTTCTTAAATCCAACACTTGTGGTTAATGACTACAATTTCCCTTTTTTCGGCAAAGGTTGGTATTCTATGAATGACGAAACATTCAGAGTGAAACAAAGCAATTGCACGGGTGCGGATCTTTTCCCCCTCTCGCTTTAGTTACTCTCCCCATTCTTTCCTCTGCTCCCCCCTCCCCCTCACCCTCTCTCCTTCCCCGTCTTTGGTAATGGAAAGTAGACTTTCGACACGTAAAGTTTAAGACTTGTTTGTTTTAAAGAAATTAAAGTTTCTCAGAATCAGACGTGATGGTCGATTTTCTCGAAGGAAAGTCATGAATGTGTGTTGTTAGAATCATTTGATTATAAATGTAAAATTAAGACACCAACTAAATTGCAAAGCTGGAACCTCCCGAATGCAATGTAAATTAGCAATTGTTTACCGACGTGTTGATGAGTAGTGATGGATATCTACCTTTTTCCACCGACTCTGAGGTGAACAATTTTTATTGTATACACCTCGCATGCTGAATAAGCTTCGAAAACTGACTTCACTTTCGTCAATTTTTGACATATGATTGGTCATTAAAATCTTCAGGCTCATTCGCCACGAGAATGTTTCTTTCCACAAAAAAATCCAGTCTTCCTTTCCTGTGGATAGGCAAAATTTCTTAATGCTCCTGCTCAAGTGCCTGTGTATTATTTCTCAATGTGGTTTTCGCATTTCTTTGAGACATTTTGTAACCCCACCCCTGACGCTGCTGAACGTTAGATGTCTGTTCTTTCCCTTCGATAGACTTTAGTTTTTCACCCTAGATTTTGAGGTTGGAAAGCTGAAATAACTCACCATTTAATGCCGTCAAACCAAGCTTCGTTGCAGTTTTTGTATTTTATGTAACAAAAAAGAAAATACGTCATTAACAGCAACGATACGGGAAGTAATTTTGTGTTTCTTCGCCTGCTCAGTAGTGTAAGGTGCTTTGCTAATCACCTCCCAGTAAGCCAATCGACGTGTGTCAAAAGATAAATGCCAATAAGCTAATTATTATTTTTTCTTTGTCTTTCTCAGGCTGATCGTTGTCCAGCAAACAAACACAAAAAGAGTTCAGTGGCTAACTGTAGTGAAACAAGCAACAACAAAACATGTGAATCAATGGTGATACTCGACTATGAGCAGGGAAGTACTGTCACGCTCACTAGTGTGAAGCAGTAACCAGCTGCTGGTTACTTTTTGTCAACTGTACTTCAAACGCAGCCGCTTTTCGCGTAAATCCACCAGCCGAGCGAGAGCTTGGTATAGGGTTCATGGGGAGGGAGGACGAAACACATATTAGAACCTTACATACACGTCATATTTACTTCTTAAGCAAAGGTTTTCACCGAAAACATGAAGTTAGGTAGCTAATTTTACTTAAAAGTAGCTACACTCATGTTGATCAGTCTAATCGAATAAAAGTGCAATAAAGCCTTAGTTTTTAGAGCACCGATAGTTTTTTAAATAAATTGATTCGCACTTAGGAAAAAAACATTAAGTAGGTAATTTCATCTTTTATTACACCCATTTTGAAATCATTGGTGGTCCCTGTAATGTGATTGGCTCTAATTGATGCAATTTACTCACGAATCACACCAATTTTTGCTTGAAACCGCATCTTTTTCTCAGCTAATGAGGAGGCTACACTAAAAACACAACCACCAATCAGATTTCAAGGCTTGTTTAAAGTAACCAATCAAATAGCAGGAAAATGAACGACAAAGAGTATATCATGTGGCAAATTTTGCAACTTTTGCAACTTTTGTTTCCAAACTCTTACTTTTTCCCCCCAAAAATGGATGAATTAATTTCAGACCGGCTCAGTACTGCATCAATAAAATATTTGAACTTACCAAGTACTGTATTTGGGCGATTTCAAAATGGATGTAACAAAGTGGTAATTGAACCTCGTGTCGTGCAATTTTGGTCTGAAATCATACTTGTGATTTCAAATCACGCGTATGATTTCAGCCCAAATTGCATTTCACTCAGTTCAATTTCCATTATTAATATGCTCCAAATTTTCGTCACAGTAAACGTTTGACAAGTTTTAGAGGAGTTCTAGATTACACCAACAAAGTAAGGTTCTGTATAAAACAGTGAAAACTTCGAAGGTGGCTGAAATTAGATTTTGAAGTTAGGTACTGCTAACCCACACTTTATCCAACTGGTTTCCTTTATATCTCCTTCTACCTTCTTTTTATTTGTTATTCACACCCTTCCTTCTATAGAGCAAAACTTTTACCGGACTCAACATTGCAAGGCCGTGAATTATTGTAAATCTTGATAACTAGGATGGCGTTTGAATTATAGGTATCAACAAGAAAGGATAAGGCCATCATTGATGTTGGAATATGTATGTGAACGAAAACAACAACTTGGCTTTCCATTTATTTATAAAATACAATTGATGAACCGATAAGAATAATAGGGATTGTATTTATATAACTTAATTAGAAAATAGCTGCATTTTTTATACATATTCCCTCCAAAATGAGGTAAACACTGTTATAAAACATAATTTAAGCAAAGTTGAATCATTAAAGCCCTGTTTTGTCAATTTATGGCGTACAATCAGTTTTGTGTCCGCATACACGCTTACGAAATATCAAGAGGCAAGTTAATCAAGGTTACTCAAAAAGTGCTCGTTTACTCGTAAACAATAAATAGAAAGAAGAGATTGTAAGAAAGCTGATTTCGGAAAGTCACTCTACGCGTTCGGCCAATCATGAAAGAGGTAGTGTGTTGAATGTATTTGATTTGAATTATTGATACTAAAATTAATATCCAACAAGCCAGGGAAATTTTCCAAGTATAAAAAATCCTCACTTGAAGTCTGCAAGTTCGGTTTTTGTTTTCAACTGAAGTATCGTAAACTAGTTAATAGGAGACGGAAATCTCCAAATTGAATTCATTAAGAATTCTCAAAGGGACTTTGCCTGGTGAAGTCAAAAGCGTATTTTGAAAGATTTTGGGCTTTAATTGATGCTTACTTTTAAGTGATTCGAGTCTTCTTTGGCATATGGGCTCTTCATTTGGACTTCCAAAATTCCTATCTCGATTAAGATTGAAGGTAGACAACCTCCCTATGTTGAAAGTCGCAAACCCGTGTTGCGCCTGCTGTACATCTCATCGCATGTTATTAATTCAGTGTGTGGTGTTAACATATAGAGGCATATAACTTACATACAGAGTTACGTTGCGCGCGCAGGGCGCTCGCTGAGCCCTTCTAATATAACTAAAGAAAACCAATAAGATCCCGGAAATCTTGTCAGATGATGTACAGTCAATTAACTGTGATGCCCAATCACTGAAATTTTTATAAACCTCAGGTGTTTCTTTCAAGTCGTATGATAATTTGTACTCTTGGAGAATTTCTCGGTCCTACATGGTGAAGAGAAACATAGAGCGCATTTACTGAATACTTCCCGAACCCACCTTTACCCCGTTATAGACCCATTTATTTGTAATCGTTCATTTTATTCTGTTGTAAGAAGCATACCTTTATGTGGATTCAAAGACTGGAAATGTTGCCACGTGAAATTTAGTTTTTACGTAAGTCAAACGTCATGAAAAGAAATTAATGACGTCATAAACGCTGAAAGTAAACCCGCGTTGTGATAAATAACGTTGGTTGGCGGCAAGAGTTATGTAGACCACATACACTGTTCTAACATGAACTCAATCGAAAATATTCCGATTGATCAATCTATTTGTTCCCTGTACGAAGGATTTGTGGAATTGGAGGAACTAGTTAGCTATGATAATGAACTCATTTGGAAAGAACGAGCGCGGTGGATTAAGCTCGAAGAAGACGTAGATGAATGTGCCGAGCGATGGGGGAAGCCTCATGTTCCGTGTTTGACATATCGGAGCCTAAGGGAGGTTGAAACGAATCTACAAAATGGAGTGTGTTTGTTGGATCTCAAAAGAGATACTCTACCTTCCATTTGTGATGCAATTATTGGTGAAGTCAAGGCGCAGAAAAAGCTGGAAGATGAAGAATGTCTCATAGTGAAAACTCTTCTGATGACAAGACATGAACATCACCACCAGCATAAAGGTGGAAAACGAGTTCAGAACTTCACCAGGCGCCTGTCACGGATCATGCCCAATGGACAGCGCTCCAGGACGCATTGTAATTCACATTCTCACTCACCAAATGTTTCGGAAGATGTCCACAGTTCAGGAGAAAGATACGAGGATTGGCACCAAGCTAAGTGGGTGACCCTTTTACATTTTTACTGATAAGTACTTAATTACCTGCCTGAGGGTGACAGTAAGTTTTTCCCAAAAACCCTGACGGTAAAGGAGAACAAAACTTACCGTTTTCCTTTGAGCCAGTCATTAAGCGTGCTGTTACACCTCCCAAGATGAAATTTTCCGCTGTTTCAAGGTTCACAGCCTGATCGCGTCTGAGTGGAATTCTTCTTTTGGAGTTAGATATTTGGACGGAGTACTTGATTTAATCTGCATTCACTTGTGTTCTCGTGAAATTTCCTATTGCATGGATTCTAAGGCTAGAATTTATCGACTTAAAAGGCAAATGTTGATTATTTATTTATACGATGATCCCTCTTAATTTCAGGACGCAGCCAAATCCTAAACGAAACGTGTCAAATGATTCTCTAGCAGACGTAGCAGTGAATTTCAGCCATGATCCTGTAGAGGGGTTCGTCGATCAGTTTGAGGATCACAAAGAAAAGTCAGATTTGAGAGGGAAACTTCCGACAAATTCTCAAGCAACCACTGTTTTGGTTGGGGCTCATAATAGCTTGACTTGTACCGTCAGTGCTTTTGTCAGACTCGCCACCGGCTGTGAACTGGGTAACTTAGCTGAAGTACAGATTCCTATAAGGTTTATGTTTATACTGTTGGGACCTGAAGATGACAGGATTGGATATCATGAGGTCGGGCGTTCTTTTGCAACTCTTATGGCAGATAAACTCTTCCTGCAATCTGCTTATATGGCGAAGGTAAATTGCGCATCAAATCTTTCTCAATCCCTAGTCGATCAGCCTTCCTTTCTGTGTAATCTTATATTTACGAGAATTCAAGCCCGATGAGTTAAAAAATTATCATGTAACCATAAATTTTATGATAAAAATCGGTTACTCGTCAGTTGATCGCGATCCTCAGTAACACGTCATGTAAGTTATGGGAGTTGGAGACTTCTACATAGCAGTTGGCAAGTTAGGAAAGAATCACTACTCGAAAATCAGGGTGTGACTATGAAAAACTTATTTTTATCCAATATATTTGTTTTTCAAAGTGGTTACAGGCTAGTTCACCAACCATTAAGTGATGTTGACTCGAACGGAAACTGAAAAAATTTATTATCGATGTTTTAGCGTCAACAGGATCTCCTTGATTCTCTATTCAGCTTTATGGGGGACAGCCTTATAATTCCTCCAGGAGATTGGGATCGAAATCTTCTGAATCAAACAGTACCAATCTTAGCCACTCAGGCTAAGGAATTAGCCTTTAGGAGACGAAGAGGAGGAATTCAAAGCAAGGACAAACCAAACAACGAAACAATTGGCGAGGTTATTCAAGAAAATGAAGTGTGTGATGACCCTTTGTCTAGGACGGGAAAATTTTGTGGTGGACTTATACGAGATTTCAAAAGGCGACTTCCTTTCTACCCGAGTGATTTCAAAGATGCTTTGGACGTACATTGTCTACCGACAATTATCTTTGTGTACTTCGCTTGCCTTGCTCCTGCAATCACCTTCGGCGGTTTGTTGAGTGAGAAAACCAACGCATGGATGGGAGTTTCAGAGATGATATTTGCAACAGCATTATCAGGAGTTCTATTTGGCCTCTTTGCAGGACAGCCGTTGATCATAACAGGGGCTACGGGTCCATTACTTGTGTTCGAGAAAAGCGTATTTCAGTTAAGCGAGCGATTTGAGGTGGAATTCCTCCCTTGGCGAGCTTGGGTTGGAATATGGGTGATGGTGATATGTTTTATCATTGTTGCAGTTGAAGGATGTTTTCTCATCAAATATTTTACACGTTTTACAGAAGAAATATTCGCCCTAATGATATCTATCATTTTTCTTTATGATGCGTTTAATTATGTTGGACATGTCTTTGATATGTATCCCTTGAATGCAGACATCGCGACTTATCTGTTGGTTCCATCAAATTCGACTAATCACAGGGAAGGAAACCCTACAGAATATCAGTCAACAGCGAATACAGCTCTGCTCACCACCGTTTTAATGCTGGGAACCTTCTTTGTCGCTTACTCTTTGAGAAAGTTACGTCACAGTCATTTCTTCGGACCCAGAGCTCGTCGCATAGTCAGTGATTTTGGAGTTTTCATCGCTATTGTTTCCATGGTGACAGTTGGTTGGTTGACAAAGGGTGTGTACACACAAAAACTGTCAGTTCCGGATGGTTTTTCTGTGCCCTCACCAAACAGAAACAGCTGGCTTATTAACCCCATGGGAGAACAACAACATATCAGTGCCGGCGCCATTTTTGGAGCTTTCATTCCCGCAGTTCTTGTCAGTATCTTGATTTTCATGGAAATTGAATTCACCGGTATTATTTTAGACAAAAAAGAACACAAATTGAAAAAAGGCGTGGGTTACAACCTGGATCTCTTCGTCCTTGGACTGTTAGTGGGTCTTTGCTCAATTCTGGGCCTTCCATGGATGTGTGCCACCCCTGTTCATACATTGTCTCACTTTCATTCCCTGACAGTGCTCAGTACTAACAATGCCCCGGGGGAACATCCTCATTTGGTACAAGTCAAAGAACAACGTCTCACCAACATTGTGATTCACCTTCTGATCGGGTTCACTGTTCTTCTTTCGCCAGTGATGCGTCTTATTCCTATCGCTGTTCTGTTTGGAGTGTTTATTTTCCTGGGCGTGTCATCATTATCACACATTCAGCTGGTTGAGCGAGTCAAGTTACTTTTCATCCCTGCTTCTCACCATCCCGTTGAAAAATTCGTGATGAATGTGAAAACGAGAAAAATGCACCTGTTCACTATTGTGCAAGTGTGTTGTGTATGCGCGCTTGTGGCCATGAAGCTCACTGTTATTGCCCCAGCATTTCCTTTCTTTATTATCTGCATGATACCTCTTCGTAAGCTTCTAGAGCGGTTTTTCACCAGTGTAGAGCTAGAGGCGTTAGATACTGAAGTTGAAGATGTCTATGACAGTGACATGGATGAATATGACTCTATACATTTTCCTTTCTAAATTTTTGTTTTAAAGAAATTTAGAAATCTCTGTAGCAGTTAATTGTACTTACCAATGGTCACTCCTAAGTTCGTAAGCGATCATAGAGCTGATAAGAATCTGATGCCTGTGATGGCTGATAAGTGATTGTGAAACAGAACTTCTAGAATTGTTTGTTGTTTTGGGGCGTAGTTCAAACTGTCCATCATTTAAATCAATTTTCCTTGTTATTCTGTTAGCACTGTTAGCTCTGTTTGAGCGTAAACTAAAAAAAACTGTTCAATTATTACGTCTGTTTCATTTCTCTCTAATACATAAACTAATCACAAGGCCACGACCTCGGGGACTCTTGAAGAGGAAAGATGGCAAGTTTCGAGCTCGGTGAAGAACGAGAGAATGATGTTTTTCGTCTTGTCACATGCGTGGGACAAAGAAAAAATTGAGTTCCCATGAGGAATCGAACCTCAGACCTTCGAATTCCGCGCTCCGATGCTCTACCACTGAGCCAAAGAGACTCAAAGGCCCATTACGAAGTTCATAACCATGACGCTATGGACATCGCCGACCATAGCGGTATGCAGGACGCGTGTCATACATGAACTTAGTGATGGGCCTCTCTCACCATAGAGTCTCTGTGGCTCAGTGGTAGAGCAATCCGAAGGTCTGAGGTTCGATTCTTCACGGGGACTCAGAATTTTTTTCTTTGTCCCACGCTCATGACAAGACGAAAACATCTTTTCCCCATCAACTTTCTTACGCTCAAGCCCTCTACACTCGAGCCCGAGGTCATAGGTTGCTCGAAATTGATCTCTGCAATGAGGCCCAAAAATCACTTGCACAGGACTTTTCCACTTCTTTTGATTCTGTTTATGATCCAGGGAAAACAACACGGGATTGCAATCAAAAGGAGAAGAACCAACCAATCACAATACAGCGTTTTCGGCCCTCAAGTCACAAGCAACATCGATTTCGGTCACTTTAATTTCACCAGATCGTAACACCCTGTGCTTTTGATTACGATTACTTCCATCGTTTTTAAACCTTGATTGATAGTTGTCTCTTTCAGAGACTCCCCTTTTAACGTTAGCGTTTTGGAAAAGAAAGTCAGAACGACGGGCTCTGATCACAGGGCACACTTTAGGGTGTCCGTCAAGGAGGGTTGTCTATGCCCCGAGACAGGACGATAGACCAAAGAGGAAAGACCAAAGAGAAAACATAAATTCTAGAAAAATAATCATCCTAGAAGGAAATACCAGGGATAAAACAGACGAACCTCAAGCCAGTTCCACAGTGATTGCTTGTCCGCAGAGCTAAAATCCTTTCTGAGCATAGGTTATTCGACCCCAAAGTCAGTTTGAGAATGACTTTTATAAAACGAAATAAGCAAAAACAAAAAAAAACCCCTTTCAACCCTGAAAATTTTTTCAATAAATAAATTTCCTTCCCTGTGTTATTAGTAATAACGATTTGTGTTGACATTTGAGTTCAAATGTCATTTCTTCAAGAGTCTTTTCCTCGGCTTCACAAGAAACTGCATTAACAACGCTCGGATCATCACTTGCTGCACTCCACTCCAATCTACATCGATGGCTACTTTAATATTGTTATCATTGTTATCATCAATGTTATTACAATTATTTATCTCGATACGGCTTCAACTTGGGTCAAATCTTGTGTTCGCTGTACACTATCCGGGAGTTTCTCATTAACATCTTTGTTTGGTTCCACCTTTGAAAGGCTGCTTTCATTTGACTCCGAGTTTTCTTGATCCTTTCTTCGATCATATTCGCTGTTTTTAGCCTCATTTTTTCGGTGAGGAGGCTTGTCTTCTTCCTGTGTGGAGTCCTGTGGCATGACGGGTTCCAGAAGAACCAATAAGGCGTCGACATCAAGCCGCACATCAAGGAAACTACCCCCACACAGATTAGTCAAGACTGAACTCGGAAAAAATGCCTCTAAACATTCCTTCATGTAAGGCATCACTTGTTTTCCCAACACTTGACAAAAATTGGCAAATGAGGCTCTTTCTGTCTCATTAAGAGCTGTTTCTTCAGTCCTGAAAACGATAAGAAACATTGGATCGAAAGAACACAAAATAATTAGTCGATATGAAGCTTTAACTCGAATTTTTCATTGATACTTGATTCAGTAAAAGTTCAAAACCCACCAAGAGTAACTGGAATCTTGGTGGCACTAGGACACATTTTGTTCACAATTTATATCTACTGATAAGTTTTTGTGCTATTTCTTTCTGTTTCCAAAACCAAAATTTTCCATACGACGAAAATGACAGGAACCTCGACCTTTTGTAAATCAGTACAAATACCATAACGAATTATACCTCCAAAAAACGACAACATAAAAACTTTCATAACTACTCTAACGATATAAACCTGTTTCCTTACCTGTGGAATGCACATGTAGATTGTATGACTGTTTTCAATGCACTGCATACACTATCAGTAACAGGCGATGCGAGGGATATTGGCGCACAATGCCTCAGATTGTTGAAAGCAGAGAGAATACTGTTAATGAATGCTGCCAATGGAGGATGCTGTAACAATTCAATGGGAGGATTGAGCTCATCAGGCTGTCAAGACAACAAAGACATCAAATAAATTCATACTCGTCTGGAAACTTCACATGTTCATCAAATTAAAAAGTTAATGAAAGTGTCTCACGTAAAGGTGACATGAATTTGGCAAAATCAACTTTGAAAACACAGCAACTTTAATCAACAGGAAAGTTCATCTCTACCTGTGCAACAGATGATGATTTGTTTTCAGAGAACCATTGAAAATTTGGTAAGAAATCTTCATTGGAAAATTGTCACCAAAATGAGTACTAAATTAACATAGTTTAAGGTTCAAGTTTGTTTGGTTGACATAATTGCACAAGGACAAAAAACCTTTCACTCATATTTAAAGAAATTGTACTATAAAAGATCTACAGCACAAAAGCTACTGGGGTACACCATTTTTGAACAAAGAATTCCTGAATGAGACTCAATGTACATACACAGATGTACCTATTACACTTTGAGTATGTACTGTAAGTAATGTGCACAAAGTAACAACTTGAACTCTTGTAATCAGAGCAAGCTTTACAGTGAAAGTGATCAATAGATATGATGTTTAATTATTCTAATGAATAGATGTATCACAAAAGTAACAGAGAACAGGAAACTACTATAAGTTCAAGTACCTTGGTTGCCATTGTAGAAATTATTGTGGATGTGACTGTAGAAGGTACTGGCTGTGGTGAGAATGATTTCATGGCTTTATGAAAACTAAAGGAAAAATAAACAAACTGGCTGTGAGTAGATCATTTGATGTACAAACAGATCAAGTTTTATTAATAATTTTGGCATACGTGCAATGTTCCATTCCCCATGTTGTAGCCCAGTTGCACTCATTCCAATGCAGAGTTTGAAATTCCACTGTCACTATGGTGAAATTCCACCATACATGACGTACAATATCTTTTTAATTACTGGGGTCACTTAAACAAAATTAATCAGTTGTATTATTAGAAAAACAACGATTCTTAATAAATTCATATGAGTCAATTGGGCCAACTTAGATGGGAACTATTTATCCTTTCATGTGATCAGACTGGTCAATTTTGTGTAAGTATTGTGAAACATGAGACAGAAATGACATTGAAAGTACTCATGTGATAAAAAATTGTTTGGCTTTGATTTTAATCCAAGCAATAATGCACTTACAAAATAAGTGAAATTCAATTTAAAATGGCTGATTTCCACAACGACTATCTCTCCTTTACCTGTCTGCCACTTTCAGATTACCTTCCACTTAACAGGCATATTTCAACAAAACACATCAATTGACATGGAGTAAGAAGGAGGACACTTTTTTCATCTCAAGGGCACTTTAAATACCTGTCAGTGGCATTATGTACTTCTGTGTTGAATGACTTCAGGGCTGCAGCATGAAAGAGAGGAGGAAGAAGACCTCTAAAGTCTGCTCCCACTCGGCTGAATGACAAACCAAAGTACATACACTGACCAAGCAGTGAGTCAAGACGGTTTCCAACCCCTTGCTCCAAGTCATTCTCTAAAGTGTTCAAGAACTGCTGCACCTTAGAAAAAATATAAAATGTTATCTTGTCAGACATACCTCTTTAAAAAGTTGACTATCTCTTAGACAAATGATGGAAGGAGCTGCATCATATATTCATTTCAGAAAAACTTTTTAATTAAGTGACTTTCTTCTGGGGAGTAAGGATAATATGACAATAGAATGAATGCTGGCATGCAGGTGTACTGCTTTAGTCCAGTTAAAAATAGTGCAAGTTCCTAGTTTTTTATTTTTATTTGATTCATATCACAATCCTGATGACTAAAAAACAAAGAGAAATATGCAAAATGAGGCTCAAAGACTTAAACATACAAGAAATGTTTTAGGCCATAACGCAGAAAAATTTGTCTATTTATTTGGCATTTTTCTCTCACTTTCGAAAATGTTTGACATATTTTTCTGTCTCCAATAGCACACTAATCACAGCCTTTATACTGAATGTTGCCTCACCCAAAGGTGGTTTTCAGGCAAGTACTGTCTTTAACAACTAAAAACTTAAATCTAAAAACTAATAATAATAATAATGGAGCTAAAAACTGCAGAGTCTCTTAAATTGCACTAAACTTAATAAAAGAGCTAAAAACTGCAGTCTCTCAAATTACACTAGCAGTTGTGAGATTGCATTTTTAAAACTGTGAACAGTTTCATTGTTTCTGGCTCCTACAGGAATTTCATTCCATTCCTTAAAAACAAATAGGAAGTGCATAAACCACACTGTTAGAGGTTATACAGTCTTTTTACTATTAGACACATTTGTTGATACAATAGAGGAAAAAGAGCTATTTCTGTTATTCAATTGTTCAATCCTACCTTCTGCACAATCCAGCAATGGAACAAATTACCATAAATTGGACTGTCTTCATTTTCCATGGATAATATTGGGTCATCATCCGAGAATATAGCTCGATATTGTGTGACAATGTCAAATAAATGTACACGACTGGTTTCAATTGTCTTTGTGATGTGATAATAAGGATCATCTGAAGAAATTGATGCAAGAACACTTTGAAGCCATGTATCACGGGCTTGAAGGAACTGCAAAGAGGAAATTCTCCTTTAAATCAAACTTCAGAAGACAAGAGCACATCACAACTCTCACTATGTTCTTTATCCTACACCAAACAGAATGAGACATCCCAAACATGTACTGTACAACAAAGGTCAATATCATGGTATAAAGATATTAACATACATACAGTAAGGGAAAAATAGACCCACTTACTCAGAAAAAGACTTGTTGTATCCTTGAGGATGATATTCATGACAATTTCAAGAATAAAAAAAAAATGCAATTATCTGATTCATATAAATTATGAAACATGACCAGTAATTTCAGTCTCCTCACAAACCTTGATCCTTAGTTCAGATTCTGAAAACAAATCAAGACGCCTGAGGTATCCAATCACACGCAGGCAAGCAGGAAGCTGGATGGCTGAGCGTAGCTGCTGTAACAGCTGAGAAAGCATCAGTTGAGTTGATGACTGTACAACATCAACAATGTTTTGGATAATGGGAATATTAGAAAGTTTCTTTTCTAGTCTCTGCACATAGGATGAAAGTTCCAAAGCTTCTTCATAGTAACCATTTCGTACACATGAATCCATCAACTGTGAACATAACAATGAAATATTCATGGGTTTGTTGCAGGAAAACAGATTAAACAACAGACCAACACTGAATGACCAATGTTTATTGTTAGTTCAAGTCAAGTGTTGGCAAGGGCACAGGTACTCATTCCCCTTTCTTCTCCCAGTTGTCTCAGACAAAGAACCCTGTAAAATCACACACTTGCAATTGCACAAAGGAATTGTAACCTTAAGTGTTGCGATACGAAATTTCGTTAAACAAAATATTAAGGTACATGTATCTGTAGACTATGAAAAATGGAAATGGAATGTATAGAAAGCTGCAAAATTTTGTGAATCACAAAATTAAGCCCTCGAAGTCAAATTACTATTGCAACCTAATTGAAGAAAGTAAAGGCGATTCCAGCATGGTTTGGAAAGCAGTGAATGAAGCTTCCTCACGCAACCTTAGCTCATCCATCCCGCAGTATATAATTGCAAGTGGAGTACAATATAACAACCCCAAATCCACTGCTACAGCCCTGAATGATTACTTTGCTTCTGTTGGAAGATTGCTGGCAGAAAAATTCTCTCAATCTCTTAATTATGTAAATCCTGCGAAACTCAATGTTTCTGAACCAGTGACGGTTTCTTTTGAGTTAAGAACCATAAGCCATTCCTTTGTTTTACAACAGATTTGTGCCCTTAAGCAAAATAAGGCCATCGGGTTAGACAGAATCAGTGCCCGTTTACTGAAATGTGCTTCTCGAACTATAACTCCATCAATTACAAAATTGTTAAATCTGTCAATTGCAACCAACGAGTTTCCTAACATCTGGAAATGTGCTAAAGTCACAGCACTTTTCAAAGCCGGGAACCATACTAGCCCGTCTGAATATCACCCTATTTCTATTTTACCAACTCTTAGTAAAATCCTAGAGAGGGCTATGCATTATCAATTTTATCAATACCTTAACCAACATAACCTACTCAATGAAAAGCAATTCGGATTTCGGCCTAAATATTCAACAGTTAACGCTGCTTCTAGTTTTGCCAATGAAATTTTATTTAATATGGAAAGGGGTAAAACTGTGTGGAGCCGTATTCTTGGACCTATCTAAGGCCTTTGATATGGTCGACTACACAAAGTTGCCATCTTTTGGAGTGACTTCTGACATGGCTAAATGGTTTGAGTCATATCTTAATGAAAGAATGCAATGTACATCTTGCAGTCTGGAATTGTCTGATTTGTTACCTGTTATGCATGGCGTACCTCAGGGCAGCATATTGGGCCCTTTGTTATTTCTTATTTATATAAATGATTTGCCCAATGTCATCAAGCATTCAGAGGTAGCCCTATATGCTGATGATGCAGTGCTTTATTGCTATGACTCAAACCCAGCTGGTCTGGAGTGTGCCCTAAATGCCAACTTGCATGCTATTGCTAGCTGGTTAAATGATAACAAACTTACTCTTAATGTTGATAAGACCAAAGCTATGCTTATTGGTAGTGATTCCAAGCTTTGCAAGTTAAACAGTCTCTCAGTTTTTGTTCTTGGTAATCAACTCGATAGTGTTAGAAGCTTTAAGTATTTAGGGGTTGTATTATCCTCCAACTTTACGTGGACTGAACATGTGGAACATGTGAAATCTAAAGTGAACCAGAGATTAGGTCTTTTGTGTATAATCAAGCATTTATTGCCATATAATGCATGCCTTCTTTATTACAAAAGCCTTGTCCTTCCCATCCTTGATTATGCTGATATGGTATGGGGTGATAAGGATAACACTGTCTTAATGAACAATCTGCAGGTGTTGCAAAATAAGGCAGCAAAACTTGTTCTAGATAAACCATTGTACTCTTCTACAACCGATGCTCTCAATCAGCTCAGCTGGTTAAATTTAAAACAACGCAGGCACTTCCATCGCTGCTTGTATATTTATAAATGAGTGAATGGAATTACATCTCACAAATTGGAATTATCTAGAAACAGCAATGTACATAGATACAACACTTGTTGCAAAGATCATCTTAAACTTCCATCAGTTAAACAGAACTGGGGTAAACAAAGAACCTGTTATCATGCCTTTAAAGACTGGAATGCCGTGGAGAGTGACTTGAAGAACTCTGGCACAATATGTCAGTTTAGGAATAATTTTTTAAAATCTTTTAATCTATAGCTTATCTTTATACTTTTTTAATATCAGCAATTTTTATTTACTTTTAACAATTTAATGTTATTTTGGATTAGGACCTCTCTGTAGATCACCTACGGGTGAGAGAGCTTCCTGTTTAAATATCATCATTATATAACTGATTCAGCTAACTCCGGTGCTGGAAAAATCATCAGGTACTGTTAAGGTCCTAGATTGTCTTAGATCTAAAGTTCTTTGGTCTTACATGTCAACTTTAAACTTTAAAGTCCCCCCCGCCACTCATCACCCAAAATGGTTGAATATGCTTGTGTATGTCAGAAAACTGCAGCTAAGTCCAGGAAATCACCAAACTTACCTGTGAGATTTCCAAAATCTCTAGCAGCTGTGTATGCCGTGCTAATGTCAGGGAATTTAAGTGACGACTACAAGTGAAAAATAAAAACTAGTGTTAGTTATAATCTGAATGCTGAACAGCAGAGAATAATTTATACCAGCACTCATTCACCTTGTGTTAATTTCTTGTGCCACCTTCATGAAATTGCTACATGTTTCAGAAAATGTTGGTAACTTGTCCAGAAGTGACTCAACATGCTCCTCCACTGACACAAACTGCAATAAAGTTTCCATCAAATAAGACTTTTCCAATACTACCATTTTACTTATTACATGTATAAAAATCAACCCAATTGTCTTTACTGTACTATAATGGGGACCTCTAACCCAAAGAGGATCAAAATTTTCTGATTTGTGAATTTAAAGGTGTACACCTTTAAGCAAATAGGATTGTTCAAAATCTTCAAGAGAATGTGCAATTTAAGCTTGGATAATTACACTGTACAATTCCTAGAAGTCTTGGGAGTATTTAGAACTTTTTGGTACATCTTAATCAAGCATACACAGAGGAATGCACATGATGCTTATGTCTATAAAAATTTTTGTGGAATGACTTTGTCCCCTAGTAACTTGAACCTTGAAATAAGTACTTTAAAACCTCAAATTGATTTCCCTGACATTTTCTTGCTGCATCCCATTTATTTTAACCTCAAAAATGTGAACCCCTTGTAACTTGAAAATCATGCTTTCTTACTACTGGGACTCACTTCATAGAAATAACTATAGATATCTTTTAAGTACTTAGTACATGTACATATCATGCACAACTCTTCTCCCCTAACACTATTAGTTCAGTTGACTTACATCATTAAAAATTTCTTTGGAGCATTCTGCAGTTTTGATGAATGTCTTGTAGTTATTAAAGGCCAAGTGCTCAGTTTGCTCTAAGATCTGGGCCTTTTCTTCAGCAAGTCTTTCAGGTTCCCGGCCTATTGTAAAATAATTCAAGAAACTTAAAATTAAACACTTTTCCTCCCTTATAAGAATACAGTAATTTCACATGCATATTAGTTATAAGCAGGTCACTACACAGTGCATGTCTGTTTTTTGTGACAATATTAAGATGCAAATTATTTCTTGTACATATCTGTTTAAAACTAACATGGATATAAGATCAGGAAAGACAGGAGTAACAAATCAAATCATTTCAAAACCACAATTAAATCAAAATGTTTCTTCCAAAAATCTCTCTCTTTGCCTCATTCCTATTATGTTGTTTTTATGGATTTGCAATAATTTTCCTTTCCTCTTTCCTGCTATTTTCCCTACCCCAATTATCACTAAGAGCTGTAAAAAAGATCTCCAACAGAATTAATTGTAAAAAAAGCTTCACACATTTGTCTGCCTCTAACAATCTCATCTCCAGATCTGGGTAGGTGAATCAATCAGATAAGTGAATGGAAAGGAATGGTATTCAATAAAAATCCCTTAAAGAAGATGGATAATAATGGGCATAAAAATTGGCAAAAAAACCTGTTTTTTTAGATCTTACTTAATTTTTCCACACTGGAAGCACTGAGTTCTGCTAGATACAAAGTGAAATCTGGATTATCCTTCCATGCATCTGAAATAATAAAGTAAAAAGCAGAGAAGATGAACACTGAATACTTGTAGTATTGATAACTGTTTGCAATATTGATAAACTTTTTCTGGTTGAAAACTTCACATGCAGCAACAGAGGAATTTTGGCCAAGTTCTCTGAATGTTTGAAACACATAATATTTTTACTTTTTTATACAATAGAACTTCTTTTTTGGATAACAATGATATAATAAATCCAGAAATCGCACACAAAGTATACGTTACTTGCCATATCAGTTAAGAATCCAAAGCAGAAATTCTATTATTGTATGAAGAGTAAAGGTATCATGCCTTTATTTGGCTTTATACGAAAGAACTAGTTCACATACATAATGAAGGTACCTGAAGGAATCTAATTCATGCAATATTCACTGATCTCATTCGTTAACGTACGCAAGCTTTATATACTTACTTTGACTTTGACTTCCAAACGAGCTTCCAGAAGATAAACGTTTTACAAACAACATCAAAGTACATTGTTGTACGAGGACGGCAAAACAGGAAAGAACCACATAAGATTATTCAATTTATTTCACTTTATGATAATTACCTTGAAACGACTCCTGGAACAGCGTCTTGAAGAGACCATCATCCTGCTCGGAAACATCCATCTCTTCCTTGTGCCACTCGGCAGTTGTTTCATACTTCGTGTAAGGTACTTCCAGCTAACCTCCAAAAGTGTAGCAAAGCCCCATGGGAAGTAAATTCTTTGAACATGGCGGATGGTCAGGTGTGACGAGGAAACAGAAAGCAAAACAAAATTGGAATTATGGCCTTGGATGGCGAGGAAAGTACCCCGGTCCCAAATTTGGCTCTAGAAGCTATTGTTAAGCCTACACTCCGTGAGGTAATGCTTCAGCTTTGTTTCCTTTTTGAGTCGAGGTTTACAGAGGCTGAACTAAATATGACCTTGACTTATACGAACGTACGCTTGATTTATTTATGCCCCATACACACCAATATGTTTAGTGAAACCGGGTTTAACTGAATGGAGATCAGAAAAAAAGAAATGAAAAACTTTTCTCATTTGATTTTTTTATCAGAAACAGTTAGAACTTTTTAATTAAATCAGATCCCCTTAGAGGGACCAAACTGAATACTAGTACACACTTTTCTTTTGTCAGTGAGTGCCAGTCAATCCTGTTGACAAAAGGAAAGTTGCCTATGTGTTTGATGGACATATGCATGACAAATGTACCAACCTTTACATTTTTAAGCATATAAGCTCCCTTTGAAAGCTTTGAAATACCCATACATCAGCTGTATGTACAGTTGAATAATTATTTAGACAGATACATGTACCAGGTGTAGGTACAGTACCTTAATAGGAAGTAAACAGATTCTTGGTATGGTCATAATTGGATATGTCATGGGTACTTAGTGACAAGTGACTCCAGTGCAGGTAAATGAGATCTCTTTTTTTCTTCTTTTTTGTGTTCTAGTTAGAGCCATTTTATGATGATGAAGCTGTTGAAAAGCTTCGAACTGCTTTTGCCAAGGTAACAGATGTTGAAATTTAACAGATAATGCAGTGATCATATAAGTTATTTAACTTTTAAATATGCAAGAAAATTTTTTAACACTTGGACCAAGTCAAGGATTTTATTGTTTGTACACACTACACTTAATGAGATTCACATACAACAACAGTGCTTCATTGTCAATGATAACATTGACAAAGATCTATGCAGGTGGTAGACAAATAAAAACAATATTCTTCACAATACCATTGTTTACATTTTGATCAATTAGCAAATTGGTGTGCATACAGGATAGGTTGCTTTATCCTTGGCTTATAGCTTTCTACAAACAACATATAAAGTTAATCCCCTATAAATTGTGGAACTGCTCGATGGCAAACACTAAATTATAAATGATTATAAACAGTAGATTCTTTGTAAGTTTTAAGGTTTTGAAATACCATGTCTTCAAAACTAGTTGGTACACTAGGAAAAAATTTTGAAAGGGGACAAAATTTGCTAGGATTTGAACAAAAATTTTCCTATCTCCATGGTGTGCTCAGGGATGAGTTAGTGAGGGGTGAGCTAGTTAGTTACATTGATCCATCTTTGATCTACCACCTGTAGCACAATGTCCATGTAGACCAGGTTAAATTGCATCTTTGTAATACATTGTATTGATTTCTTAGGTTGAGAATGATATACCAGGGATAACACAACAACTTGTTGGAGAAATTTTGAAGTCAGGTAGCCATGTGTATTTTTTTGTGATTGATTTTTTTTGTTTAGAATCGGTAAACCAGATTATTTGTATTTTGTTATCTTTAAATTCATGCCTATCAATAAAGAACAAGACAAACTATTCATATGTATTGAAAAATTTTAAACAGAAAAAATATTTGAAACACAATAAGAACATGTTTGTATTAAATAGTGTTATGAGTTGTAATAGATCATAGAAGATTTGTAAACTTAACTAGTTGTTAAATAAAAGTGATACAAGCAAGTTAGTTGGGTATTTTAGACCATGCTTTAGTCACAGTGATTGTCATAGTGACCTCAACCAACAGATACAGCAACTTCAAATTGAATCTCTTATCATAAAGTCCTTCAATTATCTTTATTTCCAACAGCTTCATTATCAGTGAACATGAATGAAGTTCTTCTTCTCTGTGCTGCTCAAAACAGTGAAGGTGAGTTTGGATTTTCCTTTTGTTAGCTCCTACAGGCCATCTGTTTAACTTTTAATGCACAAGTTCTTATGTTAGCTCATTTGCGATTTGATGCAGGGGAGAATTTGTTTAGGAATATCTAACTGCTGGAATTGGAAAAAATATCTATGTATGTTTGATGACCTATGCCATGTATTAACCCTGTAAATGAGTTTATCTGAAGTAAACGTAGGACCTGATACACTGTACTGACTATTTAAACTTTTTAAAACTTGTAGTTATAAACTGCAGTTTGCATTGTAGTTGGGGATGACAGATTTAAAATTTGCCTAACAGTTTTTTCAGTGTGGTTAAACCTTGATTTTGGTAATAATGACAATAACTTGTTAATTGATAACTGGACAATATTTGATTTGAATTTCAACAAACAAATAAAACATATGGCAGCTGCAATCTATCGTAGAATTGGCTATCAAAAGTAATGCGCCATACAAGGACTCTTTTGACTTCTCTTTCATATACAAATACTGTTTAATTTTGGCCTCTTTCAAGAAATTATCTTCCACAATCTTTGGGACACACATGGGTAAATGGGTACAATACCACATCTGAAAGATTCACCTATAGTTTCCAAGATTTTTGTTGTAAAAGGAGTTTGTTAGTATTTGCTGACATTCATTACTCTGATCTTTCCCAGATTATACTTTTAAAGTCCAAGGAGAGGAATTCAATGCATTGTTGAAAAAAGCAAAAGGTAATTGTGATAATGGACTGCTACAGTGTAGTTAAGACAGACCACGTTTCCTCCAGCACTTAAATACTTAGCAACATGAGCAGGTGACATCAATGTGAGATATAGTGTTTCATAATATTAGAACTATAAATAAGAATGCAACATAGCTTTGCAAATTTATTCCCATTCTAGTCGAATCTTAATTGTTCATTGGTGCAGAAATGCATATTATGTTGACTGCTCTATAATCAAAACTTGTGTGTGTGTTGTGATGTTCATGTCTTAAACCTGATCTTGATTTTCCTTTGTAGACTTAAAGACCATATTAGCAAAAATTCCAGCTGAAATTGGCAACAGGCAAAAGTTCTTGCAGACCATTAAGTAAGAAGAAAATAGGAAAATTAGGGATATGGAATATATAATTATTTAGGTTCTAAATATAATGACATAAACATAATTTTACATGTAAATTGATATATAAGAGAGAAGTGATGATGTCTTTTGTATGTTTTGCTGTCCAATAACCAGTTAGACTTGATTATTTGCTAAGAGATTGTGTGATCTGTGGGGAGGATGCACATGTTTTCTTACGCAACCAGAAAATAATTTTTTTCTGGTTGAAAACTCTGCAATACTCTTCTTGGTTGCTACAAAGTAATTGTGGAACACATCACTCCAGAGATAAGAAAAAGAATAACTGTTTTTAACATTTTACTTTTTACCCAGGGATATTGCAACTGCTATAAGGGACCTGCTAGATGCAGTGAATGAGGTTTTCAAGAAGTGTCAGAATGTTGGGAAGGTGACACAATATAAAGAGGTACAGTAATTGAAAACACTTGTAAGGTCATAAGCTTCAGAAGCACTTAACATGTGTACTTTTGGTAGCATCTGACATTCCTTAAAATAAAGGAATTCTTTAAATCACAGTTCTACAGAATCAGCCATTGCAATTGACATTGCTTTTACAAAATTTTGTAGGGATGGTTATAATCTTTAAAATTTCATGATACTTGTTAAGGAAAGGAATTTGACTCACCTTTGCCCATGGGCAGGCTCTCGCCTATTATTGATAGTACTCACATTGTTTTTTTCTTCTCAATTAAGGGTCTTGAGAGGAACAAAAAGGAATTTGTTAAATATTCCAAAAACTTCAGTGATACTCTAAAGCAGTATTTTAAAGATCAAAGGTTGGTTTGAAATGGAGTTGAAGCAGTATTTATTGTTAATGGTGCCACAAAGTCTGAGAGTTAAGCAACTAAATCTGACCACTCCATGATAAGCTTACGTTCTTATTGGTTCTCTCTGAGTACACCAGGTGACGTTCTCCCCGCTGTTTGGTCTTTTCTTAGCTCTTATTGTACGTTACCACATCATTCTAATCCTCTTTCCTTTGTGCAAATAGATATTGTGTTGGACTATCCGGCTTTGACTTAATCGCCTCTACTCCCGGTGATTTGCCAACTTTTCTCTTCTTCTCACTTGCGGAGACTTAGTCAAACGAGGCATACAAGGAGAAAGATAGGGGAAGTTAAATTCATGCGCGAATCACGGACTTAACGTCCAGATCCCAAACAATGCCCTTTGTGCTCTTCCTGCCCTTTGTTTTCGAATCTTTTCCCTTCGCACTCCACATAGGCTAGGCTAAACTGGGTGTGGAGAACTTTTCGTGGTTCGAGAGGGAGGCCATTTTCTGGAAAAGATACACCAAAACATTAACGTCTAAACGATCTCTGCTTATAACATGATGTGTCCCTCAGCACTCGTCAGGGATGAAGGTCTTAATACTGAGGTGCTTGTCAGTGTGTCATTGTTACTAAGTTTTGATCTGACAATTGCTCTTTTGTTTTCAATCCATATTTTTTTTTAGGTCGGAGGCAGTATATGTTAGCGCGAACAGACTCATCAACCAGACAAACCATATTTTGTATATGTTTAGATTAGCTACAAGCTCATAGATAATTTTGTAAAATATCCTCAGGACTTGCCTTTGTATTCAGCTGAGTTAATCTTAACGGGAGCGATGCCTGTTTTAATATTTATGTAAACAGAGTCATGTACAAGCAAACCTAATTTTGTTGTTAGAGGCGAAAAAAACAATGAAACCATTTGTGAAACAGAATGGAAACATGGATATCTTGGAAAACATAGTGAAATTTACAAGGCGTGGAATACTTGTTTCCGCTTCAGTTTCCTCATATTCTCTTGTCGCATTTTCTCTTGTATGGATTCGGCAGATTTGGGTGATTCTCTTAACCATCTTTTTGTACTTTTCTAGAATTGTAGAATTAAATCTTTGTTTTCTAGACAACAAAATCTCATAAAATTTACTCTCGAGTTTCAAGAATGTAATACCGATGTGACAGCGATAAACGCATCAGAGATTGGCGTATATGACGCTCGCCGTAAGGGAATGGCCAACTTACCATCTATTACAGTTTGAACATTTTTTATTTTTCAGGCCTTATGTTCATTGCTGTTACTACTTCACTGATTACTCCCAAATAAGTTAGCGAACAATTCTTATAAAGATTTCCTTAATTATTCCCCACTAATGTCTGTTTCGAAAAATACAATAAAAAAGACAAGTCACCGTGTTTGTTTAAGAGATATAATGGGCCAAACTTACCCCATTTAAACCTGCACAGGCACTAACCACGCGCGTCATTTCATCGGTTCACGGTACATTCTGCGGTAGCTGGGAGTTAGGGTTTTTAAAATGACAACTTGACAGGTAGAAAGTCTCAACCGTATGGAACAATGGAACATTTTACACATAATTTGGGGAAAATCACGCAATTTTAAACGACATCGACTCAGAACGTTCCTCGAGTCGTTTCTTTTAGGGACATTTGCATCCTCGAGTGACGTGCTTCAGCTATATCTTTCCCTTCGATGAATTTGTTTTATTTCTCCAATTTAAAGGGGATAATTTATAAACCAACATTATGCAATAAAGATTTAGATCACTATGCTCGTACAAGACAAAAATGATTATCATTGAGTTTAACAGCCTTCCGACCATCTTGGTGACCACCAAATGCAGGTTCGACTGTATTTCAATATCTAGAGACTTTATCTTTTTAATTTCTGGGTGTGACCAATAAGAACTTGGTAAGTTTCAGGAATTAATTTGTTTCAGCAATGTCAACATTGGCAAGACTCATGGCTGTGTTATTGCCTGTTAGCTGAAAGGAACAAGGATAAAAGTTATTGAATATCGACATGTCGACATGGGACTAAGAGGGAGGACAGCTTCTTGCGGATAATATTTTTGAACCATGATTTAAAGTTCAAAGCATTCTTCAAAGCGTCTTTATCGAGAAAGCGAATTTACAAATTTAGGAACACGCTGTGTACTCTGAAATCTTCCTCACGGATTCCTCGAGGCCAGCAATTTGTTTATGACGGTCGATAGGTCGATTGATCAAACGAGAAATTACCCAACGTTTTTTCTTGCCTATGAATGAAATGTAACCATTGGACCGATGTGCTTAGCCGAGATTGAAAGTTGCAAATTTACGGCCATGGCGGCAGTGGTTGATTACTGTCAGAGTGATATTTATTTTCAGTGTAAGAAAACATCTGAATTAAGCAAAACGAATATGCCATGTTATGGAAAAGCATGGATATAAGGTGCAAAGCAAAATAAAGTCCTTAAACCAGAGTTTTATGCAACAGCTTTTTTATTACAAAGTGCGTCAAGTGGTATTATGAAGGTGAGACAGTCACCTTGAACGAAAGAGGTGTACGACGTGCTAAAGTTAAACCGCTATAAGAGTTCTTTCCGGATCGTAAATTTGACATGGGATAAATTTTAGGGAATTCCGGCATGGAAATTAACTTTGACCAGAGCAAACTACTTTCTCCACAATAAAGCAAATTTACCTAATTTCACGAATTCACGAAAGGAGACTGTGATTCTTGATCAAAATTAATGGTAGCTCAATGTGAGTATTTTGTTAAGTTGAATAGACTATTTTCTCCCAGTAAGAGAAGATAACAATCAACTAGTTGTAATTCGAGGTCGATGAGGGAATGAGAAATGATCAAAAGACGTCTAATTATTTTGCCGAATGACTTACGATGTCTATATGTTATTTCCAATCACATTCCCAATACTAAAATAACGAAGTGGCCATAACTAAGAAGAAGCACCAACTAACTAAAGGTATCTTGTTGTGTATTCATTTAATGGAGACGCTATCTCTTCAATTTCTTTCTATCTTCTGTCTTTATTCATCGATCAAGTATCTAATAAATTGGTACAATCATCAATCTAATTACACAAACAATCGGTAACTGTTTTTTCTTCTTCCATGCTTCTGCCTCCAAATTAATGTAACTCGCCGTTTTTCACTCCATTCTCTTTTTGATTTAAAGTAACGAAGTTCAACAAGTCAATATGTGTCACAATTCCAAATATCATCTCTTTTTCATGCTGTTTTCCTCTAACAGAATCCAAGGGTTGAATCAAAATCATAGCCGTGAAATAGAGAACGAAATGATCACAAGCTGGTATTCAAAGTTCTTCAGGGCTATTAATATGTACAGGAAAAGGGCTTTACCAGCAGCTTAAGAAGTTTGGAGAGGGTAGGCGTGTGTGAACTGCAATTCGCTTGTTGTGATCTCGGATGAAACACCTGCAAGGATGCTACTGCCTCCTACATTCTGGTCATATCACAACCAACCCCAGCCACACTGGATTCCAAGAAGGGTAACACGAACAACTGATACATATTAGGTATTGCATATACTGTCCTCGTCATTTCATAAATTATCAAATTACCTACGGGGTTCTCTGTGAACCACAACGGCATAGTGATAGTGATCCAAGATACGAGATAATTGGTCAAGGGTAGCGTCTAGTTTAACCTGTGGTTTGAATCCTCACAAGGATTCAAACTACAATGTACTTGTAGACCCTCGGAATTTTTCGGTCAGATGACACGATATTGTATAATCTATAATCACCGATAAGGAGTTAAAATAGCTATTTATTGCACTAACTTCGTAACCTTAACATTTGGGACTTTTTCCTTAGTCTTTCCTTGCTACTCCAGTGATTGTACCTCCAGTGCTAGCTCCAAGCACTACCATGTCAACTTTACCTTTGAACAATACATCGTAAGAAAATCGGTTTAACGAGTGCAAAAATTTCATATTGCACTTTTCCACAAAAAAAGTTACATCACGACAAGAACTGAATTTCTCTTTACAGCTTCAATTCCTTTTTGCGGTTATTACATATTGGTAAATAAGATAGAATACCTACCACCACATTGCTGAATTATCTCTTCATCTGTTCCGTCATATGGAACCAAGGCATTGCTCGCATTTCGATACTAACGAAAAAGTAACACATTTAAGCCTTATTTAATATTGTGTATTAATAAACAAATAAACCGATATTTACCAGAAATTTACGAAATCCATATGACTTACTGCCTGTTGTCTAAGTTGATAAGTGCATGAGTTATGAGCAGATGTCAGTTCGATAGATATGCATGCTTAATATTTCTGACTAGATTATCGCAAAGTTCCTCTTAATTGTGATGATTGATAAACATCATTTTGGCAGTACACTGCTACAATTTTCTACACAGTCAGCTATTTTAAATCGTGTCAGGTAAACCACCAAAATCATATCTAACTTACTAATAGAGGTGTGATGTGGGAATTGTTAAATTTATTAGTTTTGATTTACACTACTTTCTATTTCATATGTTTATTTGAGTTTTTTTTGTTGCGTATCGTCAGATGTTTAAACAGTCCTTAAGAAAGGTCTAGTGTTGTTTATGCGATGGTGACAGACATTATAGTTGAATTGAACTATTTCTTATTTTCTTCACCTTATCTTAGACGACAGAATTTGGGATCTCGCTGTTAAGTGGTTGAGAAAAACCAATGTGTGAAGAATACCTGGAATTATTTTGTTTCCTGTCACTCCAGAAAAATTTGGAAAGAATTAATTTTTTTTATTTAATGACATGACTGACCTTGCTTCTCTAAACACAGTTCATCACTCACGCGGTCTTCTCGTGTTGATGTGGAGATTCCCTTTTCAGTCCCAAGTGCCAAGTACATTTTGAGGGGAAATCGGTCCGCACCCTTTGCCGTTTATCACCGACAGAACTTGATCGTTTCAATTCTTGGTGGGATATTTCACCAGGTGCCATCTGAATGCCTGTTCCTGACGGGGCACAAATTTTGTGTTGAAGATTTTATGTTGTGGTGTCAACTGTGCGTTCATGAAGATATGAAGCACTCGAGAACGGGGCAAGCACTCACAAAGGTGAAGTTATCTAAATAGAGTGGCTTCACCATGGTGCGGGGCATACGCTGGCGTCATCAAAGTCCGCAATGGAACTTTGGAATTCAATTTAGAATGCTCAGTTAAATTTGATTTAAATTGTAGTACCTATTTAAATCTCCTCTCGGTTCATGGGTTAAAAAGTCGCAGCTGCCGCGTTAGAAATGATTTCAATAAATTGGTTCATTTATCAGCCGTGCGTTTAACAAGACATAAAGAACCTAGGAATTTTCTAAAGCATTAAAAGAAAAAAAAATTAGGGTTTCCCAGAGAAAATCGCTTACGCATCAATCAATCAATTGGACACAAACGTCATCAGCGTGAACGATGGGAATATGAAAGACGCGCTAGATTGGATTCCCAAATTTAGTATTTTAAAATGAAAATGTCAAGCTTTATTCACAACTCAGTCAGAACATTTACAGATGGGTATAGAACGCAAACAAATCGTGTTTTATATACAGAAATGTATATTGACTCCAAAGGACTTGCATAGCTTGCATGGTAAAATTATCAACAACAAAAAGAGCAACTATTTAGAATCCAATCTTTCAAATACTTGTGAACGATAAATAGTCTAAAAGTCAATATTTATAAAGAGAATGATGAAAAAGGAACATACGAAATAATGTAAGTCTAAAGTACAATGAACATGGTGCTTTCTGTTGTTTGGATGTCAATGTCAATGTTCTTGACGTGTTCCTAATGAGCCTCAGACATAATAGAGCGAATCTTAACAAAGAGAAAGACTTTTTAGCTCTAATCCATGAGATGGCCTTCGCATAACTCTCTCCTTTCTTAGTTGAAATCAGTCCAGCCAGTTGGCTATTGTATCTGTTGCATTCTTTTCCCATACCTCCGGTTGTGGTGAAGGCCAGAGGTGACGGCGTACCACGTTCAATTTCAATAACTCTGTCCCCACATGGACGCCTCTTCTCGTTTTCGTACAATTCGTAGATCTATTCCGAATTCAGTAGATTTGTTATTATTAGCACGCACCTCGAACAACTCTTAAGTGTATTTTGTTTCGTTTTGTTCTTTCATGCCTCATATCTCGCACGCATGCTGACGCACGAACCCATCCATCTCTAAAACAAGAGGAGACTAGGTGACCACGGCGATAATTGCCCTCTTAGGTGCTTACTTGGATTTATTGATTACCACAGTTCCCATTTTCAAGTTGTCTAAGATTTGGATAATTTTATCTGATTAACCACTGTTATATGCTATCCCTGAACTAAATTTAGTGTCCTACATAGCTCATTGCGGCGTTGGTAACGAGGGCGTGCTCATTGACGAGTATCAGAACAAATCTCAGAGCATCTCTTGCTAATTGAGAGCTCTTCTCAGGTTCTCGATGAACACACAACTGACACTGAATGTTTTGTGACATTTTCAACAAGGCAGTTTAAATCTTTTGTAAAGAAAATTTTCATCCGCAGCCCTTCAGCGTGTGCAGAGACATTATAGACTGGCATAATGCCAATAAATCAGTAGTTGAGTGCGGTTTTGGATACCGTCCAATGGCAGTAGAATACGAAGCATCCGTTATTTACTCGTGAACTTTGCCCAGATCATGTGCGTTCGTTTCTTATTCCACGATACAACCAAACCTGTATTAAGCGGCAATGAAATTTAGTGACCGCTAAATACAGGTTGACGCGTAATTCAGGTTCCATAGATTAGGGGTCTTATAGAAAACGATACACAACGCCTTTATGCCTTAACTGATCACTAAATGTACAGAATCTCGCTAAAAAACCCTACATACTTTGATTTTGGGTGATAAAAGAAGGATTAAAAATTACTTGGAGGATTATTCCCTGTTATACTGGAGTGGTTCTGTTTTTAGTGACCATTTGATACTGGGGAAAAAGTTTGGCTGTTGGGACTTGAAAAAGGTGACCAGTTAATAGAGGTGAAAATTACAGTGATTAAAGGGAAACAAATTCGGAACTTTAACAACTGACCGCTTAATGCAGGGTGGCCGCTTAATATACAGATTCGATCGTATCACTTTTAGATCGCTCTTAATCTGAGAACTTGCATACCCCTTAATGCGGCTTTGCTCATTCCGGCAAACAGTGCAGATGATTTACGTATGATTGTCGTTTCTTAGTTAGAGAAAATAAAGTAGTATTTTCTCTTGGTTCTAGTAAACAGTAGGTTTGTACGTTAGCGTGTGTTCATTGAGATAGAGGGTATGAAAGATGCATAAGGGTTGTTCGAGGTGGTCGTTCACAAAGCTATCAAAGTTGTGTTATTGAATTATACGCCCATCGTAGGTCTCTACTGTTTACGCGGAGTGTGACTGAATCATTTACCTCGCCAAAAATTGCAATTCACATCTCAGTCATCTCAGGTCGCTACACTTTGTTGTTCGACGTCGAGAGGTCCTGGAGCGAGCAAGACGGTGACTAGACAGTTCTAATCCTTCCTTCTCGAGAGTAATTATTGACAATCGGTTTTCATTCTTATATACCTGAGGACGCTTTGGAACGCGCTGTTCTGTGCTCTCCATTCTGCAGGTATGAGTATGTTGGAAATTGTATCTCAAACGCATTTCTGTAAATATTTATTAAATGAAAACTGTTACAACGCAACGCCTTAATTAATAATATTAATACTTCAAGCGGACACCGTAGTATGAAAAAAGAAATTTAGTGTGCCCTTACAAACAATAAATAAGTCAAATTTTTTTATATTAGAACAAACACTTTTGTTCTGTGTGCAAGTGCTAATGTCCTTTGTAGAATTTAAGCAACTGTATATCTTGGTTCAAACTAATTTACAAAAAAAAATATATTTCTGTGTCTATAAATACGCTTTTTAATATATTTAACTGACTGTCCGATTTGAAATAGTTTCGGGCCGTTAGAGTGAAGTTTAAATGAGAATTTAGGAATTATTAAAGCAATCTTTTTTAGACGTCTCACATTATCGTTTTGGTCTTAAATAAAATAATAAGCTTAAAGTTAAGGAACATGTCACATCGAGACAAATTCAACTGAGTAACAAACAGCCAAAATACTCAAATTACAGCAAATTAGACTTTACCTATACCCTTACGTTGATATCAGATGTATTTCTTTTTGTGCTGTAAGTTTACAGTACCTCCTTGCGAATAATTATAGACTCTTTCCAAACGTAACGATTTAAATATGTACATTTTTTTAACTCAGTAATCTTCTCTCGGAAGAGAGAAAAGAAAATTGTAAACAGTTTACATTACTCTAACAAAACAAACAATCAGGAACTTTTTTCTTCTTCTATGCTCCGCCTCCAAATTAATGTAACTCGCCGTTTTTCAATCCATTCTCTTTTTGATTTAAAGTAATGAAGTTCAACAGGTCAATGCGTGTCACAATTCCAAATATCATCTCTTTTTCATCCGGTTTGCCTTTGTTGGAATCTGAGGTTTAAAACAAAATCAAGGAGAAATTACGAAACAGGCAATAATGCACATAAATATTCCACCACCATGTTCATTTTACCAAATAAGGTCACGAGAACGCGCGAAATATGCCTCAGTATAGTTTCACGATGTTACACTGTAGAACAGGGCAAAAATGCGGATCCAAATGAATGATCCAAACTTTCTTTTTTTTTCCTTTTTGGGCTTGAGTTTTAAAGAAACGGACTTAAAAAGCGCGAAACGGACTTAAAAAGCGCGACAGATACATTATTTGGTAAGTCACAAAGAACCGGTTCGTTAGTATTGATTCAGTCTTCTGAGTAAAGGTGGTTAGGAAGGTGATCATAAACGTCTGAAGGTAGCCACATACTTTGTAGCAAGAGCTTAATAAACTTGACGCAACAGCGGAGAATAAACGCGGACAACAGCAAAGTGTTGAAAAAAAGTAACGTTTTAGATCTCTTTTCCAAAAGAAAAAAAAACAAACTGGATAAATCTTTGTCGATTTTCCTCTCTTGTTTTAGACGGGATAAGAGCGGAGTGAGAAAACAGGAGGGAGGTTTGGGTCATTCCATCGATTTTAGAATCGCACCGATGTCTTTGAGCTTTACGCTCTGTACAATGTATCACATATTGCTGTCAGCGGTCAGAATTCCGCGTGGTTGACGAACAAAAGGAAGGGAGACAGAATAATTCACTTGGACAGGAAGGGCGATTCGCTGGCTGTGATCTCGAATGAAAGGCCTGCAAGGAGGCTACTACTTTCCAAGGTCCGCCCAGATCCCAACCAAAGCATCTTACACTCTAACCGAATTCCTTTCCTTCGCCAGCTACGTTGGCTAATAAATCATATTTTATATAGTATGGACTTATCCTCAAGTTAGAAATTACCAAATCACTTACAGAGTCGTTGCCTATGAACTACAACGGCATAGTGATCATGATCCAAGATACGAGACAATCGGCCAAGGGTAGTGTCCAGTGTAACCTGGTGAAAAAAGTGAAAAATTAGAGCTCCATTGAATATAAAGCTTGCTTTCTCTGTGTTTTTATATAATTATACTTTCGAATATCACGACACCGGAGACCCTTCTTCAATGTCCGCTCTATGCTTTTAAGCGACTGGCCCCCAAAAGCATAGGAGGAGAACGCTTTAAAGAGCTTTCACTAATTACCTTCTTAAAGTTTTTGTACACAGAGTTGATAATGGGGCTTTCAGATGTGATTTGTCCACTAAGCATCCGGGACATTATGTTTCCAAGGGTTACCATGCCCATCACGGACCTTGAACGAAAAGAGAATAGGAATGGTATGGCTTATCTGTTAAGATTGACACCTGTGCTCAAAGGTGTAGATTTGGTTAACATCGCCTTAACGAAAAGAACGAGCGCTTCATGAAGCCTTCCGTGGTTAACGCAGGATATCTTAAAGAAGATCGTACTAAGGAGAATGACAAAACAGTCTATTCACTGCATTTCTTGATACGGAGAACAAAAAAAATCAACGAACTCATAGAAATCTTTGCAAGGCATTTAACTGTCTAGTTTTAATACACAAGGATTACACACCAACATTATAACTAATGCAGCAATATTGCTTTCGATAACTGTTGAAGAATATCAGAAAACCTCGGAAAATGCCATCTTAAACTCACCCTGTTTCGTCGACAACGGGAAGTTGATCAAAACCTTCTCTGCAAAACAATTTAATTTTCAAGGTAAATGAAAACAAAGGAATAAAGAGGGAAAAGAGAGGGACAAATACTGAGCAGTCAAGGTATCCGCTGGGATATGTCGACTTCTCCAAGGATTTTGAGCAGCACCGGAGATCTTCCCTCACTTCTACTTAACATCCTCACACTGGTCGCCATAGATAAACAGGATGGAGGCTTATATATTATTTCGTTCTTCTATGGCAAGCAAGGGCTGCCTGATCTTAACTCAGAACTTAAAGTCGTGCAAATAACTCTAACTCAGAAGTTCAGAAGATTGTCAGCTTTCATGCACACGTTTCGAAAAACATACGACGTTTGAGAGATTTTCTTTAACTAACTTTGATTTGATTCAATACTTCGGAAGCTTGGACCAGCGGCCTATCACCCTGTTTCCTTATTTTCTCTTATCAACACATTTTGTTGACAAGACTCTTAATAAAAAAGTTCTAAATTTGAAATCACTATCTCCCAACACTTTTGTGCCTAAAGGCGATAAAGGTCTCACGACAATGCTCGTGATCATTTTATTCAATTCGTTGCAGTTATTGGGAGTTACTTTATGTGGGACGAAACAGTTGCACTAACACATTCAGGATTGAGTTCAGCAGAACTTTTTACTCATGCAAGTATGTCGCTTCCAAAAACTTTATTAAAAGCATTTGAAAAATCGGGAACTTATCAAAAATGCATTCCACAGTACAGGGAGTAACAATGAATTTCATTCAAAAGAGCGAATGAATGAACACAATACCTGTCCATTATGTCAATCGACTGTTGACAGGTGACTGTTGGCAAAACAGTCAGAGGAGTTTGAAGGTTAATGCAGGAAATTTTCTTTGTCCACCACCTTTAAAATCATAAATCTTTCGTTAGTGCTGTGACAAATATGGTACATGGTATGGTACATGGAGATTTTTTTATCATTCTTCAAGTTATATAGGTAATAATAACACAAGAACAATCGCCGAGTGTAACACGGTATCCAGTTAGATGGCACCATGGTTAAATCGCTCCCAGTTGGATCGCTCCAACCAAAAGTTAGATCGCTCCACTCGAAGTTAGATCGCTCCATCAAATAAGTTACTTCGCTACCAACATAAGTTATTTCCCTCCATGTTGTAATGTGAAGTATTACTTAGCAATGAGGTGATGATGTGTCTTGCGACGATTTGAGTGCATCGTATTCACTCTGTCCTTCAGATTAGCCACCTATACATGTATATATAGGTGGCTAGGTGTATAACGATGATGGAATAAATGATCCTGGTTACACTTCGTGATTCCGTTACATGAGTCTTTATTTGTTCTTTCTGCGTAGCTCGCATTTATTTCAAGCGCGCGCAAGCGATATTAATCGATTGTTAGGTAAGATATATACGTCATTTGATGAATTATCAATTTAGATAGCTTAGTTTTGCTACCTTTACTTTAGTTTCCAACATGGAGTGAAGTAACTTATGTTGGGAGCGAAGTAACTTATTTGATGGAGCGATCTAATCTTTAATTGGAGCGATCTAACTGGGAGCGATCTAACCATGGTGCGATCTAACCGTAATTCGTGTAACATAACTAGCCTTAGATCCCCTTAGATGAGTGAGTCGAGCAACCATTTTGCCGCAGCGCGCAAAAAGTAGAATTAAAGTTTTTTCCGATCATCGAAGAGCAACGCTGACAAAATTTATACCTCCTTTTTCTGTTAAGCATTTCAAGAAAAAATGATAGAGATGCGACAGTTACTGTAGACAACACTTTGTATGAAAAAAACTGTGAGACATGTTTCGGTGAAAATCTACCAGTGTAACATAGCCTTCATTGCAAAGTGTATCTAGTTAAAGGAAACATACCAAAATTTGCTGTGGTCTTCATTCCTTTCTTTTTCAAGAAATCCTTTGTCTTCCATCCAGTCGTCACTCAAGAATTTTGTCCTGTGAATGTCATCAAACAGTTGTAAACTACCTTGTATTCTTCATATGATAATTAGATATAATAACATTATCATTATTTTGCTGCAAACACTCGTTGGGAAAAAAAAATCAGTTATGACCTTACATGTAGTTCCTGACAGAGTCTGGTAGAAGGACAACACACTTCTGTCCCTCACACAGAGTCTGGGCTGCCTTCACTGCAGCTGCCATTGCACTTCCACAAGAACCTCCTAAGTAAGAAACGGTAATTGACTGAATATATTTACACATAATCATTCCACTATTTAGCTATTTTACCATGTTGAGTCAACAGAACATGCAAAATATGGGGTACTCACGCCTGCCACTCACTGGTAAGTTACGTTTTTCTTAAATTGATTTCAATTGAGGGATATGGGTATGATTAGCATAAAATATGATTGTTTACTTTAGGGAAGTCTTGCAGAGAAGTTTTGTCTGTGACTGTCACAGAACTTTTAACGACCTGAAAGGATTGTTGTTGGCCAAACCTTCTGGTTTCTGTATAGTACATTGAATTTTGTCTGTAATTTGTATTTGAAATATGATTAAAAAAAAACAAACTGAGAGGATTGGATTCAACTGAGTTAAGTATTATAATTATGTTAGATGAAAGTACATAAGTTTGACATCATGCTATCACTGCTAGTTGTAGGAGTAAAATTGAGAACAATAGTGATCAAAGCTATGAAGCTTTATCTACACTACATGTTGATTACTGAACCCTCCCCTAATAAACATCACCACAAATGATGTCCCTCTAATCCTTTTTATCACTTCCAAACTCATACAGGTGATGCCTCTTTCCAACAAACATAGGCATGCGTAGCATGCAAGAGTTTATTTTTTAGCTGGGTTGGTTGAAATGGGATACTTTGTGTTCCTAATATTTTCATAACTTTCAAAAGAACAAAAATGTCACATAACTTCACTTCAAGAGAAAGATTTATCTAAACTCACAAGGTATTTTGTGGTCAATTGTCTCTATTGTCTATAACTATTTCTGAGCAAAAATAAATTGCATCGGTGTCACACTTACTGTAGTCTCCTTTACAGCCATTGTTTGGTCTTGTCACACAACGCACCCTATTCCCCATAGGAGAGAGAGCCATTGCGTGATGAGACCAAATAACAGTTGCAAAAGAGACTACGCTCACAGCTGTTCCTCTAACAGAAAGAAAATGAAAATTATTTGTCTACAATTAGGTGCCTCAAAAATATAATTCCATGTTATTCTACTGCAAAAGGCAGACAAACTGTTGTATCTCCAATAGACCCTATGAGGGAAGACATGCTGAGCAAAAGAAAAGGATAATATTTAAAAGAGGGCTCCTTGATTGGTTGTTGCCAATCTGGACTTTGCCCTCTGTGTGTGAAATATGTGATAAAATGTAGGTTGTTTACAAGGAATTAACACACAATTGGGTTAATTCCAAGGTAGCTAAAAGCGAATTTTTTAGTCAAAACATGGGAGAATGCATGGAAAATTCACTATCAGTAGCATAAAGTTTCATGCAAATTTTTTTTCTGTGGTGTTGTATAATGCAGTTAGAATATGAAATAAAATGAAGGTTGTTTCCAAGGAAGTGGCATGTGATGGAGCAAAGTCAAATGTGGCATAATGGAATTTGATTGGTAGAATATGATTCAAGCACACGAAAAAGTGCCTTATAATGTTCTTGTAGTGCAATGATTGGGTATGTTCTGATTGGATTTTGGACATTGTTTTCATAGTATGTGATGGAATGTAAGTTGTTTGGCCTGCGTGTTTTGAGAAAAGGAGCAGAAAAAAAATTTTAAACAGTTTTAACTTAAAAATTATACAATTAAAGTAAATGTGACTGTTTCATATCCTGATAAATGTGGACCTCACTTGATGAGGTTCTTGTGAAGGCCACAATCATAACGCTTATCAAATGAGCCCAAATTTTCTTGTTAACATCATTCTTTGTGCACAGCCTCTTGATTCCATGACATCATTTACAAGAAAACAATATGTGAATGCTGTTATTGGTGCATAATATCCAAATGCTGTGATATGATTGGTGTGAGATACATACCCTAATGCTGCAATCTGATTGGTGTAAGATACATACCCTAATGCAGAAATCTGTTTGGTGTGAGATACGTACCCTAATGTGGTGATCTGATTGGTGCGGGCATTACACCACTCTACAAGCTGATAAAGTTTTTTTTTTTGGTAAAAAAAAAATAATTAAAAAATGTTTGATCAATGATATCCTATGAGAAAACATACCACACAGCAATCCTTCTTCTTTAATGAGTCTTCTTGCAAAAGTGAATGCTTCTTTGTCTCCAACTTTGTACCACGTGTCAACAACTGAACGGTCCAGAACAGTTGGAACAAAGTCATAACCAATACCTTCAACCTAAATAGACAGGTGATAGTAGTCAGAGGGACCAAATTTTTTTTTCAGAAGACATCATACATGCTACTATAGGTGAGTGGTAATAGTAGTTAAAGGGACCAAATTTTGTTTTCAGAAGACATACATGCTACTATAGGTGAGTGAAAATCATTAAATTGACCTTAACATTATTTTCAGTCAACAGATATTGGGTCAATTATGAATGCTCTTAAAACTTAAGAAAAATTGTTTGCCTGTGTATAGCTTTTATTTCAAGGAATATCTACATAGCAATTCCTGTCCAGCAACATCTAAAAACAGTGACAAAGCATACAACCTTGTTGTGTTCTTATATTATAAGGATACAGTCCTGTTGATTAGTTTGAAGAAAAGACAGGAATATGAATTGTTGTGTGCATGCTGTTATATATATGTACTTTAGGGAGGTCAATCACTTTCTTTTATTCTTTTTTTTTTAGACTTCTCTTAAAAGACTTGTGCAATATACATGTACAAGTGATCTTCCAACAATGAGAGAAAGAAAGTAATTGAAGGAAGGAGGAGGAGGAGATTGCAACAGGAGTGTATATGTAGATATGAAATGAAACTGCAGGTTTCACTTTGTTTTTCAATTTATTATAAATGGCATCGATTTCTACAACTTGAATTATAAAAATTAAATGTTCACTGACACTTAGGAAAAAATGAGGTCTTTTTCCCACAGCAGTGGTTCTTGCAGTGGATTTAATATTTAATGCATGAGTATGGTTAGAAATCCCTATTAACGGTAACCTACATTATATATTGGATTGTCACAATCATTGAGTTCTTCTGGCTCAGCTAGGATGGATCCATGTGGATCAACACCTACAATCTATTGAAAATAACAATGTATACAGACAAAATGAAAAATAACTAAATAAATGAACAAAACACTAAAATTGAATTTATAAATTAAGATGTTCAACAAGGATGTAAAAAAGGCTTAAGAACACAAAACAAAACAGAAAAGAAAAAATGTATTGGACAAAATGAAAATCTGTAATTTGGAAATTGAACTTACAATCTGCAATTTTTGAAATGGAAATTTTATAATGATTATGTTGTGTAAAAAGAGGGTTAGAAATAATTTCTTGTATGCTCTGCTTTAAGTACCTTAACATTTGGGCATTTTTCTTTAATCCTCCTTGCTACTCCAGTGATTGTACCTCCAGTGCCAGCTCCAAGCACCACCATGTCAACTTTACCTTTGAACAACACATCATACAATCATCAATCTGACTTTCATCACATCACATTTTCCTTGTTTTATTTTAATATGATGACATGGCATTTTTCTCCACAAAACAGGTGCATCATAACAAGAACTTCATTTCTGCCCCAGACTGCTTAATTACAGCAGCTTTAATTTTAATTGATTAGATTGTCATGCACTCATTAGCAAACAAGTTAGTAGTCACATACCACCACACTGCTGAACTATCTCTTCACCTGTTCCATCATAATGAGCCAAAGGGTTGCTTGCATTTCGATACTAAAAGTGACAAATCTTAGCCTCATTAATTCATACATTCAATAAAATTTACCAATTGACCTCTAAAAACACATTCATAATTTAATGGTTACTCATCAGTTTATTATCAATAACTGTTAACTCGACCAGTGCACTTATGATGGAATATCACTTCAATTAAACAACTACATCACTTCCAATTTCTAAATTTAAAAAAACTACAGTTGAACCCCATCTTACACCCACCATGGTAACACTGTCAACTCATCTTTATGGCCATGTCATTATTACTGATACTACTGTTTGGTGCTGCAAAATCACCATACTTTTTAAAAAAAAAAACCATCTATGTGGGTGCAAAAGGTACCCAAATTAATTATACACATGAAAGTACAGAGGTGGAGGAAGGGAGGAGGGTTGAACTTGCTATGGGTTGGTCAGTTTTAAAGACAAGTACAATGAACTCAGAAAATAAATAACTGCATTAGGCTCAATCATTTTCTGTCAAAACTCCTGACTATTACATGATAGCTATCTATTGTAATCAAAGGCACCAGTAGATAGTTTTGAGATTAATGAACCAAAAATTTTGAAAGTTATGACTCAGTCTCCCTTAAATTTGACCCTCCAGTCGATGACTAGCATTTTCTCTATCTTGATTAGTCAGAAATAAATATCATGTTTAAGTTAACCCAAAAGATTGAGTACAAGGCAGGAACATATTATAATTAATTATAATTATGTCATTTCTTAACCTGATCCAAGATGATGGAATTTGGGATCTCACAGTTGAGTCGTTGAGCAACACCAATGTGTGATTCTGAAGTAAACAGATAACACTTTGTTTCATCTACAAGCTCTGTTTTCTTTCAAATAAGATATGAGCTATGGCTCATTCACACTTTATACTATGGGTGAACTTCTTACTTTTGAGGATCGTAACATGTCTTGACATGGGTGTGTTAGTGCTCTTAATGGAGAAAATTTAGGCAGGGTATTAAAATTGTTCCAAGAAAATAATAACGCATCTACGAGCAAAACAGGCTGCAGGTAAAGACAGCTGCTTCTAATCTGATCAAATATTTCAGAAATACAGTTACTGTATTAACCTTGCCTTTTTCTTAAATACACCATTCTTGTCCAAGCGAACAAAGGTGTGTTCTCTCCTTGATCATACTGGTATAAAAAATGTATTTACATAATACAGGGGACTTGAGGCAATCCCTAGAACATTACTACTGAGAAGCAAGACATGCTTAATAAAGCCTTTGCCCTGTTGCGCACCAAAATCAAGTTTTCCTACTTCAATTAAGACCTGATGAAAATTTTTAATGGACAGATACCAACAGGAGATCTTTCTCCGATGTGAGTGGCTTACATCTTACTATGTGAAAGTGACCAAGGCTTTATAGCAATAGAATTACTTAAAAGGAATCTACATGACTTGATGTGGCAGTGACAATTTAAAGAGTGAATCCATTTGTGATAATATTGTTGTCTACCTGGTGAGTCAAACTTGGCTTCTGTTGGTGTACGCACTATTTCTGCACCTAAGGCTCGAAGGACATCTACCTAAAAATAATCAGGTATTTGCTGTAGAGAGATCAAATGAATCAAACCAGCCAGAATTCCCTTAAAACTGTCAGGATAATGCTAACTGCAAGCTTAACCATGCCATGAAGAATGAATTATTGGCAGGAGTTATACTTTATGGACCAGCAAGTTCTGTTCATTTGCAAAAAAAAATTTATGAGTTCAATACAACCGGAATTTTTGAAGGAATTTTCAGTTTTCTTTTCAAGCAGTATAATCTTAACTATGAACAAAATGGAATAATCCTACACTTTTATCTGGGTGAGGTGAGCTTAATAGGGTAATATGTATACTCTTCTGCCCAAAAGGACTGATACAACAACAAAATCAAACAAAGTCTCTTTTTCCACTTCATAAAGAATTTTTTTGGATTGAATGAAGTAAATTTAAAGAGCTCATATTTTGCTTATATCTTTTGGTTTGAGAACTTATTTCTAAGGATCAAGGAGAATCTGAAAAATATAATGCAACATTAAATGTTTACAATTGGTACAGTATTAAATATATTCCAGCAGGTCAATACCTTTTCCTTACTCATCTTTTCAGGCATTACTATAATGCAGCGATAACCTTTCACAGCTGCTGCTAAAGCCAGGCCAATTCCTGAAAACAGGCATAAAATAAGTAACTCAGCACACCAACCTTATAGATTCTTAAGGTCTCTTTCTTTATGGTTATCCTTGGGGGAAATCTCTGTGAACCTCTATGTAATTTCACAATGTTACAAACCCTCAAACAAGAAGTACATTTTTTCCTCTTAATTGGCACACTGGAATTCTATATTTTATAATTTTGTAACAATCTTCTTACAGGCAATTATCATAGTTACTGTAGTGCTATAATCCTTGAGTCAAAGAATAGTAATTTTAGCTGATAAAAAGAGAAAATGGGTGAGAAATAGAATCAATTTCTTGGTGGGAAAAAAATTTATAAGGATCGGTTGAATATATGTTTGTAGTATTAGATTTCTTTCAAAAGAGGTCTGTGATATTCTTCATACGTGAGACCAGAAGTTTTAATAAATACACATCATTCACTACTTAAGCTAAATTTTCAACAAGAAATTTTTGAGAACATGTCTCAATACCATTGGTTCAACATGAACAGCTCTGGCAGGGTTGGTTTGAGTTTAGTCCAAAGGGTAGAAAGCCAGTGCTAAGGAATATTGATTATTGGACACACCTCCATACACGCCTACAATTATGATGCAATGTGAATCCGTATTTGCAATGCAAAGCTAATTTAGTTTAAAAGTCCATATCCACTTCCACCAAGAAGGAATTTTGCTACTAAACAATAGAGAACACGGTAGGCTAACTGACCAGTATTTCCCGATGTCGGTTCAATGATGGTGTCTCCAGGGTTGAGTTTGCCTTGGCGCTCGGCATCTTCAATCATTCTCAGTCCTATCCTGTCCTTCACTGAACCTCCTGCGTTGAAATACTCGCACTTCGCCACTGAAAATGAATCAAAATTTAACTTTTTATAAGCTGACTTTTAACAATAGAATAAAGGGGGTAAGTTTGTAAAGAAATTGTGTTGCTGCGTCGGTGGGGGAGTATAACAAGATAATTTGATTTCATCAGCCCGAGTTCATGATGTAAAGAGTTTCTAAGCTGACGTTTCGAACTACGTCCGAAACGTCAGCCGAGAAACTATTTACGGCGGCCAACTTACATTATCAACTCAGTTGATAACACCATGTTATCTTGTTTTTGCATTAGAGTCAGAGTAATGGTCATTTAATGACGGACGCAAGTATTTCAACTTAACTTGAGCTTTTACTCACACAATTCACATTTCAAACCACAGCTTTTCCCGATCTTGTTTATTCGAACTAGTGGGGTATTTCCAATGCGATGAAGAATATTTGGAATGATTTTGTTTTCTGTCACCCTAAAAAATTCGAAAAGAGTTAATTTTTCATCAAACGACGTAACTGGTCTTGCCTCACTAAAGTAGTTCCATCACTTACGCGGTCTTGTTGTGATGATGAGGAGATTCACTTTTCACTCCCAAGTGCCAAGTACATTTTGAGGGTAAATCGGGCCGAACCCATTGCCGTTTATCACCGACAGAACTTGATCGTTTCAACTCGTGATGGGACATTTCTCTTAAAACGCCTCATAAACCTACAAAATCTTAAGACGTCTCTCACAGATGACCCAACGGAAGTTGAGTTCTTCTGGTCCGTAAGATATCCTGTGACGTAATGTCGTATGATTGGTTACGAATGAGATGTGACCAGTGTCTGAAAACCGCTTCGGGCAAATAGTATTCTCCATGAACCTTCACCAGGACCACTTCTGTGAACAAACCCCTTTTTTTGAGAACTGACAAATTTTCATTCCATATGTCCTTAAACCGACGTATTCAAAATTTTGTTTTCAATTTCATTCCTGGATATTAGAAAATTATCAGAATATAGATAGATAGATCTTTCCCTCAGGGCTTTCCAATCGACTGGTTAATATAATTATTGATAATATGTGCGCTCAACAGCAACTGCATTACCCTTCTGGTTGTCGTCTACGTGTCAAACACGCCTTTGCTTGAGTTTTTGACAATACTCATCTGAGAGATTTTTAAACCTATTTCAACTCAAAGCGAATGATATGAAGGAGAAGTAACCAAAAAAAAACAAGCATTGCTTACTTGCTAGCCTTTCTGTTTCCCTTTTTGCGTGAGCGGAGGAGCCGCGCGAGGGTATGAGACGAAAATGAACTGGAAGTGGTGGGGGGGGGGGGTTATTGTGTGGGGGAGGGGAGATCGGAAAGAAAAAGAATTCGAGCCGAATGTTGAGTGAATTTTACTAATACTTTACTCTTGAACAAGTGTAACACTCAGTAACCCCAGAAACAAGATGTAATAGGTTAAAAAATGAAGTGCAATTTTTCTCGGAAAGTTTTATAAACTTAGAAGCCCCTAGTTTGAAAACAGGTGAGGAAAATGACATGTTTAAATTTGATGTAAAATAGGATCAGGATTTTGAAAACCAGACAGCCCACCCCTAGCAGAGGGTCCCTGATAGGTTTTTCGGGATCCGGGATCGGGTTATTTAAAGGCCGGGAATTTAAAGTAAGAGGGGAACGAGATGAGGGATTGTTATCATGAACGGGACTCGGGAATCGGCGATTTTGAGGAGCGCGATTCTGGAAACATACACTTAAACAAACCGAGAACAGGGATGTCCGTTGACGAGAATTTATGAAGAAATTGATCTTCTCGTGATTAGTCCACGAAAAGCACCAGGCCAACAGGCTCTCAAGCATTCGGTAGGTGGTCAGGCTGTTCGGCGACATTCTTGAGTTAGTGCGCGGCAATTTAAGTCATATCAGACGCGAAGTTGCTAATTTACCAAAAATCCTCAATGGCCCAAAGGGTAACAAGGCATCTAAGACTGCTGCGTCAGTTGAAATGCTTAATGGCCTCGAAAACCCTCATGGTGTTAGATTACCCAAGAAACTTTGTAAATGCAGCAAAAGATGGTTTAAAGAGGACAGCCCGTTGGGTGGTGTACTATTTTTCAAATCCAAATTCTTGGTATCCTGTACTTGGACGTGCCATGATCCTGTCGGCCATACCAGCAATTCAACCGTTACCACCTCTACAGGTGACAGTACAGAGCATACAGAAGATAAGGGACTGGACGTAAACATTTGTTGCAGCAGTGGGTCAGCGCTCTGTCAGACAGGAAACAACGATGGCAATAGCTGGAACTTCCCCTTTGTACCTCTATAAGAGAGGAATTCAGCCGAACAAACCAGTCAGCCTCGAACGCTCTGACTTCGAGGAGCAACAAGAAAACAGCGGGAAACAAGACGAAAAGGAAGATGGACTATTAGAGTACGATTCCCCGTGTGATGATGGTGACAATCCATCTTTGGAACAAGACACTGATTTTCATCTGGGAAGATGAAAATCAGCTTCGTAAGAAGTATTCGCTTCAACAGCAGTGTAATGGCTGCCACGCCTTTACCACCGGAAATTAATTCGCTGTAACTTTTATTCTTGTTGAACCGCAACAATGACGTCACTGTTTGTCCGTTAGGGATGTGATCTTTTAGGTTCCACCCAGAACCGCATTTTAGTTGGTTTTCTTGCTTTGAGCTAACGATAAAACGTGCCTATCGGAAGAGCGCCTTTTTGCCCTCCTTATCTTGAAGTTCGTTTAGGTTAAACTCTTACAAGCGGGACTGTTATGTAAGTGCCTTTGTTCCTTTCTTGGTGCTTGTCTAAATATCTAGTATTTTGGTAGTTTCGCTTAGTTTTTACATGTTTCTTTATCGCTCGTTTTCGCCACCTTGTAACACGTGGCTTACGTTGTTCACGCTTCGTTAGAACGCTATACGTTTTTCCCACTTGGTTATTAGTTTTTGTTAAAGTTCGTTTTCAAGCGGTTTTCTTTTATCCTTTTTAGAATTTGGCTCACCTTCTTCCTTATAATTTTCATATTTCAGTTTACGATAAGTACTTGGTTACCTTGACTACGTTAAATAAAACCATTCAAAGCTTCTGCGCAAAATATATCCTCGCTTCATAGTGTGTATTGCTTTGCTTGTGTCGGCCGCTACAAGCAGAATTGTGTTCAATTAAGTTTTCTTTATCTCCCTTGTTATGAAACCATGGGATTGCCGTCATCTTTTGTGTTTTATGCACTTGTTGACATTGTTATTCGTCTCTTTGATACCGACCCGTCTGTACTCATATGTTTGTCCGTGATCGAAGTTTAACGGAAGAAGTCGTTATCGTGACTTGCGTACGTTATTCGTGCAAAGCTGTGAAAATTTCCAAAATAAACAGTATCATTATTTTGATGAAAAGAGATGAACTTACGCCTTACAGTGACCATAGACTTAAACGGATCAATGCTGGTTGAGAAAATCATCACCTACCGAAAAGGCCCTCCTAAGTTTAGGAAATGGACTTAGACAAAATTGTATGATCGGGATCGGGATTGGCCAGTATAACTGACGGGGTTACGGGATTGAGAAAAAATTTTAGTCGGGATTGCGGGATTGAAGAATGCTATTGGAGACCTTCCTAGCAAGTATTCTGGGGAATACTACGTGGCTTTTATTATGTAGTGTCCAGTCCAGTTCTACCTTTCCTGGTGGGTGCTGCTCTCCGAAAACTTAATGCTATCAAGCTTACATGACAGCTCTTAATAAACTCTACTTCTATGTTGTGGAACAGGCTTTCATTTCAACATCTGTTAAAATTTTTCTTTCTTATTCATTGATTTCTCTATCACTTGATTCCTACAAATCAAAGCATGACTAAAAAAATAACCGAAATAAACAAATAAACAAATTTATTTCGAATCAGTTTTTTTAGTTCTAATACTCATTTACCACCATTTAAAGTTCCGAACAACCAACCGTTAAAATAAGATTAGAAGAAATGAAAAAAAAACCCTAAGAATTAACTCAGACACTCAGCTGTGGGATGATTTCTAGCGATGTCATCTCTCGTTCTAATAATCAATCAATAAATAATGGTCATATATAACTACAATTTTGATATAATTCAAAGCAGAAATTTTACTAACTTTAATTTATTACTTCAAATGAACAATTTTGACCTTATTTAATTGCACTGAATATCATCAACAAGTCCAAGGGAACTGTTAAAAGCCACAAAAATTCTAAAGTAAAAAATGCTAACTATACTACTAATACATTTTATAAATTAAAGTAACACGCTAACAAATTACAATAACCAAGAATATTGTTACTGAATAGGGTTCCAACATGATAGCAAAATTTATCTATGATTACAAAAGCTACTTCTAATTTTGTACGCATTATGTCACTGTCAACCATATAAAACCTACTGTCTATAGATGTGATGTAACAAAACCAGGGCCAGCCAGAATAAGCTGCACTCTTTTAACCAATCAGAACTTCACCAGTGTTTAATAGTAATTAGTTAAATTACATACAACCCTAATCTTGAAAAAGACAGGTGAGTGAGGATGAGGCAGGGCTATAAATAAAATTTGCTTCAGGAAAATTTGCAGGTAAAGACCAAGTTGAACTTAATCAATTCCCATGCAAACTTAACAAAAGTATAGTGGAGCCTCCACTCAAGGCACACAAACTTTGCAGCCAAAAATGTTCATATAAGCTTTGTATTTGTTATCTTCGTTGAAGAAAACATCTGTCCAAGGGAAAAGGGACACTATTTGTGGACCTCAAAGCCTGTTCAAGCCTGTTCTTAGCCTTCATTCAAGGGACACTAAAAACCATAAAATGCTCACTTTACCCAACACAACCTTTTTTTTTGACCACCAATATAATGAACTTGTACAAGTAAGAGTTCACTGAAAACTACCCCAGAAATTTAAGTTAATCACAGTTTTATAAATGCTCACATCATTTATCCGCTTGAATAAATGATTTCTGTGGATTTCCATCCAGAATAATAAAATTTTATTTTTGCAATGAGGTAATCATTAACCCACACCAAACCACTTATTACTCAGGACACACTTGTGTTTGTCACCAGGATGTCCCCTAACATTAGTGTGAAACATAACAGAACATCACAATGTGTCAGTTGGACACTGGAACAAAAAAAAAATGAAATAGAAAAATATAAACTTTTAAAATCTAAATTATCAGATCTGGCTAAATTTATTAAATTAAATATCATCTGCTCAAGTTTTAACCTCAATGCTTTATTACTGCAGCAACACCTACACTACCTATAACATGAATTTAATCCTTTCTATCATCCTCCATTTCATGTGATCATTAAACCACCAGTATTTGGTGCTACAAGTTCTCCAGTGCAATCCTCTTGAGAATCTCTATTTCTAACATCTTCAAGAGGTTGGGCTTCCATTTCAACATAACGCTGTTGCCAGGACTGTCTCCATCCCACTCTGGTGATGTGATACACAGCTCGTGCCAAGAAAACAGCTCCAATGATCACAAAATAGCTCCCATAAATGACAAACTGGGAAGATGAAAGATTTCATTTCACTTTCTGGTCATTGTTTGCAGTAATTAAAGCACAAGTTTAACAGAGTACTAACAGAGTAGAAGCATTCCCCAGATGCTTAAATTATTTTTCAGGGTTCTCAACCCTTCACTTTCTAGTGGTCAGTGTGAAATGCAGACTGCAGACTGAAGACTGGGGGCAAAATGCAGACTGAGGGCAAAATACAGACTGAAGATTACAGACCAAGGTAAAATGCAGACTCACTTCTTTAGTTGAAATTTATGAACATTTCTGGTTACTCTAAATGATTAAACTTAATTTAAGTAACTTGAGACTTCTACTTGCTCTTAATTTGTTTCAATTTAAGGAAGACTCTGCCATTTTTCCAGAGAATTAAAATACGTCTGAATTTTCTGAGCATTCCTTTTCCAACAAGAAGTTCCACATAGGTTAAGTTGACCATGATAGTGGCAGATTTACCTCAGGTTTATACTGAAGTGAAACACCTCATGGAATAAGAAAGGCTAACATCAGGGGATATTGTTGGGAGGTTTTTAATTAGACTCTTATCTTGCACCCACAAATTTGCATTAAATTTAAAAATTTTGCATGCCTAACTTTACAGCACAAAACAAAGGTATGAGAAACAGCCTGGTTTCTAATGTCCAAATAATTGAAATTGCTGCTGTGTGATGAGAGTCTATCACCACTACTTTCAAGGCCAAACAAAATATACATGAGCTACATGTATGTTAAAGCTACCTAATGTTGCTCAGCAGAACTGTTTATTCCTTAACAAGGGAAATATCTTTAGCTGGCTGTGTACTATATATTCAAACACTCACATTTCCTGTTCTTACCTTAAAACAATATGTCAATGCCAAAACCATCTGAGGAAGTGAAGTTTGAAACATCAATTACCATGAAGATTATTGCCAGCCTCTCTTGAATTATGCAACCTCAATCCAGCTCACTTTTAAAGTTTTTGCTGAGAAGCAGGTTTTTTTGAGAACAAAGTCTGCATTTTACCCCTGGTCTACAGTCTTCAGTCTGCATTTTACCCTTAGTCTGCATTTTACCCCCAGTCTGCAGTCTGCACCTTACACTGACCACACTTTCTAGTTTGACAGACACTCTTGTAATTTCTAACTAACATGATAAATGCATGAATACCTGTTCGATAACTGAAAGCTTTAGGTCTGGTCCATCCACCACAACTGCTGTCAGGATTGTTGACACCAGCAGTGCACCAAACATATTGATTCCAAACACCAAGGCAAATCTTGACATTTCCACATGCTTAGCAATCTGCAAACTTAAAATAGAAACTAAAGATAAATCATGATATCCACAGTGTAGCGAACATCAGGAAGTTCACACAGTATTTGTCCTTGTAAATTGTAGTGTGAATAAATTGTTGCAAAATGTTAAGGCAGTATATTTTTCTAAAGAAACTGTGGTGCTACATTGGTGTGTGGGGGGGGGGAAGGGGGGTGGGTGGGCGTTACAAGATGATTTGATGTTATCAACTGAGTTGATGATGTACATATTAGCCATCATACCAGTTTCTAAAGCTGATGTTTCAAGTGTTAGTCCTTAGTCAGAGTGTACGAGGAAGGGTTAATACTGAAAATATCAGCTTTACAAACTCCTTACATGGCCAATTTACATCATAAACTCAGTTGATAAAACCAAATTATTTTGTTGCAAAATATATCTATTTGACCCTATTAAGGTACAGCTTCGTGACTCAAATTAAATGACAAAATGCTACAACATTGCTTAAAAAGATACCACATTTTTGTTTTTGGGGCATTTTGACGTCATCACTATATCTATTACAGAATAAACATACCACAACATGAATCTTGTAGATGAAATGATTTTTCTTTAATACAGGATATTTGAGAGGAATTCATTTTCGGCTATAATTTTGACTTCAGGAAATAAAACTATGTCATGTACTAATTATTTCAATTCCTTTTTGAAAAAAAGAACAGTTACCTTGCTATTGTTATCAGGAAAGTATATGCTGTGCGAAATAGGACATACATAAGATAGGCCAACCAGATATTGCTGGTATGTGCACTTTGGAACAAAAAGAATGCATCAGCTACAGACACCACTCCCAGGCACAACTCTCCAAATATGGACCAGTTAATTTTCACATGTGCTAATGCTATAGCCACCAATGACCCAGTCAAGTGTGAGATTGCAGTGACCCCACCATTGTAAATTTTGTGGTTATGAGATGGGTAGATAATCTCCCATAAATTCTGTACGTAATTTTCAACTTGGAACTCCCCGCCAGTAGCAAAGGCCCACCAGAGAGACCACCGCAGCAATTCTTTGTCAGAGTAGCACAGCTTAAAATCACGAAACATGGTAATCATTGTTCGCTTCCAGGATGATATACAACCGTTTCGTTGTTCTTCGATGAGATAGTCAGATTCTGTCCTAGTGATAAAAACGTTTCCAGAAGCTTTTGGTAGCAGGAGTGTTAGAATACAAGAGATTGAAACACTGCCAAGAGAGATGTAATTAAGAACCAGATAGTCAGTCACTTTGAACGTTATTAGAAGCTGTCCAACAACTCCAGAGATCAATCTTCCCAACAGGACTGCCGCCCTGGTATAACTGGTCACGATCTTGTAATGATCTCTGTCAACTACCGCATAAATATAAGAATAGTAAGCTACTTCAGCTCCAGTAGCTACTCCATAGACGAACTGCATGAACTGCATCGCTAAGACTCCACCGGCCCAAATCAAAAGGATTCTCGTGGCCAAATAAGCCAGCCCCTCGATTATAATTACGGGTTTGTATCTCAGCAGATCTGTGACTAAAAACACTATTAACAGAGTTAAAAGGTAAGAGTAGGTCCATACGGGGTAGATTTTTTCCAGATCCTCTTCGGTCATATTCTTTTGCGCTTTCAAGTATGGAGTTAGGAAAGGCTCTGATGGTTTCATTTCTTTGAAAAAGCCATAGGAACAGAGAAGCAAAGTAGCTTTGATCCAAAACTCCATCGTGGTGCTCGAGGATGCGACACGTGATGGCGAAAAAAAAAAACAACACAGGAAGTGAGCGAGCACAGAACTACCTAGGGAGGGGAGGCAAAGTGGAATGAAGAGGAAAGCGCCTTGACACATCTCAACTAGGCTACATTTAACCCATTCCATTTTTTTTCCGTTTTCAACTTTTGCTTTCTAGAATACCAACGAAGCTTTTGCTTCAATGAAATGAGGTGAACGCATTTCAATTTCCCCTTCCAACCCTTGTTAGATCGAATCATACTGAACACAAAGAAAGATGGCGGGTAATTGTACACTGTTTATAGAAGACCAACACTACTGCGTAAGTATCGATCTTTCCGTTTCCTTTGAAGTCAGTGAGGTAAGTAATTTCTCTTCTCTATCTATGGTGTTTTACAGAAAATTATCGCCATTGTCAAGCAGACGGTCGCTTCTTTTTCTTTGGTTGCCAGGTGAGAACTGACCAAACATGTTCCTCTTAATGATATTGTGAAATGTTTAAGAAACGTTGTAAATTACAGAGCAGAAATGGCTCCATATCTCCCCCTTTTTTCTTTATATGGAAACATACCATATTACTCTTACATCCTAAATTCTATCGAAGTTTTGAAAGCATGTCGATTCATTACATATTTCCTGATCAATGAAGCTCGTTCTATAGGTTCGTATGTAATTACTTAATATTATGTTCAAATTTTAAGATGTTTGCGTAGGCTAGATTTTCCTCAGCGTATCGGTTTTAAACTTGAATTTACGATCGCTCTAACAAGTTCAAAGTGATGTTTTGCGTATATTGACGTACAGGTGGAAGATTTAAAAAATCAGAGGATTCGATCGACCAATAACAGCTTACCAGATCTTACCCGTGATACTGTTAAACTGTTTTCATTCAAATCTGTCTGAGCTTTAACCTATCAAGTAAATTTGTTATTATATATTTGAGGTATGAATTTATTTCATGATGTAAAATTTAATGATCTGTCATCATTTACAATTACATTTTGCAGCCTCTTCATAATATTTGTTATATGGCTTTTCAGAAAGTACAAGTATTTTGTGCAGGTAGAAGATCCTCATTTTACATATAACCATTGGAAATAATTGATGATGTCAAAAACCACATTACTGAACATCAATGACTCACAAACTACTCTGTTGACTAGGAATCTGCACAATGCCTTACTTACAGCACTAACTACTTTCCATGGTTTACTCTGGAAAGCTGGCTTACCAGCATAGAACAGACTCCACTCAACAGGTGACCACTACTGCTGGCACCATTCAAATGACTTATTCGTGACATAAACATGCAAATCAATGGAACAGAACAAGCTAACTTTACTGATGAATTGAAACTGACCAAACATGATTTACTTCTGCTACTTGAGTCATACATCTAATAACATCACAGCTAAACTGACCAGTCAGTATACACAAACTGAACCTAGTAAATTTGACTGACAATAACAACTCACTTGACTCTGATGATGACTTCCACTCAGGTAATTGAAATGTTAGTGACTACTACCAACAACAATTCTGCACAGGACTGATGACCTGATCTGATGATCTGATCTGCACAATCATATAAAAATATTTAATGATGGAATGTGGCTGAACGCAGAGCTAATAGTATGACAGTAAGCACTTCCAAGAACAGAATATACAGAATGTTAAATTATGTAACAATATTATTTATAACAGAACGCGTAAATTTGTCTAATCAAATTCAATTGCGTGAGTGTGCTTCATACTCCTATTGTGCACGCTCATGATGTCAGCGAACAAATCTCTTGAGAAAAAAATTTCTTCGTGATTTTTTACTTTGGGATTTTACTATTAAACAACTGGTTAAGACTTCATTGGCAATTTGAGCTAAACATGGAAAGTTGTGAGAAAGCTGATGAGGAAGAAATGTTTTCCTGAAACAAAATTATCAATGCACTGAAGCGTAGCAGAAGGAATATATACCCTTTTACAACATTTAAACCATCGGTTGAAAATGATATTAAACAATTGGTTCATACATCAGCTGTGCGTTCATTGAGATATAAAGCACTTGGGAAGTTTGGAGAGCACGCAAGAAGCTAGAGTTGCTCAAGGTGTAGCCTCGAGCAACTCTTACGCATCCTTCGAGCTCTCCAAACTTCCTGCGTGCTTTATATCTTGATGAATGCACACTGATGTATTAACTAATTGTTTACTGTAAATGACTGTGAATATATGATAATCACATATGTGAACTGCGGATTAAGAAATGAATATAACAGTGATCTTTGCAGCAATGAGCACTAGTTATGCATTAGTGAAAATAAGGTCTGAAAAAAAATTTAGGCCTGTATGGGATTTTAACCCATGACCCCTGTGATACAGGTGCAGTGCTCGACCAACTGAGCTAACCAGCCAACTGGGAACTGGTCCTTATTTGGTAGAGCACTGCACTGGTATCACAGTGGTCATGGTTTAAAATTTGGAACGGGCCTCAATTGCTTTTTCAGGCCTTATTTTTACTACTGCTTAAGTAGTGTTCATAACTACGAACTTAAGTTTTCTTTCATGTTCAATGTTATGTGTCCTCACCACTTACTTGTGGTTCATGTCAACAGAGACTTATTTTGGCTCTTACTTCTGCTGCTTGTCTCGACAGTATAAGCTATCTACTGGTAAGTGTCCTGCTTGAAGCTCCTTTTAAGTCTAACAGAGATATATTGTAGATATACTCACAGATAAACATACCTTTTGCTTGTGGTGAGTGAAGCACTTCTCACTTTAATTAATCTATTTTGTTTTTAAATGAAGTAAAGCCAAAGACTGTTGATTGAGCACTTTTTTTGAAGTAAAATATTACACATTACCAAAGAGTTGTAAACTTGATAATGTACTTTACAACTCCAGACAGGTGTTCCTCCAGATGACAACACTTTATGTGACTTTCAGGCCTGGCTTCTTTCATTTACAAGTATGTTGACTGTTTCAAGTTGAGAGATAGCATTTATTTGTAGTTCAGTTCATTTTCATATTCTATTGTGGCAACCTTATGCTGTAATTATGATATTTAACAATCAATCAACAAGTTCAAGCAAACACTTTTGCTGTTCATCTCAAATATTTATTTAAGAGCTATACTATCATATTAGATGGCCTTCTGATGACTTTCTGTTCAGTGAAAACTTCACAAAAAATGCTGGCTACATCCCCTGTGTCCATTATCTCATAAAAAAAACCCAGCTGAGCATTTATCAAAACACCTGAAAACCTTTTGGGCCTGAAAATCATCTAGTAACCCACTTAAAAAGGCACCCACAAATATAAGGCCTAAGTAGCATTAATTATTTCTCCTTGTGAACTTTGAAGGAACTCCTTATCTCCCCAAAACTTTTTCCAGGTGATTTGATCTGAAATAAAATGGCAGTCATCAGGGCTGTTCTGAATTAAACTATACAGCTAAGATGATATGTGGTGGGAACATTAATACTGATTATGGAACAAAACAACATTTTAAAAGGTGGTGAGAGAATTCCTTATTGTCAGTGGCTTTTTTCTGGGACAAAAAAGTGGGACTCAGGGTATCAGTCTCCTCTAAGCACAGAGGTGGGGTCAAAGATATATTTATGTATTTAAGAATATGTTTTCATAGCTGGCAGTAAAGCCAGAAAAAAACAATGAAAAATTCAAGTGAGAATACAGGGCTTTTGGCAACTTTCAGAAACACTCTGTGGGACCTGAGAAAATCACCTGAAATATGGTATCAAAAAGTTTTTGGCCTGAGAAGTTTTTATGTCTTTTGAGAAATGCATGCCTGGAGTTTTTCTTTGTTAATGTAGTACATTTTCTTTTCCCATGCTTGCTGTAATTAAATTTTAAATCTCTCTTAATAGTTTTTTTCATTTATCACCATCTTACTGATCATAAAGGAAATTATACAAGTAATGTGAAATAGATTTGGTCTGTATTTTGTAGGTTTCTCTGTCCTTCTGTGGGTTTGCTGCATCACCTTTAACTTATACTGGAATGCTATAAAAGAAGTCAAAACAGATAAATTTGAAAAGTTAGTCTGATTTTTTTTTTTGAGTAATACTGCAAGTCTTAAAACTGAGAAGATTATGTTTTGATTCAACAGGTTGTTTAGTGAACAATCTGACTAAATTGCAAGACATGTAAGCAAAGCTCAAAACTACAATCCAATTGTCCTTACAGTGTGCAGTTTATTTCTCTTGTGCCTGATTGGTTTTTTTCCAAGGAGTATAATAAGATCCCATAATTGTTTCTGGCTTCCCATTTTTGTGAGTGAGTAATGTTTATTAGTAACATTTAAGCCTGGTTGACATGTGCGGCGTGAATGCAAATGCAAATGTAAGCAAGTTCACATATCCAATGTGAATGCAAGGAAAGTGAGATACACAAGCACAGTGTAAGTATTTTTCCAAGATGGCTGATGACGACAAAGCTTTTTTGTTGCAAAGTTTGCTGCAGTATGTTTTATCATTTGTTTTTGTTTACAGAGCCCTGAGGAGAAATTTTACTTGTACACTGTTTACTAAACTGTTCAAGAGGCACTGTATTCCTACATCAATGTCTTTGCTGTATATGTGTACATTCTTTCGTAAAACATACTGTCTTTTAAGCCCACTTCTTTGGCCACATCTTTCCAAGCAAGACTTGTCTTTGATTTGTCTTTCAATTCTGGGAAACTTTTGTCAAAACAAGTTTTATTTTTTAAATAAAAGGCGTAAGTTTCTAAAGAAACTGTCATGCTACATTGGTGGGAGAGTGTAGCAGGTAATTTAGTGTTAACAACTTGGTTAAAAATGTAAATTGGCCTTTGTAAAGAGTAAAAAAGCTGATGTTTCAAGTGTTAGCCCTTCGTCAGAGCAATTTTTCTGACAAAGTACTAACACTCAACCTAGTTGTTAACACTAAGTTACTACTTTTGAAATGGTGGAAGACATTCTTGCCATCTCTTTCTGAACTGTTCAATGGTGTCATAGAACCGATAGAGCCTGTGCTTTTCATCTTGCATTTGTGTTGCCCTACTTCACACATGTGGGAAGCAAATGCAAGCACAAGAAAGTGGAATTTTTTTAATCCTCTATGCCTTTTAAGTACCAGTAATCAGGGTAGTTTCTATTTCACCTAGAACCTTTTAAGTAGCTTCTAATGGGTCTGTAAAAAAAATTTTTCATTCCATGCTCTGATATACATTAATTAGATTAGAAAACACATGGTACATATTTTTTTTGCAGATATTATCACCTTGTCTCATGGGGAATCCCCTTTGTAGTGGCCTGCTTACCTCTGATCAATGACCATTATGGACCTGCAGGGGCCTGGTGGTGAGTATTTACATTGTAGATTATGCAATTCACAAAATGAATGAACAAGAAAAAAGTTTTGGCCTCATGTTATCATTGTTGTAGGTATTGAATGTTACTTTTTGCAGCTATGGTTCATGTTAGTTTGATTTTATTCAGGTACATCTTATGATGTTATATTAAGATATACTAATCAATATCTTTCTGTTAAATTCAGGGAAAAACAGAATTGGAAACATAGCCATACTAATTAAAAAAATTAAAAAATTTCCTAGATTGTTATTGGTTAAAAAACTTCTATTTTCACTAATTCTCTTACCAAGTTGTTATGAACAGTTTGTTATCAAATGGTTCAATAAACCAATTACATTCAAAGTGGTAGTTTAAATCAACCAATCACAACCTTGGTTTCAACTTGGTCTGTAATCATACCTGTGATAAACAAATTGGACTCCCACTGCTTGTTTGTCCGATTTATTATAATTTGTATGATTACAGACCAAATGGGCTCCACTCAGTCCTATTACCATTACTTATTCTGTTGTTTTCCTTTCCACAAACTTGCATGTTAATAATTAAAAGGAGGAAGGGAAATATGAGTGATGAATAAAGTAGCTAGTGTTGGAAGAATATAAAGCTATGTTAAAACACAAAATTAGCTACTCAATTTTAAAGAGTAGCATTTTTTTTCCAGTTGGATTTCAAAACAAAGTGACAACAGCGTAGCATGGAGATTCGCCACGTAAGTGAATGAGGTTACCAGTATGGCCTATTTGCTCTATATGTTTTTTTGGTAGCAAGATTTAAGTCATTATGGTCAGAGTTATGGCACATATGTTAAAGTTTGGTAAATTTGGTAAATTAAAATATCATTTTACTCAAGGTATGATAGGGTGATTTTTGTACAGCAAAGGGTTAAATCTAGTGAGTGGTTACCATGTGTTGTTTAATCTAAATTGAAGGGAATTCTCACTCAAGTACCTTTGTTATTAAATTTTTCTACAGAAATGAATGTTATATTGAACTGAACATGGCTGTAAATATTCTTTTGTAACAGTTGCTTATAATCAAAAATGCTTTGTGCTTCTAATTCACAGATATTATATTCCTGTGTATCTCTGTATCATTGGACTTTTTGTTGTTTATTCTTACATCTTCATAACAATTAGGAGACAGGTCAGTTTTTTTACATGTCTTTGATCTCACAGACGATTGATTGAGTATTAATAGAACACTGAATCAATAAAATGGAACTGGAACTCATTACATGTCATTTTTTGGTCAGAGATATAACATCTTGTAATCTAGGAAGGAAAATGGAAATGCTGCCCCACTTTTTGTCCTTCATGGCCATCTTCATAGCTGTTTCATTGCACATGGCTTTTGTAAATGAAAATTTTGTTCACCTTTTTCTCCCCTTTTTAACTTAACTGTGAGTAAATTTCACTTCAAGTGAGTGTCTGAGCTGTATTTCAACTGGCAGATAAAACGTTGGGAGGGTACATACAATGCTGAAGCTGACAGAAGCAAAGTAAGTCTATTGAAACATTTTATCCGTATAATTTTTTGTATCTTTGCATAGAGACCCAGTTATCTTTTGCTTGACTCATTCATTTTGAGTTTTTCTCATTTGAGGATACAGCTGGGCTAGTGACAGCACAAACAAAACTTACCTGTTTTAACTTAAATTGTGTTTATTTGTTAGGAGCTGATGAAACAGGACATTAGGCCACTGATGTGGTACCCTGTAGTTTATCTTTTGACAACAATATGTCCTCTCATAGACAGGTTGGTGCAGCTAGTTGTAGTGATATAGTCTTTGTAGAACTTGCCATGCAGATAATAAAATATGTTTACTTTTGTATAGTTCAAGGTTTTTGTCTGCAAGATACACTTTGCAGAACAACTTTGGAAAACTAACAGAGGATCAGTGTAACCCAATAATATCAGTGAGAAACTAAGCCATATACTTTTTTGGGCTAATAAATTTTAGGCTCTCTCTTTTCCATTGTACTATTTCAATATTTAAAGAAGAGACAGATATTTCTTTGAAATAAATAGCAGATTTACATGTGTATGGTGATAATTAACTTGTGACTACATAATAAGAAAAGGACAGATTTTTATTGAAACATGACTGCTTTTTTCATTGGATGGAGTGCTACATTCTGTTTACTTGGAATGGCTGGCTCAGAGACAAAGAAGCTGTAGGCATGTTCATTGTCAATGCATACTTGTTTGCAGAATTCAGAATGCAGCAAGCCCCCAACCCAATTTCACATTGCTGCTGCTTCAAGTACTGTCTAGTCCCCTGGTTGGTAAGTGGAATGCTAGGATCTTGAAGAAAGAATGGGAAAATTTTTTAAAGTTACCTCAAGTAATCTCTGTGATATCCTGTTTGTAGGAGTCAAGTTCTCAAACAGAGTCATAGTTTTCTGGATCCTTAGCCTACTGATTGTCAAACGACCAAAAGTGGTTTATGATGCTGATGATGGTTATAATTTGGATGCTTAAGCATATTAATGGTGACAGATTATAAGTGACACAGTTTTTAATTAAGTTTTAAGTTTACTTTGCAAAGTTAAAGAGAGCATTTTTGTAAAGGGGAAAGAATTCTTAAGGGAATTTAGTGATGTATGGATCACATGTTGTTGTGGCATAAGTAATACAAGCATTTCAACTTACAAGCTTATTTTGTTTAGGAATGTTAAATGCAATTGTCTTTGGTATGGATAAGGAAACATTGAGCAGGCTGAACTGCATCCAAATGAAGGTATGAATCACCCCTTTGTTGTAATTTAATATTTCCTAGAGTTGAATAACATTGTTGTTTTTGTATTTTAGGTTGCTTTGATACAACACACAGCAGCTAAGAAGCCTCTTGTTCGGGAGTATCCTGTTGGAGAAACAAATGAAGTCAGACCCAATGATGATTCATCCTGGTCCTCAGCTACATCAACAGAATCCCCATATCCACCCTCTCCCACACCAGTTGCTGCACCACCTCCTCCCTTAGATGAGCAGGTAGCAACCTAAGATGAAACAGGCTGCTGCTGTGTAATGTAATGTTCTATATTTAAATGGCCTGCTTTGTTGTAAAATTTAATTTTGGAAATCACGGTAGAATAAGTATTTCAGACATGTGCAACTCAACACCTTGAATTATGTAAGTACACCAGTCAGCATTTCAAGTGTTCGTTTTTGACAACGTTTGTTTGAGTATTTTTCTCTATGTACTGTGGAAGGACCACAAACACAACATTTGGCCTTTGCTGATTTTGACCACAAACCTACCTTATAATTGAAAGTTAAGAATTATTGCCCTTGGTAAAAGTTTTCCATCTACCGATCTTCGTTACCTGCCTTTCAGTTGATAACTATTATCGTTTGACTTCTCGAACAGTCCATGTTCTGTTGTTTCCGTTGTGTTTTTCACTGGGGAGATTAACGTGGTATATGTTTTGTGAGTGAATAGATCCTTCCATGTAAATCGGTTCACTGTAAACATAGCAAGAAATGTAAATACAAGCTATATTAAGGTTGTAATAATTATAATATATTGCCACTAGCACAACAGGAATAATTCAAGCATACTGTCCTATTCACTGAACAAACTCTTCCACATTCTTATCAAATTTGATCCGCCCTCCACCCCCTCCCAGCTTGCAAAATAACTGTCATCCACGTGCTATTTTTGTTCTTTAATAAAACCGTGAAACGTGCTAGAGCTCTTTTCATTGTCTAAAGTGATTACTGACAAGCAGGTAGTTGTCAGTAAGAGCGAATATGAAATCAGAATGAAAGTGTTCAACAAAAAGGTTCCTGTGCTGTAATTCATATTTCTTACCAGTTCTATTTGCAGTGAGGAAATTCAGTCGATTCCCGATTACTTAAGCTTCAAGGGAAAGTGGCAAGGGAGTAAGTTATCAGGAACTGAAAAAGAAAAGAAAAGAATGGAATTTGGGAAAATACGATGGCATCTGCATTTTGATCACATTTAGTTACAAAGCACTACGCGAATATGAAAATGATACATTGAAGAGCGGGAAGGAAAAAAGGTGTGCATTATGTGCAATGGTCGTGTGTCCCGGACGCACCTTGCCTTTCCACTATCTGTCATCATCTAAGTTTAGAATTGATTTCATAAAGGTGCGTGGATGAATACTTCTAAACTAGGGAAACTTAAACAGTTTGGTGTTAAGCCAAAAAAAGGCCAAATCACACATATGCTTTAGGCAAACTTAACATTTTACACATTAGCCTTGTTTGTTTTACTTGTCAAGTGAGATACTGTTCAAGTTATCGAGTGTATACTCGTACAGAGAATTACCTGAACTGGAAGCAAAAGAGGGGTATATGTTAGCGTAAGGTTCGAGTTATGGACGGTTCGAGAAACCTGCAGAGTGGGCGAATGTTCAAGTTCCCATTTGCGAAATTGCAATTGATATTACACGGGGATTCAGGGAAAATCGGTTTTGTTTCGAGACTTAGGAGTTAGTAGGAGGTTCGAGTTGGCGAGAGGCGGAGTGAGGCTATCGGAAGTCGAAAGTATGTTTGTATGAGATAGATGCTGGATAAACGGCCCGAAATCATTAGAGGCGTGATCAGAAGTTTAAAACTGGGCACACATTTGGGCACGTAATGGTCAGCTTCTTACAATTAACCATGATGAGGAAGAACAAGTAATACCACTGTGGTATACCATTGTGGGACAGTTAAGTTAGACTAGCTTGAACACCACGCGTACAAACGGGAGGCACCAGGAGTCTTTTCAGGAAGTTTATTTCATCCTCTGAGACTCTGTCTCAGTTCGTATTACTTCAGCTCTTAGTACATGTTCTCCGTTCAGGATGTTTCTAAGGCTAAAGGTCATAAAGGCTAACCAACAAATCACGAGACCAACAACGTACTTGATTAGAACCAAAACCGAAAAATGACGACAAATTATCGAACAAGAATGAAGTCCTATCACAACGGTCAAGGACACATCACTCAAGAGGTAAAACTAAAAGTGAGGTCCTGGAGCACATAGCAAAACAAGGCTCACAAGATTCGCATAAGGATTTCAAAACATCTCTAATTTTAGTAGTTCCTAAACACTTACGATTTTAGTAGTTCATAACGTTATTTAAACCTAGCGAGATCAGTCAGACGATGAAAAATCTGACAATAGGCGATATTCAGTTATGAAACCTTGTCAGTTTCTCAGTCCATTTCTTCGACTTAAAGTTAGGAACGGCCTTATAACTTATATTACCACTTAAAATGGTCATTCCTTTCGGTGAATACAGCTGTAATGAAAATGTGTCCATCAACGCTGTCAAATACCAGCAAATCACAGTTGAGCATAAAAATTCATTAAGTGACGACATTCCAGTCGCCCTTACAGCCTTCAGACGACTTGAAATCGAAACGTCGTGATTCACACCAGTCTGAAGTAACTACATCGTGAAACGAACGACTGTTCTTCATTAGGAGCTATCATCATAGGGTAAAAGAACAAAGGGGATACTATGTCTGTCAAATATAAAATTACAATCAACTCAGAAGGAACTTCTTATATAACTCAGTGGCGGATCCAGACCTTGGGCTAAGGGGGGGAGGGTCGGTTTTTTGTCGCTTGTCCCACCGGACAGCCCAAAATTGGGGGGAGGGAGGGGGCGGGCCCCCCAAGCCCCTCCCCCATATCCGCCACTGTAACTGCTAGTTTGGTTCGCTAATATTGATATTTGCTTATTGACATTGATAGCCTATGCAAGAGAAAATTTAAGTCTCCCAGCTGGGGTCGTTCAGGAAAAGTACTCATTTAATAGTATTAGATCTTGTATTTGAGCGACCCGGGAATTCTGTGCACTGAGTCGGTTCTCCGAGCTGATGTTCTCCCATGGACCTGTCCATTCCTTGGTTCCACGATGGAAAATGCTGCTGAAACGCCACCTACAAAAATAATTATTCGATGTTAAATTGGTTTAAAGCTTCATATTCTTGCAAGCCAATTCCACAGAAGGCCTCAACAGGAGAAGAGGGTGATACTATGGTTACGAATGAGCCCTGTCCAAGAACCGTCATCTAAAGACCTTTTTTCACTCCTTCACTCTTTTGTACAACCTGGTCAGTCATTTGATGGATGTAAACCTGATTTCACATTTCACTGAGTTTCTAATCTTATTCCCTAACCTTCATATCAGCCCAGTTCAGTCTGTTGAGGGTTTCCTTGTTCACTCCAAATGCAATAGCATTAATCAATCCTAAACAGAGATAATTTTATTTGTAAGTCAAACTTCACAGCCCTACCTTGGCTACTGTCTTTGCCGTAGTATTAAGGATCGAAGACCAAAGAGGTTTACTTACCTGTTAAAGGTATGGAGATAACATGGAGGAGAATCAGAACAAAGCTTGGGTCTGAATAAACTGCGTTGTAAACTCTGCAAAAGCATGACAATGAACTTCTCATTTCAGTCACAGAATTAACCGCATTGACCTACTTTCCAAGATTTAAAAGCGCCTGAACTATCAAATAATGCTTGGATCAAAGAGAGAACATCGATTTAAACCGATTTAAACTTGATTCAACACGCTTTCAACAAGCTTTCAACATTTTTTACGTTTTCAATAACGTTGAACGACCTGTTCAAACGCACCGAACATTTGGTTCAACAAAGTGTTGAATGCAAGTTGAAGCAAATGTTGAAACCGTTTAAACGGGCCTTAATGTCAAATCGTATGAGGATGAAAGTACGTACAATTAATTGAATCTGTCAAATTTATTACCCTAAAGTCTATGAGAAAACACTTGGCCACTCGACATATCCCGTAGAACATAAAAAAAAAGCCCAAATACAGAATTTATACTTGTCAGTATAAACCAATTAACTTAAGAACGAGGCTCTCGTGGAAAGTTACTAAAGGGCAATAACCATCTTGAGGGGCTCCAAAGTGTCCAAAGTTTTTTCGCCAAATCTCATGATGTCGCAACTAGGTCATTTTTGACATCAATTTATTTAGTACATGCTCATTGGGATCACCACGCCTGTCGTACAGGCTCACATATTTTGTGAACGGAGTGGACCGCTCTGACTCACAATAATAATTATGTCAAAAATAGGTCCAATTGAAGCTATTGTGACCAGAGCGTGTGGGATCAGGGGTTCGAGAATGCTACAGCAGAGAGAGGTCGGACGATACTAAGTTAATAATGATCTCCATCAGCGATAAAGTTTTTTAATGCATGGGTAAACATCCTACACTGCTTGTTTTACAGCACTGCTTCATCCTGTTCGCGGTTGATGATGCTTTTTAGGTTTAGCTCGTGTGATAAGTTACCTGTGTATGAAAGGAGCCAACGACAGCACAAGATAAATGAATGGGTAGGCCATCAATGAATTAATGTGGTTCATCAGTACCTGAAACGTGAACGTAGCATTTTTGCGTGTTAAACAGCTCTACAAATCAAAAACAACAATAGGATCAAGATCAGTATCTGGGCAACTGCCTACTTGCCCCTCACCTAACCCAACATTAACCCTAACTTGTTATCAATTGACTGTTGTTGGGTTAGGGGAGGGGTAGGTGGGCATTTGCCTAGATACGCATCGCAACAGGAGCGTACAGTCCACTTAGCGGAAGGCTTCGTGACCGTCCGCTGTTCGCGATGTCACGTGGAGGAGCGATACGTGACAAGACTAGAAAATACGGTCTGCAACTTGGAGAATGGAGTCTCATCACCAGTCCGCAAAGACACAGAGGGATTACTTACTCACCCTTCTTTGTTCAACGTCTGCCGCATTATTCATTCTGTGAATTCCTTCCCAGCGTTGGACCTAAAATCGTAGGTTCATCTCACTTCAATGAGCAAAAGTATGCTTTCGAGATAGACCTTACAAGGAAATTTTATCATTGACCGATTCAATAGAGGCATTGATATTTGAATGCTAATCAATTGGTGATTGTTACAACCTACAACTTGAAATTTCCCAACTTTCCTACAACGATAACTCATACATGTTCATTTAATGTAACGTACATTCCTAATTTCTGGACTATTTCCAGTCTCGGCTGATCTGCCTCATTAACAGAGAATCGCTTCTCTTAGTCCAGCTCATCCGTTTGCCAGCTTACATTTTGTCATCCTTGGTCGACAATTCTACTGCAATCTTTTCATCTTTACTACTTTCTGAACAGGAAAAGTGAACCTTTTATTTACACTTAAGAAACATTTGGTACATTTTTTTGGCTTTGGAAGGTAAAATGAATGGTCACACGCAGAACTAGACGGGGGGCTTGTCTGTTAAAACTGAGGGAGTGACTAAAGAACTAAGTTCATGGCACGGCCACTTCACTCAAAAATACCAGCCCTTTGGCGATCAAAGATCTATCGATGCACTTCGGACGCGTCGAACTACACAGCACTTAGTTACTTATCTTAAAACATAAACACCGATAATCACATGCTAACCTGTCGCCGGTGAGTAACAAATATGTAAATATAGGCAACGAAGAGTCCAATGATGCAAATAAACAAAGGAATGTAGTACCTGATAAAAAATGGAGAGAAAGAGTCAGTGGCAACGTAAATTAGCTTGCATCTGTAGAAGGTAAAAGATATCTCATATCTTGTTATGGTAAGTCTGATCCTCGTTCAATGAACAGGTTCCACTGTCAGTCAAGAGGGAAGGGGGGAGGGGAGGGCCAACGACAATCTTTTGTGGATAAATAAATTATTAGTTGATTATCTGCCTGGTAAGATTAGTGTTGATGAAATGATAATTTTGTTTATCCAACAATCTCGACTAGATGTTTTTCAGGCGAAGTCATTAGTATATTCATGAAAAAGGTGACTGTCTGAAGTGTCTTGGATATGAGTGTAATCTTACGTTGCAAATCTCCATATGGCGCTTTTTTCAACATCGCCTGCTACCCAGCTACAAAAAAAAAAACAAACAAAAAACAAAAAAAACGGTTCATTTGATTAGTCATTGAATGCAATAATATACATTTTCTGGAAACTAGACACAATTACGGATACCCAGGTGCATGTAATGGCAAAATCGACACAAGCTTTTCTTGTGTTACCGAAACTGATTTCACCTTAAGTTCCATACGTTTAGTTTGTCGTCTAAAAAGCACCTGGAAAGCATTTTAAGAGCATGTGAATTAAATCGTCCCATTGATGTAAAATTGTTTTTGCTTATGCTGTCCCAGTAGCCCTCTAAGTATACATGAGAACACTAACACTCACGGAAGTGTTAAGAGCCTTGACTTGTGATTGATTACAAAAAACCCCAAATTTTAATAGGCTCCAAATGGTTTCCTTGAGTTTAAATACCTATTCTTTGATGGAACAATGCTACCAACATGTGTGTTCCCTTTAAGATGGTATCAAAAGAATGTTGATTTATCTTTCAAAATGTTTTATTCATTTTTATGTTATAATAGATCTCCATAGCAACAACTTGGCCTTGTTAATAAAAGCCAGTAACTCAAAAATGATTTCTGTCACCCCTGTTTTAAATTCACTGAATTGCAATCAGTGTGTCAGTACTCATCTTTCTGCCAAGTTTTGAAGTACATACTGCTCAGAGCCACCTTAACTCATGAAAAAATACAGTGTTTCTGAGCTGTGCGTCCCATTTTTTTTAAAAAAAAACTTTACAGAAATATAAATCTTGATATGCTCTTAACAATTTGGTGATAAAATGGGGTTACAGCAACCTTGCTTTAAAGTTACAAGCAGATGATACAAGAACTAAGGGTTTCTATAAGAGGCTATACTGTTGCTATGGCAAATTTAATTGTTAGAGAAAATGGTCACAATTTTTTGAGAAATAATTGAGCAGTTATTTTAAACCAAATCTAAGAAGGGAAACACAAAAATTTATAGAAACTATGTGATCTATCAAAATATTGGAGTTGTAAAATATCTAAACCACTTAAAGCCACCTTGATCCTAGGCCTCCTGTAGAGTGCATGAGTAAATATAAATTTTATACACATATTAAAGCTTGTGTTAACTCCATTTTTAACAAAATGCTACTATGATTTTATAAAATTTTTGACCCAGGTGATTATCCAATGATTATCTGGTATGATGGCTAACACATCAAAAAGTACTGTACCCACAAGAACAGTACCTTGATTATGTTTAAGGTTGCATAAACCACCTAAACTAAATTAATAAATCAACACTCCACTTTAGACTCTGTAAGCATAGCATCCTATGTACTCAACTCCCCCAAAGACTCACCACCATGGTCCAGCAGGTCCGTAAACATTTTCACTGAATGGAGCACTGGCAAAGATGACTGGTACACCCCAAGACACAAAATGATACAACCTGAATAGAAATGCTGTCAATGTCATACTTAAACTCACATATTATTGTTGGCAAAAAAAAAAAAAATTAAGTGAAATCCCATTTGGACCTTAAGACTTATTTCAGAAAATAGACAAATAATTGTTTGACTCACTTTTCTAAGCGTTTGGCTCTGTCTCCCCTCAAAGCTCTCCAGATATTGAAAGTAATACAGCAAACCCAAAACAGAAGCGCTAGTACTGAAAATGTAACATACTGATGAATTAGTTGATGCAACAATCTAATTTGACACTGGGTTGCAAATACCTTTGACCAAGTCATCCAGTTCTTTTAATTGTCAGAGTTATAAACTGAGGCCAATTCTAAGCTTATGATGGGTTCCAAAATTAAAGCAGTAAAATTAACATAACATTGTAACATGAGAATTGCTTATCAATGATTGCTTTTGATTTATAAATTTAACACAAATCCATTTACCAAAATATGTAATGAGCCATGCTTGCAATTCACACAAGGGTCCTCTCTCCTGTGGGACACCTGTCTGTTAATGAATGAATGAAATTCACAAAAATATTAACTTTCCATGCAATCAATTCTGGCTCCAAGAGAAAACAAGTCCCATCTTCCCATCTAACAAAATATTAACAAAGAAAACTGCCTGGCAGAACCATCACTCAAAGATATAAGTAATCCAACCACTATCCGCACCAAAAGTGAGGTAACATCTGGATATCAGAGGCAAAAAGCGACCAAGAGAACTTAGTACAATTTGGAGAAGAACTACTGCAAAAGAACACATCATTGGATGAGGGGAAAAAATGTTGCAACGACTACACAAAGTGGAGTCATACCCTAGAGCCAGCTTTTGAGCAGCTTGGTACAAAAAAAAAATTCAAGGTATTATTTAAGGCTATCAATTTTTAATGCACAAAATTTGAGGAATTTTTTTCAAGAAACCATATGATTTGTTCATACCAAATGACCCCATGCTATAATGATATATATTTTTTAAGATCAGTCCCTCTTAACTTGGTCATATTACAGGCCAGTACACCATATATCAAGTTTATGTATGCTAATTATTGAGACTAGGTTAACTGCTTACCAGCATAAATGAAATACTTCCACATAGAGCTGCAACACTGAGTGCTAGAATTAATCGCTGAAATGTAACCCAAAATATTTTTCATTATCATTCATTATATAATGAAGAAGACTAAGTCACAATTTAGGGTGACTTGGGGTATTCCAAGTGTATGTGTTGCACAAAGTCCAATCTGACTAAAATACAGTGGGGTGCCAGAGACCTTGAGCTGATAGCAATGAGCATTTTGATATTTTAGCAGGTGTAAAATCTTGCACATTTATAAGCTCTTATAAGCATAAGTTTAGTGTTCAACAACCTTATTTCCAGGGTTTCTTCTTGTCCCTGGGAACAGGGTTGCATGTTCAGAAAATTTGCAAGGCAGTTCTTAAGTATATCAGTATTCTAGATAATTCTTTAAAAGTTCTCTGATCATGTGTACTTTAGGTAGTGTTGGGTTGATGCAACTGTCAAAAATGCAGTACTTGTAGTGGTTGATATGGCAGTTGACATATCACATGATTGTCAGTTGATTGTTGGTCAACAGTCAGCTGACAGGTATGCAATAATCAGTCAACAGTTGGCTAATATATATGGGTCAAGAGTCAATCAACATCATGCTTGATAAATTTCAATGTTCCACTAAGCACTTCACCTACACTTCACCAACAATTCAATGGTACTCCACTGAGTATGAGTTGCCTATTGGTTGATTGTCTGTCAAAGCTCAATTGACACATGTCGATACTTCACTAATATTTCACTGCTAGCCAAACCATTTTGGAATAAAATAGAATAACATTATTAGAAAATAGATGAAAGTTTACAAATTTCTTTGACTGCTGTGACTGGTTTTCTTGTAATTTCTTGTCCACATAATCTTGATCTTCTCTCACACCTAAATTTGCAAGGATCTGCATGGTTTTGTGGGACAGTTTTTAAAAAAAATAGGGTTGATGTTGTCTTGTTACAGATCATGGATGATGTCAATTTTGTTATGGAAGAGGAGGTCCAGGGCAGGGTAGTCACTGAGAGAAGTTAAGATTTAAGTCTGATGAGTATAGTCAGGTGCTGTACCCAAGAATAGACCAACTCTTGACCAATAGATTAATAACACTTTACTGAGACATCAACAAGCCACACATCAAATGCCTGTCAGTCAACATATTGACCAAGTCTAGATGGATAGTCCATCTGTCTGTTGACCAACTGTTGACCAATACATCTGTCAATATGTCAACATATTGTTTTACCTGGTGGAAATACTTGTATGTTTTAAATAACCAGATGATGAAAATAACGAACAAGCTGCAAAATAACCAAAATTAATTAATACCTTGGAAAGACGAATAAATAGAAATATAAAGAGGGATTGCCACGAATACATCCGAACAGAAACCTTGAATTCTCAGTGATTAAAGAATTTTAAATTCATGCTTGTTGTTACTGCTTAAAAGAGCAATTCCTTTTCTACCCAAAGTAATAGGGGGTATGATCCAAACGTAGCATGCAGTCAACATGAATATAGGTCACTTTTGTTGATAAAAATGTTTCACCGGCGGAAAAAGTCTTTGGAAATTTGGAAAAAAGAACATAATGAAAGCCTTTATTGAAGCATAAACTCATAGTTGAGTCCGAGCCAGTGGAAAATATCTTTGCGCATTGCAAATCACTGCAGGAAATTTGTGTTTCGTTCATTATGCTGGTCGTGACGTACTATCCCATGTTAACGGCTCAAGTGAAAGTTATGACTAATAACGATTGATGGGAAGCAATCCTCGTGAGCTGAGTTTAGAAGATCTCGGATTCTACGGAGGCCTCAAACACGGATTATGTTTTAACGATGTACTCTTCTTACATTTTCGTACTTCTCTTACTCTTCTACTCTTGACATAACTTATAAAAGTAGATGGATGCGTAAGTTCGGAATATTTTTACGACTTAAAGAGCACAACTGAAACAAATTTGAAAGGAAGTAAACGCTGATCCTTTCGAAATCACCCAACTTCCGATCTCATCCAAAGTTCGCGACTGCTTTCGAATCGCGCGCTCAGGTACAATTTGACGTTCACAGAGTCTCCCAAGATCATCATGAGAATAATATCATTCAAATTTTAATAAAGATTACCTTCCAATCAGTTCCAACGAAGACACGGTTTGTTTCACGGCATAGATCACCGTCTGAAACATCAGCATAAAGATCAGTAAATAGACATTCGAGGTATAGCAAACTTCACTCGTATAGTAACCTACACAATAGTGCTGCTTGTCCAAAAACAACGTGCAGTTGTTCGCCATATTGATATGTTGATGAAAATTGTTTAGTTTCCATCAGGAAGTAAATCTGTTCGAACTCCCTGTCACCCTTATTTGGTCACACCCAGTCACGCTCGCACCAGGACCTTCAGGGAACAGACGGCGTTGGGCCCCTAGAACAACGCTTGCAACGACGCCTCAAAATTGTTCAAATTACCTCTTTGACGGTACAATTTGCTCACGTGAGGTGTAAAGTTTTTTTCCAAGAAAAATACCAGCTAAAGAATTCAGACCAACAAATACTTATGAAACAGAGCCGTACTGTATGGGGAACCTCAATTGTCTAAGAGCGGTACAATGTTCGAACACTGATTGTAGAAAAGTGGGATCAATCCAGCAAGTGAGAGAACAGTTAACCTATCTTAGAGATCCTTTCACGATAGCTGATAGACTGTAAGTCTCTTCACTTTTTGCTTTTTCATTCCAGCACCTCGCCTTACTTCGTTGAACAGTTATTCTTACTGTTCTGACAGTCTTTCCCGATGACTAGTCGAGGCTATTTGTGAAGGCTTGACAACTCATACACATGTCTCAAAACTGGTTTTTATTTAATATAAGAATAAATTTGACCTGCTGTTAACACGACCTGCAAAATATCTCTATGTAAATATTTGATTTCCACTTTTTCAATCACAAAACTATTTAGTGTATATATATATATATATATATATATATATATAAACGGAAAAAAAGAAAATGAAAAGTTTTTCTTCTTGTCACAAATGAAGATACAAATTTTAAACAAAAATAGTCTAGTCTCCGATAAAATTTATAGATTCAAATAACAAATCCAGTGTTTATTTTAGATTAAAAAAAAAACATGAACTGGTACATGGAATAGCTATTTCAAATTTTTTCTCTACAAAAATGTCCTTCCTGCGGGAAATCACGTTACACAACTAAACTAAACCTATTTGCAATAATGTCTTTGGTAAAAATGGCTTTGCTCTCCAACCAAAGACGCCATTTGCAATTGCTCTTGGGAAATCACAAGCAATGAAAACTCTTTTATACAATCATCAAATAATTACAATTTAACCCTAGATATGTATTTGTGGAGTCCTTTCCACATTTTAAAATAGTTATGGTATCAATGTAATGGCTAGCAAGATTAGATGACAGAATATGAGTCACGTTTCCTAATACATGAACTATTTCCAATTTACTGAACTAGTGTAGGACTGTCAAGTTGAAGTCATGATTACTCATCCAATTAATTTGCGTATTTCTTGATGGCACCAAGAATCTGAAAGGGAACAGCAAGACACATCAGTTTCCATTTGTGCCACAGTTGAACAGTCTATTATAGGGTTCACTATCGACCAACCTCAGTTCAACGTGACATTGTTATCCTTTTCTTTGAACTTTAAGTGAAAGACGATCTTTAGGCATTTTAGTCTGTTAGCAAACGCTGACTATGCCACATAAATCTCTGCATTGAGCCGCATGGGGTTAAATCTCATAGGGTAAGATGCCTTAGATGGAAGGCTCGAAATAACTTCCTGGTAGGCGCCGGTCAGGTTGTCCTGTCAAATCTATTTTTGCTCGGATATCGGATAAACATCAATTTCGTCATGTAAACGTACAGCAAAAAAGAAGAAACACACACACATACCGACTTTGAGAGGTTGCGAATACTTAACAGTATTTAATTACGTTTCAATACAAACTGATCTCACCATATTATGATAGTCATTGGGAATACCGGCTTCTAACAATTCTTGTTCCGACAACTGACAGAGAAGCTCCAAGCTATCTGCGCCAAAGTTTAGGAGGTTGGTTGTGAACTGAGGAAGTCCGATTCTGTCCATTATCTGCTCAACTGTTTTGGGTTTGGATTTCTATTACAGAAAAGTTAAGAGAATTGATGGCAGAGGATGCTATAAATACAGCAAGAAATTCATATTCAAATACGTTAAATTTTGTCAATTGCAATGGTCGCCAGGATACCTTTGTGGGATATGATGAAATCAGGGGGTTAGAGGGTTATATATGTTGATACAACGTGACTTAAAAAGAGAAAAGAAATCAACTAGTTTTTGTTCGATGAGCAGCGTGTTCAATTCTCTTCGTTGAAAAAAGGCAACTTTCTTGACTTAGAGAGAATTTTAGAACAACTATTACAAATTTTACTATTCATAAAACAATCATATAAACTCTACAGAATTAACTTCCGCTCTGATTTACCAAAAGAAAGGTATATACCTTGACGGGTAATGGGGGTGGTTCCCTGGGCGCCTGAAAAAAAGATCGTAGTCGTTAAAAATGATCACCATCTATCAACTATTTTTGCTTGTGCGCGATTGGTCTAAACGTAGCACTTGACCGAATATGCCTCAGCTTTTGAAAACTGGGGAGTATCCGAGAATATTCCCTAGGTGATATTCCCCAATTTTCAAACCTTATCCAGTAAACAGTAAGACGTTCGTAAAATATTTTTTTCATACGCGTTGCAAAAATATTTGAAAGATAATAAACACAATAGCCTCCATTTGCCGCGAAAATATGCTGGTATATTAGTCCTTAGACATCATCGGGTCCTCGAAGCACACAGTTTTCCGCGAGCTTCGTTGTTAGAGAACTGTTCGCATCTCGGAACAGATACTGTAGGGGGACAAACATCCGTGTATATTTCGCGCCAAATGGAGGCTATTATTTATTTATCCAACAAAAATTTGAGAGCTTAAAACTTGACGGGTAGGAGCTTTTAAAATACCGTAAAACACTGCGTAACAAAAATTCACCCTCAGAGAAAGTTGACCTCCGACACTGTAACATTAAACCGTATGGAAAAGTATCCGAATATAAAACAACCGGTCATTACGAATCCGACTTCACCTCACACAGTACTACTAAGGGTGAAAATGAAACAAGCTTGGTTGAAGCAAACGAATAAAGGCGAAGAACATAAAAAAACCAACCTTTGTGTCGTCTGTCTGAGGGGCCGAATGTCGTTTAGGGATAACTGGAGGGATATCCTCACCACGGTGGCCATGCCTGGGTAGAAAGACACAACCAAGTTAAATGTTTTCAACCGAAAGTAAGTGATCTCAGTGAGAGTAGAATGGATGCGGCTACGAAGAAAATTAATGTGGAGGTGTACGGTATAGAATTAGAGCATGATAAAAAGCTTCAAAAGGACGAGTGGGCACATTTTATTTTGACAACATTGTAAGATTGTTTGAGTATTGAGAAACATATTCTGAAAATAGTTACTTATAGATTTGTAAGATGGGTAAGTCTATACTTACTTTTCAGCCGAAAACACGTCTGAAATAGAATATCATCACAAAACCAAAATTAGTATTTGTGTACGCTGCTATTAAATCTTAAGCTTAACTTGGTGTCGCTTCAATATTTTCTGGCACCAATATTTTCTAATAGGTTGATTGTCAGAATTCTTGCCAAAAAAAAGCTGACTGAATGACGAGCTAATTGACTGAACTGACTGACTGACTGACTGATTGACTGACTGACTGACTGACTGACTGTCTGACTGACCGACTAACTTACTGACTGACCCCCAATGACCTATTGATAACTATCAATGACTAGGCACTCAGTGCTGACTTTAGGGCGAGCGACCGACTATTTACAGAATGTGTCACAGCCGCCCCATTCACCATCGGCAGCCTCTTGAAACCCATGAGAAGGGAGCCTTTACGGAGGACATTTAAGTTATGTAATTCATGAATATTTTATTTCATTTCTGTTAACAACCTTGTGGCGCAAGGCTTTTGCGCTGTGGTACCTGGGGCGTTTTCACTGACCCTCTTCTGTTGACTAAAAGTAAAAGGAATTATACAATCTTTAATAACAAAGTTGTCACCATACATCTCATTCTCATTGCCGCCGCAGTCAGTAACCAATTGACAAAGGACCTGGCAGCTACGAAACTCGAGGAATAGTCTCCGTCATTTTCAAAGCATTTCAGTAGAAAAGTAAAACACTTACTTTCTTCCAGATTAGCCTCGCTAATGAGATCTATGTGAAATAAAGTGACATTAGTTACTTAACATCTTTTTACAACAGTAGTGACCCATCTTGGACAAGCATCTTTTCGAAACCTTGGAAAAACACTTAAAGGGCGCATACTCACTTCGTTATGAGACGGTATGTTATGATTTTATAAAGTATTGCTGATCTAAAGATGTTCCACTCCCCTCCCCTCCGCAAAGGAAATATTCTTGGAAACAAAAGGAACAGTTACCTCGCGAGACCATAGTTACACTGTTAGACTGAAAATGGAAAACGATTGCACAGTAAAGAGGATGTGCACTTTGCATGTGCTTGTACTTAATTGATCCAAGACGGTTCGCTATGATTGTAGGAGGGTTGTAATATTTCAAATAAAGCGCTATCAGACACTGCCTGCAAGAAATGAGCGGGTTGTCGCCCAGACATTTTCCCCTGTTTATTTTGATTTAATGCCGTTAAATTCGTAATCTCAACAGGTTGTTCTACCACTAACAAACGGACGGTAAAAAAACTGCTTTAAATTCAATGTTAATCATTACCAGAGGACTGTGAAGACATCTTTGTGTTGTTGTTGTCAGGAAGCTTCACGTGCATCTCAATGCTGTCGAGAAACAGATACTTATTCCTTCACCGGTACAAAGAAAACTACAAAGAAAACTACATCATTTTAAGTTCTCAGCTGTATTTCAGGATGACAGACAACGTACCTCTTCCAAAAAAACTGTTGAGACTTGAAGAAATCGATTAAAATTACAGATTTTATGTCACCAAGTTGCAATGTTAATCGTGAATTATAAAGTTAGTTAATTTTAGATACAGACTCAATTGTAACGTGTACAGCAATCGGATCCTTCTAAAATCACGAGCAGAACGTAATCTTACTTGATTTCTCCAGTTTTCTCGCCCAGATGCGATAGTATGATACTTTTACGCTTCTGAGGAATGACATTTACCATTGTTCTGAGCGCAATGCAGCACTCTCCTGTAAAAAAAATTATTTCCCAAGAACTGTCGGCAGACTACGACTCCCTCCCTTAATTTACTATTTATCAATCGAGAGTTAGATCGTTAGGGAAAAATCTAAAAGTGAGGGCTTACCCGAATTGACCGTGCAACAGTAAGGTAGACAAAGGCTTGAGATTTTCTAGTAACGACGCAAGGGCCGAATTTGATACGTTGTTCATTATATGGCTTAAAAACGTTGGTGTTATAAATTACAACACGGTCCTGAATAGCCCACTGTGCATTTGTGTGCCAAACCAAACCTTTGAGTAGAAATAATTCTAAGAGTGACATTGTTCTCGTGGACATAAAAACCTAGTAGGGCATCTTTCAATTGAGTATTAAAAATAATCCGGGACTGCTTTGGTTTCACTTTGATGCGCGCTGAGATTGGTCCAAAACGTTGTGCCACCCTCTCAACCAATAAGATGCAAGAGCTAAATTGAAACTAAATCCCCATCATCATCAAACTTCGAAAGTTAATTAATAATTATGACTTAAAGTTAAGTGTCACATATTTACAACAGAACGTTACCGTAAGATTCGTCGTTGTCTACGGACTTGATGGCCAACAAGAGATACTGCTCTTCAATGAATTTATGATCTGATATTATGGGATGAAGCTGAGTAAGGGAACAAAGGTTACCATGTTACAAAGGTATTGAATCCGGGACTATCAGAATGAATTGACCAATGAGAATACTAGATGAGTGCTACTCACTGGAGGGATAACTTCTTTTCCCCACGCGGGGAAAACATACTGTTTCTCCTGAAGGTATTTAGGTGAGTCAATCACCATGTTTTTTTCTGTTTTCATCATCTCTGTTACGACACCGAGAAAAAAAAAGAAAGAAAAACAAAGACACAAGGAAAGATAAAACAAGAAAAGTGGAATAAGTGATTGAACAATCATACTGTAGACCTGCAACGCCCCCAGAATGGCCCAAGCAAATGTTTGGTACAACAACAGTAGTCTGTTACATGACACAAACATTCTGATTCACATTTATCGCCTAAAAAAATAATTTTCCAGCGTTGAAGGCCAAAATTCTGATTTAGTTTCTCTGGTTTGTTTTAAAATTATTGAATATTCTGTGGTTCCATAACTCGCTCTCAATCAAGTTAATTTTCTCACTTACCTTCCAAACACGTGGAGTGAAATTCCACGTAGTACTGTGTTTTGCTGGTGGTTTTGATCTGTAAAGATGAAAAGGGTAGACTAAAATCACAATAAACACCTTCCCCACTCACAGTTACCAAATTCTTTCCAACTAATTCAACAACCCAGTCACAATCCCCCAATTAAGACTGCTTGGACTCTGTCTTTAGAGAGTTATGTTATGAAGCTTACGGCAACCGAAAAAAAATCAAACTTCTTGTGGCCGAGTCTCCTTCTAGAAGTTTAGACGCCAAAACGGAGCTACTAGCATTGGTTGTGAACAACAGGTTTTAAACTACTTTTCTACAGGGTTTAATGAAGTCTTCAGTTCATAACTAAAAATGACAATGGACTTGTAAATATAGCCACGATAGGTGCTACCAAGTATCACTAAATAAGATTTTTAGAGGTTAGAACTGATCACTTACCATAGCGCTTATACTAAGAAACCTTATGACGCACTGTCCAGAGACGGGACTCCTGGGAAGACTTTGATCTGGAGAAAAAAAACAAAGAAAATGATCCAAACATGTTTAAAGAAGGAAGGAAATGGTCCATGACCTTAGCTTCTGAAAATACGCTGCCATTAACTGAACATTTGGCTCACCTGGCTATTTAAAGAAAACTGGCTGATTTCAAAATCAAATCGTTAGTTCGCGTCATTACCTATAACATGTTTATAAATTATGGGCGACTGGTCAAGGTAAATCAGTGTTTTCAATAAAGTTGGGCATATTCTTATCCCTAACCTTTCTTAGAGTCGTCAAGTTAGGTTATTTCAAGTCTTCACATGAAATTTCCAAGCAATGGCTTGTGTAATATGCAAGTGCCTCTGTCAATCAAAGTAGTAACTTAAAGGTAAAAATTACCAGGTGAAACAGTGAATGGTAGGGACATATCATAAGTACAGAAGACAGGCCAGTGGTCACTTGATTTGATGGTGGCAGCACAACCTACAAGATTAACAATACTTGTTGCCACAACCACTTTGAAAGAGAATGGTAGAGAAAGCCGGCGCTTTCCTTAGAGCAATCTACTGTTAAATCTTATTGAAACGGGACCCTGACGAAGGCTACCAACGTGTTAAAATAAATGCAAAATTTTCACATAAATTGGCCTGAACTCTTTTTTTTCCCACAAGAGTTCACCAAGGAATCCTCACATTTTAACCGTGGATTTAGGAAATTGAATGTTCGCTCAAATCGCACAAAGTCGGACCCAGTCCATTAGATTGCGTTGGACATGACCACTACGTTAATGCTTTTAAGGCTATGAATTTAATTAAACCCATTTCTCCGAAATTTAAACGTTTACAGAAAACGCGTGCTGCAGTCCTGAGCATATTCTGAGGTACTGGAGCCTTTAAGAATTTGCCATTTCTTTTGAGTTCCAATTTTACAAGAATCAAAAGGTTGAAAATCGAACGTCCTATTAAGTTCGATCACACGTGAGTGGATTGGATTTTCCTCGATTGCTGATCACAATCGAACTCTATTCGCGTTGATTGCGATCACTTTAGCTCGTTTGAACGAGAGGGATGGGTGTGCATTCGGGGAATGTTAGACAAGGACTACACCTACCGTATGAAGTACAGGAAATCTTAGATTGCGGATATGAATGCTTCAATACTCTGTCACACCAAGATGGTACATTAATCAGCACCTGCAGTAAGACCATTGTTGGTGATTTATCTCAGATCTCTAAATATTATCATTGAAGCAGTAGTATCAGTATCAAGGCAAACATTACCCCTGTTCTCTTAGTCTTCTCCCAGATGTATTCATCACTGCCTCTCTTGTATCTGTATGTTGGTGCAAAGGTAATCATTTCTTCCTCTGAAATTGTTAAAATTTTTCTCAGAAATCAGATTTAAATGAACGAATGGTAAAAAAAAAAAAAAAATCAGAAATATGCACCTCTCAAAGAAGGCTTCGCGTGTTTGTGGTATACATTAAATATTAAGTAAACTTTAGATAGGTTGAACATTTATTTCAAATCTCACCGAATCCAACAAACACGGCATCGTTATCTTTCTCTGTTCTTAATTGGTCGTGATCTCTCAACTTAGTAAAATGATTGGCTCTTACAGCATTGAGTACATCCTACAAACAAGAAGTGCAGGTTGAGACGCAGAACATATGTACTGAAGGCCACAAAATACAATGATGGTGCTCTATGATCATTTGGGCAAAGGAAGTCCTCAATGGGACTATTTCCGGTGAAAGTGACCCGACGTCTCAAGAACCTGAATGGAAGATTGTTATTAAAGATTGACTCCAGCTTGACTCTGATAAAGACTTCCGTTTAGGTTAAGGAAACACCCCTGGTAAAATGTTCTTTGATTGATAATTTGAACAATGGACACTTCAGAGTATATTATAGGAACATTTCCTATTCTCATATAATTCTTGTTTCTGAAAATTTCCAAAGCTAAAACTGATCAGATATGGCTGGTTATAATATGGCAAGGTAGTCGTAAGATAAATCGGAGCGTTCTGATTGGTTCTAACTCGGTCGGGATTTTGCCATACAGACCGTTTCCATGAACGGTCATAAGTCTAAGCCGCGTATTCTTGTTCGCCAAAGCCGGCAAAATAAAGACAAAAATGTTTGGTCCGAGCGTCATGTAATAAACTACTTACTAACCTCGCTTGCTTGAGCAGTACTGAGGAATATTGGCCCTCGGTCGTTTCTGCACAGACCTCGCAGCCCTCGCAGCCCTCGGTCCATACTACCACGACCTCGGGCCAATATTCCACAGTACGGTCCTCACGCTCGGTTAGTAAGAAATTATTACGGCTGCCTTGGTTAAAAAAAATGCTCTTTGCAAAACTCTATTTTTTCACACATTTCTGTAAACAGCCAGCTCTAGAGTCTTTTTACTACCTCAGTTAAATCTTAAGGCAGAAAGTCAAGGAAACAAGACAGTTTCTGTTCGACATTGTTGTGAGTAGAATAACTTGGAAAAGCAAATACAAAATAGCGGATCTCCGTCTTAGTTACCTTTCCTTCTTGCATTGTTTGAAGTAACTGAAATAACCTCGGGGTAAAAGAGAAAGACAAAAGCTTCTTTCCCTTACCTGAACATCCATATCTATTCTGTAATTAAGATCTCCAAACCAAAAGACATGATGGAACTGATGAGTGATACCAAATACACCTTTTTGACCCAAATTGAGCCCCTTGAGAATATCAAGAAAATTCTGATTCCGCCTACAATGAACACAAAAAGACCATTAATAACTGCGACCTTATTCTTATCAATTTGGCACAAGGTGACATTGAGAGAACTTTCTGTAGAAATTACCACTAAAACGAGCCGATTTTTGTATTTTAGAAGAGAGTTTAGTAATTATTAAATTCATGCGGTAGCACTTTCAATATCGCCCTCTCCCCTAGTCTTGTAAGGTTACTAACATGAATAAGTTAAGTAAAAGAGATCATTAGCGCAAAACATTGATATCACACAGACACTGTTTGAAACAACCAAAGGTTCAGTTGTCTCAACCACAACTTCAATTACTTTTAGGCTGTGCCAATAAGCTGACACAAAGTACAAGGAAAACAAAACGCTCCATGCAAACAAAACTATGTCAAAATGAAGTTGAAAGAAAGTTAGCCTGTTCCAGGCGTTCAATCAGTAAAACAAAGCCAAATAGTGAACTGCGCGATAGTAGCGGCAGAGCGAAACTGAGGGAGGTGTGGGGCGGGTCGTTCATTACGCGACATGACCCAACCTCTCTCGTTTTTTCACTCCTCCGCTACTATAATGCCGTTTACCATCGCGCTTTGTTCTATTAATTGTAGTCATCGAGTGCCTGGAACAGGCTGAAGAAAAGTCCATATGATGTCACATTCCATTCCTTTCACAAGGAAGGTTCCATTCTGTCAGTTGAGAGATCTTAAAAGAGTCAAGGTTTAGATCTAATGGAAATAAAAAAATCTCAAGACAAAAAACCTAAACGGTTTTATTTCTTAGTCACCTCCGAACCCTTGCAGGAGTACCTCTTGCTGCCAGATGACAATTAATAAAACACAAGGAAAGTGGACCCAGAGAGAAAGAGATACCTACTCCACCTTTGTTTCCTGTCAAAAAATGAGAGATGATGAATTGATCAATAGTAGAACAAATGGTTTTTAACAAGTTTGAGTAATTTCAATCCAAAGCGCAGGCTTGATACAATAATCGTGATCAGTATATACTGCTCCTTGGCCCTGTTAAGACCCACCACTATTCATGTTCACTTTAGTGGATATCTGTTCACTATTACAATTTCCATGTGCTACCCAAGATTTACTGTGCGTCAAAAAATATAGTTAAGAAGACACTTAAAGCCTATAGTCAAACAACTGACGCACCCTAAACATTTAAAGAATCGATTACATTGAGTGAAGACATAAAAATCTATAACTGAGTACAGATAAAATCATAAAAAAAGCATCACAGACTGTATCACAACACAATGAAAATAAGCGATATAATGACAATGATCAAAGTTCACGTTCTTACCAAGAGCATTGGCTATGCCAGTCTTCACACTGGACTGTTGTAAATGAGATATCATATTCTTCAGATCTTGATTAATAAATACAACCAGTCGAATACTCCACAATGAACACACAGCAAGCTAGAGGGATAAGAAAAACAAAACAGGCTAAGCAATTATGGTAAGGATACAATACTCTATGTGAATTCAAACAAGATAGGGCTGGAGCATGAAGTTGGAAAGGAAACAACTGGCAATCCAGAATTCAAAATCATTTTCATAGAATAGTTACCCTTTTCTTAGTGTCATCTTATGAAATTTAGAACTCTACATAATCACTGAGTCCCTCCAAGGGAAGATTAACCCCTTCAAACTCCATGTCTTTGGATAATTTTGAGCATGTGCAAAATAGATACCATTGCTAAAAACTGCACTTGGTACAAAAGCTGGTACAAATAAGACCTTTGAAAGACATAGTAATTTATTGGTTACTCAATCAGAGTGAATGAAAATACTCTTGTCCTACAGCACTGTCTGTATGTTCCATCTCATGGTCATCAGAGCAGAGAAAGACTGATGATATCAAACTGCATAGGATGTCATGTTGGCGAAGCCCCTAAGCAATGATGTCACACTGGATAAGAAGGCAGTTTAGATTGCTACAAAGAACCCAAACTTGTTGGGATTAAGAGTTGAAGCCCCTTTGCATTTTTCTGCCACGGCAACCAAGAGATTATCTTCCACCCACACTAGGTGCACCCTGATGAAATGAATCTGCATTACCTCTTGTGCTCAGCAAGACAAACCAAAGCTGAAATAACATACCATGTGGAATTCCTTGCTAGGATAGAACTTTTTTAAGTCATCTTTTATTCTGGAAATCCAGTCTCTTTCACTAACTGGACATTCCTAAAGAAAAAATTGGCAAAATAAACAAACAATAACTCTCTTGTGTACAAGGAAAGATTGAAATTTACATTTGATGAGCATCCTGCATACTGCTAAAATCATTTCTGTTGAAAGCCCCTAGTGTGTTCACAATGAATAGTTTGCATATAAATTTTGCTTTGTTTGTTTTGCCTCACTCAATTAAAGGGCTGATACTCAAATTATTTATTTAAGTTTTCTGCAAGTGTTTATTTATCCTTAAGCTAGAAAGATGCAAAATATGACGCCAATTCAATGTCCTACCTATGATAAAAAAAGTACATAACCCTCATAATTTTTTGTGGGTAAAAAGGCATTGGGTACCAAAATACTGTCTATGGAAAATTGTAAGTTTCATATCTCTTGATAAACATGATCTCATTGTAAAAGTTCGTTTGAAATATATGATGCACTGATTTCCTTAACAACCACTGATAATGTAAGGGAATATATCAAATAATATTTTCACCAGCCTGATAAAACATTTTAGGTCCATAAATACCTGTGTTCCAATTGCATAGATATCATGAGGAAGGAAAGTCATGGCTTCATCCAATGTCTTGCCATTACCTTGGCATTTGAGCCAGGATTTGATATCAAGAGGAGGATTTGCATTACCTGAAAAATGAGGCATCTTCAATTAATGTTTACCCAAATGACTTTTCTTATTTTATTTTGCAAAAAGAGGAAGATCTTGGGAGTCTATGATGTCAAGAGCATGCCAGACTCTTCAGACTCCGTTGGACACTCCTAAGATTATGTAGTCTTTGTTAGATGAATTGCAATTCTTTGTCCAGAATTTTAAAATGTAGTATCTAAAACAAAGTTAAACAAATGGTTTGAGTTACAGTAGCTTCAAAAATGGATCAGAGTGCTCAATTTTTGTACCTACATCAGACACTAGACTACATAACCTAAATTATTGAGCTTGGGTCAGAAATCAAACTTAATCTGAATAAATTATTAAAACTTCTCTCCAGGTTAGGTTTTCCCCTTAAATAAGTTATTCCTTTGGATTGCTTACATCACAGTTTTCAAATGTCCTACCCATGTTCCATGTCCCAATAAAGATTCTCACTTGGGTCTTCAGTTCACTTTTAGAGTGCTGATTCTTCATCAGCTGCACAAGTTGACAAAACAACTCACGGGACTGCAAATGGAGAGAAACAAATGAAACAATGCATCACTTTGTCAATATAGTGCAGGTGCTTGAAATGTAAATAGCACAAACATTTGGTAGACTCTTAATATTGCGGATATTATACCAATCACAGAAATGCTTATAATAAAGGACACAAAGGTATTTGGCAAGGTACAATGGTTGTTGTTAAATGTCTTGTTTGAGTGTTAATGAGTGTTAATTGTTCATGTTTGCTTTGTTTTGATTGTCTTTTGCCATTTTTTTGCATCTACATTAACAAGTATTAAATATTATGAACTTTGTAAGTCCACTTCATATATTTTTCCTTTGTGCGATATCAAAGCAGACAATCCCAAGAGGCAAGATAGGGCTCAGTTAGCCAATCAGTACACAGGCTCTGCCAGCCATAAAAGAATTATATACTCAAGCATCAACTTGAAAGTAAGATGAAGTTTCAAAAACTTCCCTGCACATACTTTAAAGTATTAAAAGTAATAAAAACACTTTCAATAAGTCTTAAGGCCTTATCTTGTTTTTGATTCATATAACACTGTAAATCATTAAAAAATAGCAAAACAGCAAAATTGATGTGAGTACATGTAGAGTTGAAGGTTGAAAAGCAAAAAGTTGAAGGTAGTCTGACAGGCAGATATGTAATTGAAGAGAACAGAAAGGGTGATCATACTGTTTATTCAAAGCATCACAGATTCCTACACATGAAAAAAGAAAAGTGGCAAAAATTGTTACCTTGCCATCATCAAACTCAAAGTCCTTGGAAGGTTTGGACTCAAGCTTCATTCTCAATCTCTTCATATTATCTTTTGATTTAACCAACTGAAGAACTATCACAAAAAGAGAATAGTTTCAGAAACAGTGCACCATTTAAATAAAAGCTATATATCTACAAAATGTGGACTAAACATATCATATCACCACTGATTACAAAATTACTTTTCTCAACTATTAAAATTGATTCCACAAAATAAATTGTACCTCTGCTTTGATCAGAAGAATTGTTTGCATCTATAACATCATTTGGATTCTTCAAGAAGGAGATCCGGCCTGAAATAAATTTTTATCAATGTACAGTATCTAAGGCATTTCTTTTCAATTAAAACCTACACACACATAACTTGCAGTTTGATAACAATACCACGGTTGAAGCTCTGTTGGTAATTACTCCCAACCCGATGTACCAAGTTCCACCAAGCTCTAGTGCACGGAGATTTAATTAAGGATGAAATGCTGTAATTCATCATTACATTCAAAAACTGAGTGAAAAGCTCTCTATTCCAATTCTATTGACCCTGTTTACCTTCAGCAAAATTAACCAAGATGTACACTTTGTTTTTAAAGCTTGAGGATGCCATTCCCTGTGTAAGAACCTAGATTGGTATAATAAAACATAGGTGAAATGGTGTAACCATGCAACTCATTGTTTATGAGTTATATAAGCACTTCCACAGTTTCCCTTACCAACTGCTGTATGGCAAAGGAACCAACAAATAGAGACTGGACCTTAGAAAGTGGTCCAAATTGAGCCTACTGGCTTCACTACTTAAAAACTTTATAACTGTCATGCTAGACACAAATCCTGAATGGTGACAATTTCATTCTTTGTTTATATTTATGTTAATTTAAGCCCTATGCAGTATATCTCAGTCTCTTCTTTAGACTAGACTTCTAACCTAAACAAGGCAGAGAGGACTTTAATATATTAGCCATTTACGGTCGAGACTGGGCTAATCAACAAGAAGGAGAAAAATAAGGATGTTTTCTTCCATTTCTGAACTATATGTACATTCTGTTTACAAGTATACCATGTAATAGTTAGGCAAAATAATTAAAGGAAGTCTTAAGAGACTAACCTCAAAGATCAGGGTTTTACGTTCAGGTTCCTGTTTTTCTTCTTCACTGTTAATACTTGCTACTTCCCTCAAGGCATTGACAGCCTGTGGAAGAAAAGCATTTGTCCAAGTGTTAAACATCCTGTAAATTGGCCAGCATTACTGAGATCAGAAGCTTTGGGGATAAAGCCTTGAAGATTTATTACAAATGATTAGACCCATGCTAGTTAACCACACAAACCAGTTTGGCTGATGGTGGAACCTGACAAAGTGCATACATAGCAGTATGTAAATCCAACAATTCATGCTATTTTTTTGGCCCAATCTGTCACCGCAACATAATTTCAATAAAAATTCTGGTAATTCAAATCAGCAATACTTTGAAACTCTCTGCACTATAGATTTACGGCATAATATTGTATATCTACAGACTAAATGTTTCTAAATGCTTCTGTAGAAAGTAGCACCAAATTACAAAGTAACTGAATTTCTGGGTTCTCAAAGTCTTAAACTTGACAAAAACATTAACAACTCAACAACCAACTGAACATTGCAGGATGCCCTGATCCACAAACCTATTGACTATTCTGAATAAGACTGCATTAAACAAACACACCTGTGCTTGTAATGATTTTGCTCCTGCGATGCTTTCTGCTAGGAGATCCATCAGCAACTTGAAGGTTGGCTCTTCCTATTTAAGACAAGACAAGCCACTGTAGAGCATAAAATGCGATACACCTCTAATCTTCAATATATAGATCACAACAGAAATGTTTACGAACTAAGAAAAGGTATATTTATATTCATGCTATCAGATATCAACACTTCACTAACAACCACCTTAGTAAAACCCCATTTGAATTCCAAAAACTCTGTTTTCATCTATTCCCATATGGAGTCATTCCTTTATGGCATCATTCATGTTTACTTAGCATTCCCAGACAATTACAGGGATTGTGACTGAAAATTTTCTTTATATTCAAGTTCCCATGAGGAAAAACTCAGAAGGGAATCTCTTTAGCCTCTGAAACCTTTAAGGTTTGTCAACAATAATCTTTTTCTCTTCATCATTTCAAAATGATAGAAGGTGACAATTACTTACTTCTGCTGAATGTTCTGGAAGCGAGCATTTCTGTACCAAAAAAGTTAAGAGTTTCAAAAAGTAATTACTTGAGGTATTTAGCATTCAAGGATTTGCACCTTCAACACCAATTACCATGTTACTAAATTTTTGTTATCAAATTTTCACAATTTGAAATTGTGGGCGACCTAGGTATCTTTCATTCTATGAAGGGATTAAAACCGTAGTTTCTGTGTTCAGATATTTATGTTACTTCCTGAGTTTATGAGATAAAAAAATTGCAAATCAGAGAACTGGTATGTGTACCAGTCCGTTCCACTACTCATGCTATAGAAACCAATAATATTACATGTCAACCAGTGGTTCTGGCTATCAATGAATTATCATCAAATTCTGTTTCACTGGCGATATTATTTTTTCCAGTCCCCTTGATCTTGATTTAAGCCTAAGAAATTCAAACTCAGGTCTAGAAGTAAACCAAGCACCTACAACTACAGGATTGTGCAATGAAGGTATCATTCATTGGCAAATGCAATGCTGAAGATGGCAAGAAAATTCTTTAGAATCAGGGAGACCTAGAACATAGTAAGTTGCCAGGGTAACAAAATTGGTGAGTTCAAGAATTGTTGTCCACTAAGTTATAGAGAATCAGACACTATAAAAAATTTAAAAAATTAACTGTATCAACTGAAGAACACTTTATGAAGTACTATACAAGAGCATAAATTTACAAAATTTTACAAAATAATGTACCAGCTTATGTTGGTCTCCAAGACTAAAAACATTCTCCAGCATGTTCACTCTTGACAAGAAAAACTGCAATTCTCTGTGTAAAAAATGGTAATTATTTATTCATTATGCAAGGTCACTGGTGTTGGAAAGAAGTAGCACTCTTTGAGTCAATTTTATGCTTACTCAATAGAAATAATGAATTATTCAAGAACAACTAAATGCTTTAAAAAGGCAGCCCATTTCAAACTCCTGACCTTAGTTATAGATATTACTTTGCATTATGTTTACACTCATTGTAAAGTAAAAGTAATACTGTATGTCATGCTTGTCAAGTAAGGCAAAGTCCCATTTTAACACCAACCAGTCATTGTAATATACAGCTGCAGTGAACTTTTGAGGGAGTTTGTTCTTCAAAAGCAAAATGAGATAAAAGGAAGAGGCCTCTTGGAGAGGTGGAGTTGTTTATTTGTACAAACATTATGTTTTCATTAGAAAAACTCCCTAAATGACCAGATTTCCAACCTTCACAATGGATCCAGGAGCCTTTCAGTAAATAATTAAACACATAGTTTCATTTTAAGCATTTTGTTAAAAACAAAAAAAAACTTATACTCTGTTCACACTAAAGTTTAAACATGTTTTAAAGCTGTTTTGTTGTATGTTTTTACTTAAAATATAGCACATTGGAAATACAAGTTAGCTAATACTTGAACCCTATGGGAAACTTTTTTTCAGTTCACTGTTTATGATTTTCATTCAGTAAAACCAGTTTAACAAAACATGTTTTGCTGGTGTGAATAGGGTATTAGTATATTATTAGTAACATTTCATCCTGATTCAACTATTATGCTGTCAAAAATATTATGCAAACCAACTTACGCAATCAGACTAGTGGAACTTTTGGCAAGCAATTGTTGCATTTCTTCCAAATCAAGTTTTCCTCTAGCAGCTGCCTCCATGTCCTTTCTTATCCCACTTCCAAGATACATACTGAGAGCAGGTGTAAATCCTTCACCTGACCTGACAAGATTTTTCAATTATAATAAACAAATAGAATTAGCCTTGACAATGAATTATGGCTGACAATTTACTCTGAATGACTAATAAAGGAACTTAAATTATCATTAGTTACGACTATTATTTTAATCTTTCATTTTAAAATATAATTATCACTAATCACTGCCTCTTTTGTTAGGGTCCTTTTTTTCTACTCTACTCCAGGGGCATGAGGAAGGAACCCAGGTGTAGAGATTGCCTCTGTCCCAGCAAAGAAGACAATTCAATGATCATCACTGACTAATAATGCTTCATTTAGATCTTATGCACCTTATGCATTTGAGAGACAAAACAGATACATCTCTGTTTATATTAGATAAAAATGAGAGGTCTCTAAGATGCAATATATATGTATGTTTATGTTATTTAACTGCAATTCAAAGTACCTTCCTGAGTCTAACTGATCTATATTAGGCATAAATTGAGGGGGGAAGTCATATTCACTTCCGATCTGTTTCCCATCTGGCTCATCAAGATCGTCATCTTCATCATCTAAAATTTTATAAAACATACTAAGTTAAAGCTTTATTCTTAAGCTTGATGATAATCTTAACATCAATTGACATGAAAGTTGATCTTAAGTTCAAGCAGGTAAATATTCCATCCTTTATGGCAAGCCATAGAATTTGTGTACAATGCTGCAAGTGCTAACTGATACGTCACTTATTAACATGGCCTTGCATCATCTTGCATCTAGGTTATCAGAACTCTCAATTTTCCTACTGTTTTCTTGACTTGAATGCTTGAAACAAATAATGTGAGAAGTGAATGAGTCAGACCAACTCAGTGATTCCATAAGGCATTTTTGAGTTGTAATCTTATATAACAGAGAGCAAAGGATATCTTTACTAAACGGTAACAACTACAGAAGTAACTCATCAATGTGTTACCAGTGTCATCATCCATGACATCTTTATCCTCTGGCACGGCAGGGTGCTTCAGCTCACATGGCAGACCCTGATTTCCCTGACTATAAAATGTGACCAAGTCTTCTAACTTGTTGAAACCTTGAGGAGACACCCCAGGAACTGCCTAAAATAAAAGCAAGTTATGTTCAGATAACAACTGATATTTTTTAATCAAATTTGACTGCTTGCATCTAGTCAGTCTAAATGCATCATGTGACCTGTAATGCTCTTGCTTAGCTTTTTTGCAAACAAAGCATCATACACACAGTAAAAGTATTTAAAGGATAATAAACAAAATAACACACATTAGGCTTGCATATTTGCCCTTACACATCATCTGTACCCCAAAGTTCATAGTCTTCCTCAAATTTTAACCTTTGGAAACTCCTTGCCTCTTGAAACAGAGAATGTTCATAGCTGTTGTTCATTTATATACAATCATTTATATACAATCATGTACAAACACATAAATCTGCAACAGGATATGCACAAGATAACAAAAGATCCTTGAATGCTAATTACCACTAGGATTCATAATAACTTGAAAAGAAAACTAAATACAAGCTAGAAGATCCTTAAACTAAGTCTTATTACAAACTGAAAATGCTGGCACATTTGATTATAAATTTAAGATGTGTCTCCACTTGTTAGTTACACAAACACTTCTAAAAGTGGATCTCTTGTTCCTAAGTGGTTACAATGCCTCTTAAAAATGCTGGAGAGTACGAGGGGCATAAACAATGTCCTCCACATTTGCTACTCTAACTGTTCATGAGTCTTTTGTACAATACCCAAAGAAATAAGACCTTAATGTGGTGGAGCATCAAGGTTGAATACTTCCTAACAATAACTTATCCTTTCCTATTCCATACTATCCTTTCTTGATTTGATTTTCCCTCCGGAACTCTCATGGTATCCAAAAATCCTCTTCAATGGGGAACTGTGAAGACTAATCATTCCAGAAGGTGGTAATAATTCTGTTAACACCATGCAAACACCAATGTAATAAATGTAAGATCCCATCTCAGGCTCAATTTCATCATCCTTCATTGTCTGTTACTTTAGAAAATAACATCTTTGTGCCAATTATGGCGGACTTGCATCAACATCATCATCATCATAAGGGTTTCATCCCGTGTGTGATTTTACCATGCTTGAAGAGTGTGGGCCTCTTTCAAAGCCATCGTGAATCCACTTGTTAAGGTCAGTCTTGTTATACATTGCTTTATAAAACTGCATAGCCTTGACACCTGCAGTTTTTACTAGTCTTCACCAGTAACTTGGTTGGCCACTTCGATGGGCAGGGCACATAATTTTCTGGGTACATCATTCTGCATCCTGGTTATGTATGCCACAAATTTCATGTTCTCTCTACACATGCTGATTCTAGAGGTTTTGGTGATGCACAGGCTGTCCTCATTGCTGAATTTCCAGGCCCAGTTCCAGTTCACCTTGTGCTCGCAATTCTTGTGCTTGCACGTGATCCGTATGCCACAGTAGAGCCCCATCGTAAGGCAGCATAGGTAGGTTAGCAAAAGCAGCCTTCCTCCCACCTCTGACCTTTGAGATGTTAGATCCTTCAAAGTAGGGACAGAGGAAGTTAACAAACCTCTGAGGGCATGTGCAGACAATCTACAGGAAGATTTTCCACAAGGTGTTGCAGTTGACAATGTCACATTCTCATGGAAAGAGTATATCAAGTTGACCAACTTTCTGGACAACTAAGCATAAATTAGGATGTCCCACACAAGGAATTAATAGGTGACAGTGCCAAACCCTTTCGTAAGGGAGATGAACACAGTGTACAGGTCAAGTTTCAGGTTCATAGATAGCAGAGATTAAATGGTTGAGAAGAATGTGTACCAGTTTTTTGCCATCAAACAAATGGAGGGAGGTACTGTACCACAGTAGTTTCTATATTTGATGTTTCTGCTCTTGTTGGACTGTTGGAGCACTTCCAGTTCCAATCAGATCAAGGTGGGGATAGTGAGGTGCTCCTCTGCTTTGTAAAGCTATGAGGGGATTTTTTCATCGGAGTTCAGCTGGTTGATTACCTCCTCAATTTTCTGCTGCATGGGTAGGTTATCAAGGCTGTTGGTCGATCTCCTTTGAGGGGTGCAGAAGAGTTCCCATCATCTCTTATTAATTGAATTCTTGTCAAACACATTTTAACTTTCCAAAACCATTAGCTGGAGCCGAGTCAATTTTTAATATCCATAATGTAAAACAAAATAATGTTATAATGATATCATAGAGAGAAAGTAGTGCATAACAAATGACTCCTTTCTCACTAAAAAACATGATCATTGCACACTCTGTCATCTACTGACCTGCATGTAAAAGTTGCCATTCTTTTCATTTCTCAAAATTCTATAGTGGTGGATTCTCCCCTCATGCCTATCAAAAGATACAACCAGACAACTGATCTTAATAAAATGAGCTATGTAAAAAGTTACATGATATTTTCTGTATCGCAATTTCTAATGCATTTTTTTCTAAAAAGAAGTATTATTTACTAATTTCTGGCATAACATTCCCATAGAAAGTTTGAAAAATAAGCATTTATTTGATTTATTTATTGGCACATAAGTAAGACCTTACAAATCAGCTTTTAGATTTTAAATTCTCTCGATGTCAGTGATCTATCCAATATGCAACTTGGCAGACCACAAGAAAATTACACAGCTCCAAGTAACTAAAAGCCCTCATACAAATCTCTGCACTACAGGGTTTTTTTACGGTCAATATAGAATTATAAGTTTCATAGGGCAAAATTTCTACCAAAGGGGAGGTTGATCACACATGGCAACTCAGAAAAAGTTAGGAAGCTCAACTATACAGAATAACTGAGCTGAGTGGTACTGAAGGGAACTGTTGTCAATAGTCATCATCAGAGTCTTTATCTTTATTGAAATTTTGTTACACGTACAGAATAGTATCGGCAACTGGAGAAGAAAACAAGATGATGTCTCAATTGATATTCAACCCCAATAAATATTAACCACCCATCCCACCCCAGGGGAGGACATCCACCACACAGTAATCTTGTCCGTGGGAAATTAACGTCTCCTACCCCAACCCTGCGGGAGACAGGGCCTACGGTTTTATGTCCCATCCGAGAAGACGAGAGTCAAGTACATGTAAGGAGTTCTCTGTCTATTCACTCTTTATAGTTTTACAGTTATTAGTTATCATTTCTTTTATTCTAGTGACCTTAATGTTTGATTTAGGTGTGATGTTGTAAGCAGAAATTAGATACTTGTCGCTGTTAGGGGGTCAAGGTCACAAAACAGTCCTTTGCAGGTTTTAAGGGGGGTAAGTTTCTAAAGAAACTGTGGTGCTGCGTAGGTGGCAGAGTATAGCAGGTAATTTAGTGTTAACAACTGAGTTGAAAACGTAAATTGGCCACCGTTAAGGGTAAAAAAGCTGACGTTTTGAGCATTAGCCCTTCGTCAGAGCGATTGCAGGTTTTGCAGGATATTGACTATTCTTCAGAGGAGTCTATCCTAACCTTGAATCTCTAAATTGTCAGTCATGGAAAATCGATTATGGTTGATTCTGCAGGCTGTTCAATGAGCAGAGGTCTTGTTAATAGTGATGTATTCAAAGTCGATCATGTTTAGTGCTAGAGTGGTGGATGTTCAGTTTTTTTTTTTTTTTCAATCTAAAGGAACCTCAGGTCAGGAACTGGGTCTCTGTTTAGATTATCAGGAAGGTTATCGACGAATTAGTACAATAATCTATTTGCTAATTCCTGCAGTGATGTGACAGCGGTTCGTAATACTATACTTGCAACACATCAACAAAAATGTGACTTTCAACATCAAAAGATACTTACAATAGACACAAGACGTGTGCATTAGAAATGCTTTCGCTGTCTCGTATAATAAAAGAGCCATTTTTCCTCGTGCTCAGCAACAATTCCTCTGCACGAATCCTACTAATGTCTGGTTGGTGCCAAGGAAATGACATGAGAAAGGCAGCAGTGGCGCGATCTCACTTCCTGTTAGAAACTTTTGGACCTCTAAGCCTCTAGGCAATAGTATCAATTATGCCATGAAACCAATTTGAGGGCTTTGTTTACGCTTAATCAATATTTGAATCCACAACATTGCACTTCCTCTTCAGGACTACTGCAATTCGTCTACCCAGGGTTCAAGTGAAATAGGAAATATGAAATGACTTTTCGTGGTGGCATAAATCGACACACATTCTTCCTTTACAGGTATACCGCTGGATCTATCTTCCCTGGCTGTTGTCGTCTTGCTCCGTCTTGAGAAGTTTTGTGTTTCATATATCGCAAGTGTGGTAAGAACAGGTCGTAGGCGATAAGATACAGCTTGGGAAACAAAGGAAACAAGTCAGAAGGAAGGTTCATAAATAAACAGGTACATCGACTTTGAATTTACATGAATTGAAGAGTTATTCACTTTCATTTTCAAGCTTTGCGTCTCCTTCACTTTCTAATCTATTCATCCTGTCTGGTTAGGTTCTTACATGGATGGATGATTGTTCTGAACAAGAAGGGCAAGGGGTAACCCGTGGAAAAAGGTTCGCTTCATTTGTTTTCATTGAAAATCTTTTTAGGAGTTTATTTTTAAAACGTTAGAGTTATCTATTGACTGAAATAGCGTAAAGGATATGAAAACAGATGTATCCTTTAGATGGCTTTTGAGCCCGCAATGGCTCTACGTTTGAGCGAAATTTTACAGCTCAGTTTAGGACAATGACCGGCATAATTAATAAATATCGTAATGGGGCTTTGCTACCGTTTTCGTTCACATTTTTCAAACAGCAATTTTAGTTTCTGCTACAAGAATTAAGCGCTACATTACCTGCGTTCGTGTTCCTTGAACAATGTGAACTACACAAACATCTACCGCAACATAGTGTAATTAGTTTGAAATAGGTAATCCCTCTGTGCTTCCTAAACACATGTTTAAAGGATTAACTCTTACATTTTTAACTGTGAACCTAGGGCCTTAGGACGCCTCGTTAGTAATCGCACTTGAAACTGAATTGATGTTTGAACTGGTCCTATCAAGGCATGCATGTGCGTTAGCAGCACATGTCAAAGTCATATCGACAAAGTTTAGTACCTTTTGTGATCGCAAACAAAGAGACTTGCAATGTGTGTTGAGGTAATTGATTATACTGTAAACATGATAGACAGTCGCATCATTGACTAGGCTCATGTGCATGAGAACTCAGCCAAGATGCTATTTATTTCCCCCGTAGTAATATCCTTGTTGTAATTATTCCTAAATTGTGACAAATTTGATGCTCATTGGATGTATTGTAGTGCATGTGAATTGCAAATAATTTTCAAATGATGCTTGTTTGTGTAGCTCTACCATCTAAATATGGCAGTACTGTTTACATAGGCCTTATGTTATCTACTGCATAGTTTGAAGAATGGTGAAACATTTTCTGCACTGATGTGAAAAAGCACTCCTTAACTTTAGGAAACATTACAACAATTTCACACATTTCACCAGAAAAGCGTGATATTCCCTGAGCAAAATACCAGGGGATTGTTTGGTAATCAAGCTGAACTGCTTTGAGAAGATTATTTTCTTAGCACCTTCTTGACTTTTCAGCCAGTGATTTAAAGGGATATACAATTTGGGAAATCTTTGTAAAGGAAAATGTCTTCAAGTAAGGTTTAAGTTATTTAACATCAGACACACAGTTGGGTGAAATTAGGTGCTTCAGAGTGTCTAGGCAAAATTTAAACTGAATTTTTTTAAATACATTGATGAAAAAGCTAAATGGGTACCTGTGTGCATGTGCAGTGAGATTAACTTTCATATGGGCTATCATGGAAGAAAAGCCTCCCAATTTATTATTCATTTGGCTGTTTGTTGTATTTGTAAACAGTTTTGATGCTGTAAGAGCGATGACCACCAAGTAGTGGTTTGCTTATATTCAAATGAAATGGTTACGTGTACCATATTTGTATTCTTGCTGCAAAATTTGCAACCAGATTGGACTTTTACAGCTGTATTACAGCAGAGGTAGCTTTGAACACCACATCACACAAAAAGTATTTCCTCCTCATCTTAATGTTTACTTTGACCAGAATTCATAAAAAAATTCAACAAAACAGGAGCTTAAAGGAATTAAAACTGCAAAAATTTACTTTTAACTTTTTTAAGCACTGAGGAAAATGATTAGCTGATTTGTCTAATTGCATTTGAATATCATGTTATGATAGGTACATTAAAGGTGATGGAGCTTTGCAAATTGGTTCATGGCACAAATTCCAACCCTATGAGCGGCAACCATGCCAGGCATTATCACAATAGCTAAACAATAGATAGAATGTCAGCTCAAAATCTTAGCTTTACATGTACTTGTCAAAGGGAAAGAGAAATTAAGTATAACAATAAGAAAAACACAGGCTTCCTTCTTTTGCATTGAGTGGCTTGAAAAAAAAGCACTTTGGAAGACTTTTTACCTTGCTAGAAGAAGGAAATCTTTACTTCACTAATGTGGCTCTGCTTCTCCCACAGTGCTTGAGAGCACAGTCTATTGCAATTTATGTAACATTACTTAAACAGGCTAAACTAAGGCTTAGCATGGTATGTGACAATGCATACATGGGTTTTTGCTTAAGTCATTTTAAATACACTTAAGTAACTTGAAATTACAGCAGTTTTACAGATTAGGTAATTGACAAAAGGAACAAAAAAAATGTAACTTTGAACAAACCATGCAACCTGAAACTGACCCCACACACTAAAAACACAATCCCACTGAGCTAGAAAAATGTGCTCTTCTTCATTTAGTTCTCCATTAGAGGAAACCCACTTTTCTATATTGAAAGCTTCCTCAAGATGCATGCTTGTATCTTGTGGTTCAATGTTATTCCTTATTGAAAGCTTCCTTGAGATACATGCTTGTATCTTGTGGCTCAATGTTATCCCTTATTCTAATTACACCTTCATTTTTGCAAACTCAATATCATACATTACCAAATCCACCACCAACCAAACAATGAAGTTTGGTAAATCAAGGATACAGATGGACCACACCTTACACCCATGGAGTCGTATGGCTGCTAAAGATGATTTGTATGTCTTTTGCAATATGCAAGTTTGTAGTTCATGCTTTTAATTGATTTGCTAGTATTTTTTTTTTTAACAGAAACAAAGTACAAGGAAAAAGGAAAGGATCAACCAATCAAACCACTTCTAAGGAAGTGGATAACAAGAGGTAATGCAAAGGATCAATTAAAGACTGTTAATCTACATTGTTTTTCATTAACTTGACACATCTCAGATTCTCACCACTGTCTAGAAGTTTTTAATGTTGCTTTGTTATTAACTGTAAGAGGTAAACTTGCGTTTCCCACCGACAGATCTAAACCCAGCCATCAAAGGCGATCATCTCTGACACAAAGAAGTCAGTCTACTGTAACCTGCACATACAAGTGAGTCATCTAAAACCATATTTGAAGTCTTTATAGAGGAGCTAATGTAAAATTTTATTTGCTCAATTGTTAGGAAATGAATCAATGATTCAGGTGCATTTCATGAATAATGTATCTGCTTTGTTTAGTCTAAGGTCACGTAGTGCATCAACAAGCCCTCGTTCTAGTACAAGTGATTGTTCAACTCACAGGTGAAGGGAATATCAATAATAGCAGACCTTATGCTTATTTCTTTCAGAGAAGTATTATATTTTTAATGTTATTACAGTTATGTGCAGGTGTCAATAGCATATTAGGTTAATAAGGATGTATTTTACTGTGCTCTGTGCAATCCTTTTTTACTGATTTTCCTCCAAAGTGGCAGCTGAAAAGGAAAATCACTAAATGTAAAAAAAAGACTTAATATTAAAATTCAGGTCATTATTTTACAAGCACCTAAATAAGGACCTGATATTTGATAAGTTTGAAATTGAAGTTTTGTTCCAAACATGAATAAACTTGAAGAATGAGACATTTGTTTGACTGCAGGTGTTTGCTATATCTTCAGTCACACTAACCAATTAGTATATATAAACAATTCCATGATCAACATGCCCTCAATAATGTGGTTGCATTGCAGTGACTTCTAATGAGCATTATCTGGACTATGTACTTTCTTGTAATGGCAATAATTTTTGTTTGTGTGAAATTTTTAAAAATTTGTGTCCACCAACAGCTGTAGGTAGCTGTTGCTGAAGTCAATAGAATTTTCTTTCTCTCTTAAGTGGTCAACCAACCCAAGAAAAGCAGGAAGCTTATAGGAAGCCTACGGCTGTGCCTTCATTTGCTGCAGCTTTCAGCAAATCAAGGCAATCCCAGCCTTCTTTGACGGTCATTGGTAATTTGGTGACATCTCAACCCTCTACTCTCCATCTGAGCAATCCCTCATCATCAGCCATTGGTAACTTATCCTCCTCATCCAAGTCTTCCTCTCGTGGAAGACGCTCTGCGTCATCATCATCATTATCTGATAAGTCTGCTGGACCAAGCCAATCTGCATCCCGAACTACCTGTGCACCATCACGAAGTTGGAGAAGGAGTGACCCGCCTGAGCCTAGTACAGGCTTAAGGCGGTCACAGAGATTAAAAGAGACAACGGGATCTTGTGCCAGCAACAGGTCTGGTTTTCATATTAAGTGCTTGTAGTCATTTGAACAGAAAAGCTACTTTGTATTATATCAATACACTTTGTTCTCATGTTTTGGTGATAATACTAAATAACTCTGCTATACAGTTAAGTGTATGAATTTCAGTTTGTACTGCAGGGTTGTAGGTAAGGAATAGCCTGCTGGTTGAGTTAAGATCTGAGCGTGCTGAAAAGGAGATCTAGAAACAAACAAGGCTCCTAAGCTTCATATTTACAAGTGCTGTGGTGGCACCAATACTTAAGTTATTCAGGAGTTTTTTCAAACCTTTTCACAACAAGGATATGTTTTGATATTCAAAGATTATGCATGTACCACCTAAAAACCATTCATTTCCCTTTACCAAATAATTACCTGTCAGAATCTAGCAATCAATCTTCACTTTCTCATCCCCCAAATTATGCTAACAGCTGGCATTTAGTGACAAGCTTAAGGTATTATGTTCCTCTCAGAAGTGTGAGAGGTTATTTATAGAGGAACATAACATTGTGAAATAGTGAAACTTACATGTACAAATTCATAACCTGTTAAAAATTTTGCGCTGACTGCGCATTTAGTATGTAGAGAAAATATTTTGAAATGCACTTATTTACATGCATATTGGAAACAATTACAGTGGTATTTACAGGGGTTTGCACACTAGTCTGATGCTGTTTTTTCTTTTAAAAAAAATTCTTTGGTTTCAGTCGGCGTGGGCCAGGAAAGAAGCAGTCGTGGACACGCCGACAATCACCCAGCATGTCAGCTGACAAGTTAGTTGTACAAATAAGACATCACTTGATCTTGAGGAATTTTTTTGTCTATTTATTGACATTTATTTGTCTTTGAGGGAGAGAGTAACGTATACTTTTAAGACACAGAAAAGACATGTATGGGCAGTGATCTTTCCTATTGGGAAAACTAGAAATGCTGTCTTAAAATCATGTTTCAGTTGGGAATTATCATTACTTATGATTAGCCCTGAAGAGTTACATGTAAACTGAAAAATTGTCATCAGTTACATGTTTATGTCCATTCAGTGATCCTTATTTTTATTTAGATAATGACTGTATAAATGCATGTATGAATGATCATGTACATGAAACAAAAATGTACATCATTCTGTGTATACATATTTGTGTAAAATCAGATATTATGCATAATCATAGAGCATACACAGTTAATTACACAGTGCATGTAAACTTAAGTTGATTTTACTGATTTGTAAACTTTTTTGAACAGTGCTCCCCAGGAACCAGGATCTTTAGATGGAGGTACATTTTTAACCATTCAAAGCTGTTAATTTATGGAACTGCATATTCTGAGTTTAGATTCTGTATCAAAGAAGTTGAATATATTTGTTCAATCAGTTTGGTTTTTGTTTTTGTTGTAAGTTCTTACATGATTGTTCAATGTTATCAGCATCTAGCCAGAGAACCCATCCAAAAGTCACAAACTTTGATTAAAATTTAAAGCTGAAGAATTACGGTCAAGTTGCCGACGGTTCAACTCGCCAACGCCAACTTGCCAATGTATAAAATCTAGTAGAGACGTTGGCAAGTTGGTCTTCTAGTACAGCTTATTAGGAGATAAACTTACAGAAAAGTAAAAGATATTTAGTAAAAAAACAGTTTTGTTTTCTTACAATAAAGTTTATATGGGTCTCATATGAACATTGCCTATGAATATAAAAGCTTCAGACACAAGATCTTGTATAGAAAGCCAAGTTTTCATAGAATAATCTGATCAACTGACATGGTGAGTCTTTACGGTATTGTCACACAATAACTCGTTCGCATCTGAAGCTTTTATATTCATTGGCGATGTCTACCTTGCTTTATTCGCCATGAGATCCTTATAAACTTTGTTGGAAGAAAACAAAATTGTTTTTTCGCTAAATATCTTTTACTTTTCTATATGTCTGTCTTCTAATAAGTTGTACTGGATTGAAGACCAACTCGCCGACGTCTCTACTTGATTTTAAAGGTTGGCGAATTGGCGTTGGCGAGTTGAACCGTCAGCGACTTGACTGGATACCAAGCTGAACTATAGTCAAACATGCACAGGGAAGTGACGGCTGTACATGGTTTCATATAGTGCTTTGATTTACATGTTAACGGTTGAAAAGGTCTTTTGATATAGACTAGATTTTAGTGTTTCTCTATGTGGTAATTGTTTTGAATTATAAGAGTACTATCAATAGAGAATGGTATGTAATTAAATGATGATCTAGAGAGATTTGGAGGGTTATTTTTGTAAATGCATAAATAAAGTTGCTGACATTTTTGCTTAAAAGGAAGAACTCTCATCCTCAGTATTTTCCTGACAACTTCCTTTTTTTTCATTTTCACAAGAAAGTAAAAGCTAGTTTGGAAGCCAGCCAGTAACTTTTGGATTTAACATTGTCCTCACCGTTGTCTTCACCAATGAGGCCTGTTGCTTTTGAGTAACTTTATTTTTCCTTCTTTAGCTCACGGAACTGCTGAGGATTCTGCTCCTTCTGCTAGTGGTAATTATGAAATTTTGAGGGGGTTGGTTTGTTTTTGCTTTTTCTGTGCCTCTTTTAGGAAAATTTGATTTAATTTAAACTTTGTTCAAAAAACGTCATGAATTGAGAGATGTAGTTCAGATTAAGCAGCATCATAAAGGGTGTAGGTTAATGCTGTGCCATTTTAATATTTTATCTTTGTAAGCTTCCCATCAACCTCCAAAGCAAGTAGTATTATTGAAATCAGCCAAGCAGAATAAGAGCTATAATTAAGAGAGGTGGTAATCTAAGGACATAAAATCCATAGACAAGTATCCACGGTTATTTATATTGTGAGCACTTTAAGGCAAGGGCTAGGGAAATGTGCTGTATGATCAGTTACACTGACTGGTAACGTTGTTTGTGCCTATAGGTGAAGCCTCCAGAAGTGAATTGGAGGGTTCTGGCAGCCTTGAAGATATGGAGCTAAAAGATGGCGAGTTATCAAGATTACAAGGTCAGTTTATTTTTAGCTTTTTTCTCCCATAACAACAAAATAACCTATTCTTCTGACATGTTTACTCATACAAGTGACAAAGATATCACATGCCAACTGTTACTGAATTATAAAATGTAAACTTAAAAGTTTAATTCTACTCATGCAGGAAAAACTCAAGGTATGACTCAAATTCTCTGTATATTTATGTACATGTTTGTTTACTTCTTATGATCTAGTAAATATTTTAACCAAAAAAAGAAACAGATGGGTGTAACAATATTTTGGTTCATTGAATTACAGCCCTCCTGGAGGCAAGGGGTGTTCCTTCTCATCTCATTGGTTCATTAGGACCACGGATGCATCAGCTGTTGCACCGAACTATCAGTTCTGGTTCAGGTAAATGAGCAAAACAAACTTGAATAGAATTCTTCTTTTTATGTTATTTCTAGTACCTCATGGGTTTCTCAAAGATGACGAATACAGATAATTTTTGAAACAAAATTTTCAGGTAAAACATGGGTTTTATTAAGTGATGTGTACAGTGTAGGATAACATGTGTTTTCAATGCACAGGTGGTAAAGTTCAACAGATGTTGGCAGGAATCCAATCATCTGATGAAGGACAGCAGCTTCAATCTGTCATTGAAATGTGCCAGGTATGTTACAGGAGTGCACTAGTCAAGTTAATTACTCTTCTGTTGTTTAAACTTACTTTAATGCATAGAAGGCCTGGATTTTGTTTCTCTTTCTTTACTTCCTGACAAAAATAAATTCAGCATCAGCCCAATATTACTATGCAGTTGAAAATAATCTTATGAAGTAGGATAAATTTTGTAAATTTTGATACAACATGTTCTCTGAGTTGTATTGATGTATCAGTACAACTGTAATATCTCATTTCTCGTTCTACTTTATTTATCATTCAAATTCCCAGTCATCATGACAAATTAAAAGTATTTCCCCAAAGATTGAAAGAAAAAGAAACACCCTTAATTTCATGTTTATGTACTACTACTTGTACTTGTAACCCTTGAAAGAGTCCTGAATTTAAATCAGCTTTTGAAAACACATGATTTTATAAGGTTTGAATAAATGCTCTGCAGAATACAGTGTACACGTAGGTTAAGAAAGATATAAGTTGCCATTATAACTTGAGGTGGAGTTGATCTTACTATACAGCTTTTTTAATAATTTTGTTAGAATATAAAAATTGGTTGTTGATGTTTTAGTGCAAAAGACCTTGTTTGACTTGTGCAGAAACAATACAATTGTTCTGAGCTATGGTATACCTTGGAATCAAAATGTAACAGTGCCAACATTCAATGTAAAGGACTCAATAGAGTTGATGTATCTTTTTGGTGTTTGTTTTTTTAGTTTTTAGTAATGGGTAATGAAGAGAGTTTAGTGGGATTTCCTGTGAAACAAGTTGTACCTGCACTTGTGAGTAGTTACTTTGTCTTACTATGTAGACACTGCTTATGCAGAGCATACAATGTAGCTAGTGTGGCTGATAAGATTTAGACTCAAGTCTACTTGCACACATTTCTGGTGGACAAGTGAAGGATACCAAGGCAAAGCAATGTTACCAAAATTAAAGCAAGGAGGAAATTGGTATGGACTTTCAGAAAGTTTTGGTCTTCTTCATTAATTTTATGAAACTAATTAAGTTTGGGTTTCTACTCTCCAATGTGTTAATTAATTAAAAATTAGTGGTAGTTTATTTTCTGACCAAGGCTGTTGTCCTTTGCAGGTAAACTTACTTTCAATGGAGCATAACTTTGATATGGTGAGCAGAGCATTTAGTTAAATTTATCTGACAGTTCATTTCTTTGAACTGTACACACACTGTATGATCTCAACACCTCTGTTGATTCTTCTCTGTATTCACGTTTTATGTCTTTTTTTTACATTTTTCAAAGATGAATCATGGCTGTCGTGCCCTAACCTATCTCATGGAAGCTCTTCCCAGATCAACAGCTGTTGTAGTAGAAGCAGTACCTGTGTTTATAGAAAAAGTAAGTTGCAAGATAAGTGTGAACAATACTAATAATAATGATAATAACAATTCTTTCCATGTTAATCAAGACTTAAAAAGATGGAAAAAACATTACAGGCAAAATCTCTTAACCTATAAATATGCATAGCATGGGCTTCTATGCTTTGCAAAATGGTGCCATTCTTACTTTCTTTCTAAATACTGGTAAATGTGAAATAAAGAAAAGCTAATTTTTTAATTTGATATAATCTATTAGATCAATCAACTAATAACAACTTGAAATAAATCCATGACATTCTAAGGGGGATTTCTTTTAAACATTTTTCTTTTCTTTTCTTTTCTTCTCTAACTCTTTAAAATTGTTGTTCCTCTCTATCTCTTGGTGGGTTGGTATTTTGAATGAGAGAGATGCTCTTTTTTTTCTGTTTTGTTTTTTTTATTTTTGCTATTACCATAAGCTGAATGATTGCAAAAAGAGCCATAACAACAAAACAATTGGAGTTGAGTTAACCTATCAGAACACTAGAAATACAGTATTCAGAGTTGAAAATTAATAATTGCTAGAATTCTGTTCCAAAGGGAAGTCAGGTATCAAATAGTGGCAGCATGGTGGAAAGGGCAAGATTTCAAATGAACAACTTTTGTATTCATCAGTTCTTTGAGACTTAAAGGGATTAATCTCCCTTATTATGGACTTACAGGAGGATCTTTTTGGTCATTATTACTGTTATTATTATTTTTTTTTATAGTTACTATTATCATTATTATTTTCATTTTTATAACTTATTATTTTTTATTGCTATTATTATTATTATTATTATTATTATTATTATTACTATAATTATTATTATTATCATCATCAGCAAACACAAGTACAATCCAAATGCATATCGAGCATCTCTGATTAACAATGGTAATAGGATCGAATGGAATCCAATTCAGTCTGTAATCATACAAGTGATTAACAAAATTGGACAACTGCAAAACGGAAGTCCAATTTGTTAACCACGAGTATGATTACAGACAGATTGAACAACAGGAAGTCCTGTAACCAATTCATCAAAACCCTGACAAATTTGAGAAAGAAACTAGACAACAGTTAACGCAGTGAAATGGAAGTCAACAGCACACACACATGATGGGTTCTGTCCTTTAACACAGGCATGAAGTGCTAACTGTCCCTTTGACTGTCCTATTACACTGTCCAATTTCAAGCATGACCGATACACTGTCCTATAAGTGCTTTAATTGGGCTGGTGATAACCAATCATGTTCGAGAATTTTGTTATAGTTTTGATTAAAACTAGTCTTCTTGTAATAATAATTGTTTTTACCATGTGCTAGCTACAAGTGATACAGTGTATGGATGTTGCAGAGCAAGCTCTCACTGCCTTAGCAATGTTATCCAGAAGACATGGAAAAGCTATCTTGCAAGCTGTAAGTGTTCATGTTCAGTGTACCCAAGGTATCAGGTTGGGTTACATAAGCCATGGCCATATGGTTTTTTAATGATACAGTGTATCATACTAGGGTTTTAAGTGTGCTGTGTTAGCCAGGAGTTAATTACCTTCCATCTGTGATATGCTGAGGTTGGTTAGAATGTGGTACTCAAATGAGTGGCAGAAAATTGAGTGGAACTGCTCATGAAATGCAATTTGTGCAATGAAAGGGTCATTTGCCATGATGGGTGAACTACCCTGTTTAACCACACCAGATAATTATGGCAGAACATTTTGTGAATGAAACATGTAAGCTGTTTAGTTGTTCTAGATTTCATGTACTAATTGAATCAAAATGTGAAAAAAGACTTGTTCAGAGAGCGTGCATCTGAAGGGGTGTGAATCAAACTCAAGAAAATTTTAGTTCCACTTGATGAAGAATTGGAGCCATAACATTTATAACTTAAACAATAATTTGTAAGCAATATACATGTAGATGTTGACCAATGCACTATGAGTCGGGTAATGAACTTTTTTTTTACTTGGAATCCATCAAACTTGCAAACTAAACGATTGAAATTAATCAAAGCAAATCAGATGTTTGAATGTTTGTAAAGAATAACACATTGCACAGGCTTTAATTACATGTAAATCATGTATAAGAAAGGTTTTTGTTCTTGTGATTTTAAGGGCATTATAGGATGTAGTTTCTGAGGTAGCTGTTTAACAACTAACTTTGTTTGTGTTTTCTTGACCAAGGGAGGAATGTCAGCTTGTCTTCTGTACTTGGATTTCTTTTCAATATCTGCTCAGGTACAGAATGGTCCAAGGGCCCCAAAATATATTTTCCACACACTGCAATTTAGACCATCTATAAATATTATTTGAATCAATATTTGAGTTTTCCTTTGTTATCAGGTGTAGTTAGAAACTTGAATTTTCTATCCAGTGGTGTCTTGTTTTCAAATTAATACTTATGACTACAAGAATACGTAACAAAATCCTTAACAGACCTTTGTTTACTTTATCATTGTAACTTGTACATAGTGGTCTACATGACAACCCTGTATTTCCACATAGCTTATCAGAGAAGTATTGATTGTGGTTAGAATAAGACGTCAAGGTATCAAAAATAATTTAGGGAAAGAAAATATGACTAAGATAGTTTTTTTAACTACTTAAGAATTATTTATGTAGGCTTTGTCTTAACCCTTTTGCTCGTAAGAGTGACTAGCATCTAATTTCTCCTTACAATATCTCCCTTGAATCAAACAGTAGGGTCATGAGAACAATGGAAGTGATCAACAATTACAGAAGCTCTGGAATGTTAAGCTTATTCTCCTTGTCAGCACCTTAGGAAATGTATAGAGAACAGTATGGAGAATATGCGTACTGATGTTAGGTTGTAAAGGGTTAATGAATGACATTACATCTATTTTCAGAGGTCAGCATTATCTGTTGCAGCCAATTGTTGTCACAGCATTGGTGTGGGTGACTTTCATCTTGTTGCAGATTCCATTCCAGTTTTAAGTGGAAGGTTACAGCACCAGGTTAGGGTCTTAACTGTAGAACTTAAAAAGGTGTGAATGCCAGATGCACGTTCACTTCTGGGATGTGATCAGAAACATGAAGATCAGATGTGAGAAAACTTAACTACTTGTACATGTATTGGTTTTCATTCATTATCTGATTTCGTATATGATTGGTCATAACATAGAGGTTATTCTGATGTTTGGTTTTCTGAGGTTGATAACCTTACCATTTGCAGCTCATCTTCAATTATATTAAGTTTGCTAGAACAACTTTCTCTTTAGGCTTTTGATCCTTGGCCTTTTTTGTGGAATTCCAGTGCTCAAGTAATTGAACTACCTAGGCAGCAGTCCCTACACCTCCCTTTTTAATTAAATGATAATTGGATTTGGGCAATATTGAAACTTGTATTTATTGCTGGTCTTTTTTTTTTTTATGAATGAGGGAATGTTGTTAGTTGTTGGTAAATTTATTATTGTTATGATGTCTGACTGGTTTAGTTTGTTTTGTCTTTGAGTAGAGGCTCATCACTTTCTTTCTAATTGTACTTTTTCAGGATAAAAAGTCTGTAGAGAGTTGTTGTGTGGCGTTTGCTAGACTGGTGGATAGCTTTCAGTCTAATGAGGTCAGAATCACTGAACATTTTCTACTTGAGACATGTTTTCCTTTTTCTACTAGTTACTACAGTAACTGCTACTTCTCTACTGTTATGTTATAAGAATGCGACATACAGCAAAGATTTTTTTCTTGTTCCTTGCCTTAGATGAAAAATAATCACATGTAAAAAAGAAAAGGGGTTTTATGCAATATTTTTATGCTGAGTACAAAATTTTTTTTCAGAAACATCTGGAAGAACTGGCTGCCCATGGTCTGCTTAATAACTTGCAGCAGTTGGTGAGAGTTTCCTTTAATTAAAATTTTTGGATATTTATGTTCTCAGAAGAGAGTTTATGTCCAGTGAACTCTGTTTGGCCTCTCAAATGTTGAAAAGCCATGATCATGGTTTGGTGACAGGCATATTAAATTTTTGTTTCACTGCTTAAGAAACAGCCATGTGTTTAATACATTGTCACCATAAATATGTTACCTTTTAATTTGACAGAAAGGTTAAATACTGTGCATACTTTTAAGAATTAAAATATAAGATTTGCATAACTTTTAGTTGGAACTAAGAGGCAATAAGCATCCACCCATAAAGAGGATTCCTTATTGATTAAAACTGCTCAACCAAGATACATCATACCCTCTGCTAGATTTGGGAAATTTTGTGGAAGATATTCCTATTAATTTCTCGATTTTTGATAAAATTGGGATCAATATCAGTATCTGGGCAACTGCCCACCTACCCCTCCCCTAACCCAACAACAGTCAATTGATAACAATTTAGGGTTAATGTTGGGTTAGGGGAGGGGTAGGTGGGCTGTTGCCCAGTTACTGATATTGATCCTAAAATTGCTCTAGGTGGTCTGTTGTAACTTATGAGAATGGCCCAGCTCAAGGAGATATTTGTCTAATTTCTTTATTTTTTACTGCTTTATAGCTCATGATGGCCCCTCCAGTAATAAGTACAAGCACCTTTGTAATGGTGGTGCGAATGTTGGCCATGTTGTGTTCCAACAGTCCAGTAATAGCTGTGCAGCTTCTGAAACAAAGTATGTGACTGAGTGACTTAAAAATGTAACATGATAAATGATCATTACTAACAGTAACACTTTGAATGAAATGAGTAGAGCAAGTAGAAATATAGGTAACATTCATGGTAAAATATAACAAAATAGTGTGAGCTATGATGTTATTTTTATAATATGCAGTATGGAAAAGAATTCCACAAGAATTCAATCAATAGGCATTGTTAGCATTGATGTAAGTTAGTCACCAACACAACTTAACAAAAACTTGAGCAACAGAATAGAAATTGACCCTGTTACAATTTTTGTTTGATTAATCAACAACCCCAGTGGACCCTGGGAAAGACCCAGTTGAACCTTCAGCTTTGAAAATGGCTGCTGTTTGACAGTGTGCACAAAGTTACTTCATTGATTTTCAAAGGCGTTTTGAAAGAGGCAACCACAACATCAGTTGTAGACTGTAAAAAATGCTAAGACTTTAGGGCAAACAAGGAATAAAAACTGCAGCAAATTAAGAAATGTTGCATTTCACAGATCGGAAGGAATAACAATTACCAAAAATTGTGCAAGTGATCTTTCATTAATATAAAATGCAAAGAAAATGTGCCAGGTTAACTCTACTGTACTGAACTTGCAAATTTAAGAGCTCATAATGCTAGGAAAATAAATATTGTTACTATGGTAACTTAAAATACCTAGCCCCTTTATTGTACCTTAAAATCTGTTTCATTCCCTAATGGAAGATTGAGAAGAAATAAATGTTGTTTACTTACTTTATTTGCTTTTTTCAGATGTGTCAGATACAATTTTGTATTTATTACTGGGCACCACAGAACCAGGGGAGGTAGAGAATGCTGAGGTAAAAGTGTTTTAGTTTTTTTTTTTTTGAACCTTTCCTGATTCTACAAAGTTTTCTCTGTACTGAAATTTACATTGCTAGTTCAATCAGTACAAATAGAAGTGCATCTGTAGTGTACTTATACCTTAACATTCATGTGGAAAGCAAAGCAAAGATCTTGGATGCCTTGATCGGGGTTACTTCACTATGTTGCTTTAATTTCTAACTCATTAATTCTTTTTGTAGTTGCTGTCAAGAAGCCCTCAAGAGTTTTTTGAAATAACTTCTTTTATCAGGTTTGTTGTTTACATTGTTGATTTTCATTGTTTTCTCTGTTAATTACACCTGAAATTCATAGTTAGCAATACACTTTATTAGATCTAAACATCAGTGTCTGACTTGAAATTTTTGTGCAGTCTGCATGTGGTTCTGAATACATATATATCAGCTTTGAACTTCAAGCTGATTTTCTTTTCCCTTGCCAGCTCAAGATTGTAAGTTTCTACCATATTTGCTGTAACAAGAATTATAAGAACCCAATTTGTTATATTGTCTAACTTTGAGTCATGTTATACATGAAATAAGCTGGATTAGTAGAAAATTAAAACTTATTCTGCCTTTCTCAACAGTGAACTTCTACCAAATTTGCCATCAGATGGTAAGTTCTTGTAGCAAGGAGATGTATGTGCGGAAGGGTAAACGTGATGAGATACTTATGGCTGTGTCACTGAGAAACGTTTGTCTGGCAAGATGTACATTTCTTCTTTGGGCAGCTTATTACATTAGGTGGTTGATTTCCTTATTTGTGGATGTTGGTGATGCAGGCTTGCTGTAGGTTTGTCTTAGTGTGAAGCTGTGTTTGCAGGGATCTTCTTGGTTGATGCTCTACTGTGCAAACCACAGCAGAAGGCTGAACAAGGACTGTGGCAGTGGAGAGATGATAGGGGACTGTGGCACACATACTCATGGATTGACAGCAAGATTATTGAGGCTGCATACCAAAGTGGAGAGGATGAACTTACTCTCACCACACTTGGAAGAACATACACTGTTGACTTTAACAGCATGCAGCAGGTTTCTCAGAATTGTGTATTTTTTTTAATGAAAATCTTTATTTACAACATAAATTACTTACAATGCATATGCTCTATTACAACACGTTGCTAACGATACATCACTGACAATACATTACTTACAATGAGCTGCTAACAATTATGATCTATAATACTTCTCTACTGTAGTATATGAATTATGTAACTAACATTCAACCACAAAAGATGACTCAAAAGAGACATGTTAAGTATAACTTAGTCAAGGTAGTGATTCTAGCATTTTTCTAGAATCACTTCACAGAATTTGAATTAAAGTGGACTGTTGTGATTTTCACCTTGCAGACAAATGAAGACACAGGTACATCAAGACAGATACAGCGATGTCCAGGAGGGAGTGAGACATCTACAGCCCAATCCAAGACAGAGGAAACAAAAATCACCAAGAGTGATGAACGTTTAGTTGTTTTATGTGAAGATGCCAAGCTGGCTTCATCGTACACTTGTGTTATGTTTTCTGCTTTATACAAGATATTCAGCTCTTCTGTTGGACCTGCAGTGAGACACAAATGTGTGAATGCTATATTGAGGGTGTTGTGTCATGCCCCTCCTGATCTGCTGGGTGTGGTTCTTAAAAGACACCCCATCTCCAGCTTAATAGGGGGAATGCTTCAATCAAATGACTTGAGAGTCATAACTAATGCTCTTCAAATGGCTGAAATTGTCATGCAAAAACTGCCAGATGTTTTTCATGTATCATTCAGAAGGGAAGGAGTGATGCACAGAGTTAGAGACTTGGCCAATGGGCTTTTGGCTACTAAATCAAAGTTATCAGATAAGAACTGCTCATCAGAGTGTCTGGTAGATACTTGTGAAATTGAGAGCCCTGGACAGAGAGCTACAGAAAATTCACAGTCACTACCAGTTACCAGGTCAGGTATCTCTATAAATAGTTGCATTAGTACCAGTATGCATTGAAAATGTTACTAAAAGCATAATTTTAGAACTTATTTATTATGGCTGTTCCCTCTGTCTAAGGATGTATTTCTTTTCGCCTAGGCCATACCTTTGATCTTGTGTGCAATTTTTCTCAATGCAGATTTTCCATTCAGTTACAATATATATATTTCTTGATGGTACAATGTATGTATCAATCACATTGCAGGAGGCTGGGAGATGTGTTGCGAAGGAAACGTTATTCAAAAAGGCCTGGCAGGGGAAAGGCCAGTAGTTTTCCCAGCACATCAGAAGCACATGTTGAGATAAACAGAGACCAAATTGGTTTTCCTTCTTCAAGGACAATGCTTCACGACAGCAGGGCTGCTTTCCTGGCCTCTCAAGTATCGACCAGACTGAATTCCAAATCTGCAGTTCTTTCGGAGCGACCAGCAAAGGTGGAACCTGTTTTGTTGGATTGCAGTGTTGTTTATAAGTTTTCTGGGAAATCTTTTAAAATATTATGATTGATATTTACTTCGCTGCCAAAAGTGTATTGCTAATCAGAAATACTGCATTTATTTTTGCAAAGCTGGAGACATCTGTTGCAAGCAGTCTTTCAGAAAACAGAGAGAAGATTTTGGCTTGGATTAAAGATCAAGGTACATATTGTCAATTGTGAACTGATATTTAACTATAGCAATATTCTATTAATATTTTCACGGCTATTTAACTAATGGAAAACTTAATTTTTGCCAACAGCAACCAAGTTCTGTGAAGAGTACTTTGATCAACAGAAGGGAGACTCTCATCCTGCACTTAGTGTACTTCGACAGTTAAAGAGTGCGTCAGAGGAACTGGCTTTAGATGTAAGCTTTGAAAACTGAAACCATGTTAATGATGCTACGTGTTTTTAGGAAAATAATGAAATGATATGTTGCTATTAAGATGAATTTTAAAGGGGAACAACCATGGTCTTGATGACAGATTGTGTTTATCTGTCTTGACCTGGGACATAGTTAGCTTACATACGAGGCTTACAGCAAACATATTAGTTAAAGTTACACTCGCGTCAGCAAGTGGACATGGAGGGTCTTGTTTACACTTTTTCCTCCAAATAGCTTTCATACGAATAAATCAAGAGTATGCTATGCAGGCAAAGACGTAGTTATTGTTATAGTTTTGATGTTGATAGTGATAAAGTTGTTCAGCAACTGTATTAATATGACTTCCTTGTGTTCTAAGTATGCTATTTGGTGTTGTTTTTACAGAGAGAAACATTTCTTCCAGCACTGGAGGTGAGGCTTCTGAGTTAAAAGTGTTAATTTATTACGTTGGTTAACATGCTCTCCGTTGAATTATAATTTAATGTGGGGATTTGTTTGTCTAACCAGGAAGTCTCTGCTGTGCTGACTAATGAAGACAACAGTGCATGTGCATTTGAGATCCTCCATAGTGGACTGGTACCAAATCTTCTCAGGTATGTTTCTTAATTTTCGTATTACATCGAAGTTCTCATCTGAACTTTTGGGACCGGTTATTTACACGAGTTCTAACACAAACCGCGAATTTACCAAGCAATAGGTCCGTACGAGTACTCTTTAAGAGGGTTGTTTTCATCAAATAAATGTCTTTACATAGCTAATTTTTGCACTCTTGTCACTATTCGCAAATATAAATGTTCACATAATAGATTCAGCTAAATTCAAGATAGTCTAGAACGCGGTTTTGAAACAACAGCTAAACGTTGTTTAAATAACCGGCCCTAAGACTTGTTTTGGAAATGATTTTTTCTCTGGTGGTACATGTTGTTGTCAGCTCATGTTATGCCATAAGTGCAGAGAATGTTGCATTCAGCATATTCACAGTCAATTGAATGAAATCTAGTTTTCGATAATTTCAGTCAACTTGTGCTTTTTCCCTTTTTCCAGATATATAACATCTACAGAAGTTAGTGATGCCCTTCCTCAAGAAAAGCGGCTCAGAATATTTTTCCATGTTTTTATGGGACTTCCAGTAAGTGTTTTCAATTTCACAATTCGTAAATAATATTCTGCAGCATTCTTGAAAAATGTTTTATACAATAAATAACCAATTGAAAAAAATTGTAAACACTACAGGCTTATGAATCATTTTTTCTTCTGTGCAGGAGAAAAGCTCACCTGGAGATTTGAAAATCACGGTAAATTTGTTTTTGGTTCCCAGACATAAATGAATGTGTGTTATTTATATTATCACTGTGATTAGTACAATTTTTTTAATTAGTAAGTAATGAGAAAGAAGAAGTTGGATGAAATTACCTCGCAAACAATTAAATTTCCATCAGAAGTGGTTTATTAGTTTCTTGGAGCATGTAATGGCTGAAACGAGCACAACACATCACACATTGTAAAGATGAACCCTCACGTTAAGCAATTTGAAACAATGATAATGCCAAAATGTGTGTTAAAGTTGTCAACACATTCTGTATTTTTTTTGGGCAGACTGAACCCAATGTAGCGCCTATGGCTGCCCTGATACAGAAACTTCACTTGTGCATCAACCAGTTGGAACAGGTCAGTCGATGTTGGATTCAAAAAAAACATATGTACTAACTGGACTATGAATAAAATCTTATTCGTAGTTTTTTTATGCCTTGCAAATTTTATTACATGCACATAATTGTCGACCCTCTACCATTGTTTCTTTCTATGATAATGTCTTGAATTGGGGAAAAGCGTGAAATATTTACTCGACTAATGCACCAAAACATTATCAGGAAGTACATGTAAATGTAGTATATTTGTGTTTTTCAATGGGTCAGTGTATACACGTCACTCTGGACAGCGTTTCTTCATAGCAGATTAAATTACTAACAATAAGTCCCTTTTTTTCACTAGCTCCCGGTCAAAGTTCATGATACACCAGGAGGAGCAGTTGGAGCAAGGTATATGTCACTAAAAATTCTTCAAATATTGTTATAATTTGTAAAAATTTAAAAAATCTTTAATGTCACTCACAGACCTTGCATGTTTGTTTGCCAGGGGGTCTCAAGCTTTAAGATTTTTCAGCTCTCACCAAATCAAGGTTTGTTTTATTTTTTACAGTACTTACTCCTCATAAACTACTTTTGGGGTGTTCAACAATTTGAAAGTCCTAAATTTGTTCGGCACTTTCGGTGTGTTTGCTTGAAGTTATATCAAACGTAATACACAAGTTAATTAAAACTCCTATTTGGTTTGCTGAAATTTATCAAAGATTGACTTAAACTGTTCATACGGTCTACATACAGTGCCTTCTACAAAGACACCCAGACTGTGAAGGGTTACGACAGTGGAAACGTGGACCTGTAAAGATTGATCCACTTGCTCTTGTTCAGGTATGAATTATTCTTCAGTGCCAATTAAACCTGTTGTGCTTTATCTACTGTTTTGTAAATTAGACGTCCACAACAATGCAGTTTCGTTTGAAAACGGATATTTTTCGATGCTTTTTGGCCTTCCGTCTACACTAAGACGCTTGAGAACGGATACATTTTTAAATGAAAGCGATTCGATTTGAAAACGCTCTCAAAAGTGGAGACAGTTGAAAACGCAGACATATCATTTTAGTGTGGATGGTCGAAAATACAGCCTTTTGAAAACGATGACGTTGGTTAGCGTCATAACGTCGTGCAACCTCTTTTCCAAGTCTCCCATCTGAAGTTCAAAACAAATATGGCGAACGAGCATGTGGGTATGTTTTTGACATTGTTGACTCATTTAATCGCTTGTCTGGAGCCTTATGTTACGTCATTCAACATTTTTGGCTTTTCTTGGACGTGCTAGCCATGTTTCACATTTTACAACGTGCGTTTAGCTGTGTTTGTTTGTTTGTTCCTTGTTTCGAAACGTTTTTAAATAATACGGAAGACGTTAGAATCAGAAAAACGCATTAGTTTGTGGGCGAAATGGGGTCGTTCGTTCCTTTATCGTCGAGTTTTTTCTTGTCTTTTTTTATGGGCCATTGAGAGGTATCTTGTTGTTCGGGGATACGGGAAGAAACGACAGGTTTGTTCAGCTGTCTCTTTTTATCCTTAAGTTTTTTTATTGCTAAAATGAAATCAGTAAGTTTGTTTGCCCAAAATTACAGAATGCTGACAGTACACGCTGAGAACAAGCAAACAAATAAAGAATAACGGAAGAATTCACTTTTATTTAGCTGTGTCAAAAGTTACATTAAAAGTAATCGTTAGAAACTTACTAATGCTGTCAAACATCCTCTGAATAAGCCGGCGACACACCTGGCGATTTTGTACGCCGATCGCGGCGAAAATCGTAAGCGATTTTCGCCACAGATCGCTGCGGACACACTTAACATTATGTGGCACATCAGCCTTGATCCCAGGTTCCATCCGGTGACGTATAAAAATTGCGCGAACCAATGTAAACAAACAAAATGGCAACAGCGAAGCGGAAAAAATTTTTGGCTGCTGCCATAATTTTGCAACTAAAGCGCTCTAGGCAGCGTTCTGGAAAGTGGGACAATAGAAAAATATGGTCGAAGACGTGGATTTACTGAAACGCAGTCCTTCTTGAGACGATTACTGTAGTCACTTGACGTTACATCAAATAGGCATGGTTTTTTCTGACCACAATGTGATCAAATTGATTTCTTTTCGGTTCGGAAACAATTTTCGATGTCCTCCGCCATTTTGCAAAGTCACGTGATAATATCATCAAACTTGATTGGTTAATTTTACTGGCGACGCGCAGTGGAAAGGGGAGAAAATCGCGGGAACGGGCAGACTTGGCGAATGCCGGCAAATTTAATCACCGATATCTGACATGTCATATATCGGCGATTTTATACGACGATCGGCGAAAATCACAATCGCTGCACCGGGCACAGCTGGCGATTTTCGCCGATCTCCGCGATCGGCGTATAAAATCGCTAGGCGTGTCACCGGTTTTAAACTTCAAAGGTTTGCTTCAAATTGCTGTGTCTAAATGCATATTTTGGATCTCTTGCAGAATCCAGATGACGATGGCAGTGAGGATGACGGGTAACACAGATAGAGGCTATGTGGACCATTAATTATATTAATTCGAGAACTTTTGAGAGGCTTAATTCATTATTCTACGGCTTTACTGAAACTCACCCATACACTTATGTCTAAGATTGATCTATATTTGGTGGTTCTGTTCCATAAAATCATATTGACAAATGCGGTTTCTTCTTGGACTTATTTGATTTGAATTGACGATTTTAGCTTCACCCTGCCTTGGCTCAATCCACCATCTCATGACTAATGTGCAGTTGTCAAATGCTTCATTTCAAGAAATTAAAAAATCTTGGCGTGTGCACAGATGAAGGTGACATTGTCTGTGGTACTTGAGGCTAGTAGTGCAGCAGCAACAGCATTAGAAGATGTCAGATATTTCTCTTTGAATGACACTTAATTTTCACCATCCGTGCAAAAACGCGTTATCATTAATGGTCAATATTGTTTGTTTCATTTCTCAGATCTGATGATGACATTGACGAGTCTTTGGTATGTAGGGCAAATGTTTCCCACTGTTCCTTTGTTAATGTTGCATTATGCGTTGAAGTCTTACGGTTTATGCTTTGTCGTTAACAGGCAACTGAACTGCAAGGTCAAAACAACTCAAGGTATCACACATAATATTACTCCATGAAACTTATTGTAGTCGTAGAAACTGTTGGTTCTAACTTCCGGTCATCGTTGGAGTAACCTATACATTTTGTTTGTGTTGATGCAGGCATCAACTGGAGATTTTATTGGGAGACCATCTTCTTCCTTACAACATGACAGTTTATCAGGCTATCAAGCAGTATGCTCAGGTACATTGATTCATTACCTGGTTTGTATTGATTTGTTAAAATGCATGTCAAATTAGATCGTTTTTTGTGCACAAGTTGGTAACTTTCTTGGTGTTAAGACCTGCATGGCTTATGGGTTCACTGTTTGTTATTATGAAAAGGTGTTGAGTGAAAATATTAGCATGGTTATTTCTGAACAGAACGGGGGAATACAGGAAAATAGTCATAAAGCTCATTGTCTTAAAATGCTTCTTTATCTAAATCGTTCGTAAAAATCATGCTGTTTCATGTTTTAGTGTGATGAGGACAAAGACTTTGATGATGATCATGGTGGCATCCTTGGCAGACCCAGTATCTGGGTCTCTACCCATACAATATGGTGCGTTCGGTTTTTCGTGTCTGCGGACATCCCTTAAACATTTAAAAAACTTGACATCGTTTGATCTACGTTAGCACTCAAATGATCTGGATTCTTGTAGAGAAGTAATACGTCGTTGGTTTTATTCATTATCTTGGAATTTAAGAGTTGTTTTAGTAATTATTTTTTTTCAGGTTTCGACCTCTCAGCCAAAACCAAAAGGAGCAGCAAACTGTCAATAGTAGTAAATCTAAGTCTGGGGCCAGCGGAACAGCTTCACGAACCTCCAGGAAAACATGGAAAGAAGATGGTAAACATTTGATTACGTTGAATCCATGAAAACGGACTTGTTTCTCACATGCTCATAAGTTAACTCAAGTATTTTTTTATATTTTTAAAGAGTCTGAAAATGAAATGTCTCTTGGTCAGCTCCTCTTGGTTTGTGAACCTGGAAGCTTTGGTAAGTTAAATAAACAATAAGATAGTCAAACGTTGCAGGCTGTTTTTGTTTAACTAATGAATTTTGTTTTTTATTTGTAAGGCCTAAGTCTGTATTAGGTATTTAAAAGGTTTATTAGCGTCTAAACTTACCTGTGAGTTGGTACAACTCGCTATTGTTTTCTAGTCGTTGTCAAAACGTGATCTGAACACCCTTAAGGTAAACAACCTTTAAATAATCGGTTTCACCTTTTAAACATTGGTTAGACGTGGACTTTCGCATATACTGTGTAAACTTTGTTTGATTAATCGGCCCTCGATGTTCCAAAAGGTATCTCGGAGTTATGTTTGTAGCGGTGTTATTTCGAATGTAACAAAAATCTCATTTGAGGCACTTGTAATTGAATTTCACTCATAAAATACCCAGACACCACAAGATCCAGATTACTAACTTTGAACAAACAGGTATTTCTGTGGGTTTATTCTGTATCTACAGCTGTCGTTGTGCACAAAGAAGTACAGTGGCCTTTGATGAAATTTGCTCAACATTCAGTTTTTCCTGATTTAGGAGTTTTTTGTACTGTAGTTATTGTTGCACGTCGCAAGAGAGAGAATCGCGTTTAAATCATGTAAAGGACTGATTCGATGGTATCTGTTATGGAAGTTTCGGCGAAAGTCTCAACGGAAATATCTCCTTCATCAACAGACCAAGTTTCGTTTTCATACTTGCGCTGTGGTTGCCTTGAAAATCTCCTGTATGTATTTAGATTTAAAAAGCTAATGTTGCCTTCAATTCTTGGTCAGTAACTTCAGATCCTAGTGTGGAAGTGATAAGTCTTATGAAAGCTCTTCATGTTCTTAATTATCACTGGACAACGCTTTATGAGGTGAGTGTCAGTTTTTGGTGTTGCCTACCAGCCAACTAAAACAGGCTACTTTTCACTTCGAAATATCGGATTAAAATGTTATAGAATGTCTTGCGAATAGTGCGGTTGAAAATGTGGTACAACCATGTGTCGTTGGACAAACGTGCAACTAATTTTACTTTATTATATCTGTTTTTAGGGGCAAACCCGTAAAGCGTTCTTGTCTTCTAGTGAATTTATAAACAATAAACTTGCAGCAAAAATTACGCGGCAGTTACAAGGTAATTTGTTAGTTTTATCATACACGCGTCAAGGATCAAGCCTCTTACGTGCTATAGTATCATTGTTGACGTATAAATAGTAACGTTGTTTCTTCTCAATCAGATCCTATCACAGTAATAACTGGGAATTTTCCTGCTTGGGTAGAAGAACTTCCTCGAAAATGGTAAGCGAAAAGGTGTTTTGGAGATTTTCGGCAGCCAATCTTATCTATAATGGCGACGAGCTATTCCAGCAGCCTCTCGAGCAGTGGAGACAAGTAAAAGAGCGGACAAGTAGAGAAAATGCCAGAGCGCTGTTTCATCTGACAACCGCTAAGCATCGTTCGCTTCCCTCTTTCCTCCCCCTCCCTTCCTTCATTTTCCTTTTCCCTTTTTCCATTGTCTTTGCTGATCGTGGGCCTGGAAGTAACGTAGAATTGTGTGGGAGTGATTTTCTTGTTTGCTTTACAAGCACCTCACTAGTGATTTAATTTTATCCTTTTACTCTGCAGCCCATTTCTGTTTCCTTTTGAGTGTCGGCAGCAGTTATTTTATTGTACTGCAATGGATAGAGACAGGGCTCTTAGCAAACTTCAGGTACTAGAGAATTTTTCCGCCTTGTGAGATGCATTCAATGTGTTACAGATCCGCTGATGATGTTACTTGATTATGTATTCTTTCACAGGAAACATTACCGGAGCTCATGAATACTGACGCATCAGATCGTGTTGCACCAAGATTTGACAGGAAAAAGGTGTGTTTTTAAACTGACTGGAATGGACAACATTTAATGCTGAAGGCTAGTAAGCTAGTAATGCTGCCTTGTTCCTGATAGAGCTTTGTTTAACAGAGAAGTGCCAGTTCTTCAGATGCATTTCCTATCTTGAGCAGAAAAAAAAAATCTCCTAAAACAACAATGTCGAACAAATCAATAACCTCACCTTATCAGAAATCCAACCAAGCTGAGTGCGGCAGGTGCCCGGGTAGAGAGAAACTCGCGCGTGTGTTCATCTCAACCCTGCATCAGAAAAAAACTTGACTTTACTCTTACGATGGAAAGGAAAGTTTCAAGGTGTAAATTGTAGTTTATAGTACATTTCCATTTGCTTTGCAGCACACTGTATCTCGAGTGAGTCTTCTGGACCAAGCAGAGAAGTTGATAGGTGATCTTGGTAGCTCACAGTCTGTACTAGAAATACAATACGAAGGCGAGGTAAGTATAACTGCGGCCAGACTCCAGCTGTTACATTCTGGCTTTAAATCTCATACGAAGTCGCAAATGTTGTAATAAGGCTTACTTAGTAGGAACTGTTTGGTTTAAAACCTAATAAGAATTGTTTTTGTCATGTAGGTTGGGACTGGCCTTGGCCCCACTTTGGAATTTTATGCTCTTATTTCTCAAGAATTCCAACGTGCAGACCTGGAGATGTGGAGAGGAGAAAGTATGCGGCCTTCAGGAGGAACTGGTATGATTAGTGGTAATTCACTGATCGTTTCTTGTCATACACAACTAGTTAGTTAGTTAGTTTGGTCTTCGAGGAGCTTTTTTTTAAAGCATGACTCGAGGGAACATAGCTAATGTATGTCCAGTGATAAGTTAGTCTTAGTTTCCTTTCTCACCTGTTAAATCGCGATGTTGTTGCAGGACCTGTTGAACACGTGTCATATGTTTACTCCCCAACTGGCCTGTATCCAGGTAAGCTTAAACTTTCGTGAGTTAAAATTGATTGGCGAGATGAGAGAAGAATGCATTGTGTACATTTGATTACTGCATTGAAGTCTTGCCTCTAACTAGGAATCAAGGTTTGGATTTTTTCCAATGTTCAGCCGAGTGAAAAAGAGCACCACTTCTCTGAAGTATTTATCGCATCGTTTCATTCTTAGCCCCAGTTTCACGCACTGCTAAAGCCGCGAATGTGTCAAAGCTCTGCTCCAAGTACCAGTTCCTGGGTAAATTCTTGGCTCGTGCTATCATGGACTTTAGAATCCTCGACATTCCCTTCTGCCCCATACTATACAAATGGCTTCTCAATCAAGAAGGCACGCTAGACCTGGGTGATCTGGCTGCTGTAGACTCAGTCTTGGCTCAGTCGCTGACCCAGCTGCAACAGGTGGCACAGAGAAAAAAACAGCTAGAGCAAGACTCCTCTCATACTTCAGACAGTAGGCAGCTAGCTGTGGACAGTCTTACCTTGGATGATGTACCCATCGAGGATTTGGGTCTGTCCTTTACTCTGCCAGGCCATCCTGATTTTGAACTTAAGGTATAATTACACATTCATTCATATGACAACTTAGGTCTAAGGTGTGATGTAACAACGAACTTCAGTTAATACATGATCTTTATTCCCTCGTGGCCTTAAGTGCCCAAGGGATGGAAGAGTACTGTCATTTGAGCAAGTGAATGAGGGTTAAACTTAGTGAAACTTAAACAAAAATGTACCACCAAGACAGGAGAGTTAAAGTTTGGTAATTTTGATTGGTTTGAAAACCTGTCAAAATTACTCAACTCGAAACCTCGTCAGTTCAAGTGTATAGACGAGTTCAAAACTTGTCGTTCGAAGGCGTGAAGCCGACCTCCTTGTTTTGATTGTCGTTTTTTTTATTTGTTTCAGCGCGGTGGAAAAGACATGACAGTCACAATTCATGAACTGGAGGAATACATCAGGGTATCATTTTGTGTATAACACGAGCAATTGATATAGGTTATCTTCTTTTGGTCGCATGAATTAAATTCTTGATTTGTCACAGTCAGGAAAAATAATGTAAAAGTTAGAAAAAATGTGTCGATCTTTTTGTTTTGTTTATAAGAAGGTTTAGTTTCTGAATTAACTGTTAATTCAATTGTATGAAACGAGCGCACATTCCTGCAGTTTGTCGTGTAATTTATCGCTTATTTTGTTCTTTGTGCTTTGTTTTTCAGCTGGTAGTACAGTGGACTCTTGTGTCAGGTGTGAAACGCCAGATAGATGCACTCCGTGAAGGCTTTAACTCTGTGCTGCCTCTATCAAATCTTGCCAGTTTTTCATACACTGAGGTAGTAAATCTAAAAAAATTTCCTTGCAGCTTATTATTTCCTCGAGATCTGTGAGGTACCTAAGTAGCTGTTTCTCTCACATTAAATTTTACTGAAATCGAAATATTCAAGTGTGAGAGAAATTGGTTGGCACTTTTGTCCCCTACGGTGGCGTTTGCCCTTCCTTAGGAACTTAAAGAAGACAAGAAAGAATTGGTTTTATTATTAACTGATTTAGAAGGGGAGTAACTCTCTTCAATCGTTTGGGCTGTTGAATTATGATTATTGACTGACTTAGATCAGGTGATTTATGTGAGTGATTTTGTTCACAGATGGAGCTGGTTCTTTGTGGTAATGTGGCCGAGAAGTGGGACTTGAAATGTACGTACTTATATGTTAGTTTAATGGTATACCTGTGGTGTATTATCAGAGATAGACTGTGTTGAAATCTTTTCTGGAAGCTCAAAGGACGCCTTTGTTTTAGTGAGATAGGCTTTGTTTCTGTGGAATGCATCATTTTCTTTCTGCAGTTTTAATTTTAACTTTTTGTCTACGTTTTTCATAGTTTGCTAAAGCTGGTAGCTGTTCGCAGTAAAGATAACGATATTATTTTATTTTAAGTTAAATTCAACCTTATACCTGCGCTCGTTTATTTTTTCTTTTATTTTTGAATATCAGGTCTTGTGGAAAGTTGCAGACCTGACCATGGCTATACTCATGACAGGTCAGTGACTTAAACATGTTTTAGTTATCAAGGTAAAAAAAGTTTAACCGAGGCTTCCTGTAGCTCTGGAGAAACGCGTTTGCTAAATGAAGTTTCTTTGGATCCTTTTGTGTATGTTGTCTAGTTCCGGTAAATGGGATTGTTGAAACCAATCAAAAGCATGGTACATTTTGCATCCTGCGATCACATGCACCGAAAGGGAAAAGTGATATCAGTGATAATGAGAAAACTGCTAATTTCACTTTTTCTTCGTTCATTGCAAAGAGTTGTGTTACATGCTACTCTTTTGCTTTAACAGTCGTGCGGTGAAGATTTTGTTCGAGATACTCAGTGGTTACACACAGGAAGAGCAGAGGCTATTTTTACAGTTTGTCACAGGCAGCCCAAGGTTACCAGTGGGAGGTAAGAATCTCTATCGTTTTTTTGGCGTTTTTTTTTTAAATTTCAAACCATTTGATTAAATGCTCTTGACATGCGTGAAAGAATTTGATGATTTAATATTCAACAAAGCTTTCGTCTTATTTTCACTTTTACATCAGCGTGTATTTAAAAGAATCTCCAGATTTCAAAAAGTATTAGTTCCATTAAATGTGGGAATGATATATCAGTCTGTTTGTTTTATCGTAGGCCTGCGCAGTCTTAATCCACCGCTGACCATAGTTCGCAAGTCGTTTGAGCCTCCACTATGTGCTGATAACTACCTGCCGTCTGTCATGACCTGCGTCAATTACTTGAAACTGCCAGACTACTCCAGCAAAGAGATCATGGCTGGCAAGCTAAAGCTGGCTGCCTTAGAGGGACAGCGTTCATTTCATTTGTCTTAAGTTTGTACACACCACCCGAAGTGTACGCTCCTGTACATTAACTGTCGTACGCGTCGAGTTGCGGCCGCTTGACGGGATCGGAAGTGCTCTCATCAATTTTTTTGAATGTTCATGTTACCATCAAAAATCATGGCTAAAATTGACAAATTCTTTTAATAAAGTAATGGTTAAATTTTGATAATAATGCTTTACTAACTATTAAGTTCATGTTAAAGGTCGTTGACCAACCACTTGACTCTCCTAAGTAAGACGCTTTATTATTGCTACAGTAATAGAAAGACCTTATTGCAATATGCAGTTTCATTTATGTTCTAGCTTTCTGCCTTTTTTTTTTCCTTTTTCTTCTTTGAATTTCTCCACTTACGGTTGAGAATGCTAGAATTAATTGTTTGTAATATATTTTAAAACGCCTTATATACATAGCAATTGTACATAAACGTCACAGACTATTTGCTCCTCAATTTAAATCTTGTTCAGAGCCCTCACGATGTTTAACTGTGCCATTATCTCCTTCCCTTCCATTCCCTTTTCTTTTTGTTTTAGGGATTCTTCTTATTTACAATCAGTGAAAAGCATATTGTACACATATTGGAATAAGGTCGCTTGATAAAAATCACTAACTTTGATTATTGAATACACGTTTTAAGGAAAAGAAATTGAACCACCGAGACTATGCAAATTAACACTGTTTACTAAAAATATGAAAGCTGTGTACATGAAGCAGCAGTTAAGGATGTTCACAGCCGCTGTAAATAAATCGACTATAGTTGACTTGTTTCAGTATCATTCTATGTTTAGCTCGTTACTTTGCACAGGAAGGAAACCTAAATTTTTGTAACTGTACAAAGGCCTAATGGTACCACTACGCAACAGTAATCTGTATTACTGACGTATGTGATGTTTGCTTGGAAATAAATAAGAAGGAAAAATTAAGTGGTAATTTCCAATAATCCTATTTAGGATCGAATTATTTATGGTAGGTATTCCTCTTTCCCTGTAGACTGAAACAAAGTCACGTATTTACAATAGATTTAGCGAGGTTTTTAGCGCAGTTGAAAGCTCTTCTTTCCGTTATTGGGACTGTTGTTGCTTACTATGATTTCATGTCAAGAACCGCTAGCCACACGGCGCTAAAAAGGAATTTTTGTGCTTGCGCATTTGAGGTCTGGAACAAGATGGGGATCGACCCCTTCCTGGTTTCTTTTGTTTTTTTTCTTCTTTTGTTTTTTTTTCCTTTAATCTAAACATAATCCAGACTTTGGATTGTTCCTTATTGATTGATAATTTAAGTTGCTTCGCAAGAAGTCAATGGTGTTGCAGATTTTTCAGTGTCATTTCGCCGTACTCTTTTGTTCCCTAGACTTTTGTTCCGCTGTGTTCTTCGGTACCGTAACACCAAAAAAACGACGCCAACCAAGAACAGACCGAATATAGCACTGACTACAATCAGTCCTGTCCGCAGATTTGTGGCAGAGAGCTTCTCAGGCTGACCTGAAAGCAAATTCATTAGATATATGTCATTTTTGCGTTAGTAAATCACGAAAGATGGTAAATTTTGGCTTTGGTCGTCGAATTTAGAGAGATGTTTAGCAGTTGTCGAGAACGTAGGACTGAGGAATAATCTGATTCACTCACAAGGGTACAAACATCCGACCTAACAATCTCGAGTCCGGAACGTAAGTTAAACTCATAGGCGAGTTAGTTCATGTACTATTTCGATATCTGTCAAGTGCACTGTGTGATGCTTCGATCAGCAACTTTACTTTGAAAAGGGTCTTTTTCCCACTTATTTAAGATTGAGAGGTCACAGTAACATAGATTTTGAAAAAGAACCATTCCCTACCTTGAGTAGGCTTGGTGGTAAGCAGTGTGGCGCTTGTCATGCCTGCTACTGTTACGTTATTCGCTGCGGTACTAGGAATTTCGTCATCTGAAAAAAAAAAAAAAAAAAGTATATTAACCAAAAGTTAGTCGACATGCCTTTTTTTTTACTGTTACCTAATCAGCTTTGTTGAGAGAGCGCCGAACTGCCATGGGAGCTCCCCACCAGACGAACATGCAGGGTGCTAAAGCAACGCGTAGAAACGGGTTATTTTACTGATGATTTATGGGAATGTAATCCTCTAAAGGAAGGGCGATAAACCGCTAGGTTCGTCTACTTTAGAGTTGCATATTTATCAAGGATGTCTAGGGACCCACACACTTGGCACTGTGAGTAAGACATGGAGTACCTGTTTTGGTATCTGTGTGTCATCTGTCATGGATGGGGTTGGGAATGCTCCGAGAAAAATCCACTCACTTTTCTACTCTAACGATCGGAGTGTGAATATAGCATTCACCTCACTCACCTTAAAATGCATTATTTTTGTGGTACATGCAAATCAAGAGAAGTTTATATATATTTCACCTGAAAAGAAGTTGAATAACTTGTGCTTTTTGTCACTATTTTAGTTCCCTTACACCTACATTTTCCATAAACAGTGAGAACACGAGTTCGTTTCTTTCCATTAGGGTGGTTAACTGTCTCAAACAAGTACTGTCGTAATCCTCTCTTTACTCTTATCTCCACTGCTGACTTTGTGATCACGAGAGCTGAGTGGGAAGTGATGCTTGATTTTAAGAGGACCATGTCAGGAAGAGAGTACCAGGCCACTCGCGGCTGAGGTTTTCCAGTTACAGAGCAGGTCAGTGTTACTGGTTGCGCTTGTGAGGCGGTAAGAGTAAGGTTAGGAGTGCAATTCTGTATCTGTACAGGTACTGAATCAAAAAATAAAGAACACTTTGTTACCGCTATGACATCAGCCTAGTGTAGAGTAAAAAACAAAAACTTGATCGATCGAGGTATTGCGGCTTTAGAAGTTTTAGGCGAATACTCAGTATCTAGTACATGAAATAAATAACCCCTTGGGAAGTCCAGCCTTCTGATAGAAACGTATTTAAGCATTTAAGGCTGTATCTACGCGAACTCACCAACTGTTCGCAAGAAAATTGCATGAGAATGACACATGAGTACGTCATTGAGTACAAACATCTCATACAATATACAGTAGACATTCTCCATCGCGGTTGAATAATTTGTAATCCTAAAGAACACCATTCTTCCGCTCAGATCAGCATCCATTGTTGCTCGTCCGCTATACAAACCATCATGATAATCATCGTAGGTTCTAAAAAACTTTCCACTATCTCCAGCAGAGGCTACTTTCTCCATCACAAGCTGAACTGGCCTTTTCAAGGCAAGCACTGTGAATCTTGTCAGTCGTTTGATGTCAATATCTGCGGGAATTTGCCAACAAAGTGTGACATTGTCAGTTTCTGCTGCGTACGTCACAGCAGGGCTTGGGCAGGAGGAACATGCTAAGTAACAAGAGTAAACATATCATGAGGTTTAACTCTAAACCGCGTAATTTTGATGCAAGATCAAATTCAAACAAGTTATCTTAATTTTCCATTTTTCTTCTCTTTGACGAACTTTTTACAGTGTTATAAGTTGTTCTGTATCGAATTTCAATGCTATTATGGCCTATGACAGTGTACTCACTTGGTGACATGTTTACCAATACTGCTGTGATTATTGCCAAAGCGATGAGCATTTCTGTGATACTCACTGGTGGCCGTCTTTTTCTGAATGCAAAAGACAAATGTAGAAATAAGTTTATTCATGGACCCCATTGCGGACCCCGTGTTTTGATACACTGTGAAGTATTTAGAACCCACATCCCATAATCTAATATGTCAATGAATAATCTATCCAAGTTTATGAATAAAGGATAAAGGGGTAAGTTTCCAAAGAAACTGAGGTGCTGCGTCGGTGGGGCATCATTAAACGATTTGGCTAACGTTTCGAGTGTTAGCCCTTCGTCTTCAGCTCTGACTCAGAGAAAACGCGCGAAACGTCCGCCTTAGAACCTTTATACAGGGCCAATTTACATTATCACTCAGATGATAACATCAAATCATCTATTTCATTACGGGTGGTATATTATGTTTATAATTATATGTTTTGGCATTGCTCTGCAGAAAGATTCCATTTTTTAATTTTTTTTAGTCATAGTTGATGAAAATTGTACAGGGATTTATCGGAAATGAGAGATGTAAGTAGAAAGCATACTGAATACCTACAACGATCGATAGAAAGCTGCTTCATCAATATTCGAATCCGTAACCTATAAGATACTCCGAAACTCCATCAATTTTGCGTGCTCGTATTCTCATGTAGAATTGCACCAGTGAAACAAATGGATTCACAAGATAAAGAAAAACCTCTCTTTCGATCTTTATTAAAACTACGATGCTGCCAATAGAAAAACTTCCTCTTGTGCCTTGCTAAGTCAACTAATTTCACGATGAATAAAACCAATATTGAATTAAGATCACCGCAGCATAGCATCATAATCTTAGAGTTACCGTGATTTGTTTTGTTTTGATGAACGCGTAAATCTTCAAACGCAAAATCGGACGTCTACACCCTTTTCGTCTACATGCTTCGGTTACACTTAGTCTATCATGCAGTTTCATCATGTTTTTCACAGGGTCTAAGTATGATCACTCCTTACAGTTGAGTTTGAGTGGCTTCCTTTTTGTTTTTAATTAAGCAGATGCTTTAAAGACCCCATGTACACTGTCAACATTTTCGTCTGCGACCTCCCGCAAAACATAGCTTAACTTATTAAGTATAACGGAAGGATGATACAAGTTTGCTGGTGAACTAGTGTTCCCTGTCATGTTCTTTTTCAAGTCACCCGAGACTTCGGAGTGCTGACAGATCAAAACAAATTTGCGGATTACATCAACTTGTTGGGTCACGCAAATCTGTACGAACTTCGCCCTTCGAAAACAAAATGTCTTAATTAAATGTGCTTTTCTTTTTCTTTTGTCAAAGAAGTAGACAGATTGGGATTCGAAATATTTTCTCGACGTTTGATTATATCCGCAACACTCAGCTGAACTCTTCAATTCAGCATAACCATCAAAAATTCAATATTGCGTTAGGTCACCTTTGAAACCAAAGTAAAGGGTTTGACACATGACTTACACAAGAAACTCTACGCTTGCATTTGCTCGCACGGAAAGAGCACGGTATTGAGATAACATTTCCATAGAGAGACGTTTCATATCAATACAAAGTACGTTTCAATACAAAGTACATATTCAAACACAAGTACGGTTTAAGAATAAAGTTTTCAAGGGAGTCTGTTCGCGCAGCTGTTGACTGTTTCCAGTTCAATTCACTTCATCAACAGCTGACGCTTGATAAAATTTTTAAAACCGTTGAAACATTCAAGCTTTCCCATTTATCTTTTATTTTAGATTTCTTGAGCCACGTGGTGTCCCTAATAACTCAAAATAATCTAAAGTGCCTATTCTATTTTAGGACCATATGTGTTGACCTTTTTAAATAGAAAAAAAAAAACCATATCACATGCTCAGAAACGAGGAGAACCGTGCCATATGCTCCCCATTTATGATGGACTCAAATCCTTTTAGTACAGACTAGCATGCAAATATATACCGCGGTAATTTTAGGAATGTTAAAACTCGAACCCTGTGTTCAAGCCTAACCAATGCAGGGCTTTTATCACTGAAGGCCTGAAGGGTGTACCCCTTTCTCTCAAAACTTGAACGTCGGCAGTTTAACTTTGTGATTTTGCATTTATGCAGCAAAATAAAGCCAAACTGAAATTTTTCAAGATAATAAAAATCTTTGGAAGTGACTGCGAAGGAAGTTTGTTTCTGCAGTAAAGTTTGTGCCGCGATCTACAACGAAATCGTAACTGTTTAACTTTTTGAACTCTGATCTTCAGACATGTGCAGTGCTACATCTTTACACGCCTATGATGTCATAAGCCATCGCTTGATTGCAGACCCAATTTTTTTTAAAATATCTCTTATCTCCTTTGTTTCCGGAGAGGTCTTCACGAAGAGACGAGCAAAGAGAAAGAGATACAACGACTAAAAGATATCCAGCTGCGAAGAGAATTTAAAATCATATAACTTGTCAAATGAATGTTGTCAATCACAAATTGATCAAATTTTTTTATCACGAGTCGGAAAATCTCCAGCTACCGAAATAAAACGTTAAACTTTTCATAGACATTGTTTAAAGATGCTGGGTATTTGTTCTACATTTCAGTGCGATACAGATGGAAGAAGAATCATCTCATTCACTAAAACTCTGTTGTGGTTCACTCATCATTAAAAAAAATGTGTAGTTAGTCGTAAGTAAAGTTTGAGTATCGTTTTCAAGGACAATTTTTCACTTACATAAAATATAATGAAAGTATTCACATGCAGTAGCAGAAAGTGACAATATTTTTCTCCATCTAGCTCTCTTTCCCTTTCTTCTATTTTTTTTTCTTTTTTTTAGCCCGAACAGCCCCAGGCGTTAGGTATGATGCGCTCTGTTTCTAAATTCATTACATGGCTTCACCTATGCGCAATTCTCACACCACAAAAGCACGAATTTTTAACCTCACTAGTCATGGTTAACTTTGTGATACTGCTACACATACCTTTTGATATGGTAATGTACGAATGACAGCAATAAACCGTTGAAGTCGACAAGAAAAGTGAAAAATAACTTCTCAGTTCAAGGCCTTGAAAATTATAAATCCATTACCCAGAGAAGTTAGCTTCTCACGAGAGCCTAAAATCATTTGATAGACTTTGAGCTTGTTACATGTTCATACGGGGAGTTTGGACTCAAAAAAGAAATGTTTGTGTAGGTTAACGATCGATCAAGGTTCAATGTTCGAATACCTGTGATTATTACATCATGAGTTTTTCTTGTCTTTGTCTGCTCTATTATATTAAGAAGTCACTGTTTTCAGCAAACTGCGAGGTCAGAACTGCCGCTCTTAGCCAATATCAAAATTGATTTGGAATGAAAAGAAAAAAGACTCCTTGCTAAAGTCTTCTTCTAAAACCATTAATTGATTTTAGTTTTTTTTTATTCTTGAATGATCCATCTATTATCATTTTTGGACTTTAACCTCAATTCCTTAATGCTTGTTTAACGCGCACGCTACCTACCATCTTCATGATAAGGCCACTCGTGTTTGGTAAGTTAATTTGACCTGACAGTAATGGTGTTACGTAAGGCCTTTCTGATAAATTCTAACGTCGAGGAACCTAGCAGGATTTCACTTGAACCAGCTCTCGTGAGAAGGTTTGTGATCGCCACATGACTAAAAATAACACAATTACCCTTTGTTGCCTTTAATATTCTCGATTCACACTTCCGTGAACGTGATCGTAAAGCTCGATTTACTTGCATGGGAGCATCTCAACAGTCATAGAATGGTCATACAAATCTGTGACTGCTGACTGCTAACTGGCTGACGGTTTTCGTAGTAGGGACCTCAAGGACCCTGAGTACGTAATACGCAATGTAAGTGGTTAGTCATGAACGTTTGACGCACGCTTTGTTTCCATCACACTACAAGGACACGATGAATAAATACCTGATCACCAGGTCAAACTTATAGGCTAGGTGTGCAGAGAAAAAAGTATTTTAGATATGGTTTCAGTCATTCTCGGTTTTTCGTCGATCACTGACTATCGTTCTGATTAGAGGAGGAGCAAAAAGTTGGTGGGAGGTTGCTCTCGCAACGAACACTCCGAATAAATTTCCGGAGAGAATTTTTGTCTAAAAGAACCTATATTTGTGTAATGGACGGCATTAACTGAAGCTGATTTTACTAGTAATATTAATGCACTTGACAATGGACTACAACTGCATTATCCAAGCCAAGTCTCAATTAAATTTTACTGCACGATCCCACGATTGTCGGATCGGGGTCATTTTTCTCTTATTCTGACTTTCGCTCGAATTGTTTCACTGACCTTCAATTCATAACAGACAATACTTACTGTTGTCCTTATAGAAACCGATTTTTCAGTTGACCGTCCTAAATTTGCAATTAGTCAATCAGATGTGTGATCTATTGACCTGGTAGTAAAATGATTCCGAGTGCAATAAGCACAAGCAAATTTTTCAAAGACGAGAAAATTTCACGGGCCCGTAGAGCGAGCGCAGTTTTTAGTCTTCTAAAATTTTACAAGTGCCTATTTACGCCTAATTGAGCGAGAACTTTGTTATTTATTAATAATTTATATGAAAAAACCATCACAGAGAGTCAAGAGGGACGAAATACCCAAATGTTGACAGCGCGCGCTATTTGTAAATGGCACTCGTGTTACAACTTTGCACTCGTGTTCAGCCAACCTGACGCGGGTAATGTTTTCATGTGTATTATTAGGCACGACATCACGGTCGCTTTCAAGTAACTGACAGCTGTCGTATGATTAATTAAGAAAGAGGTACTGCCAAGTAAGTGCTATTGTAGGTTTGTTGGATCGGGGTCATTTAAGAAAAATTTCAAGACTTAGACGATTTCTTATATCGTTAATATTGACAGTTACCACAATGTCCAAAGTACCGCTATGCCTCTACGAAGCACAAAGGAGAATTTGGCACTTAATGCTTGGTTTCGGAGGCGTTCAAAACGCTGAGAATTCTGCTTATCACAATCTCCCCAAACTATAAACACAAATATAGTCTGTTTATAAATTCTTAATAACATATTTCTACTTAAGTAAGATAAAAATTCGATTGGACATTTAAAGCTCAAGATGAATCGTAAGAGACATAAATCTCGAGAGATGAAATAAATTCTAAGAGATTATCTACAGTATGTTACTCGTATATACTCGTGTGTATCCGTATGAAACTCGTTTGTACTCGGGTGTGTCCCTTTTTTACTTGTGTGCATTCGCATGCATCCGTCCGTTTCTCGTATGTTACTCAAATACTCTTGAGGTGTTTGAGTCACGCAAGAGAAAGTAACACTTTTTGGGATAACTAATGGTAGGTTTAACTATCTTACTCATAATTAATGTCGCGAGTACTTAAGGTTACTTAGCACCTCCAGTGGCCGAAAAAATCAATTTTTCTTTTATTTGAAAAAACTGAATTCGAACATTCAACCTAACGTTTCCATAAAAAAAAATATGAGATCTGTAAAAGCACTCAAGTTATTTAAAAAAACGTATTTTCAAATAAAAGTTAATAAATCAGTAAGGTGTTATAATCTCGGACCTAGGCGAATCCCCTGGGGAAATTTTCGCGGCAACCGCTGCTGTTGGGGGTCGATTTTCATGTTGTTTCCAATATTTTGTTTAAATCGCGCACTCTACAAAATTGACAGATGGAAGCTCTTTGTTCATGGAAAAATTTTTGCTCGTGGAAAATCAAAAGCGGAACAAAGTCCTTAGTAAAAAAACAAAACAAAACAAAACAAAAAAACAACAACAACAAAAAAAAGAACAGGCCAAAGAAGAAAGAAAGAGTACCATTCTGTTAAGAAAAGAAAAAAAAATCCTATGTGAAAGCGACTGGTACTGTCAGAGCTCCATGCTGGTGTCCAGATTTCGAACAAAGAAGTCGCTGTTAAACCAAAGTTTGCCATAAATTATGTTAAAAACAAGGTTTCCTTTTCTTTATGCAAGTACCAGCCTTGATACAAAAACATTAACAATTGCCTCGAATCGTAATTTTGAAAGCTGTATGTCGAATCGTTGTCTTGCTCCTCAGCATATTTTGCGGTTTTTTCCATTTTTGTCGCAGATTTTTCCTTTGCCTTTGGCAACTTTCACTGCAACGCTCCACTGAGCGATCCAGATAAAAAAGACGTGTCTGCAATGGGTTACTTTTCCGCAGGGAAATCTTCATCCATCGTCACTGACGCTAAGAGGTCCCGTTGTTTTGATGGTTTTCGGCGCGAGTTGTTTACCAACCTTTATGAATCTCGCATTTGATTTTGGGAGACACACAACCACTTTGAGCGAATTTATAAGGTATATATCTTTGACTGATTTTCTTCAAATTTCGCCAAACATTGTAAGAATAATAACAAACGAAAGTATGTCGGGAAATTTTGATATTAGAAATAATTGTCCCGTGCGTCCATTTACACAACACGACTCGCATATTTTTAGCTACTCCAACTTTAGATGCCGATAGCTAGACAACCAATCAGAATATCGATAGAGTCCGACGCTCTTTTTTGATTGATGCCTTATGAATGAGACTGTGCAGCCATTTTGCTCGTGCTGCAGCATCCGCTACCCGATAAATTCAATAGAAGAACCTTCGGTCGTTTCACGCCTTACCGGCTCCTGACACTTCCTTAAAAGAAAGGTCGCTTAAATTAAATTTTTGTCGTAAACTGCATTTATTCAGCTTTCTTCTGATATGTAGTTTGCTAGGATTATAGTGAAACTAGCGTGCGTACGAATTATTTCCCGAAGGACACCCGCGAAGGTGGGAAGTAACCTTAATTTTGCGTTTTTCGCGATTGTAAAGCATTAGTCACATTAACATGATTACATTAGCACCTTGCCCCCTTTTTGCTTCTCTTTTGCCCGATTGTTATGATAGTATCTTGCGCACTTTTAGTTTTCGTGGTTTCCTTCTTGCACGTCGAGTTCTCGTGCACTTTTGGTTTTCCTTGTTGTTCGTTTCTTTGGTGAGAAAGTCGCCCACTTTTCGTTTTCGTTGTTGTCCGATTGTTACGTCAGTATCTCACTTTTTGTTTACTTGTTGTCCGATTACTACTTTGGTATCTTGTGCCCTTATATCATTTCCTTTGTTATACAGTTGTTACGTTAGTATCTTGCAAACTTTTACTTTTCCTAGATGTCCGAAAGTTACGCTAGTATCTTGTGCACTTTTTTTTTCTTGTTGTCCATTGTTACGTTAGCACCTCATACACTTTCATTTTTCCTCGTCGTCCAATTATTTCTTTAGTATCTCCTTCAATTCTCGTTTTGCCCGATATTTTTGTTAATATCTTGCACACTTTTACTTCTACCTGTTGTTCAATTCTTACGTTAGTACTCCGCGCACTTTCATTTTTCCTTGATGTTCGATTGTACATTACTATCTCGTGTACTTTTTCTAAGAACCCTTGCATGTAAAGCTCCTGAACGGGAAAGCCTAAACTTAACGTACGAAATTGGTGTCTCTGAACTTAAGGCTCGAATTCAGGACCCCTGAATTTAAGGTATATATTTATTGCCACTGGAAGCAAGGCACAAATGTAACACCCTTGGATGAAAGCCACCGATTGTGGTAAGGTACAAATTGTACTTGGAAATATAAGGTTCAAGCCCCGCGAGCAACATGGAAGTTTTTTTAATTCTAAAATTTTAAACAGTTTTTCTTTATGACACAGTTAACCACAGTAAAGGGAATTACATACTTTCATATTGTCCATCTAAAGTGACTGCAAAGAGTTGGAGCTAAAGAAATTAAAGAAACAAATCACTCAAAGATAGAAATTAAACTTTATTACTTGAGTACAACCACTGAAATGTTGGGAAACAATCTCCATTATCCATCTTGAAAGAAATCTGCTGGAAAAAAAAAAGATATTTTAATGAAAAATTCTTCATAAATATTTCTTTTTTTCTCAAGTTTTACAATAGGAATTTGACTCTACTTCAAACCACTGACTATACTTACAATTCCAGTCTCCATCGCCATCTCCATCATTGTCACCGTCGCACTTACTGATCACTCACTATCATCCGGAGGTTTACAAGATTCCTAAAAAAAAGTATATAAGAATCACACTACTAATTTGTGTGTTTTTGTGTTGATCACAAAAGTTGCATATTTGTTTTCCAAAAGGGCAAATGTTCACTAAAAAAAGATACGCAGT